TTCCTCATAAGACTTGGTTTTGTTAGTCCATCTAGCTGAATATTGTCTGCACGCCCAGTTGATTAAACCAGGGGGACTGTTGGTCAAAATAAAAATGGCAGGGGCAGTGATGCAGCACTGAATATGCTGTAGTCCATCTCCAGCCTATTAGTGCTCATGAGTAAATGGAGACCCTGTTAGGCCGAATCCCTGGGTCTAGCTGTTGATGTGCACCTGACTAGGGTAAACCTTATGGATCTGCTTTCAGCAAGCCATAAGAAGGAAACCCATGGCTATGTATTCATTGTTCTTGACTACTGGCTTCCAATTGGGTTGTGATGAATGAGCTTTGTTGAGTTGCTGCTTGTACTGGCCTTCCACATGCAGAAGGTCCTAAATTCAATCCTTGGCACCTCTGGTTTAAAAGATCAGATAGCAGCGAATGGACAAAGATCTCCACCTGAGAGCCTGAAGAGCCACTGCCAGTCAAAGGGGTGAATAGCTTGAGCTAGTCTAAGGCAGCTTCCTGTGGTCTGTTGTTGTTTGAATCCCATTCAACTCCACACTGTTGAACGGTTAAACAAACAAACAAGGAAAATTATAACGAATAGTAAAGGCCTTGGCGTATATTTACCTTTCATTTGAAGCCTACTTGGTTTGGGATTCTGCCTGTTCTGTGGCTTGAGGGATTGGTATGAAGAAAACCTTGAAAGAGGAGAGAGAGAAACAGTTACACAGACAAAATCTCAGAGTCATCTGCAGTAGCAAAGTCCTTATTGTTTTGGTAAGGGCAAGATTTAAAAGGGGGGACAGTGAAAAATATACCATAGTTTCCTGTTGTTAGATTCATTCTTTGAACATCGTACTTTGGGTTGCATTTAACAGCAGCATTTCTCCATCATCATCCCTGTTCCCACTCCCCCAAAATGCAAGTAGCTAAGTGTTCAGCAGAAGTACCTCCCAAAAAAATACTCAGTTTGGAGGGTGGGAGGGAATTCAATAAGCAACCCAGTGAAGAGGGCTGAGTATGCTCAGTTGCCATGAATTGCTGATTGTTGATAGTACATATCCAATATCTCATCTATGCTGAGTAAGAAGGAGGCACCACAAGAGAGGAATCTGTTTGATAGTAATCTAATGATCAGGTGAATATTGAATAAAGTTTGGATTGGAAGCCACCCTTACCAACTTTCTTTCATAGGTGGTTATGATTCGGTTCCCAGGAACGCTTTCTTCACAAGTCAGATATCAGACAGTCACACAGAGACTTGAAGATTTGTAAAAAATACCAAATTTAGGAATGCTCCTGTTCAGGGTTTTAGCCTGCTAGGAATATTATTTTCCAGGATAGTCCATTGTATCCTCCCTTCTCCCTAGAAGATCAGCTTAGCAGTTCTTTCCCCACTCATGTCCTTCCACAATGAGCTTGCTCTAGGGCAGCTTTCTGTGCTGGTTGGAGCTGATAGGAGTGATAGGAGATGTAGGAGTTCAAAGGAGCTGGAGGGTCTCCAATCCGGCCCACCAGCCGGTTTGATCCGGCTCCTGTGGCAGTTTGTTTCCTGGGGTAAAATCCTAAAAAACCCCTCAACAACTTCAACCCTAAAAAATGGTCAACAACCAATGGTTGGCCCATTGGTCGGCCCTCACAGCCCTTCACTTCATCAAATCTGGCCCTCTTTGAAAAATGTTTTGACACCACTCTACACCGATTTCGCTGAAAAATTAGTCTCACGTGGAGCCTCAAAAGTTTCTGGGGTTTGTTTTTTTCCTTTAAAGGAAAGGTGATAGGTCTTATTCCTCCTGGGGTCCCATGTAGCTTGCATTAATTCTTGCCCTGCACCAGCTTCCTCTCTGAGTGAGGAGCCATTTCCTCTGCTGGTCACAAGGGGGCAGTTTGTGCAGAAACCTTGGGAGACATGGAAGGAAGCAGCCAACACAAACTCTTTCCCTCAGATCATTGGAACGTCAGCTGCAGCGCTAGCCACCTTTTGGCCGGGTGAGGGCAGGAGCCCTCTTCTCAAAGGTAAAAGTAATAAAAGGAGACTTAATATACATCATTTGGTTTAGATGAGGAATGACATTGCTACTAAAGATCTTTCGGGTTCCCGCCAAGCCCACATAGCATTCAAATCACTTCCATGTGGGGGCCAATCTCCATCGCTACCCGCTGTTAAAACTCTTCTTCCTCTTTCTTCATGGTGTATTTTTTTTTTCCTCCCCCCACTCCCGTTTCAGCTCAGGAAATTCCAATCAAATCGAGCCGAGGAGTAGCTCTCTTCATTCCTTCGGAGGCAGGAAAAGGCCGAGGTCTTTAATTTTTATTAATGGCGATTGTGGTTCAATTAGTCCACAGCACTTTTGGTGTTCTGTGTCATTAAACCTGTCAGAAAACAAACTGTCCTTTGCTTCATACAGGCCTCATTTGAAGCCTGTGCCTCGGAAAATGTCGCAAGAGTGGAAGGCAGTATTTATAGAAGGCCCTTTAATTTTACACAAGTGGGCACTTTAGCAAGCGTCTGGCATTACTGAGCATCATAAGCAGTCAAGGTTACTCATAAGTACTTGACCAAACAAACTCCTGTTGACGTTTTAAGAAGCACCACAGCGGAGAGTTACTAGCTCTGGCGATACTCCAAGTGAGGGAATTGTGTCTCTGACATAGTCATTTTTCAAGTCGCCAAACACAACAGGGTTTCTTCACACCCCCTCTTCAAGCCAGAGGGTTTCAAAGGCAGCACAGTGAGGCCTTGGCTTTGGAATCAGAGACGCTCTCAAGAGCCAATTCCCAAGCGCACACATTTTTTGCTGGAGGAAATCCTGCTCAGTCGAAAGACGTGATAATAACCCTCAGCTTGGTCATCCCCCCGCCCCACTGTTGCTTCATTATGATCTCATTAAAGGGTAGGTGGTGGTGGTGGATGAATCTGTAAGGAGCATTCTAGAGTGGGTGTCATTTACTTCAGAGGCATATTTGCCGTGGCCGGCATAACAGCTAGACCTGTTCCTGGAAATACTAAGGGATAGCTTAGTTGCTCTCACCCATGCCTTGGTAACCTCAAAATTGAACTGCTGTAATGCACTCTGTGTGGGGCTACGCTTAAGGCTGGTTTGGAAGTTGCAGCTGGGGTCGAACCCAGCGGCTACAATGCTGAGCAAGGTATCTAGCCATGCACATATAGCTCCTGTGCTGGAGGGGCTGCACAGACTGCCAGTTTGCTACCAAGCCAGTTGTAAGAAGTCCTTGATAGCAGATGCCCTGAAGTAATCTTCAACCTTGGGTCCGCAGATGTTGTTGGACCACAACTCCTGTCATCCCCTGCCAGCTAAGCTCAAGGTCAGGAGTGGTGAGAGTTGTATTTCAGGAACAAATGGGGGAACCGAGGTTGAAAAGCACTGCACTTGGGACCAAGTTACCTGAAATAGTGTCTCCCCCCCCCCTTATAGATCTGTGAGTTCATTTAAAATAATCAGAGAATGCCATGCTGATCGTGCAACAGCCTGCAGAGAAGCATCTGGTACAAAGACATTGGTAGGCATTCTCTGCAGAGGTCCCTACCTTATGGAATGAAGAGGGCCCTGTGATATTGTCTTGTGAACCACTCTGAGATCTTTCAATGAAGGGCAGTATAGAAATCTAATAAATAAACAAATAAAATAAAAATAGGATGGGCATCCACGGTGGTTTGTTTCTACCCAATGTCAGGTTTTTGTTAGTTAACCTCTATGCAGCACTGTGGGTGCTTTACAACGGTCCTCTTATATTGCTTTAGCTGTGTACACACCATACATTTAAAGCACAATTCTCGCCCCCAGAGAATCTTGGGAACTGTAGAGAGCTAGAATTCCCAGCACCTCTAGCAAACTACAGTTCCCAGGATTATTTGATTTAAATGTACGGTGTGTACTTAGCCTGTGAGTTGTGGTTTGTTCTACTGAAAAGCAACCTAGGAATGTTTTTGAATGAATAAATATGTGCTTCGGATGTTTTTGAAACAAGTGTCCTGATCGAAAAGACGTGGTTGCATGGATTCTTCCCCAAGCCCTCAGGAGTCAGCTATGCATTCACGATGTATCCCCACTAGGGTAATCTGCCCACACTGTTTCTTGGGGTGGCCTGATACAAAGGAGAATTAGGGAGCGGCCAGTCTGTCCATGTTCAACAGATGTATAAAACAGAGGGTTGGCAGGTACCACATGTCATGCTAGCTGAAATTCCCACTTCATCTCAAAATGTTACAGGAATGCAGTTGCCCTTCTGTATCTTGCCTCCATCTGTCTGCACAGCAGATGGGGTGTTCTTGTCAGCAATGTGAAGGGCACATTCTAGGAGAGGCAACAACAGATACAGGGTCTTCTATGTGTAGGAGCATGGATAGAAAGGCCTCAGTAAAATAATTTGGCAGCATCAAAAACCAGTGGCTACAAAGGAGGAGAACTGGGGGGAGTGGGAAATTCAGGAGGAGGTAGCAGAGGGAAAACACTGGGGAATTTTGCTCAGGGGCAGGGAACCTTTTTGAGCCAGAGAGACACAGGCAGGGCCAGAACCAAAAGTGGGCAGAGAAAGAAATGTGGACTTTTGGACATTAAGCTGACCTCTTCTACACAGGATTTCATGCAGACACCTTCCTCTCGTCCATCAAGGTTAGCAAGAAGCATATCAGATCTCAAGAGTACATTCCAGCCAGGCAAAAACACCCAGGGAGGGTGCACAGCAGGGCTAGTGGCTTGGGAGGGTGTTTGGCCCAGTGGGCCGTAGTTGGTTCCAGGGCCTGAGGTTCCCCACCCCTGCTCTAGCAAAATCTCTCTCACACACATACACCTGCTTTGGTTTTGCTAAAAATACCCAAGGAACAGCTTAAAGATCCTCTCAAAAGGTGATTTTGCTGTCACATTTTGTTTGCAGAGAGACTACCAACAAAGCCACGATGCTCCATGAAGTAACCCTGTGGCTGTTGCTGGTGGTTGGCATCTCCACGGTGACTGGAGGGGGAGCTGGAGGTGGTTATGGGCAGATCAAATACATGCAGCCTGTGGTGAAAGGACCTCTCGGCCCTCCATTTCGGGAAGGCAAAGGGCAGTACATAGGTAAGTAGCCTTCGGGTGCACAGAGTCCGGAGGAGGCAGAAGTGGGGGTGGGGTGGGGTTGTAGAGTTTTATCTTGAAGAAACAACAACTCCCAGGCCCAGGCCTCTTACTGTTTTTACCTACTTAAAATGTTCAGTTTACTTTTACAGTGGTACCTCAGGTTAAGAACTTAATTCATTCCAGAGGTCCGTTCTTAACCTGAAACTGTTCTTAACCTGAAGCACCACTTTAGCTAATGGGGCCTCCCGCTGCCGCTGTGCCGCCAGAGCACGATTTCTGTTCTCATCCTAAAGCAAAGTTCTTAACCTGAGGTACTATTTCTGGGTTAGTGGAGTCTGCAACCTGAAGCGTCTGTAACCCGAGGTACCACTGTATTCTTCTTGTCAGTAGCCCTGAGAACTTGGCTATAGGTTGGCATATAACTGATAATTTTTAAAAAATTGTTGCCTTCATCTTTCCATGTTTAATGTTAGCTTCACACCTCCTCTGCCTAGACCCCACAGTAATTATGGTGATTCCATCCCTGCCCTTTTCTCCTACAAGTAGAAACCATAGTTAACGGAGAAGATGTTTAATTTCTAAGTGGTAGTTGCTAGGAGAAAGGAGGCCATCATGCTGTGTCTCCCAGTGCTGGTTGCTAGGTGATGAAGAGATTGTGCCATTTTGGTTGTCTCACAGTGGTGCCTAAGAGTGTGTGGCGCTGTGTCCGTTGACTAGCAGAGGTTGCCTGGAGGCCATAAGGTTGCAGTGTGTGGTCTGCATTCGTGATGGTGGTAGTTAGGCCACAGAATGGCTGCAGAAGCAAGTGGTACTATTGCTTCCCTTGATTGGGACACTATACTTCTGTTGATGCATCCTAGAATAGCATTTGCTTTTTTTTGCTGTTTCATCACACTGTTGACTCACATGAAGCTTGTGGTCTACTAAGACCCCTAGATCCTTTTCACATGTACTACAGGAAAGCCAGGTGTCCCCCATCTTATATTTGTGCAGCTGGTACATTTGTCTCTGTGGAAATTCATTTTATTAGTTTTGGCCCAGTATGGGCCAAACTTCTAAGATCATCTTGATTCCTGATTCAGTCTTCTGTGGCATTAGCTACCCCTCCCAGTGTGGTATCATCTGCGAATTTGATGAGCAACCCCTCCATTCCTTCATCCCTGTCATTTATAAAGTTGTTGAACAACAGTGGGCCCAGGATAGAATTGTGTGGCACCCCACTTGTCACTTTTTTCCAGGATAATGAGGAACCATTAGTGAGCACTCTTTAGGTTCAGTCAACCAGCTACAAATCTACCTAGCTGTTACCTTGTCAAGCACACATTTTACCAGCTTTTCTGCAAGAATATCATGGGGAACATTGTCAAAAGCCTTGCTGAAATCAAGATCCACTATATCCACAGCACCCCCCTGATCCACAAAGCTTGTAACTTTAACAGAAACACACAGGAGGTTCATCTGGCATGACTTGTTTTTGAGAAACCCATTTGGGTCTTAGTAACCAGGAGCAGAGGAAGGGGGGTGCGGTGGGGGCGAACCGCCCCAGGTGTCTTCGCTGAGGGGGGTGACATTTGGCGCACCGCCTGTGACTCCCAAGCCTGCCCCAAGCTGTCGGGGGAAAGGGGGAGCTGCGCCGCTTTGCCGGCGGCATTCCCCCACTTCCCCCTTTGTTTTGACAGCTGGGGGTGGCTTGGGAATCACGGGTGGGCAGCGTGCCGAATGTCTGCCATTGGCAGCTTGCTCCGCCCCCCAGCTGCAGGGCGCACACGCCGCTCCGTGCACTCAAGTGGCTATACCGCGCCTGGAAGGGCACCCTCCGTGCCCGGCCCCCCTTGGGAGTGTGCCTGTCCTAGGCAGCACAGGCATATGCTCCACCACTGATGACAGCATCCTTTTTTTCTATGTGCTGACATATCAATCTATTCTAGGACCTTTCTTGGTATCTGTGTCAAGCTAATAATTTGGGAGTTTCCTGGGTCTACTCCCCAACCCTTTTTGAAGGTGGGGTAAAAAGAAGATTCTGGAAACTACCGACCTGTCAGCTTGAGGGAACCACAAGGGACAAGCCTTTTCTGTGGTGGCTCAACACAGTGGAGCTGGGGTTGGCTTCTCCCTTTTTGTAAAGCCTTGAAGTCTGATTTTCATTGATTGGCCCTTCCCCTGTGTAGTTTATGTTTCACTCACTGAAAGTAGGTTGCTATATCATTGTATTACTGGAATTGTGAGTCTGTTTTTATTGCTTTAAATTTATTTTTATACTTTCTCTATATGCAAATACATACATATACAGTACATGTGGGGGGGTCTTTTTTTTCTTGGTATTAGTGATACTGATTGTTTTTTGCATGTACTTTGTATTGTTAAAAAGTTATTTGGATGGGATTTCCCCAGAAAAGCAACATACAGATATCTAAAAATAAAAAAGCTGATGTAAAACAGATATAAGTTCATAGTGCAGCTGTGCACATAGAGGTTAGCTCTGCTCCCTTTAGATGATGGAACAACAGTTGTGGCTGTTGCTAGGCATGTGTGCGCGCACACACACATTATCTCAAGACATGCTGAACCTTATTGCTTTCCCTGAAAAGGCTTGGGTTCTCAGATCAGTTCCCTTAGTATTTACTGTGGTTACATGGCAATGGCATCACAACCCAAGGTGATTGGAGAGTGCAGTGGCTGGAGTGCTGGACTGGGAAGGCATGGGTTTAGACCTGCCCCCACCCCCCATGTGTTCTGGACAAGACACCACCTTTGAGTCTATTGTTGTTGAGAGTGTAGGTGCTGTATTATGGGACCAGGGTGTGATATTGGCGTTTTCTGTGACAGGAGATTTAATTATCTTTTTTATTATTTCCCCCCTTCTTATAATCAGAAGCTAGCTGAGTAAGTGGGTTCCAATTTCTGCAATGTAGCTGGGAAGAATATTTTAATTTGCTTCCCTGTTCTGACCTCCCCCCCGCACCCTGGCCTTGCTTCAGTGTATGAGCTACAAAAGGGACTCCTGTGTATTTTGCCTCAAACTGCAAAATAACTGTGGCAGGGCAGCACGCAGGTGTGGGCCAGCAAAGGAGATACGCTGTAGAATATATGGTGCCCAGTAAAACAATTCACCTTTTGTTTTGCCTAGAGGTGGAATACGACTCCCAGGAGCCTTTGCACTTCTGCTGGCTCAAGTGGGTTTGCATTGGCGGGGGAGCCTAGGAATATGTCTCTGTTTGAGTGCTTCCTTTGATTGGCTTGCCATCGTGTTCATGCAGGTGTTGGTTTGGAGAGCGAGACCATTGGACAGGAAGCCTGGTGTGCTTTTCAGCTGAGGAAAGGCAGGCAATCAAGGCAGGCCACCCAGAGAGGAGAGGAAACTGGGGCCCAGGCTGGCAGGACATTGTTTCCTGCTGCAGTAGCCTGAGTTTTTGGGTTTTTCCTTCCCTCTGGGGTACCTGCTGGAGACAGCCACAGCTAAAGGCAGGATGTTGAGTGGAATGGATGTGCCATAACAACGTCCCCTTCAGGAAGACGGAGGATGCGTACACACTCCGATTAGTCTGCATCCAGTGCACTTCCACTTCTGGTTTGGGAAGCAGTGTACACATGATGTTAGCACAATCCATATATATCCCGCAGTTTCTTAGGAAATAGTGCATTTTGATGCATTTTCTCCCAAGCCAGCTTTGATCCAAATTGAGAAGAACAGCCAAGATGCACTTTAAGCTGATAATGTTTACATAGCCAGAGTATGAATTGGCATGCTGTTTCATTTGGCTAGTGACTTTAGGTGGGGTAGTTGTATTTTGCTTGGTGGAGGGAGGCTCCCTCACTCTTTTATTTTCTTGTATTGCCTTCCTCAGTAGCCTGTGGGTTGGTTGGTTTGGTTTTTGATGGGGTAATTTATATCTAACTTCATCGTTTATGGCAGGGGTAGCAATCATGGTGCCCTCCAGATTTAGTTTATTGCCAGTTCCCATCTATCTCAGCAAGTGTGACCAAACATCAGGGATGACTGGAGTTGTGGTCTAAATATATATGTGGAGCACTTGATTCCCACTGTGCCCCAGTTCTCTGTTAGTGCCGTTCTGTTTTCAGGATTAGCAGTCAATGATCAACACAGGAGGATGCAGACAGCCCAAGGCATTTTGCTGCCTGAGGCAGAACAGTAAATTGCACCATTCCCCTCCCCCCCAAAGTGTGCATTATGTGTGTGTTATTTTACCACCTGAGGCAGAAAAATCCCATGAGTCTCTCTCTCTGGGAGATAAATTCCAATAATAATAAAACAAGAGACCAACTGCTGCCCTTTTGTAACAAGGGACTGAGGCATCAGCCTCACTCTACCTAAAGTTAGGGCAGACCCTAGAGGAGGGGCCGAAATATAGGTGTGGCTGCCTTGTTCCATTTGGCTAGTGAATCATCAGTTTTATGATCACACAGTGGCCTTATTCAGCCATGTCTCCCACCCAAGGGCCACATCCCATATTGCACAGGAAGACTTCCCCAGAATAGAAGAGAGCTTGGCTCAGGCACTTGGTAGGCAGCAACCGTCTTCCCATCCTAAAGTAAGGTGTCAGACATTCAGCTGGGCGACATATCACACCCAGTCTGTTTTTAAAGCATGTTATTCATTTAGTTTTCTTTTAAGATGTGTGGCAATCAGCATTTCACAGGAAAGGGCTGTACCTCAGTAGTAGACTGCATGACTTGTGTGCAGAGGGTCCTAGATTTCATCCCTGGAATCTCCAGACAGGGCAAGGAAACATTCTTTCCTGAAACCCTGAGCAGCCACAGTTGGTAGGGTGGGGGTGATTCTGTTAGCATTCAAAGCTGGATTTATCAAAGCAATATGAGAACCAAAACATAGGCATCCTTCAAAATTCACACTTACCCAGATTTTGCAGTGCAGTTCTCCAACAAACAATCTGTGAGCTATGAAAACAGATGTCCTTCAGCCCTCCTCAGGTGATTCACCCAAACCTTGGGAAATTTACTATTAGAGTTACAAAAGCACACAAGCAGGAAACACAAGCCTGAGAAGGGTACTGACATTTAGGCCATTGCATCCCTTTGCCCCCTCAGGATGGAGGTGAATTACAGTTATTAAATCTTTTACTCTACACCAAGACTGATGACAAGGTCAAGTTAAAAACTTCTGAGCTTGTAAATAAAGCCGCTGCTGTTAAAACAGTGTAAGTAACTTGGCACCGGTGAAAACTGTCTTTTGGTAAATGCTCTTACTCTGCCCTAAAAGTGAGGAAGTTTTGTGACTGCTGCAGGCCGGGTGTGAAGGGAGGGTTTTCAGGCTACCACTGTGAGACAGCAGGTGCTCTCCAGTTGCAGCACCACAGCTGGACAGCAAAGGGGCTTCCCGGTCATTGTTGAGGGATACAGGGGGCAGTACGGTATGAAATCCGGGCAGGCTTCTCTGGCTGACAACAGACAAAATCAGAGAAGTAATCAATGGTCCCTGGGGACTGCTTCACTCTGAACTGGAGACACAGCTTTGCTGAACCTTGCTGGAGACTGCAGGCTTATTATCTAGGTTGGTAAAGACACATGGACAAGAGAGAGCAGATCCAGAGGTGTAGACCCCTGTAAGAGAAGGGCAGGCCCTAGTGGTGGAACATCTGCTTTGTATGCCGAAATCCCAGGTTCAATCCCCGGCAGCTCTCAGGGTAGGGAAACCCTGGAGAGCTGCTTACTAGTCAGTTTGGACAATACTGAGTTAGATGGATTCTTTGTCTGCCTTGGTATAAGGCAGCTCCCTGTTTCCCTGAGGCTTGAAGAGACTAGATTTACCTCCCTGTCTGCAAAACAAGTGGCATAAGCACTTTCCCACATGGCACCTATGTTTTGGCACACCTGATAATCAGATGTGCTGGGTTGTTGGTGATGCACAGGAGGCTTATAAAAGCAGCCAATTAAAATAAATGAAACCTGGCAAATGTTTAAGTGCTGTTCCCCATCTTCACAACCATGTAGGAGTTCACATTTAATAAGTTATCAGCAGTGCTTTCCAAAGATGCTTCTTCATTTGTTATATTCTTTACACAGGGAATATTGGTGTAGAAAGCATATATACACTACCATAATGTATATATGCAAACTTGGGATATTTACCTCGAAAAGCTAAAATGTGTATAAAACTTCTTGCTGGAAAAAAAAACTCTCAAAGCATTGTTTGGTAAACAATGTTGAGGTGGTTGGGGTTTTTTTTGCAATCAAGCAGTATATAAATTTTATGAAATGATATTAAATAAATAAGATTCAGTGGACTTTGGGGGAAATCAGGTCTCTGCTTGGGTGCATTTTTTAGAGGAAAGTGGCTTAAGCTATAAATGGCACTCACAAATGATGTGGTATATGAGATTTAGGGCTGCAGGAGTCACCAACCTTGTGGGGCCTGTGGACACAACTGCAAACTAGAGAAACTGTGGACAGCACAACACAACAACAACCAACCACACACCACAGCCTATTCTGCTGATTACAATGGAATGCTTCTCTCAAAACTAATTTCAGGAAAGGGAGTGTAGGCTCTGGGCACCAGGAAATCCTTGCCAGGCACATCCCGGAAGTGGTGTATCATAGTGGCTCAGAGACAGATATGAACCAGGCAATCCCCAGTTCACTTCTCATGTCTGCCATGAACTCCATAGGTTGCATTGGACAAGCCACAGTCTGTTGCTCAGCCTTCCTCCCCTGCCACGTTCCCATCTGCAAAATGGAAAGATACCACTGGCATACCTGACAGCAGCCTTTGCCCAACTGGTGCCCTCCAGATGCTTTGGTGTGACTCCCATTGGCCCTAGCCAGCACAGACGTTTTGGAGAAAAGGCAGCCTTACAGAGTTGTTGCAAAGACTGCAGCTAGGTAATGTACATAATGTACATAAAATCTACATGTACATAATGTACAAAATGTACATAATATCTATATTAAGGTCCCCCATGCCTACAAAAGATTCCACTCCAACTTCTTTTTTGCCCAGTATGCTTGGGACTGCCTCCCCTCGCTCTAAACCTACCTTTTCTTTGAATCCTTTGACTCAGCCCTCTAGTTCCTCATGCTCTGTGCCAACTGCTGCTGCCTTGAGAAGGACTGCCCTTGATGAGAGGTGGAGACTGCAGCTAGTGTAAAATGCAACTGCTAGGCGGGTCAGTGGGGCAGCCAAATAGGATCATGTGTCCCTTGTCCTGAGAGCACTGCACTCCCTCCCTCAGTACCTGCCCCAAGGCAGCTGCCTCACTCTACCTCATGGTATCTGTTGCATTTGGTGATAGAACAAGATGTTTCTCAGCATCATTCCAGAGTACATGTATTGCTGATGCAGAATTATAATTTATAGAACTGTGAGAGAGTAAGGGAAAGGGTATCTTTACCCAGATGTCTTAAAGGCTAGCAGAGAAGATGGGCATCTCTTGCACAGGAATTACTGCTCAACCGACTAGGCTCATCAGATGTTTAAATGTGGTATGTAAGGAGGTTAAAAGACACACGCACACCCTTCTATGTAGCATTAAAGGGAGCAAAGGTCTTCTTTTCTTTTTCCCTGCCTTTTCCAGCTGTTGTGAAGCTCTTATCTGAACTGCAGCCAAGGAGAACAAAACAAAGCACAAACTCCAGCACAGCCTTACTGAGAAGTAACATTTTTGGCTGCTGATGGGCTGAGATTCAAGTATCTCTCTGTGCTAGTGTTTATTTCTTCCAATGTGTTCTTGTTGCCACTGAGCAGGCTGAGTTTGTGAAAACAGCAGGCAGCAGCAGCAGCACACCCTGGGTGAGAGGCAACAAAAGAAAAGAAAGAAAAGCTGATCAGGCAAGGAAGGAAGATTTGTCCAAGTTTTAGAACTAGGCTTTTCCACCTCCTTCCTCCCCTTCACTCCCACTCATTCTCTAGCTCAAGCATGGGGTACATCACTCCAGCAGCCCCCTCCAAAAAAAACTCTACACCCATGGCCCCACCCACAAGAGGGAGAAAGTACCTGCACACACACTCTTTTCCCAAGGACTGACAGTTAGATCCAATGGAATTAACTGGAACATAGAAGAGCCAGTCAGTTTAGAGTAGACAGTACTGAGCTAGCTGGACCAGTGGCCTGACATAGCATCCTGTGAATGTGCAGACACTTTGCATTTTCCCCAAGGACTAACTTACAGCATGGTGACTGCTCAGAAAAGACAAATGTTCTGGGGACATGATACCTAACTATTCAAAAGCATGCAGAGAACATACTCTGAATGTGGAAAATATGCATGTTGAGTTCTCAAGTAAGAAAATAAAACGAGGAGGCAGGCATAGGGGCTTGAACTAGAGCCCTGGCTTAGCCCCAGTGCCTTTTACAAGGCAAGAAAAGTATATTGCCGGAGTAAACTGGGGGGACAAATAGCTTCATGATCAGGTGATGGCCATAGCCAATGGAAAAATGCTGATGCTTTATGTAACACCACCACCTAGTGGCTGTTTCTGGAATTTGCAGTCTTTCAAAGTCACAGTTTCTAAGTTGCAATATCAAGAGGCCTCCAAAGGCAGCTTGAGGAGGAGGCTTGTCTAGTTCCACTCATGTTTGAGACACAAACAGAACCATGGGAACAGAACCGCAGGAACTGGGAAAGTCTAGGTGCAATGAAACATAGGGGTTTGCCATGATGCCATCACTGGTTCCTCCGGGGGAAGCCAGGTACAGAGTGGTTTTCAGGAGAAAGTTGCCACAGTCTGAATCAGGAGCATAATCCAGATTGGGGCCTGAGGCTGCTTTTTCTCCAGAGTAAATACAGCCAGGTTAAGTGTGTTTATTAAAGTGTGTGACTAACTAATAACAACAACAACAATAATAGTTTTATTACTTATACCCTGCCAATCTAGCTGGATTGTCCCATACACTCTGGACGGCACTTGGTCTCTGACCTAAGTTCCCCACCTGTAAAATAGAATCAGTAAAAGACCTTGCAGGATTGTTCGGATGATGAACATTTTGAAAATGAAATCAGATTTATTCTCCACCTGTGATATAAAGGGCCACAAACACATTTTGTGCTGCTAGCACAATCAAGTGTCAAGGCATTTTTCTGAAGTCTACCAGGGAGTGGGAGCTGATTGCATATGTGCTCCCTCCCAGAAGCAGACACCATCCCTGCAAATAAAACACATAGCATGTCAGGGTGATGGTTAGATAAATCTTTTTTGCTTTTACATGCAGAGGCATACTGCTTCCACCATCACCTTTAACTAAGCCTACCTGCAGAGCAAAGCAAAAAAGAAACTTCTCCTAGCAGGTTCCTAGCAATAACATTTTTGATTTAATTGTTCATGACTTGCAGTGTCAGGAAAAACTTCGGCAACTGATTTTCTTGAAATGGCTCTTGATGAGGATTTATCATCAGAGGCATGGATCTGGTTTTAGAAAATAATCAATGTAGTGCTTTTGAGTATTCACAGCACTTCAAATACATTCTCCATTTTTTAGTATGTTCATTCTTGCAACCTTTTAAGGTAGGCCAGTATTATTATCCTCACTTTCCCATCTAAAGTGTGGAGGGGGGGGGACTGTGACTATATGAGTGCAAAGGGCTTAGTGTTTATGCATTACTCACGGCAGCTAACTAAAATCAAGAATGAAATACACTTAAAACAAAGAGCCTCCCATAACAGTTAGAATGTGAAGAACAATCCCAATCAAGAAGAGGCAGAGCTCAGATGTTAAGAGAAATGGGGGCCATCCATTGAAGAAACCTTCCCTTAACACCCACCAGGCTTTCCCTCCCCCCCTTTCTTGGTGGGTGTAGCCTTTAAGCACTAGTTGAGGTTCTCCTCATGCCTCAGTGGGAGGGCATAAATCCCCACACAAACACTGTTGCAGTTGAGCACACACTCTGTTTCTGTGGCGAGACATAATTCTTTTGAAATTGGATCACATCAGGGCTGCAGTGTCCCAATTTCTCCGTGCTAGCGTCCCCGGTTTGGTTTTCCTGTCTGCTTTCCTGACCGGCTGAAGTTGGCAAAGTTGCATCTGTTCGTTCCCTTTCCACCTCTCTCCCCCACCTCCCAATTCCTTTTCATAAGACTGGTGTGTGTGTGTTGTTTTTTCTTTCACTCTCATTCCCTCGCCTTGTAGGCCTGACTGCTTCCTTGTTCTGATGACCTAGAAAGCTAATTCTTCTCAAACTATTGACTGCAGCATAAGAACATACTGAAATAATTTTCCTCGGGAAAGCATTTTTTCCGGGCGCCGAAAGAGAACGAAAAAAACTTGCTTGAGCATACAAGCTTAAATGGCTCTCTTTGGCTGCATTACTACTGTGGCCACTTAAGAGCTATATGGGCAAGGATTTCCTGAGATGCCTTTGCAACCCTAGCTAGGACAGTGGATGTGGGCAAGGCCTTTGATATGCAGATAAGCCGCAAATGTTTCCACTAACAGGAGGAGAGTAACATCAGGAATGTCTGGTGCTAATTTTTCAGATTTGAAAATAAGATAAGTGTATTCCATACACTCACCTACTGGAATGAGGGCTGCTTTGTCAATGCCATCTGGGTCTTTTTCCTCGCATGTGTGTTTCATTTGCAGAATTAGTCTCCCATTGGCTGAGGGAAACTGTTTCACAATGGCCAAATCTCTGGAGACTTACTTTCTTTTGAAGAGATGGTGTTGATCCTGTCTATCGCTGCATCAAGACAGTGCTTAAACAGAAGTACATGCGGAGGCGGGGGTAGACCCAAACTCAGCATCTTTGTGTAGAGTGAACAAAGGCTCTTTTACATCACTCATGAGTTTTAGGGGAACACCATGGCATTTAAAAGTATGTAAGTTTAGCACAGTTTCAACAACAGAAAAGCAGGAGAGGCCTGCCTGAGCACTGTTCTTTGTTTTGTGCCTCTTGCAAGCTAGGTTTCTTTACGAATGTAGTTTTCTTAAGGGGCTAGCCTTTACCTCCATCTGCGACCCTCTTGTACAGTAGATTTTGCATATGCATATGCAGAAACATAATCACTTGTTCTTATTTTAGAGTTGTCTGGATTATGCTGTTTAATTGTCACAATGCAGAAATGCAGCTAATTATTCCAAAGGACCTCAAATCTAAATACATATTTGGAAATATGTTGTTGTTCTTGTGCAATGTCCTTTGATGGCATTAATGTGTCTACTCAAGACTTTCAGGCAACAAAGGTTGTTACCTACCCAGATACTATGTTCTGAAAGCAACAGAAGGAAGTTTAACCAATAATGGTGCTGGGAGCCATTGGTAGTTGGAGCTGAAGAGATGGCATGCATCTACATTTCCCTTGGCTTCCAAAATGTTACTTGCCAGTCCTTTCTTTCCCAATTCATACTGATGTGTCCCTCTTCTCTTTGCAGATATGCCACCACTGCTGCCGATGGACCTCAAAGGAGAACCCGGACCTCCTGGAAAGCCTGGCCTAAGAGGACCTCCTGGCCCACCTGGCTACCCTGGGAAACCTGGCATTGGCAAACCAGGGCTCCACGGCCAACCAGGCCCCGCAGGCCCACCTGGCTTTTCTGGCATTGGCAAACCAGGCATCCCAGGGCTCCCTGGCAAGGCAGGTATGAAAGGGATGCCTGGAATTAATGGTGAGCCGGGCATGAGAGGAGACCAAGGGCCACGAGGCTTGCCAGGCCCTCCAGGAGTGCCTGGACCAGCTGGCATTTCTGTGAACGGAAAGCCAGGCGCAACAGGAAGCCCAGGCCTGCCAGGATTCCGGGGGGAGCCTGGGGCCAAAGGAGAGCCTGGTCCCCGTGGCGAGCGTGGCATGAAGGGTGAAAATGGGGTTGGGAAGCCAGGGTTGATAGGGCCGCGGGGAAACGGAGGCCCCCCAGGCCCTGCAGGCCCTCCGGGGCCACAGGGAATTGGGAAACCTGGGCTTGATGGGTTGCCTGGTGCTCCAGGTGGCAAAGGTAACCCAGGGCTTCCAGGAGAGCCAGGGCTCAGTGGGCAGCCTGGCCCTATGGGCCCACGTGGCCCACCAGGTGTGGATGGAATTGGTGTGCCAGGGGCAGCTGGTGTGCCTGGACTGCAAGGGCATGTGGGCCCCAAGGGAGAACCTGGTCACCGTGGCCTTCCTGGCATGCCTGGGCCTACAGGGTACGGGAAGCCTGGGCTGCCTGGCTTAAAGGGAGATCGTGGGCAACCAGGTGTGCCAGGAATCAGCGGAGAAAAAGGGGAGCCCGGAATGGATGGAGAGCCAGGCGAAATGGGTCCCCCTGGTATCACTGGGGCCCCTGGGATTCCTGGCTCTATGGGTATGCCAGGTAAACATGGCATTCCAGGCCCTAAAGGTGAAGCTGGACCAAGTGGGCCTGCAGGGCTACCAGGTATGCGTGGGGACCAAGGGCCTAGCGGTTTTGTGGGGAAGCCAGGGATTCCTGGGGAGCGAGGATTGCCTGGACCACAAGGGATGCCTGGCCCAATGGGCCCCAAGGGGGAAGGTGGATTTGCTGGTCTCCCTGGGGTTCCAGGGATTACAGGGCCCATGGGCCCAAAGGGGGACTCTGGTATTCCAGGGCAACCAGGCCTCAGGGGCTCATCAGGGATACCAGGTCTGCAAGGCCCTTCTGGTCCAATGGGGCCCCAAGGTTTACCAGGACTGAAAGGAGAGCCTGGCCTCCCAGGCCAACCAGGAAATGGCAAAGTAGGGGAGCCGGGTATTGTAGGTCCCAGTGGGCCACCAGGGGTTCCAGGAAATCCTGGATTAAATGGGCTGCCAGGACCACCAGGGCCACCTGGACCCCCAGGAGCACCCGGGATGTTTGATGAGACAGGGATTGCTGGCCTCCACTTGCCAAATGGAGGTGTAGAGGGAGCAGTTCTGGGGAATGGCAAGCCTGGGAAGCCGCAGTTTGGCCGAGGGGAACTATCTGCCCAGATGGTACCTGCCTTCACTGCCATCTTAACATCACCATTCCCAGCCTCAGGAATGCCAGTAAAATTCGACAGGACTTTGTACAATGGTCACAACGGCTATAACCCAGTGACAGGAATCTTCACTTGTCCCATCTCTGGCATCTATTACTTTGCCTATCACGTGCACGTTAAAGGAACTAATGTCTGGGTGGCACTTTACAAAAACAACGTGCCTGCCACCTATACCTACGATGAATACAAAAAAGGCTACTTGGACCAAGCTTCTGGTAGTGCAGTGCTTGAACTCAAAGAGAACGACCAGGTCTGGATCCAAATGCCATCGGATCAGGCCAACGGTCTGTACTCCACTGAATACATCCATTCATCTTTTTCTGGATTCCTTCTTTGCCCTACATAACAGCTGTTGGGCACACCTCCTTTAATCCACTGTAGCCATAAACTTGTCCGTTAAAAATAAAATAAAAAACAGTGTCACTGGGAAGATGGTGAAAACCAATGGTGTGTGGAACCATTTTGACCAAGCTGAGAAGATAATTTGAGAGAGAAAACTTTGCTGTTGTTTTCAGTACCATCTTTGTATTCAGAATTTAGTTTACCCTAGTGACTGCACATCGACCACAGATGCTAACTTGAGGATTAGCTGCCCGTCAGTTCTCTTAGGATGCACAGAAGGCATGCGATGGACAGCAGCACTCGGGGATCTGCAGGTTGTGTGACGTATCAACTTAAGACACCACCTTCCAAATTTAGCATTTGTTCACTTTTAATCTTTCTGCTCTAAAAGTGTGATTCAAGTCAGTCAAATTGTGACAAAGTGATGAATTAATTGTGGAATGCTTTGCATGAGCACCTTTTACACAATGCTTAACACATCTTTAAATCATGCCATCAGAGGTATATGGGGAAAGGGATGGCAAGTGAAACATATTCCAAAGCCAGAGACTTTTGTGATCCTCTACAAAAACAGGACTCCCTAAAGTGCACATGCTTGATAGTCCCTAAGCAAATCAAGTAGCTAAATATCCTTCATGAGTCAGCAGCCTAAAGAGATAGTTCTATGAACGCTGTTGTCTGACAAAACCAGTGTAAAGGCACTGCAGATATAGGTTCAGTTGCTACTAGCTTGACTTGTGTTATCTTCAAAGTGCCAGTTAAGAGACCATTTTTTTCAGGATGTGTAAATTTATTTGTTGTTCAGGGTGGTGGAAGTACCCAACCACCATAAAAATGTTGATTTTTTTAAAAAAGTAGATTTCATGGTAACTTTCCATTCAATCATTTCCACAACGGTGCTATTAGCTACTTAATGTTATTCAGTATAGTGCAATATCTATTAAAAAGGTGCAAAGTGTTGTGTGCAAAGATTTATGTGATTTTGGAAAAGAATAATTTGTCTTTTCTTACCACTTTCTCTCAATAATGCTTGAAATGTCACCTGCCTTACAAGGTTATTCACAGATTTTGGGATAACTGATCATGTGTACAGTGCTTTCAGAAGTGGTAACGCATACCCTTAAATTGCTGAAGAGCGAGCTCTCTCATCTTGGAGAAATAATATTCTGTTTTGGTGATACCACATAAAAATAAGCAAGAGCCTCTTACTGTTTAGGCCTGTTATGAAGAAAATAGATGGAATTAATCCAGTTCATAGTTCAAAGAGCTTCTTTTCAAGTGTCCAGGATACCAACAATACGGCGAGAGTGGCTTAGTTCATTTTCCCAGGTTTAATGTAGATAAAGGTATTTAAACATTAAAATGCAGTGAACTTTAAATTTGTGAACAAGTATTCTAGGGCGACGGTTGAGAGAGAAAAAAATCATCACATTTTGGTTTGTAAAAATAACTAACACTGATAGATGGCTGCTGGAGAATTGAAATTTAGGTCACCTGCTATTTCAGCTGCGCTGCCAACTGCCTCTTCTTTCCTTCATTTAACTTAAACTTGTATGATTTAGACACAAGCAAAAGAATAGGCCCAAGATTTCTGATTCCATCTGATGTTTTCTAAATTCCTGGAGAGGACAAGAATGCCAAAGGCACACTCTGCTTGCAATAACATCTTTGGTTTCACATTGGGTCACCACAGGCTAAAACTGAAGAAGCCAAGTGCACACATTTTCTACGTGCCTAATATTGGAAGAAGACTTCCAAGAGACTGGTGCTCTAAATTTAAGTCTATTTTCCTGTGAAGTAGAGTATTAAGCTTCCATTTTTAACACCATAAGATCTAAGAAAATGTGTTACTATTTAAAAGTCAAATTGGCAGAGACTGAAAGTGTGGTGGATAAGTACTCTAACAGCAGCAGAGAATCACATAAACCCCAGAATTGCTCCTGGGTGTGTTGGTACACAATTTATTTATACTGTGTTCTAACACAGAGATAACCTCTTTTTTCAGCTCCTTTGGAGATTCAACATTTGTGATCTGGCTGGTAAGACAGAAAACACAATGACAAAAAGCACATTTATCTCCAAACTAAATTGTTCTGTTTCATGGGTGCTGTTCTGCAGCCTCACTCTTCTCTTCTCTCATACAGGGCATAACCCTTCTGCATTTATACAACTTTTTAAACTTCTTAATATAGAGGCTGTTATTACACATAGGAAATGAAGTGTGGGATGAAGAGGCTGATTCACAAGTCATGAGTTAGCTTTTTTTTTTTTTTTAATGCGATGCCAGATATTGTCTGTGACAAAGTTTGGGGTTTTTTTTTGTTGGAGAGCATGTGGGAATTAGGTTTCAGTCAGCAGAAAGATCAGGTTTGGAAACTACTTTGAACTGTGCATTACAATATGCATTTTTATATACAAATTCTCTCTCTTTTAAAGAAAAGAAGTTTGCCTCTAGTATCTTCATTGCTAACCTAGTATATAGCGAATTTTTAGTTTTGTAAATACTTATGTTACATGCACTGTTTCATAGTAAATTTGGTTTTAAAATGCACTCTTGTTTTGTGATCAAAAACTGGTCTTCACTTTTGAACTGAAACTACAGTACTTGATTGTATTGACCCAACATCAATAAATCTTATTTTACAAAAAGATTTGCATTTCACATTACTGCCTGCAAAAATCATGCCAATGTAAATGTTGTTTGTTTGTAAGTCACTTTGGGTTGCCTTGGGCAATCTAAAGCGACTAGCAAATTCAATAAATAATAATAGTAATTATTATATTTTCACTCCTTGTCTTTAGAGCAAGCCTGTTCTTTGATCACCACTGTGAGCAAACAGAAGGTTTTCAAGCTGACCAGGACAGCTAAGGACTGACCCAGAGGCCACTGTATGCACAGGGAGGCCTCACGAGAAAGGTGGCAGTGCCACAAACACTGACACCAACAGTGCTTTTGGTTAGACTTTAAATTCTAGCAAACTCTAATCTGAATATTTGTTTCTTAAAAACAAATAGAATTCAAACCAGGTAGGAGGATACCCTGAGCCATTTTCCTTGGGGGCATTGTACTACATCTAACACCACCACAAAGTTCAGTGGAGGTAGACCTAAACTACACAGTCAATTCCTGGTTTTCATTTGGGTCATGTGATATGGATTTTGCACGTTTGCACAAACGATAGTCCCTGATGTGGACATCTGGTGGCACTGGAGTCCAGACAGGCATGCTGGGTGGCCAGAAATGTGGCACCTGCTCCCCTTCAAACTTAGGAGGATGCGTCATCCATTTGGCCTTTTGGTTTCTGTTGAGGGCAGCAGTGTATTTTACTTGATTTTAAATTTACTACTGGTAACACACATTCCTGGTTATCAAAGACATATGTAAAATCTCCAGATTTCAAGTACTCCAAGATTACTCAGTTACAAGACAAGAGAGTCCAGTCTTTCGTCCTCTGGCTTTTGCAACCACACAGGAAATCCAAAAGCAATTTCTGTAGCTACCGTCCGATGAATTTGCACCATAACAATGGATGGAAAGCAATTTATACAAATCCTTACCTTGCTCCCAGCAGAGCTCAGTACCAAGGGTTCCCAACACTTGGGCATAGTGAACTGAGAGAGATTCGACTCCAACTGAGATTTAATACTAAAAGCCTAAAATTCAGAGACTGTAAGAGGAGCAAGATATTATGTATGCAGCAGAAAGCAACTGGCACTTTTGAGCAATTGGTTACAAGAGGAACCTTTATCTGCCACACAAAATATCCTAGGCATGTTTCCCATGAGGGAAAAGAAGCCCCACATTGCAAACGAGTTCTTCTTTGGAAGATGAAACAGAAACACAGCTCTGATGACCAGGTACAGGGTTCCTTTTTCCATGGCTCAAATCCGCTGGCAGTAGAGTTCATACAAGCTGTCAGCCAACTTTTCTGTCTCCTCAAAAGATTCACAGCTATACTTCCAGCTTTGGGGCACCTGCTCTTCCCCATAATACGCCCCAGCAATTGCCCCAGCCATTGTAGCAATGGTGTCTGTATCCCCACCCAATGAGATGCAGTAGACAATGGTCCGTTGCAGACTGTTGAAGTCCTCAGGGATATCTGGGTGAGACTCCATGCAGCGCAGAAAGGAATAGATAGCAGTGGGGACAGAGCGCAGGGCTGCAATGTCATTGCCTGACAAAAGAATTAATTCCCTTTAGCAAGCAACAGCACATGCACCTAGCCTTCCACCATAAACTCTCATTATATTCAGTACAAAGTGATTACTATAGAAACGTGTATGTGTGTGTACCCATACCGTTATATACATGACCATTATGCCTCACATAAATCCACAAGCATGTTATGCTGGCTATAAACACATCCTAGTGTGCACCTGCAAGATCAGATACTTGGAATTGTGGCTACTCTGAATGCTGAAGTTCCATTTCTGCCTATCAGCAAGTAGTTCCCAAAAGACCTAACCATTAAAAACTCATGTGTATGTATGTGTTTAAGCTATTTATACCACAACTTTCATAACATCCTATGAAAATTTCCAACAGCCAAGTAAGCACTGTGTGAAGATAATTTGTCTTAAACCTCCCACAACTCATCCACTCTCTCACTCAAAACTGAGCAATTATTTTACTATTCTATCTACTTCCTCCCCAATGCTGATGATTTAAATAAACCACATGCTTGAATTTTACAATTCTACAGATTAATGTTTTACTGTTTTCTGGTCACAAAACGGGAGTCCATGCCTTGTGCTCAATATTGTACATACCTAATTCTGACACCACATCTGATTTTGACACGTTGCTCTGCTCCAAAAATTCTTTGATCTTCTTTAGACGCTTTGAATATGGCAACTCCTCATAGCCCAGCCTGGATATGAGAGACTGGGTTGAGGCATGTGCTTCAAGGGGGGGTATGCTGCCCCCTTGTGTTACATCCAAGTATAAATGTAAGCCTGCCCTCAGATGGCTATTACTTACATTCGTGCATCCGCAACAGACTTGTCATCTGCTTCCACTTCCTCCATGTGGCCTATCAGCTGCTCCACGAACTTCTCCCGATTCAGCTCTACACTCTGTAGAGCGTAGTGAACTGCCAAAGCCTGCAGTATGGCTCCATTATAGCCCAAGGAATTGGAGTGGGTCAATTCAGCACTCAATTTGGCAAACTGCAAAAGCAGAAGACACTGTTGTAAAAATTAAGCCTGAAGAAGGGTGCATGTCTTAAACCAACAGGGTGCGTGTCTTACCTGCCTAGCATCTTCTCTGACAGATGCTGGCAACAAATGTTGTAGGAAGCAGCGACAAAGCAGTCTAAGGACTTCCTTGCCTTTCTGACTTACCCACAGTATCAACATATGGAGTTGAACCTAAGAAGGTAAGGCAACCCTGCTAGACCAGGCCACTATCTGAAGCTGAATGTGAGAAAATTCAGAACAGATTAGACAAACTCATGGAGGATATAGCTGTCAGTGGCTTCTAGCTATGAAGCAATATGCCTCTGAATACCAGTTGCTGGGGAACAAGTTAGAAATGTTCTGCTCAGGTCCTGCTTATGGGCTTTCGTTAAGGACCACTATGAGGACAGGAAGGATGTTGGACTAAATGGCCCTTTAGCCAGATGCAGCATGGCTCTTATGTTCTTAGCCTGTCTCCACAGTGGCTGAACCAATGCTTTCAGAAAGCCCACCAGCAGTACATGAAAGCACTACCCCCACCCTTGTTGTTCCTCAGCACCTCCTATTCAGAGGAATTTTGTCTCTGAATCTGGTGGTAGTTATTAGTGGACTTACTTTCCTTGAATCTGTTTCATCATTTTTTACAAGCCATGTAAATAAGTGGCCATCACCATGGCTTCTGGCAACAAATTATAAAAATCCTGAATGAACTTTTCTAAACTTCTCTGATATCACAACACAAAAAGAATTCTCTTCAATCTGTTCTGATACTGCTCCTTAGTCCAATGCTGCTACCACCCTGCCTAAGACTTTTTGCATGTTGCAACATGACTCTTCTCAATGTCATGACCGCACAGTACACGTGAGGGGAACTGTTACACACACACACACCATTCACTGACAAGTCCCTGAGAGCTCCCACCAACACTACTATAACAGTAGGCACAACTGCAGCAACTTCCTAAGATATTGGCACCACAATGTGCAGGACCAAATCCTGTAACTCTTATCTGACATCCCATAAGCATGGCAACCAGCAAATGGCTGCATTGGAGAGATTATGGGGGATGATATTGTTGGATTGCTCCTTACAGAGTTTATGCAAATATTACAAAAACATTGGCCCTTGCAGATATGAGACTGTTGCATATTTCAGCTAATTAAACCAACATATTATTATTTATTTATCTGTCCCCTAATATGCAAATTACATGTACAAGTAAAAAGCTCCATCCAGTTTAATGAGGCAATACACACACACACACATACACCAAAAAAACCATGCACACCCAGAAACAGCAGTAACCATCATACATGTCAACGTGGCACTGGAAAGATGTTAATGCCAGCACTTGGTGGGTCTCACTGGAGACAGCATTCCATACACACAGATATGTCCATCCAGCCTAGGACACTGTTTGTGATGCACTTTTATTGTTATGTAGTCAGCATTATTTCAGCAGGCTACGTATAAGAAATCAACAAACCTTCTTTACGTCTTGAACGTTAGAGTATGCTAGTGAAATGCCTGCTACTCTCATGGCACCACCATTCCCATAGGAGCCTTTCCCATTAAACTGCTGTCTCGCTGGCTCAAACACATCTCTGCATTTTGGGCGAAGAAGTTTCTTGAATACAGTAATCACACTGGCGCCATAGGTCCGGTCAGGGTCTTTCTTGTATTCTTCAGCAAACCTGCAGGGAGACTATGTTAAAATGCAACTCCACTTACATTCTGTGAGCTATCACTGAACAGCTGCTAATATGAAAAAAGAATAGTGCCTAGTTGGTCCAGTTAGCAGGGTGAATTTGGAGGATATATTTATTTCATTTATAAATTGCTTCCCATGAAACATCCCAAAGCAATTTACCAATAAGAAAACCAATAAGAAAACACATATAAATACAATTTCTAGGCCAATGAAGATAAGACTACATAAGAACATAAGAATAGTAATCTATTCTCACAGTGGCCAACCAGATGTCTGTGGGAAACCAGCGAGCAAAATATGAACACAAGAGCACACTCCCCTCCTATGGTTTCCAGCAACTGGTATTTGGAGGTATTGCTGCCTCCTACTGGAAAGGCAGAGCACGGACATCATGGCTAATAGCCACTGATAGCCCTTGCCTCCACGAATTAATTGGTCTACTCCTCTTTCAGCAAACCTGACTACTGCACTGTTCTCTCCCAACTTTTAGATCATATATGAACAAGTTAAAAAGCACAGGTCCCAATGCCAATCATTGGGGGACTGGGATAAAAATTTCCACTTAAAAGGCTTGTTGGAAAAGGAAGGTCTTCTACAGGTGCCAATAGGTGAACAATAAGTACAGTGCCTGATTGCCCAGCAGTGGCAAAGTGGGTGAATTAACTGATCATGCTACTTAATCAAGTTAAAGTTTGCAACTCTATTTCACACAGGACATAGATTCTTCTCGAGCCCTCTTCAACAGTATCTTAGGGGCTGTCCCTGTGTGTTTAGGAAATACATGCAAAGAAGCACCCTAGACGTGGCCAAACATGTACATCTCTGTAGTGGAAACAATCAGATAAGAATAAAGGAAACTCTGGGAAGGTTTCTTGCCTAACACAAGAAAGGAGGACTGAGAAATTCCTCAAAACCTGGGAAGAGAAATGCTTACATAAACTCTCACCCCTTTTCCCACCACGCCACACAAAAAGCCTCCAGGACATTTCATTTTTGTTAAAAACTGGTATGGTTGGGTAAGCATGCAGGAAACTCTACACAAAGATGCCTTAAGTTGCACTCATATACTGAGAGCTAAGTCCCAATGAACAGGGTAGATTTTACTTCTGAGTAAATCTGCACAGGATCATTGCATTGTCTTTTTAAATTTTCAAAAAACAATGTGAACGTGCAAATTCCCACTCCCACGGAAGCAGTTGAGAAGTGTTTTAGGATACAGAAAGGAATGAATAATCATAAAAATAAAAAGGGACAGAGTCCATTTCAATAATTTCTTTGTCAAACCCATCAGTCCATCCAGCCCATTACTGTGAACTGTGACTGGGTGCACCTGTCCAGGATCTCAAGCTGAAAGAGATTTTCCACACCTACTCTTCAAGATCTCTTGTAACTACAGCACCCTCCTTACCGCTTTGCCATATCCACTTCATCAAAGTCCTGCTTGGCTAGTAGTGACCTCACTATCGAGTGAGTCATAGCTGTGTCATCACTGTAGAAGTGGATTCCTACAAGGTAGGAAGTGCAGAAATGTCAGCATACGATGGACAGACTGGAAAGCACGTGGATGTGTGCTGAGTGTGTTCTTTTCCCTTTCCCCTCAATAAAAATTTGGGAAGAGTAGTTAACTGATAAAGAGGTATCAGGCAATCCCAGGGGAAGAAGGTCACTCTGTACATGTTCAGAGAACTTCACCCATTCCTGAGTTCAGCATAATCTTAGCATTCAAAACACACACAAGTGGGGCTCAGATAAAACCTTCATTCGGTGGGGAAAAGAGATACCGGAGCTCACAACCAGACACTCCCTGTCTGCAGTTATAATACTGGCACTGTGCAATAACAACAACAATAATAAACAAACAAACATCTTATTATAACATGATATGGCAAAATTAGGTTATTTCCATGGCAATAGTCAACAGAAGAATTTCCAGAGCATAATGTTTTTTCATTACACCAAAGGCTCACCAATTTGTCATTGTAACTATTTTGCTTTAGGTAATTGTCAGCTGTTCATTTTGCATTTTATTTTCCTTTGCTCCAGATCTCTGCCACAATGTGCGCATAGGTCTTTTTAGCATCTCCACCCAGATTATGGAACAAATAAAAGTGTTCCATAATCTGGGTGGAGACGCTAAAAAGACCTAATTTTCATATTATGTATAATACACACATTATTATTATTATTAAATAATGATGCTTGAATTTGTATTCCACCCTTTCCCCCAAAGCAGCCTCTCATTGTTATTTGCTGCTTACTGAGGACCTTTTTATTTTATGAGGTAAACAATTGTTTTTATGGGCTAAATGTGGCTGCCTCTCTCTCTTTTTGTCATTGTTTTATGGAATCGTAATGCTGTAAGCCACGCTGAAGGAACTGTTTTTACTCTAAAAGGGTGGGATGTACAAGTTTTCATAAATACGTATGCTTGCCAATTTAGGATTAAATCTCATACACCTGCTGAAGCAGACTGTTGTCATTGAGAGCTTATGCTCTAATAAAGTACAGTCATACCTCGGGTTGAATATGCTTCAGGTTGAGCGTTTTGGGGTTGCGCTCTGCGGTGACCCGGAAGTAACGGAGCACATTACTTCTGGGTTTCGCTGTTCGTGCATGCGCAGACGCTCAAAATGACGTCATGCACATGCGCAGAAACAGTGAATTGCGACCCTATTGGGGGCTTTGAAGGCCTCTGGTTTAGGAGTTAACCTAAGCTTCTAAGTGTAAATTAGTGGTGTAATGGGAATTAATAGGAGCGTGCTAATAATTGCAGGGGTTGGGCTGATAGGTTTGGTAGGTTTAAATCGTCATTTTATTGGGCTATTAGATGTATTTGGGGAAATAGTTAAAGTTGAAATGTAGGTTAAACGTCTGTAAAATATTAATTGCTATATAAATTAAGGAGGTAAATAAATGGGTAAAACAAAACGTCACATAGAAGGATTGGAAATATTTTCATTGAAGTTTGAATTTGTTTTATTCTGAATCATTTTATTTGATGTTTTAATGTGTTATAAACTGCTTTGAGATTTTTTCTTTAAAATACAAAGTGGTATAGAAATGAAATTATTATTATTAATAATCATAATAATAAATCTCATGGGGGGAAATGGAACCTATACATTCTGTTGTGGCAACTGCAACCTATGCTTAAGGTGTCGTTTGGAGATTAGTGTACAGAGGTACCTCCGGTTGTGGACAGGATCCGTTCCGGAGCTCCAGTCGGATCCCGAGGTTTCCGCAACTGGAGGGATCACTTCTGCGCATGCGCACGGGGCGAAACCCAGAAAAATACTTCTGGGATTGCCGCGTTCGCATCCTGAAGGATACGCAACCGGAGGTGTGCGTATCCAGAGGTATCACTGTATATATCTGAGTTTCTAACACTGCTTCCACAGTGGCCGCTCTCCCCAATGCCATTTGTACATCCCAGTGACCAGGAGATGTGGCTTGTATCCTCCCATCCCTCTGGAGAAAATGGCAAGGGCTGCCTCTGGGGTCTCCTGGAGTCTGCACCCACCTGGCATGATTCAGAGTGGGGCTCTTCCCCGCCTTTGATTCCCACCTCAACCAGCAGGGAAGGCTGCTTTGATTCCCCACCCCCACCCCACGTTGTCCCTGATGTAGATCTTTACTCACCCAAATCTTCCCTATGTGGATCCGTATAACCCCCTTGTTCCTGGTGCAAATCTTCACACTCCCTTTCTTCCCTGGCTGGGGAGGATGTTTTGTGGTTCGCCTCAGGTGCCAACCTGTCTTGGGCCTGCCGTTCTGACAAGGCATTAAAAATAACCAAAATAAAATAACCAAAATAAAAGCACCCGAGTGTTGTTCATCACCCTTCGAATTCCATGCCCCGAATCTGTACAGTGACCATACACAGAGCCAGAAAGCCATTTCTTTAAAAGTTTCCATCAGAAATAAATTCACTTTTCGTCCTCTGCACCCTCAGGCTTGGCTTTCCAAGGTCTCTCTCTCACACACACACTCTTGGGTGCTTCCCACCCAACCTGTTTGCTGATTTTGACGACGCAGAGAATCCTACTTAATGAGGATTCACTCCTATTTGTCTTGGGAGCAGGCCAGGCGTCGTTGGGTCAAATCATTCGTTTGCCTTCCCCTTACTGCAAAACAAAAAAACCCCGACCCTTTTGAGAAAGCGGTCTTGTTGAGCAAGACCTCAAAAAAGCCAGCTTCAACTGAGCAAGTTGAATTTGCGGCCTCTGGCCCCAAGCAATGGGAGCTTCGCAAGGCGGGCTGATAATCCCACAACACGAAGTCTTCCTCTCGTGACTGCCCACCGTTTACCGTGGAGAAAATGTCACAGCCCCGACGACACACCGAGGCGTGAGCCGCCCCGACCCCTCGGGAATAAATGTATGAGGGGGGCGGGGAAGGGTCGCTTGCCCCAAATAAATTGGGGGCTCTCCCTCCCTCCCCCCCACACCCCCCGAAAAGGAAGGGCCGCCTCCCTCACCCCTGAGGGTCACCATCTGCTGAGGTAAAAGCGGCCCAGCTGACTCCGGAGGCGGCCCAGCCCGCCTCCGCCCCTCCTCCTTTTACCTTTCTCGGGCGGCTGAAGCGAGCGCACGAAGCGCAGCAGCTCCGTCAAGTTGACCGTCTCGAAAGCTTCGAAGCCGCCGCCCAAGCAGTCGCCCAGCAGCGCTCCGAGCAGGCAGCCTCGGAACCGGCTTCGGCTCAGCACAGAAGCCGCGGCAGCCCCACCGCTCCCCACCGCCGCCGCCGCCGCCATCTTGGCTCCTTTCGTTCGAGGCGGGAAGAGCGGCGCCCGGCGGCCACGTGCCGCCCCCGCGCGGCTGCAATGGACCCGCTTAGCCGCCGACGGGAGGAGGTGGTTGCTTTCGCCGTCCCGTTGCCCTTGTGAAAAAACAGCATTTTGTGTCTTGTTGAGTTTTTCCCTCCGCTGCCCTTTGTTCAGGCAGAGAACGGAGCGGTGTAGGGCATAGCAACAAAACGAAACAAAAGACGGAAGAGATCTGAACAATAGAATAGACCGCAGGCAAATGTAAAAACCCCATTTAAAAATGCTTGGGCAAGCCTAGGATTGTTACAGCACAGCATCAAGAAGAAGAAGAACTCCTCTTTCTTCTCTTACGCTAAATGAAATAAAAACAAATCTCTTTCTGGAGTAGCGAAATTCCACCGTGGAATAGCTTTGTATACTAAGAAAGGCGTGTCCTGGAGCTACAACCCTACAGGTGTTTTACCTGACCTTGGGGGGTGTGGGGTGTCAGCTACTTTAATAGGAAAAGGGTTTTTTTTTAAATCTATATTGGCATCTCACATCACTGATGCATTAGGTCACCAGCTCCCTCAGCAGTGCTACCTCTGGAGTTAACAACTTGGCCAGAGTCTTAAGCATGTCGTTGCCCAGACACGGGCTCCAAATGTAATTTCACTTCTTGGCTCCCTGCAAAGTCAGGTAGCGGATTTTAGGTGCCATTTATGAGAGCAACGTGGGAGAGAAAGACAATTAGATCTGACCTGTAGCAGGCACAATTCCGAGGAAGTTACTCCTATGCAAGCCTTACCAAAATATTGTACTTATTTCCCAGTAAATTGTGTTCTGTATGGGAGATTCTAGATGAGATGTTTATTGAGCATTCATCCAGATACATTCACACCGAAGTGATACAACCAGCTAGTGGTTATCTTACACTTCCCATTTGTCATTTTTCTGTCAATTTTCTTATCAGACTTCCTGTGATTAGAAAAGTGATGGGATATTTGCACATGTGCAGGATAAGAACCCTTTTTGTGTGTGTGCAAATTAATTAATCCCGCAAGAAGCAAGAGAGTGCACCATTTGGAGTCTTTTGCCTTTATAGAGGAGGCTAGTTTCTACATACACTCACACACGCCTTGCTGTCCTCAGTCCTAACAAGCAAGGTGCATTATTAGAGTTACAGCTATGCCAAAACATTTTACACATAATGTGTCAGTCAGGAGTGTGGTCATGGGAGAGTTTCAAGGGCCACACAGAGTTGCCTTGAGCACTGCATTTGATCCCTGGCTTGGATCGAACATACTTCGCCAAACCTTTATTAGGCGTTACAAGTATAGGCCATCATAAAACAACCATATATAAAAATTTAAAATATATACAAATAAACAGCCATGTAAAATATATGAGGAGGATTTTCATTGGGATTTCTTCCCGCTAAAACTCGGCCACCCTTGCAGTTACTTCCGGATTCATGTCAGAATCCGATACTTTCATTTTGCCATGATGTTACACCACCCAAAAAAGGGGATAGCACGTGTTTGCATAGCTGGTTAGTAGAAAAGGATATGCTCTACAGTGTCCGGCACATTCAAAGAACATCCACAATGTCTTAAACCACAGAGCCTAGGGCTTGCCGATCAGAAGGTTGGCGGTTTGAATCCCCGTGATGGGTGCGCTCCCGTTGCTCGGTCCCTGCTCCTGCCAACCTAGCAGTTCGAAAGCACGTCAAAGTGCAAGTAGATAAATAGGTACTGCTCTGGTGGGAAGGTAAACAGCCTTTCTGTGTGCTGCTCTGGTTTGCCAGAAGCGGCTTAATCATGCTGGCCACATGACCCAGAAGCTGTACACTGGCTCCCTCGGCCAATAAAGCGAGATGAGTGCCGCAACCCCAGAGTCATCCATGACTGGACCTAATGGTCAGGGGTCCCTTTACCTTTACCTACAGTGTCCGACATATTCAAAGAACATCCACAATGTCTTATCATTTCTGGGGATGTTTAAATATCTGCCCTTGTCAAAAGCTGAGGGGAAAACGTTCGGTCGGGCTAACGTAAAGGCTGGAATTATTAATTTTGAGATATAAGTGACTCTGTTATCTGTTGTATTTAAACCAGGCATAGGCAAACTCAGCCCTCCAGATGTTTTGAGACTACAATTCCCATCATCCCTGATCACTAGGTCCTGTTAGCTAAGGTTGGTGGGAGTTGTAGTCCCAAAACATCTGAGGGCCGAGTTTGCCTATGCCTGATTTAAAACATAGAACTTGGGTTCCCCACTAAATTTAAAGAGATGCAAAAATCAAAGCATGAAAGTATTTGACGTGTCAGAAATACTGTCGCTGGGGACAGATTTATTGGTTATCACACTTTCTTGGAATACCAAAGCTGTAAACAAGGGGAAGCTTTATACAACCTTTGAGAACAGAAATGGGTCAAAAGGGAGAAGAAAGTCATGTCACTCTTAACATGAGACAGATGTCATCTGCGCTTGGCATGGAAGCAAGTCACTGGGCGGGGGGCAGGGACTGTGTCACTCACTTCCCAAGCCAATTCCTTCTTCAGTATTACTCAAGGGATTATACATCTCATGCCATTATTCTAAGCCAGTTCCAGCTGTCGGCATTTGAGGGGTGAAAGAGTGCGATTGGTGGTTCGGTTGAAGGTGTCTACCTCAGGCACAAATTTTTCAGCAGGGATCGTCAGCTTCCGCCTGACATCCATGCACTTGTTATCCAGCGTCAGGGAGTTCAATTTGTAGACGATGTTTGCCTGGATACGGTCCAGGTGTTTGTAGAGAGCATCCAGAGCATCCCTGAGGAAAGAAGCCAAGGTAAGTTGAGCAGGGGGTTGCCTCCATTTGCCTTTAAATCAAAGCACGTCCTTATCCTTTGGTGTGGTTGGTGGTAACTGAATTTCAGCTATGGCACTGGGGGTGGGGTAACACTGATTTTCCATTGCAAGGGTCTCATTAATCATTTTTCTATCAGGTACAAGCAGGGCTGGATTTAGGTTTGATGAGGCCCTAAGCTACTGAAGGTAATGGGGCCCTTTATATGTCCAGCTGTTCTTTGTCAACAACAAATTGTCGCTGTTTTTTGTGCTGAATGTAGGCACCCTATATATAGAAATGAGCAAACCAGTGATATTTTAGGGAGCAGGCTAGCAGGCGAGGCCCTTTACTTACATCATAGGAGCCTACACAACACAAAACATTGTTGCTGTATGCAGGCTTTATTTTATTTGTTTTTATTTTATATTTTGGAAATTTACATCCAGGTGTTTTTTTTCCTTTAAATTTTTTGGGGGGCCCCAAGAGAGTGGGGCCCTAAGCTATAGCTTGTTTAGCTTATACATAAATCCGGCACTGGGTACAAGTTACGCTTACGATGGCAGATTATCTTGGAGGAACAAGGATCTCTCTCCCCATGGCAGGGCCTCCCTGTAAATCGTGTAAGGAACCATTTTCAGCCTGAGGGCCACATTCCCTTCTGAGCAACCTTCCAAGGGCCACATGCAAGAGTAGTGGATGGGATGAGAAGCAAATGTGAGGGAGCCACAAATGTAAATGTAAATTTTGTCTTTGTATTATGGTAGGCTAGTTACGACATACTCCATCTATCCAACCAAGCAAGCAAGAGGCATTATGAGAGTTCAGGAGTATGGTCCAGCCAGGCAAAAGCTCTTGGAGTGCAGTTTCCATCATCCCCAACCACTGGATATGCTGGTAGGAGCTGATGGGAGCTAGAGTTCCAGAACATCTGAAGGGCCACAGATTAGCCACCCCGATGCAAAAGAACAGACTGCGGAGAAAATGTTTCTGAGCTTATGTATTATAAAATACACACTAAGTCTTGAATCTATTATCGTGGACTTCCTACTGGGACCAGATATTAGCAAGTCATCCTAGGCACTGGAATCCAGGAGATGCCATCTTGCATCTATCACTTAAGGATCATGCACAGAGCCCATTATTTTGACCTAATCATTACCAGCCTTTGATATAATGCTGCAGTGCAAAAGGCACATTGGTGCTGCATCACAAAAGATTTGGGGATTATGCTCCTAGCCTGTATAAAGTCAGCTTCTCATGTTCTGTTTTCACTCATATATCTAGGTGATCCTAGTGAACAACCATGGCCTCCTGCAACCTGGGCAGCATATGCTGACCCAAGGCCACAACTTGCAACTGATGCTTACTTAAAAACAGCCTATTCCATTTTTCCATTGGATTTTGTTTTTAGGGAGGTACATACTGTAACTGTGCCAGCTTCTGATTCAGACAAGCAATGGTGCCTTCCAGCTGATGCACCTCATCTGTCAATCCATGCTGAGCCTGAAAGCCAAGGACAAGAGAGGGACGTCAGGCTTCAATACGTTGCAAATGGTAGCTTTGCCAAGAAAAGGTGATTACTCCTGGGTAAAACTGTCAGCTCCCCCATACTACTACTACCCATACCATACTACTGTTATGGTCTGGCTTCTACAAAGAAGCCCAGGAAGCTGCAAGGCTACCACTAGTAGTAGTAGTAGTAGTAGTAGTAGTAGTAGTAGTATTTCTATACCACCCTTCAGCTGAGGATAACAAGCAGTTTACAATACAAAAACACAAAAATACATTACACAGTAGCAAACAAAAGGAATAACACACACCCCACATGAATGGGCAGTGGGGTGGAGCAGTTAAAGCCTCCTGCAAGCAGCCTTTAAAATGTGCTTCATGCCTTCTCTCTGCCTTGCCTTGCCTTGCCTCTGGTGCACAAGGCCAGCTGTCACTCCTGTCTGCCCACAATTCTAAGCTTACAGAGCTAGAGGTTTGCTGTACCTGGTCACGGCAAAGCTCTGTGTTGGAGCGGTAAGTCCGGGTCTCCAGACGGGTATGAGCCAGTTTCAGATTCACCACCTTTGCCCGGATGTCATCCTCCAGGCGCCTGATGTCCTCTTCCATTTCAGCAATTTCTTCTAGGGTCTGAAAAAAGCAAAGACACCATGGGGAGAGCAGCTTAGAATTGGTTGCCACCTCTGTCTGTGAGGTGGGTCACACAAGAGGGGCACATGCAATGGCAGAGTCCCAGGTTCAGTCCCCAGCAGCATCTCCAGGTTGTGGGATAACTGCCCTGAGACCTCCAGGTATAGGGCGGTATAATAATTCAATCAACAAACAAACAAACAAACAAACAAACAAAATACTTAAGTCTAATTAATGCATGAAAGGGTTAATACAATAGAGTAAGATGTCCTGCTCAACTTAGCTATAGCTCATCTTTCTTGGGGAAAGGGCCACACTGACACATAGCCAGCTCTCTGGCGGCCACGTGGCAAAGTGGGTGTGACCCAAGTATGAATGTGAGTGTGGCAATAATTGCGGTTCTCAAGGCTGCCTTCCAAAAGGGGACCTGCAGAAGCAGTCAGAAACTAAACGAAATGGGTTGAGATGGAATGGAATGGAATACTATTTTTAAGAGAAAATGTGTCACAGACAAATTTGGGAGAGTTTTGGGCCCTAAAAAAAAAAAAGCATTTAGCAACAAAGTGTCACAGTGAGGGACTTACAGAAGCAGCTAGTAAAGAACCATCTAATATCCTGAAGGTCCCAGGCCTCAGAGAGGTTAGGCTGGCTTCAACTAGAGCCAGGGCTTTCTCGGCTGCGGCTCCAATCTGGTGGAACGCTCTGTCACAAGAGACTAGGGCCCTGCGGGACCTGACATCTTTCCGCAGGGCCTGCAAGACAGAGTTGTTCCACCAGGCCTTTGATCAGGGCCCAGCCTGACTCCCTCCTCTGGCAACCTGCACAGAACTTTGCTTAACGGTTGCCATTAAATTGATTTTAATTAATTTTTATAATGAAATGTTTTAGAATATTGGATTATTTGATTGTTTGATTATTTGTTTGTTGTTAGCCGCCCTGAGCCTGGCTTTGGCTGGGGAGGGCGGGATATAAATAAAATTTATTATTATATTATTATTATTATCTGAAGACAGCCCTGTATAAAGAAATTTTTTAATGTTTTAACATATTTTTATGAATGTTGGAAGCTGCCCAGAGTGGCTGGGGCAACCCTGTCAGATGGGCAGGGTATAAATAATAAAATGATGATGATGAAATAGGATGTCCCTATTTTGATCAGAGAAATGTTGAAGGGTCTGAAGTAGGTCATGAAAAAAGGCTCCCTACCCCTCCTTCAGGCACTGGGAAAAAAGAGAAATCCCCTCCAAGATGATAACACTCTGAATTGTGGAAGAACCTTAGCATAAACCCTTCAGATCCGAGGGAGACTCTGCACTCAGAACAGACATTCTATATGTGTCATTTTAAAAAATAATGTGCAGGGCAGGTCTCCAGGGCCAGCCAAAGACTTACATTCTTCTCTTGCCACCTCAGCTCATCAAGGGCTTGCTCCACTTCATGGAGCCTCTTCCGGAAGGCAAATTCTGTGGCCACACGTTGAGCTTCTAGTTCGTTCTCAGTCTAGAATAGGAAACACATATGGGTGTAGCCGGGGGGGGGGCAGGGAGGGGCAGCTGTCCCCCTAAATCAATAAAAGGCAATAAAAATACAAAACTAATTGAGGTTCTGCCCCCCTCCCAACGAAAGGCCTGGCCCCTACTAACAAAAATCCTGGCTACGCCCATGGAAACACATATAAAAAGTTAGGCCACTATCATATCATAGTTTAATAATTGCACATAAATTGAAAGAGCCATCACTTTGCAATGATGTATACTAGCTTGGCAGTTGGCCAAACAGATTTTACAGGATTTTGAAATGTATATGGGCACAACAGGTTCTGGAAAGGAAAAAAAGTTGAACAAGTGTATATGCCACAAACAACGATTCCTCTTTCAAACCACTTTTAATTCTCAAAAAACAAAATCCCAAGTTGCATCCAGCAAAGTTGTTCCATTAGCACAAGGACTACTACTTGCACAGTGGAACATTCCCTCCTGCTGCCCCCCATGAGCCCCCCACATCTGTTCCAGGGTTTCCCCAACCCTCTGGAGCAGATTTGGGGAAGGGGATGAGTGAGAGAGGAGAGGGAGGGGGTTGTTCCATCGCACAGGCGATTGCCTTTGAGCTAACAAGGCTGTTGGAATTATCAGCCTTTAATTAAACAGCCTTTCCCTCTTTCCTCCTTCTTCTGCTGCATCCAGTAAAGGTTTGTGATCCTGAGCAAAAAAGTTCCTTCATTTCAGCAGTATAATTTTAGGCTGCAGGGATCCATCTAGTTGCTGCCACTGATAAATCATTAGGCGCCAGAAAGCTTTGCCAGTCAATGCAAACCACTAAAAGATCTTCCAGTAGATCCAGATCAGACATTCAGTAAATTACTTTGAAAACAAGTCACCTTAATTATGGATCTACTCACAGCCTTTGCCAGCCTGAAGCCTTTGAAATGCTTTGGACTATACTGTAACTCCCATCAGGTGGGAGGTGTGGTACTTCTTAAGACCGATGGGAGTTGCAGTCCAAAATACCTACAAAGCACCAGCTTGGCAAAGGCTGCTCTATAACATACAGTAATGTATCTTCTCCATCAAGAGCCTTCCTAGGAGCCAACAGGAAGCCGTGTGGTTTACCTGGGCAATGGTGAGGGCCATGGCTTCTCGCAGATCTGAGGCTGCTTTCATTTCTGCCTCTGCTCGATCCTTGTTGTATTGAGTGATCTGATCCCATTCCTCTGGAGTGAGAGTTCTACAACAGACAGAAGGAAAAGATGGCCTGGTTGTTGGAATCAGTTTTTCACACACACTTTCTCCCTGTATTGCCTTGCATGTTTTTAAACTGTATGTCTGCAGCTTTGAAAGCCAATGGCCAAAGAGCATACTGTATAAATAAAGTTTAACTCACTCACCCACCCATGCAGTGCGCTTAATAAAAGCACACTAAGCTAGCAGTGTGCCAAATATTTCTTCTGCATTTTTTTCTGACCATTCTCCATCAATTAATGAGGAAAGAAATAACATTGGGGAAAATACCAAAGGGGGTAGAAAATTCAGTGAAACACATGGGGTTTTGATGTACTTCCCTTAATTCTGAGGTGGGCAAGTGGCTGTTTGAGTGACTGAGTGCCCTTCTCTTCATTCTACAAATTTTCTCTCCAGTAGTTTGCACTCTGCGGCACCCCCCCACCTCCCCGCACACACACACACACCTGCATATCTGTCCTTCCTGAAAGCCTCATGAAGTCTTTGGCTGGGCTTTCCTCTAAGAACAGAAGGTAGTGCTGCTGCCCCTCCTGGGCGCTGCTTGTTGTTTTTAAAAACGAGGCTTTACTTTTAAGGAAATCATTACAGAAAGATTAAAGGTAGAATGACGTACTTTTTAAGAAGACAAAAGGAAGCACTTTTTAAACAATATCGGTGAACACATTGATTGCAGGTGCTTGGTAACTACTTTCACCAGTTTCCTACACTTCAGTCAAAGCCGAGGGGAAGACATGATGTTAACTCTGCCCATAGGAGAAGGCCCAAGCAGCTCAGGGAGGCTGCAGAGGGCAGGAGAGATGTTAATGGGAAGAAAAACACATCCCACCACAACCCGCAGTTACCTCACAAAGATGAGACCTAATTCCAAACCTACCAAAAGTGCGAGGAAATTATAAAGCACCTTGTGAAAAAGGCAGAAAAACAAAAGCCTCTTTTGTGAGAGAGGGACAATTTCAAGAAGTTGTAGAGTCATTATGAGGGCTTAGCATAGGCCTCCAGTTGTCATGCCACACCCTGCTCTGGGCCTCCAACAGAAAGGTACAGCCAGGGCACTCGGGAAGGGGCACCTCAGTTGCCACATTCTGTCTAACAGGAGGGCTGGCCCTGAGATGAAGGTGGAGTTCAAGACCTTTTGATGGTTGTTGCGCAAGACACAATCTTACCCAATCGGCACTCGGGTAGGATTGACTTTATAGGAGATATTTGGAGAGTTGATATTGAGGGAAACACAGGTCCGGTCAATCTCCACGGCTTCTGTTTTCCCTCGATGGGCAAAGTTCAGCTGTTGGCGGGCTTCCTGCAACAAGCTATGAATGAAAAGGGGGGGGGGGAGGCAAAGGGCAGACATGAAGGGATGCAAGAGAATATTCAGGTGGAAGTCTCCAGATTTATTCCCCTTTCATTTTGTTTAGCAATCAGCAATTAAAACTCCCATAAATTGTTGGCAGTCAAAAAAGTCTCCCCTCTGTAGCAGAATATATTATTACATGATGGTGCCATTAATACTGAACGCAGCACACACCATATACAAGTGTAGCTGTATATTTTGCCTACAACACAAAGTCCTTGTATCACTGCTAGAACTTCTTTTAAGAAAAACAGAGGAATTTATAGTTGCAGAGCAATTACAACCCCCCCAAATCACTTTAAATCTAGGATTGTGTAAACAAGATAATCAGATGCTAAAAGGGAGCTGAATATGATGGGGAATGAGCCCCCAAGTAATGGGGGGGGGCTTTGATTATCCCATTTCTTTCTCTGCCAAATAAAATAAGTTATAAACAAGGCAATGGCCTTTCTCTTGGGTATGTAATACTAGATGGCGTTTCAGTTTGCTTTTTTTTTAATTGACCAAATAGTAGCAAAGATATAAAAGGTGTTCTACAAGGTACACTGAAAATCTGTTGCAATGTGGGAGCCTGAGTTGTCAAATGTCCAGCTAAATTCTAACATCAGCCAGTAAATTTATGATTTTGGGTACTAGAGATAATACTGTTTCATTGATTCTTAAAAAGTGTCCCCCTATTGTTTTAGGACCTGGCGTGCTCTGGTCCATGGGGTCACGAAGAGTCAGACACGACTAAACGACTAAACAACAACAACATTGTTTTAGTATTGCTTTTATAATATATAACCCTTCAAAAGGCAGGATATTAACTGACAGCACAATCCCAACCAAGCCAACTCAGAAGTAAATCTTAGTGAATTTAATGGGGCTTACTCTCAGTTAAGTGGAGTTAGGATTACAGCCAAAGTAAGTAAATAAATGAAGTATAGCATGCCTTACAAGTTTGGTGTAATTATTACTGAAAGAATGTATGTGATGCTCAAATGTGGTGGAAATTTGAAATGCACTGTTGTTACAAACATCTAAGTATTGTTATGCAGTGCTTTTTTTCTAGAAAAAATGGTGCCAGAAATGGCCCCTCACTGCCTCTTCCCACCACACCCCACACCTGCCTCCCTCGCTCCTGCAACCCCCACCCCAATGTGCACCCTACAAGCCCTTCCCTCACTCACGCCTCCCTTCCGAAGTCTGGCTATGTGTCATTCTGCACCATTAAGACAAGTTTTTTGCGCCTCCTCCGGCATCCCACATTGCACTGAACTCAGTTTGATGCCTCAGACACAATACCAATATGTTGTACTTGACCACCAAGCCTTTTGACTCACCAGAGCTGCTCAAAGGCCTCGCTCACTTTCTGCTGAAGATCTTTCGTAGTAGCATCAATCACCTCCACCTCTTTGTGGAGCTCTTCCTCGACAGGATCCTTCACCACATCGATGTCTCGGCGACTTTCCCGCAGAGTGAGATTTTCAATGGCCACATCCAATTGCAAGTTCTTAGCCTGCAGGGCACGCTCTGCCTCCTCCTTCATCTGAAGGGAAGAAGCAAAAATAAGATAAGGGGTTGACCTCACCTTCCCAACTCCCTCTGTGGGCATCTTGTCAAGTGACACAGGTTTGCTAACCAATCAGGTTTCCAATGGGAATGCTTTGTAGGTGGGCCAAGCACGTTCTGACACATGGAGATGAAAGCTGGGTTGCTCAGCTTTCATCTCAAAGAGGTCACTGAATTACATTCCATCTTTAGCATCACAGAAACCATTGGTTACATGCCATCTACTGCACAGAACCACCCAAACCACATTCTCAGCACACCAAAATTGAGTTGCATGACCTTTGCCCTTCATTGCACAATTCTTTCTTCTTCAGCGATCACTCGTAGCAGAGTAAGATTGTCTTCCATGCACACACTTTTAACAGTGAATCTGTAAGTGCACATGCACGCACACTCAGCCCGGATAAAAGCACAGTGGTGCCTCGCAAGACGAAATTAATTCGTTCCGCAAGTCTCTTCGTCTTGCGAGTTTTTCGTCTTGCGATGCACGGTTTCCCATAGGAATGCATTGAAAATCAATTAATGCGTTCCTAGGAAACCGCCTTCAGACCAGGTCCGGGGACAGTCTGTCCCCGGACCTCTTCTGAAGGCTGGGGGGCAAGGGCTTTCTTCCCACCCCAGCATTTTAAAACCCCGGGACAGCGGAGGACTTCTCCGCTGTCCGGGCGATCTTAAAATGCTGGCGGGCGGCATTTAAAATCACCCCGGGACAGCAGAGGACTTCTCCGCTGTCCGGGGCAATTTAAAGCCCCTGGGAAGGCAGGCAGGGGGACAAAGACTTTGCCCCCGCCAGCCTTCAGAAGAGGTCCTGGACCTCTTCTGAAGGCGGGCGGGGGCGAAAGTCTTTGCTCCCCGCCTTCAAAAGCCCTCCGGGACAGGCAGGCAGGGGAGCAAAGACTTCGCCCCCGCCCGCCTTCAGAAGGTCTTCCCTCCCCCGCCCGGCTCGGAGCACCGTCCCGAGCCGGGCGGCGGCGGGAGGTGTTCCCTCCCCCGCCCGGCTCGGAGCACCGTCCGGCCGGGCGGCGGCGGCAGGTGTTCCCTCCCCGCCCGGCTCGGAGCACCGTCCCGGGCCGGGCGGCGGCGGCAGGTGTTCCCTCCCCCGCCCGGCTCGGAGGAGCCTCCGAAGCCCGGCGGCGGCGGGAGGAGGTGTCCCCGCCCCGCCGCCAGGCTTCGGAGGAGGTCCGAGGACAGTGGGAAGACGCGCTGCGCTCCCCGCTGTCCCTGAGATTTCCCTATGGGCTGTCGTCTTGCGAGCAAGCCCATAGGGAAATTGCTTTGCGAAGCGCCTCCAAAACGGAAAACCCGTTCGTCTAGCGGGGGTTCCGTCTTGCGAGGCGTTCGTCTTGCGGGGTACCACTGCATAAATAATCCTTACATGCCACGGAAATGCCAGTGGCCTCCGATGACCTTCATTCCAAGGAAGACAGATCCAAGGCATGTGCTGGGACCCCCTGAGACCTCCCACCCCGAGAGACTGGGGTGCACCTAACAATACATTGTGTGAATTGTTTTCATACTACTGCACGCTATCCTGGAATCTCCTGGTGAAATTCAGTTTAGGAACACCATAAATGAGTAAGTCTGCACTACATACTTGAGTCAAGGCATAGATTTCCGTGTCGATGTCTGTGAGGCATTTGTCCAGAGTTTCCTTCGCTCGATTGACGACTTCGATCCGCTCAAGAAGGCGTGTGCGGTTGTCATATTCATCCCATTTTGTCTGGAGAGGAGAGAGGCAATGGTTTCAAAGCCCCCTTTCAGAGAAGGCATCAGCAGCATGGTTCTTACAGGAACAAGGAAGGCTAAGTTCAAGATTGCCCTTCCTTATCTTGACAAGTTCCTGGCCCATTCTTTAGACATGTACATTTCACACAGACATGGTAGTGTGAATTATTTGTGAACAACCTTTCCTTGGTTTTGTGAGGAAAGGCTGAAGCTTCCTTCACTCTACCTTCTCAAAACAACAACAACAACACACACACACACACAAACAAACACACACAATAAAAACCCTCAAATGATTAAATTTCAGCTACAATTCAGGATGAACCAATCTGCCAATTTTGGTTCCTCATAATTTCTCAATTTGTATTTCTGTTCTGCCTATTCAGCAATGATCCCATGCCCTCCTCGCCCCATCCCACCACCACCTCCAGATTTCAGATCCCACATTATCATTTTAGTTTGTTTGCTTTTGTTTAGAAACACAGAAAAGAAGTTCAAATACTTGCCCACCTGGTTATTTGTTTCATTGCGAAGGACCCGGCCCTCCTGCCTGATCTGGTGGGATGCCAAGCGCTGTCGCTCAGCATTGGTTGCAATGAGGTCAAAGTGGGTGCGCCAGTCTGGAAGTGTGTACCTCTGGCCGGGCTTCACACTCAGAGTAGCCATGGCAGCAACATTCTAGGAAAGACAAAAATGAAGGTGACACATTCAGAGATACTGGACTCAGGGGCCAACATACTTGCTCAACACATAGCAGTCTGCTATGCATTACACTTTGTTTTTCTGAATTACAAGCAAATGTTTTTTTGGGGGCGGGGTGACGGTGACTTTTATTTTACTTAACAAAATTTACAGACTGCTTAATAAACAAAATCTAAGTTGCTTAAAATAATAGAAAATACTAGAAAAAAATAATCAAGCCTTCTAACTCTTGGAATAGTCAGGCTAGCCTCCTGGTGAGGTGATAGCCTTGGTGATGGGCCATTAAGGAGAGCAAAGGAAGGGGCTCTGTGGGAGATGGCAAATGGGTGGATAGAATCACCTCCCTCAACCCGCATGGGAGTTAGAAGGGAAAAGCCAGAGGTGAAAGTTGAGTTTTAGTAGTGATGTGAGCTAGAGGAAAAAGCAGCAAACTGGTCTCCAATGTCTCCATTGACATACCTTTGGTTATTGGGGGTGGAGTACAGGGGTTGGGGACACTTCTCATCTGTTTATTTTTATTTACTAAACATAGGTCAAACAAAATTCAAAAGAGCAAAATCAGTTCTCTATTAGGGCAGTGCAGCTGATGCAAAATTTCCTGGAAAACACACATCCTTGCTTTCAAACTTTAAAATGTTGCAGAGGCTGAAACTACTGTATACTCCCCTGCCATATTGGCTGACCGCCTTTCATCTACCTCTTTTCAGTTGACATTATTATGTACATTGAATAAACCTGTACAAAGAGGGTTGGGAAGTCTATTGTCCTTCAGACATTGTTGGACTACATCTTCCATCATCCCTGACCTTGGCCATCTGGTTGTGTTTTATAGGAATTGAAGTAAAACATCTGGAGAGCCACATGCTCTCTACCCTTGCTGTAAAATTTGTGACCCACTGAGTCAACAACCCTCCTTGTTTTGCTGCCTAGCGCATGCTCTATTTCTATTCCTGCCCGTTCCTCAATGCTGCTCATGATGGCATACATTCTGTTATCCAATCCCTTTTATCCTAACAACAGCCCTGTGAGGTAGATTGGAGCAAGACAGCAAGAAAACCAAGCCCACGTTTACCCTATGACAATCCAGAGCCGAGTATGGATTGGAACCCATAGTTCCCCAGTCCTCGTCCAATAAAACCTCTACACTAATCTGAACGAATTGTGGACAGCAAAAATTATGTCCAAACTGCTTCTTCTGCAGAGGGGAACATTTTCACCTCCACAGAGATTTCAAAGGGGTTCCCTGTAACTCTAGCTGATAGCTGCTGATAGCATATATTCAGAGAAGGTTGCTGTAACTTTCACAGGTGTCAAATACCTGGTGTCATTATGATGTCAGGTGACTGACAGGTGGCTGGCCCCACCCACCTGCAAAGCTTTGTTCTGGTCTATCCCACTGTGGGCAGGTCACAGAAGACAGTTGATAGGCTGCTTCAGGTGAGGTGGGCCAGGGTATTAAAATCCAGGGAGAATGAAGAAAAAGTAAAACCTCTCCAAACTTTATCTGCTCTGAAGAACTATGCTTTCTGCTCCTCCTGCCTGAAATTGGTGTGTATTCTGCAACAGCTTGCTAGCAGCCTGCTTATCCCTCCCTGTTAATGTTAATGGCAGCTGATGAGGTTTCTTCTCCCACCCTGTTCTATTTGCAAAAATAAAGTTAATTTAAAATTAAAACATGTAGATGTTTTGGTAGGGCCTGTGAGGGAGGAGGAGGAGGAGGTGGTAGCGGCATTTGGTTTTGCCAAAATTTATCAGACTAGCCTAATGAAATGTTGTTACTGGTAGGAGAAAAGGAGGGTACTCTGCCCAGTAGGAAAAGCTGCAGGTTCAGTAGGAAAAGCTGTGGAAAGATTTTGAACGAAATTACTTAAGACAGAAGTGGGAGGTTGACAAAATGGATGCAGAACACAATTTTGACTTGCATAGAAAGAGAGAGAGAGAGAGATCCCCAACAACAACTGTCTCGACCCTTCCATCATCAACTCACCACTCCTCTTCTCCAGGCAGGCAGTCCTCCTTTCGGCCTCCGCTTCCTACAACTGCTCTTCTATGTTATCAGCCTGGTTGCTAAGCACGCTTTGTGCCTGTTGCCAGGCAGCCATTCTCAACAGAAGCCAATCAGATAGAACCCCCCTGCAAGTGTTTACAAAGGGGGAGGGGGAGGGGGAAGCCATGGCAACCTGGAGATCTGAAAAAGAAAAGGCTTCAAAGGGCTGGTGAAACTCATTCGATCACAGAAGAGCAGGCTGGGTTACTCTCACCCTGCCCATCCAACTCAGAGGTTACAACAAGGAGCAGTGGATTTGAGAGGGGCTCAGGGCAATAAATGCCTCCCTAAGTGTATCTGGTGGATTGCCCTGCTGTCTTGGTTTAATCTTGCATATGTATTTTCAAGATCAATGGAATACACCTAGATAGCATCCCCCCCCCACACAAAAAATGTGTTCATCTTCTGCAGGGCTAGTAAAGAGGGTATAGTTTTTTGTAAGTAAGACCTATATACTTTTCATAAGTCCTATATTCCAGCAGTGAAATCATCTTCTACCAAAAGAAAGAATCTTATTAAATTAGGCTTTTCTAGATGGGTTGCCAGAGAGGATCTTGAACATCCATCTGCCTGGAAAGACAATGGAGTGCACCTCCAGGGGTGAAGTCAAACTGCTGTTTTAGCAGCACTGAACTGACCTCCCCAGGGCTCAAGCCTGGCCGTGGGTATGGAGTCCCAGGCTGCCCAGATGACAAACCCCTCTTCTTGGGCTCACTGATGTGGTCAAGAGTCACTGGAAGGAGGTGTACATAGTACCATCCACTCTAGATTTGTGTAGGGTTTACTCCTTAGCCTTTTCTTCTCCTGGAGATCTCTAGCAAGGCAGTGGAGGTTTAGGATCACAGTATTCCTTCTCCTAGGTGGGCTCCCTTCCCAGGTTGACGAGCCTCATCTGTCCCTCACTTCTCTCTACAGCACAAACAAAAATTGCTTTCTTGACTGTTGGACTCACTCTTGGTCTTGTCCGCTCAATCTGCCAGAGCCTGTCTTTGCATGCAGGGAAAGTCTCTATCTCACCAAGGGTTAGAGACCCATCAGTTTGCCCTCACCTAGACTATCACATGCTAACAACTTCTAGGAACCACAGGTGAGCGCTGAGTGCAGGGTGCAGACCAAAGGTGGATAACTACCAAAGAAAGAGCATGTGTAACCCACCAAAAGTTATACTCCCCCTCCCCTAACACCCCATACACCCAAGGATTCAGTATTGGTACAGATATTCAGCCCAACATTGCAGGGAGCTGACAGAGCCTCAAGAGTCACATATGCCTTTCACACTGCGACTCAGAGCTGGCCCAGCTATTAGGCAGGGCAAGACCACAGCTTCAGAAGGCAGAACACACACACACACTCCCGGTGACACCCCTGTAGGCACCCTGCCTGCCCTGCTGCCTCCACCAAGTTAACAGGCAAGATAAGTGTCCATTTTGGACGAGAACTTGCCCAGAATTGATGTGACCTTACCTCAAATTGGCACTGATAGCAACAGTGCTTCTCCACCAGTAACGGATGTGCTGTGGCGACGGAGTAGGCTGTGTTGGCAGTGGCAGGAGCAGGTAGATGGTGGTGGGAGCAGCAGCAGTAGCGGCAGGGCAGGACCGCACTTCCCATTTCGCCTCAAGCTAGTGTGAGCTGGGCATTCAAAAGTGTGCAATATTCCAGTATCAATGGTGGTTCCACGTTTGAAGAGGAACACATAGTTCCACGCTAGAGGACCTGCTTGCATGCAGGTCCTAAGTTCAGTCTCCAGTATCGCTAGGTAAAGGAGTAACAGGTAATGGGGACAAACTTCTGGCGAGCCACTGACAGAGAAGATAGTACTGAACTAGCCAAGACCAGTCCTGCTCCAACTACATTGGATACCAATGAGTTTCTTGGCCCAATTCAAACTGCAGCTCAGAACCAAATGGTATGCCTCTCCCCACTCTATGTTCTTCATCTGAGGGTCTTCTCTGTGTGCTCCTCCAATGGAGAGGTTGAGGGTGGCGACAGAAACATGGGTCTTCTCAGTGGTGGCTCCCTGGTTGTGGAATGCTTTCTCCAGGGAGGCATGCCTGGTGCCATCTCTGTCTTTTGGCACCAGGCAAATACACTGTTATTCACCTAGGCCTTTGGAGTTTCTTTGCATATTTTTAGCAGGGTGGGGGCAAGCTGGATTTGCCCTTATATGCATGTTGTGAGTATTTTAGGATATTTTAATTCTTGTATCATATCCGTCTTTAGGCTTTGTAAGTTGCTTTGTGTTCCTTTTTGAAGAAAAGGTGACTATAATTAGTCTTACCTACCAGAAGCCTGCTTCATTTGTTCCCCATGAGGAAGGATCAGTTATTGGTTGAACCATGCAAACAGCCTACATAATAGTAACAGTCTGGAAGCAGTCTGTCTTCTCACCCACTCCCATCTGTGATTGTATGCAACATTTGGGGTTCTGCAGAGCAAAAATACCTTGATGATTATTATAGGTCACTGATGTCCTGCAATTCAGTTTTAGCTTCAAAGTGGCTGGGCTACTAATAACACATGCTAATCAATGGGTGATCAAAGCAGGGTATCCTGATGCACATTCCTGCGGTGTAGGAGAAGGCTGTGAAGTGGCTTGTGAGGTGTGAGGCCAAGAAACCTGGGAAGGGAGCACTTTTGAATCTGGCCAGGAGATGCACCCTTAAGCTTTTATGGGGATAGTTGGCAGAAGGTGCAGGTGCACTGATCTGTGTGCTTGCTTCTGAGGCCTTACACTACCTTAACTGAAGATGTATAATATGACAACACAGCTTTCTAGCATTCTTCCTCCAAAAGAATACAGATCTTGTGAAAGCATGGAACTTCCCTCCAGTTAGGTGACGGAACACAGCAAGAGCATTTCCTTCACATTCACTAATGGCTGTGTGTAATGCCATCGTAAGAGCTTATAATTTTTTTATTTCTTTCTTTAACGAAGCAGTTTTCCAGAATTTGGTTGGTGCAACTAGGTGTAAATGATGAAACAAACTATGAAGTAAAACCTTAGACATTAAAATTTCTTATTGCTTCCCGTCCCTGACAATCACCATAACCAAAGTCTGGACACAAACTTGAATTCTGGAGCAAAAGCGTATTTATTGCAGTTATTAGTGAAAGTTACACTTCAAACTGAAGCAAAGCAATGCTAAGTAATTGTTTTATTTAAAAAAAACAACCCACAACATAGAGTCCTTCCAGTATAGAGAAAGTGGACCAAAACAAAACAAAACATAAAAAGGAGTGGAATCTGTCACAGAAAAACAACTTTGGGGACAGATTTGGCTCAGGAGTTCCATGACTGAATTATGTACGGTTACATACTTGTAAGCGACAGAACATTAGACAAGAACAGAAAAGTGTAACTTCAACTGACAGATATGACAATGTGTTTTGTTAACACAATGGATTGACCCCAAAAGATATAACTAGCAACAAGTCTGGGAGAAAACAAAAACAAACCCTGCTTGTCCAGTCTTTATCTGTACCCTCAAAGTATTTTAAGGTGAATTCATAACCTAACTGGATATTCAAGACTTGGTGACAGAATTTCAGAGGCACTACCATGATTTGATACAACATAACACATCAGGTTACGCTAGGAATCAGTGGTGTCCAACCTATTTGGCAAGTGTGCCACAAATCAAAGTATGAGTACGTACATGGAACCAACTTCCCCACCCCCACTCCCTCTCCCTCTCCCACCCCCAACCCCCCTACACTGCCTGGATGTTGTTTTGCCTCTAGACCAGTCTTCCACAATCTGGTATCCTCCAGCTATTCTGAACTATGACTCCTATCAGCCCCAGCCAGCACAGTGGGGATGGCTGGGGCTGATGGAATTCGTATTCCAAAACATCTGCAAGGCACCAGGTTAGGGAAGGCTGGACTAGTCTATTGAACAGAGGAGCACACAGCATCACAGTGCTGGCTAGAGAGGCAGCAAGGAGTGCAAGTCCAACTATCTCAGCCAACCTGGACTGCTGTCCACATGTGCCACAAACTCCCTCCTGCTTATACCCTAAGTGGCATGCATGCCACTAACCATGTGCCAAGGCCATTTTATTTATGGCAAACATTGTTATTTCTATGCAAATGTCAGTCCAGGTTGTTGTTTTTTAAGTATAAAATTTTCCTTTTTTCCTCTTCTCCCTTAGCTGGAAAAATTGTCAGAGAAAATTTAGAAAACACACACACGCACACAAAATCACACTGACAAAAAGTTTGGCAGACTAGGTTTGTGAAGTCCCTCAGAATATCTGCTTCTGTGGCATTGCAAGATTGAGACCGATGAGAACGTAAGACCCCTGCTGGATCACGCCCAAGGCCCATCTTGCCCAGCATCTTACAGTGGTCAACCAGGTACTTGTGGGAAGCCTGTATGAAGGAACAGAGTGCAACAGCACTCATGATTCACAGCAGCGGGTATCCAGAGGCGTCCTGCCCCTGACAGTGGATACACTAACCTCCACCCTGGAAGTTAAGACAGTTGTGGGGTGGGAAGAAATTTATGCCACTAAAAGCAACAAGGACTTGTGTGCCAATTCAAGAACGCTTGGTCCTTAAGTAGTTAAGATAGGCTTACAAGAGCCATCCTCTTCCAACGAAGTGTGTTAAGAGCCAACCCAAGTCTCGCAAAGCTGATGGATATGTAACAAAGTTGAAAATTGTAGAAGATGACAGGCTGATATTTAACCAAACTGGAAGAAAATGCAAAGATAGCTAAACTTTTGGCAAGGGCAGTAAACTTGGCGGGGGTAAGGAGTGAAGGGAGCAGTGGACACGCTGCTTCTGGGTTAAAGAGTTAAGTTTCTAAAAACATACTGAAATACAGATTTGTTATATATATATATGTATATATATATTTATCTATACTTTATATAAACCAACCCTCCCACCCTATCCCCAAATAGTTGCAGCTCACATTTGCAATACAAAGAGGCACACACGGTCAAGGTGGTTTAATAAGTAAAAATTGTGAAGGCTTTTACCAATGCACTTGCCATCCATCTGTCCACCTGCAGGAAGGCTAACTACAGGAAGGCTTCCGGTGGAGCGCGTCCTCGAAGCGAGAAGGGATTTGGTTGAGAGCGAAAATCCCGACCTACAAAGGGAGGAAAAGGGGGTGCCGAAGGGCGAAAAGCACCCCAGATACACCTCCGGAGGGTGTCCGGAGGTACAGGGGCCCAGCAGAGACTGGTCGCGGCTCGCCTCGCCGTCAGGTAACCTCAAAAGAGGCGAAGAGAGCGGCGGCGCTGAGCAGCAGGTCAAGGGCAGCCATATCTACCCTCCCAAGTAGCGGAAAGCCCCGGTCTCGCCGAGGGTTAGCGCTCCGCTTTCAAGCATAGGAAACCGGGAGTAAGCTAAACTTGAGGGGTGCAACGTTTCTGGAACAGAGAAACCCGGCGGAAAATAAACGGTTTATGGAGTTCAGCCTTTATCCGGAATCAGCGAACACGCAGGAAAGCACCAGAGCGCGGAAAAGAAAGTGAGTTCCCTAGTGATTGCTTTGTTTCCCTGAAAGACTCTTTTATTAAAGCATTTGGATACCTATTAAAAATATAGGACTGTTTAAAACAGGGGACAGAGGGTAAAGCTTCTATATTGGAACCGCCTAATGAACTGAGGGGGAGGAGGAGGAGGAGTTTTCTCTGTGCTGATTACAGCAAAGTGAGAGCGGAAGAGAAAGTGCCGACGCCATTAGGAGATACGGAAACGTTGCAGAGGCTAATTAACAAAGACTACCTACTTTTGCAGTATGGATCAGCCTGGTTTATAAATCTCTTCTGCACGTCCATCTCCCTGCTGACATCTCAGTTCTGAGTTGGAAAGATCTACGATTTCTGATGGCTGCTTAGCGATCCGAAAGTAGTTTTTCTCCCTCTGCTGCTTGATTTTCCAGACTGCCCTCGGAGAGAGACTGCCTTTGGAGCTGAGTAGCATTAGAGAGAGCCACCTGGTGGACAGAGTATATTACTACAACTTGGATTTCCTTTTCTTTTCTGTGTATTTCTTCTGCTTTACACATGTTCTTGGTCTTCTTCCAGCTTAAATTGTAGGGTCTATTAAGGTGTGAACTTTCACTCTCCAATTGTAATTTTAAAGATCTTTCTAAGAACTCTCTAAGAGTACCTTCCCCACTGCTTTTGTGAGAACTTAAGAATTTCAAGACACCTCCAAAGAAGGTCTACTGTAAAAGGAATTAAGTTGATCCACGTGGACTATTTAAGGACTGTTAACTGACATCTCAGTTTTGAGCTGGAAAGATCTACGATTTCTGATGGCTACTTAACGATCGGAAAATAGTTTTTCTCCCTCTGCTGCCTGACTCTCCAGACTGCCCTCAGAGAGAGACTGCCTTTGGAGCTGAGTAGCATTAGAGAGAGCCACTTGGTGGACAGAGTATATTACTACAACTTGGATTTCCTTTTCTTTTCTGTGTATTTCTTCTGCTTTACACATGTTCTTGGTCTTCTTCCAGCTTTAATTGTAGGGTCTATTAAGGTGTGAACTTTCACTCTCCAATTGTAATTTAAAAGATCTTTCTAAGAACTCTCTGAGTACCTTCCCTACTGCTTTTGTGAGAACTTAAGAATTTCAAGACACCTCCAAAGAAGGTCTACTGCAAAAGGAACTAAGTTGATCCACGTGGACTATTTAAGGACTGCTAAAATACTGTGGGTCGGGGCCAGAAGGGCCAAACGGGTATTGCTCAACGGGTGTTAGAAACTAAGATCCTCTATTTTACTGAGTATCTGTTGTACCCAATCAAGTAAGAATGTCAAATATGGGAAAAAGACCAGAAGGGGGAACACCAGTGGATAGAAAGGGATCCAAACAAGAAGCAGACTTTAGAGCAGATATTTTAAGAATGTTTGCGGAGATAAAACAAAGTGAGAAAAATTTAGAGCTCAAATTAGAACAAGTAGACAATAGAATTGGGAAAATGGACAAAAAGATAGATGAAACAGTTAACGAATTGAAGGGTCAACTGAAAGAGGTATTTAGGAGGACACAGGCAGTGGAGGAAGGGCTGAAAAGACAAGATCAGAAATGAAAGATGTGAGACGAGAGGAGGATAAGATAAAAGCTGAGATTTTGGAGTTGAACAAAAACCAAGAGGAAATGAAAGACTTAATTGCTATGAATGAACTAAGACAGAGGGAAGTTAATTTAAGATTAAGAGCCGTGCCAGAATTACAAGGTGAAAATATAAAAGAGAAATTAATAACAGAATTAGCCCTCTGGTTGGAGATTCCAATAGAAGAGATGGCAAACGCAGTACAATCTGCATTTAGACTGAAAGCCAAATCAGCCAGAAATAAAAAATTTGTAGGAGATTGTTTAGTTACATTTAAAGAAAGGGAAATGAGGAATATGATTCTCCCAAAACAGAGGGAAAAGGCTGAATATTGAGGGAAATTACGTAATAATTTTCAAAGATATCCCAGTTAGGCTGCTAAAACGCAGAGACTCATATAAAGAACTGGTACAGACTCTGAAAAGGAATAATATTGAGTTTAAATGGGAGTTCCCTGAAGGAATTTCCTTCACTTACAAGAGCAAGAGGCAAAAATTGACAAGTCCAGAAGAAACCGGTAAATTTTTAAGAAAATATAAAGAACTGAAAATACAAAAAGAAGAAGATAAAAGTGAGGAGGCAGAAGGAAGGAAAGACTCAGAAGAAGAAACAGAGAGGACAGAGGGAGAGGAAGAGGAAGAGGAGGAGGGGGGAGCGGAAAGAGTTTAAAGAGAGATAGCAGTTTCTTGCAAAGGTAAACTACCATGGTGTTAAAAGTTTGGAGCTGGAATGTTAATGGGATGAATGATAAGAAAAAGAGGAATAAAATCGAGTACATCTTAAAGAAAGAATGTTTAGATATTATCTGCTTACAGGAGACCCACATAGCAAGGAAGCATAAAAGAGTTTTGATTAATAAAAGATTAGGAAATGAATTTGTATCGTCAGATCAAAGTAAAAAAAGGGGGGTGGTTATTTATACCAAAAACAAATTGAAGCACAGCAGATTTTCAAAGATGAAGAAGGGAGGGTAGTAGCGGTTCAAATTAATTGGCAAGGAGAAAACCTAATAATAGTGGGGATATACGCACCTAATGATAACAAATCGGAGTTTTATTGGATGTTAGAGGGAAAGCTATTTGAATACGTCGATCAGAAAATAATACTATTGGGAGATATGAATGGTGTGGTGTCGTTAGAGATGGACAGGTTAAGGGATGGAAGGGGCAAAGAAGGAAAGCTACCCAGAACCTTCTTCTCATTGGTTCAGAACTGTAATTTGGTGGATATTTGGAGATTTAAATACCCTCTGGAAAAACAATATACTTTCTACTCAGAACCCAATGACTCATCCTCGAGATTAGATCAGATATGGACCTCGGCAGAACTAGTACCAAGATCTATACGGGTGGGGATCCAGGCCAAAACGATTTCGGATCATAACCCAGTAAAAATGGAACTGAAAGGGCTGGAAGAAAGATCATACAGATGGAAAATGAAAGATTACTTGTTAGATGATTTAGAGATAGTAGAGAAAGCTCAGAAAAGGTTAAAGGAATACTTCGAGGATAACTTAGGTAATGATACAAAACCAAAGGTGGTGTGGGATGCAGGTAAGGCGGTGATGAGGGGTTTCTTCATTCAACAGAGTGCAATTAAGAATAAAAAGAGAGAAAAAGGGAAAAATGAAATTCTACAGCAAATAATGGACAACGAACAAAAATTAACTAAAAACCCCAAAAATAAGAGAATAAAAGAGAATATTAAAGTTTTACAATCTCAGTTTGCAATGTTGATAAATAGGGAAATAGAATGGAAAGTCAAAAAATTAAGACAGAGAAGCTTCGAATATGCTAATAAATCAGGAAAGTTATTAGCTTGGCAGCTTAAAAAAAGGAAGGAACAGAACACAATAAATAAAATCAAGGTGGAGGGGGAAGAGATAAATAATCCTAAGGAAATAAGGAAGGCCTTTTTGGATTTCTACAGAGGACTTTTTAAAAACAGTGAAAGGAATAATCTGAGAAAAATAGAAAGATTTCTAAAATGTAAGAATATAAAAAGATTTCCACAGTGGAGAAAGGAAAATTGAGTGCCCTAATTGAGGTAGAAGAAATCAAAGAAGCAATAAAGGAATTAAAAAAGGAAAGCCCCAGGTCCAGATGGGTTTACTGGTAGCTATTATAAAGAAATGGAGTCAGTCTTGCTGACTCCATTGCAAGAAGTAATGAATAATATCCTTAAAGAAAGAGAAATACCAGAGACATGGAAGGAGGCACTAATCACACTAATCCCCAAACAGGATTCAGATTTACAACAGATTAAAAACTATAGACCGATCTCCCTATTAAACATAGATTACAAGATTTTTGCTGGAATTCTGGCAAGGAGACTATTAAATATATTGGTAGAAAGTATACACAAAGATCAAGCGGGCTTTTTGCCGGGTAGGCAAATGAAGGACAACATAAGAAACATAGTAAATATTATAGAATATTTATCTGACAGGTGTGATAAACAAGGTTTGTTGTTGTTCGTGGATGCAGAGAAAGCATTCGATAACATAATCTGGGATTTCCTGCTGAAACAATTGGAATATATGGAGGTTGGCACTGAATTCTATAACGGGGTAAAGGCAATCTACACGGAACAAAAGGCAAAACTGATAATAAACAATGTGGAGACAGCAGAAATAAGAATAGCAAAAGGAACAAGACAGGGATGTCCACTGTCCCCATTGTTATTTATAATGGTGTTAGAAGTCCTCCTAAATTCAATAAGAGAAAATAAGGGGATAAAAGGAGTAACAGTTGGGCAGAATGAATACAAAATTAAGGCATTCGCAGACGATCTGGTTGTAATAATGGAGGATCCAATAGATTCAATAAAAGAGGTACTCGAAGAATTTGACCAATTCGGAAAAGTGGCTGGCTTCAAATTAAATAAAAGGAAAACAAAAATGATAGTAAAGAATATGAATACAGATAAAACTGAAGAATTACAAAGAGAAACGGAAATAGAGGTGGCCAGAAAGGTGAAATATTTAGGAATATGGGTAACGCCAAAAACATAGACTTATTCAAAAATAATTACGAGACAGTATGGAAAGGAGTTAAGAAAGATATTGAAACATGGGGCAAGCTAAAACTGTCATTTTGGGGCAGAATAGCCACAATCAAGATGTGTGTGCTTCCAAAAGTGTTGTTTTTGTTTCAGAACATTCCTGTAATTAAGGGTATAAAGATATTTAAAGACTGGCAGAGGGTGATCTCAAAATTCGTCTGGCAGGGCAAGAAACCAAGAATAAAATTTAAACTGTTGACAGATGTGAAGGAAAGGGGGGGCTTTGCCCTGCCAGATTTGAAATTGTACTATGAGGCGTCATGCCTATGCTGGGTCAAAACATGGATAAAACTGGAAGATAAGGAAGTGCTAGACCTAGAGGGATTTAACAACAGATTTGGGTGGCACGCCTATCTATGGCATGGGAGGAGAAAAGTACACAGGGGCTTCGAAAATCATATTTTCAGAGGTCCATTGATTGAGGTATGGGAGAGGAACAGAGATATGTTAGAACCTAAAACACCCCATTGGCTATCGCCACTAGAAGTCATGAGCGTTAAAAAGATTAATATGAGGGACAATTGGGCTACCTATGAACAACTGTTAATGAAAGAAGAAGGAAAGTGGAAAATGAAGCCGTACGAACAGGTCAAAGAGAAAGTCTATGATTGGCTGCACTATTTCCAGATAAACGGAATGTTCAGGAAAGATATTAAAGACAAAGGATATGCTGATAAAGATTCTAGATTCCAGATTGAGATATTGAATAACAACTATAAAATTTTGTCTAAAATGTATAATCAGTTATTGGAATGGAATTTAATAGACGAGGAAGTAAAGTCGGTAATGATATATTGGGCTAGAGATATCGGTCATAATATATATTTTGAAGAATGGGAGAAACTTTGGAAAAAACATCTCAAGTTTACAGCTTGCGTGACACTAAAGGAGAATTTAATGAAAATGTTTTACCGATGGTATATGACTCCTGCAAAATTAGCCAAAATGTATGGAACTTGTAATAAATGCTGGAAGTGCAAGGAAAGGGGGACCTTCTACCATATGTGGTGGGAATGCCAAAAGGTTAAAGGGTTCTGGGAGAGTGTATATAACGAAATGCAGAAACTTTTAAGATATACTTTTGTTAAAAACCCGAGGCTTTTCTGTTGGGATTGGTAGGAAGGGAGATAAAAAGAAAGATCACAAGCTGTTCCAGTATGCAACAACGGCAGCAAGAGTCTTATTAGCTCAAAATTGGAAATCAGAGGGCCTACCGACAATTGAGGAATGGAGAGCAAAACTATTAGATTATGCGGAAATGGATAAGATGACAGGGAAAATTAGATATTTAAAAGACCAGAGGTTCATTAAGGATTGGGAAAGTTTTACGAAATATCTGGAAAATTTAAGTGATGGACAGATAACACTAGTGGGCTTTAAAGGAGCTCTGTAAAAAGAAAAGAGTATTGTCTAAAGAGAAATGGAAGAACTAGAATGATTAATGGCATTTCAAACTAAGAAATGCGAATTTTTATAAAAGATTATTACGGATGATTTGTGGAAAGGTTGAAGGAAGCCATACTTAAAAACCTGTGAAAATGAGAATCGAACTTTTATATTTTGTTTTTGTATTTTGCATTATGCAAATTAATAAAAATTATGCATACAAACAAACAAAAAAAAAAAAAAGAGCCAAGCCAAGTCTCGCAAAGCTGATGGATATGTAACAAAGTTGAAAATTGTAGAAGATGACAGGCTGATATTTAACCAAACTGGAAGAAAATGCAAAGATAGCTAAACTTTTGGCAAGGGCAGTAAACTTGGCGGGGGTAAGGAGTGAAGGGAGCAGTGGACACGCTGCTTCTGGGTTAAAGAGTTAAGTTTCTAAAAACATACTGAAATACAGATTTGTTATATATATATGTATATATATATTTATCTATATTTTATATAAACCAACCCTCCCACCCTATCCCCAAATAGTTGCAGCTCACATTTGCAATACAAAGAGGCACACACGGTCAAGGTGGTTTAATAAGTAAAAATTGTGAAGGCTTTTACCAATGCACTTGCCATCCATCTGTCCACCTGCAGGAAGGCTAACTACAATAGTTCAGGTGCAACAAACTTGCTTGACTTCAGCATACTTTTGTTAAAGGGGGCGGGGGAGAACCTACAAGAACACCCAGAGATTTCAAACTCATCCTATGCTTCTCTCAGAAAGCAAAACGGCAGTGCCCCACAAAGCAAGAAGTCATCAGAAATTTACAACCAAGGGCCTTAAGCTGAAGTGCAGCACCAACATGTTCCTAGGAGAATGTGAAACTATAGCTGGCCTACAGCTGGATTCTTAAGAAATGTGTCCCTGCAATGGCACACAGAATAGTGTCGACATCACCAACACAATGCCCCACACAAAGGCAAAGGGGCACCTCCAATCTGCCATGCTATGTATTTCTTATAGCAGACCAATTGCTCAGTGCAGCCCCAAGCACCTGATGGACCCACAGTGAACGGAATGTCTTGAGGATGGAGCTTACATTTGTCCCCCTAACTACACACACACAATGTTAATACTATACTGTTACACAGTTTAAACTCTGCCTTATTAAGGAAACTGCTTGAAGGGTCATTTCTCTCATGGATATAGCTTCCATTCAGGAATACCTTGCATATACCACTTGTCCCCTGTAACACGAGACCAACATGCATAGGTCCATGTGCAGATGCATGTGGAAAGGATGCAGTGATTGGCAACAGGTTCTCACTGTGTGTGGATGTGGCCAAATAGACACCCGTGTGCTTGTCACATGTAGTATACATACAATTCTCTTGGACAGAAGGTACCCATACAATTAGCAGTCATGCATCAAAGAGCCCTGTGATTAACCTACATGTCACTGCAAGCTGCCTTCTTCCTGTCACAATGGACCATCTGTGCCAAACCGAAACCTCATCAACCCCTGCCCCTTAGTGTGGACAAACTGGAAGAGCAATCATCTAGGCCACAAGTCATTTTTTAACATGGTCTGCGGGGACAACCTCAGAAAACTTGCCTGACCACAACTGTGCAATAAAACATAATTTCAGAATCCATTTTAATTTTCAATGTGTATTGGGGATAATTGACTTGTGAGAATGGTTGCTAATACATACCTCTCAGGTCTGGTGAAATGGCAAAATGGCAGCTTGCTGTTTAAAACACAACAGCCACTCCCCACAGGTAACTTAATGATTCCACATGTGCAAATAAATTCATACTCAAGCAAGCCATATCCAACCTGGAGTCCAAACTCCTAGATCAAGTCAAAGCTGAGCTGAGAACAAAATACAGTCTCTAAGAGAGCTAATAGTCAGAAAAAATGACCCTAAAGTCAAAGCTAGAAAAACATTTTACTAGAAATATTCTACTTTAGCATGTACTGAAATCCCTTAACAATGGTCTTTCATAAACTTTGATTCAAAACATTTTTGCGATTTTTGTTTCAGTGACTTAAATTGTGATCTAATTTAGCATATCTGCCATGTGTACACAAAAGTATGCCACATTAATTTTATGTATTCTACAAACACATTTTCCCAATATTCAAAAGTAGTAAAACTAAACAATTTTAATCAGGAGGAAAAAAAATCATTAACACAATCAATGTTCCTAGGGATAATCACCTGAAACAAAAACTTAGTTACACTTTGAAACTAGCATTGTAATCATTCATTGTGTTGCTTATTTTATGAAACTGTATTTTGAGAAACAACATTCTCCAATACAGAGAACATTCCATGGAGAAATGTCCATGCTACATCAGAGTCCCTTCTAATGAGACTTTTTTGCTACTTGAAAAATGAAAAACCTATCATATCACAGGCTTCAAGAAGTTCCATCAAAAAAGCTGGAGATTTGCTTCTCCTAAAATGAGATATTGAATAGGTCTGAACTCACCCACCCCTCAAAGACACACTGCTTCTGGGAGGAGGAGGAACTGTCAATAGTGCTCATGATTAAAAGTGGAATAGTCTTGCCTTCTGCTGCCTGCATTTCAGAGAGTACAGCCTGAAACTTTTCTGAACAAAAAGCTCATTCCTTAAATGTAGAAAAACAGATATGACTAGACACAGTTAATACAGTGAGTGAGTAAGTAAAATATTTATGTTGCTCCTGCTCAAACCTGACATTCAGCAAGCCTCTTGGCCTCAGTGCTTAAGTCTGGAGGACCAGGATGCTAGAGATATAATAGAGGAAGGCCATATTCATGTCCTGCTTGTGAGTTTCCCCGGGGCATTTGATGGAAGTAGAATCTAAACTACAGTAAGTGGGCCTCAATCTGCTCCTGCCAAGCAAGTTTTCTGTGCCTGAATTTTGCTGTACAATCCATCTGAACAATTCCACTAGTATGACTCCGTGTGCCCATGGAATATGCATGTATTCTTCTCAGCCTCTGCTCCTTTCCTGCAACCAAAGTTTTCTGACTCTACAACAGCTCTCCTTCATCACCCTGCTCCACTATATTCACCACAACATTCTTACAAGTCCTCATAATCCACCTCAAAAAAAGACTACTATCAAGCCGAGTGCACAGCAAGCACAAAGGGACCATAAACAAAGGAATCAGTAAAAATGAGCAACATGAAAGAGAGAAGGCAGATTAGATCAGTTCAGGTGACTACCGTGACTACATGAATTCTTAGGTAATGGACAGCAGTAACTTTAAAGTCACTTAAACAGATACCCAAAAAATTAATGGGGAGCTATTTTAAAAAGCAACATTGTGGACTAGGTATAGGTAAACTGAGATAAATTACTTAACGCCTCACACCAAAGTCCAATGCCACTGAATTCTAAGCAGGAAAGCGGCTTGGGGATAATGCAATTACAAAGGCACCAGTTTCTTGCTTGTTTGAAGTGCTTCCTAGTCTATGCTGTGGAGTGCAGGGAGGAACGAAGCAAGAAACAGGTGCACTGTTCAAAGCACAGAATGGAAAGCAAGACAAGGATTTTGCCACCATAGGGAGGATTCTATGGTTTTTCTCCTGTCAACTTCCCAGTCTGAGACCAAGAGGGCTTTAAGCTTTTTCTTAAGAGCATCATCTGTTCCAAATAAAGGATTGGCATAATGCTCTCCATTAGCTTTTGATTGGCTCTTTTGAGAAACAAATTGTGGACTCAGTACTAGTAAACTGGGAAAGTTATTTAATGTTTTGCAGCAAACTTTGAAAAGATTTAGTCCCCAAAACTATCTTGGGAAAGTAGGGTTCAGCTCCCAAAGAGCACCTCTGAGTCCAGCACACTTCTGGTAACAGAAGAGAAGATACCAGGTCAGGAGCCGCACCTTCCTGTCAGGCTTCAGTGCCAGCTCTGCAAAAACTCTGCTGTATGGTTTTGGCAATAGGCCATGTTCAAATCTGCTGCATCTGATCAGCCCAGCTAGCCTGTGCCTCTCCCCTCAACATTGCACTTGCATTGCATCATCAATGCACATTGGAAAAGACACAGGATGTGCGTGTGCGCACATGGTAGGGCACCATGTTGGCAACCACTGGTTTATAGAGTGTACATCTATGTTTAGATGTGTGTATAATATAGACATAAACACATTTTTACAAAATAACCTATAAATGGGGTAGCTAACATGGTGCCCTCCAGATGTGCCCTCCCATCAGTCTCAGTCAGCACGGCTACTGTCAGGGATGACGGATATTGCACTTAAACATCCTGAGGGCATGATTATAGAAGCATGCCACACTTGTCTGGAGAGCTTGGAGTGGGTAGGAAATGAGTGTTTTCCTCTCTCGAAGCTGCAAATAAATTTTTAAAAAAGAGAGAACAAGACATGCGACACCTAGTAAGGTCCGGCCTAGCAAATGGTCTCCACACAACTAATGGTACAGCTACTACTGAAGTTAAGCACGTGCGGACCTGATCAGTGCTCTAGATGGAGGATGACTGAGACCCCATCTTAAGAGTGAGGCACAAATATGCTTCCCCACCCCCCACCCCCGCTAGACACGCATAATAAACCAAACACAAAGTAGATTTCCCACTAAAGGAGAGCCTGCAAAATCAGATATAAGTCACCAGGAAGAAGCAACTCCTCTAATTTAAAAAGCATAGGAAGCTATGTTGGTCCATCGAAAAAACAACACCAACCCTCTGAAGTCCACAGTTCAATAAAGGTATTAATTATTAATAATTAAGGTGTTAATTAATAATAAAATAAAAATGTGTCACTTTTTTTGGACTTTGGGGTCGGTCCCAACAAAAGTATTGCATTCAGAGGTTGCTCCACCCCCCCCCGCCCATTCCCTACAGTTGAAAGTGCATTAGGTTTTGAAATAATTTCTATGATTTAACATTAAAAATAATAAAAGTATTAGAAAAAGTTCTGGAAGTATCTGTAAACAAATTCTGCCAGAGACCACTTGAAATGGGACAACATCTAGTCTGTTTTCATACATGGCAAAGTCAGAGGCACCTCTATGGTACTTTCACAGCACAGTCCAATGCATGTCTACTGAGAAGTAAGCACCAAATAGTGCAATGGGCTTTACTCCCAGGTAAGCACATATAGGATTGCAGCCTGTGACAATTCACCTAATTTTTTCTCTTATGGAACATTCATAGTAGGGATGGAAAATGTTCCCGAGGACACTTGGGCAGAAGACACACACACACACACACACACACACACACACGTATATATACATTAAAATTTTAATAAAAGTGCTTATAAAAATTGCAGAGGGTGAGCATAATCTGAAAAGAATCACTTTCCTTTTCCACACAGGAATAATGCATTTTAAGATTATGCATGTTATGACGTGTGTGCATCAACTAAAAAAATGCTTCTTCAGAAATATTGGTTTTATCCATATGCAAATTTAATTGATCAATTAATTGATTAATTGGCTGAACTTGAACAATTAATAGATTAAAAGTTGACTGGGTTGTAATTAGAGAGTTTTGCTACTGGAGTAGCATTTGCACCTCTAGAAAGCTAGTACAGTTAAAGCCAATACCACCATATCTTTGGAGGCAGCCTATTCTAATAGCAAGTCATTCTTATCATTTACAAAAAAAGGTATGTACTTCAGTATCCACCCTTAACTTTCCCACTGCTGTGTATTCAGTATTTTGCTCAACCCTTTTGGAATAACTAATAGTCAAGAACCCTTGTGCACATTTAAACTAGAACCATACCATATGTGCTATTAAGCTATCAGCTGGGATTGGCCACTGGGTCAAAAACAACAGAGCAACTGATTTCGGATTATAGAATTCATTTTTTAAAAAAAGTTAGTTAAATGACTATTAGCACAGATGCCGCAGTGCATACTGAACAATTTAATACACTGTCTTTGGATAAGGTTATTCAAGAAGGGAACTATATAAACTTATATGCAAAGATTAATGGGCAATGCACGTGTGAATTAAGGCAGCCATCACTTGGAGTCACAAAAGCTTCCACACCTCTGGAGAGAGTGGTTGAGAAGGGATCATTCATCCTTAAGTATAGGCAGTCAGCATTATGGCCATGTAACATGGAGAAGCATGGTGTGAGCATCAGGTAGGCAGGATGTATGTATGTATGTGCAGGCCACAACTCTTACTCTTTCCGATAGCCTGCCTCATAATAAATGAAAATAGGCTGTTGCCTAATCCAAATAACATTTTTTTTTCTTTTTGTGCCAAAGCATTAGACTATTGTTCAAATGAACAACTGGCCTCCTCTACAATCCAGCATTGCACTGAGAGTTCCAGGATGCCGAAGACGGATATGAAAGTAGGTTTGGATGAGATTATCCTTTGCCCTCGCAGTTCCCCTGAAACCCTGGATTGCAAAGTTATAGCAAGAACATTATTGTAAAGACAAAGCCTGATAAACTCTTCCATAAAAATGGCAGCCAATAGTCAGGAAAAAGAGATGATGGCACATAAACTACAGAGGTGACCAATATTCTAACCACAAAGGGACACAAATCTTCCTTGAAAAATATTCTATTGGTACCATTAAGACCATAACTGGATTTTTTTGCAGGTGTGTGCAAGTAGTTTTACAGTGTAATCACTACAACTTTGTTATTATTACTTTTACAGCATTTTGCTGCTACAGAGGTGCAGTGTTTATTAGTTTTTTCCTGACTGATAAAAAGCTTAAAGACAAGACTGGCTGTACAGCACTTTTCTTTTAAAAAGTTTTTTTTTTTATTTCAGGGCAGCAGACTTGCTCAGCACCAAAAGGCCATGCTGCAAATTTTTGCCATCAACATTTGCCATTGCAACCATGAGGACTAGGGTCCTGCTTTTTACAAAAGGTCTACAGTTAAAGCTGGGATTTTCAGAATTTTAACAACTTTAAAGATACACATATAGCTTCAGGGGCACATGCTGCTTACCACAATTTCATAGTCTGTGGCCTCTGAATAAACATTTAGTGCTTACAAGTGTCCTGGGCTACTTGCCCTAAAAACCCTAAAGTGTCTTAGATCCACACAGTGGATTTTAATCAAGTTATCAGTACCATTATTTCCCCCAAATATAGTATGGTCCACTCTTATCTTGGTCCTGATTATTTTGGGGTGGGGTACTACATAGTACTCAACACTACAAGTGGTATCATCAAGAACTTGGCGTGTTTTCACTAAATGCTTCTATCCCCCCATCACCCAGCAATATACAACTTCAGAAAGAAAGAAAAATCTACAGCACCATCTTCTAAAAAGGCACTTTGAGGACTGTCTTGCTTTGAATGAATAAAACCCTCCAAGTTTCAGATGGCAGAGCTACTTCATTTTTAAATAGGTCTTTATAGTTACATACCTGCCAGAGATAATTCAGACACAATTTTAATATGGAAATGGGACTGAAAGATGCTAGACATGATTCTCGTCTTTCAACATTTTACCTCCTGCAGAGTCAATCCTTCAGTTTAATTTTTCAAACTGTTCTCCAGTTCCCACTCCAGGGTTTTTGTTCCTCATTCCCCAGTGGTTACTTAGTCATAACCTCTTTATCAGCAAAGTCAAGGTTACAGAGAATCAACTGGCAAGTCATAAAGGAGGGTCTGGCATCTAACAGCTTTGTCTCTCATCATAGTGAAATCCAAGCATTTATAAATATGATGGCCATTTTATATATGCCAGACAATGCTTGAGGTTCCATTCACCACAAGCTCAATATGCATGGACAAGCTGCCCTCAAGTGAAAAGGATGGGAAGTGGAAGTTGATTAAAAAGATATGTCCTGCTCCCACTTTGCAGACACACAAACAACTCTTCCAGTTGAAAAGGTAATTGTTCTATCAGTTCATAGCACTAAAAATCCATTCAATGAATCACTTACCTACCAAGTGGGAAAATCTGACATATTCAGGGTGTTGCCATCATCAAAAACAGCTAGCAGAAAAGCTATACAACAGGAAGGTTACATGGGTGGTTAATAAGTCACAATAATTTGCATAGGGGAACACACAGAGTCAAAGGATATCTACAAGCAGATAGACTTTCAGTCTTGCAGAAATATCCCAAAGGAAGCTTTGGGAAGCACCCTTGCCATTATTTTAACATTTTTCATCTAACACTCCTGAGATCTTTACATTCTAACACAGTCTCACACACACGTGTGTGTGAAAGACCCCACAGAATGAACCTTTCGGTCTGATGTCTTTTAATAATGCCCCTCTTAGCAGCTGTTGCTTAGATGACGAAGCTTGGCCAGTAGGACTCTAATGCTTTGTACTACTAGGGTTGCCCAAAAGTCGTCAATTCTGCCTTTGAAAATCCATCCCTAGCACTACCGACTTGCTGAAATTAATGGGAATTGTACCTGACAGAGAGCAAGCCCAATGGCACAAAAGAAAAGTCCCTACCTACAGAGGGGCACATTCTGTTAGCTCAGCTTTATTCAGCCTGAAGCTGATGGAAGTTGTAGTTCAAAACATATGGAGAACAATGCACTGTGTTTTCATGGTGGACAGAACTCAGCACCAAGCAACTCTCAGGTATGGAGTGGTGATGGAGAGAGGACAGTGGCTCTTGCAAATACAAGTGAGAAATAGGACAACCGGGGTGGGGGGAGTTTCAGCAACCATTCTAGGCAGGAATACGCATACTGAACGAAGAACAAGGCCAAGCTGGGTGCAAAAAAACATTAAACCTACACTTTTGTACCTATATAGGCTGAACAGACAGCTGTCTCGGCTGCACAGGCAGAAATTTTCATGAAAGCACATTAAAATTCAAGAAAGCTTTTTTAGAAAACAAAAACAGAGAGCATGTACAAAAATAAAAGTCCATATAATCTTGTGAAAAATATACTGGAAACTGCCACCACAGATGAGGTACCATTTATTTCCTCCCATCCCCACCTCCACCCATCCACTGCAAACATCAAAATATATCTTAAGTCTTTCAAAACAAAGGAAGAATATCTGGCTATTTTATAATCTTGGTTAAGACAGCACCCTTTGTTATATCACACTGTTAAAATTGCTTTTGAAACAACAAAAATCAGAATACTACTTCTTAAATTGGATTCCTGTTCACCTGCCCTTTTTCCTTAGTGCAGTAATTGCCCACCTCCATTTAAATAAATATAGCAGCTACAGTACTGTAGTACAGGTGGCCTTCAATGCCAGTACATTGATATTGGCCTGGCTCGCAGATAATACTAAGTCATTGTTTATTAACCCATAGTTTGTTGTTTGAGCCTCCAAACCCTGCCATCAACCCAACTACAGTTTGTTTAGTGCCTAACCACAACCTGAAGTCACGATTTTTTTTGTTGGCTTACAAACCTTCGTTTGTTTTAACTATGGCTTGTTGTTACACCCAAACCCTTCACCCTTCCTTAAACATTTCTTTGGCCACCCCACCCTCTCACCAAGCTACATAGGCACAAACCAAGAGCAGCTGGAAAACCCAAAGCAACTTTGAAGAAACAAGTTATGGTTTGTTGATCGTCTATGAGACAACCGGTGGTTAACTTGTGGTTTGTTAATCAAACCATGGCTTAGCATTTAGGTGTGAACCAGGCCAGTGTATTACAAATTTTATCGGCACTTGACAAAGACAGTTTCAAAATTAAAATATATTCCGGTTTGTTTTTAAGTTACCATCTCCTCTCCACATGAAAATCAATCACACTAGCACTGTGTACAAGTATTTTAAAGGTGCTTCTCTGTTGGGCTCTAAATCATTTTCACTTTGGAAGGATGAAGGTGATGGCTGCAGCAAAGGAGGCTTTAGAGCCACCATTCTAGGGACAGGTCAGGAAATAAATATTATAGTGCATCTTGGTATAAACAGCTAAAAGGTCTTTAAAAAGGGGGGGCAGAGGTCCCAATGTTCCACAACTCACTTTTAAAATCGCAATTGTGAAACACTGAGTAAGAATTCCCACTGGAACCTTTTAAAGTGACAATCCTTGGAAGAGAAAAAACTTAACATTAATATTAGTGAAGATTTGTTGTGATGCACCCATATTAGAACCGTTAAACTTGACCTCAAGCTCCAGGGAGGTTTACTAGGCTACCCTGACAACAAGTGGTGTATGTTCTCTTTAGGCAGGGGGGTGAAGGACGAAGGAGGTGAAGTCTGAGTCCATTGGCCACATCATGGGGCCTAAGCAGGCTGGTTTTGAACTCCCCGCAGTCACTTCATGCTAGGAATTCAAGCATAGGTACAGTGCATGAAGTATCCTCAGCTAGGAAACTTCCAGAGATTGAAGCATGAAAACAGCCACTTGCAATTCAATTCATTAAGAACTCTTTTGGTTCTAGCAGTTTCCCCTTTCATCTTAGTGCACACCTCTTCCCAACCCCCTAAAGCAAGCTGCTCCCCATCACAATTATTTCAAGTGCACTTTGATTCTTGCCCCCAAGAGGTTAAGTGTGCATTGTACCATTTTGCTGAATCTGGGAGTAAACTTCACTAGATCACAAGTGCAGTAAAGCATTTTGAGACACCATGAACAGCAGCATATGCCTGCACAAGAAAGCATATAAAACACAGTACTTAAGTTTTCTGATGGGGGTGGGGTGAGGAGAGAAGAAATAGGAAAGGTTCAGGCCTGTTGGAGCAAAATGGGCTCAGATTTTTCAGCTGAAAATACAGTAAATTGGCAAATATAGTGGGTCATTTTGAAGACAGCACAATATAAGAAAGATGCTTCAACCAGTGAAATGGTTTTCATGTGGAGAACGGTTTGTTTGTTTCAGCAGGGCTGGGTTACTAGCAATGCCCATATGAACCATCTGCAGTATATATCTATGCATATATACTATAAAACCAGTGCAAAAAAAGCAGTCACAAATGCAGTTCATGTGTTTACAAAGTGCAAAACGCCCCTGAATCCCTGCTACTGAGTTCAATGCTCATCTTCATCATCTTGTAAAATACTTTGCTTCAGCTTCGAAGTGGAATGAAAAGAGGCCCATTCATCTGATTCACATTTCAGTGATCTCACTTAAGTGTATCCCAGCCCTCTGTAGCTTTATTTGTAAAATGAAATGAAGCACTCAGTTTCAAAAGGAAAGTCTACATGATCAAAAACTGCTTTTAAAAAATCTTCATGCCCCCTTTTAGACTTTTGCTCAATGTCATCTGGACAGATCTCAAAACCTGAATTTCTTCTGTGCTGGGGAAAACCATGCCCTCCAACCCCAGGGTGCAGCAGAGCAAAAATCCTGCATTACTAGACAGTATTAAAGCTTGTAGTCTGCTAGCAGCATGAAAGGGTTTGCCTTTTTATGCATTAAAAAAGGGAATCCTCCCTATTACAAGACTTTCCTTTCAAAATTAAGGCTAACTTTGTCCTTTTAAGTGCACGAACATGTCCATTCTCCCACTATTTGTGGTGCAAAATGCTGCTGCTTGTGCACAGCAAAAATGGACAGATTTTTCTCCTTTGCAAAGGCTTATTGCACTAAAAGATAGCAAAAACATTGTCAGTTCTCTAAAACAAAATAGTTATGTTTCTAAACATTAAAACTGATGTCGCCAATACACTGACTTAAATTAAAGCATTATTATTACTCTAATAAATATAAAAGAAAAAAGGAAGCTAAACCTCAAAGTACACGTATATATATATATGCAATCACATTAAAGTGAGAGGCAGCGAGTCAACTAATATATATTTTTTCATTTAAAAAAAAGAGAGACCTCAACTTAGTGTCCGTACTTGAATGGATATTACACGTCACCCTGGCAAAACAGGGGAGGAGATCTGCTGTCACAAGAAGCTCAGAAGGTATACACATGGCACACAAGATGTAAAATTAGCTGAAACTTCTGGACAAGAAGAAAGCAGCAGCTTCATTAATCTCATCAGGTTGTATCGCTACTGCCAGCATCAACGTATATGGTTAACTTAGTTATGGTACAGAAATAGACTTGAGTTGAGCAACTCCAAGCAATGAAGACAGACACAAAAGGCAGCAGTTGGCTAAACCACACTGGGATCAATAGATCTGCAAATGCACTATACACACAGCCTTTCCCACAACATACTCTGTGGAGCTGCTCACTCAAACATACAAACACACTTGCTATGGTCACATTCAAGTGCTGACAGCCATTGAGGGGAAGCCGCTGGCTACCCTCGTAGGGGTACCCAAAGGATAAAAACATTTTTGCACATTCTCTACTTCACTTCACTTGCCCACCCCAACAATCACTTTTTTGATTGCTCCTGTAAGTTTTAATACCGTAATAATTGTTTCTTTTTTGCAGAAAGAGTTGTGCTGCTGAGCAACTTGAGGTAAAGGCATAAAAAAGGGTTAGACTACAAGAAAAAACACACACAAAGGAAAAGACAACAACGATGACGGCAGCACTTCCCATTGGAGGCTGCTTCAAAAGCAGTTGGCTGGTTTCATATTGCATAATAAGTGCCGTGTTCTCGGTGAAGTAAACAATCTTCCTTGTGTCAAAACAAGGATAAGGCCCGTGCCCCCTCCCATAGGATCAGTTTCAGCAGTGGTAGAGGTATCCCCCTCCCCAATGAACTGACCCTTCTTTAAACATACACTGTATGTGGCTAAATTCTGCAGTTCTTCCTTTCGTGAATAGGCTCCGGTCTCACTGATATTTTTTTTTATAGCTAAGCAAAGTACATGGTGCGTAAGGTGTCTTGGTGAATCTGTACAGCCTTCGCAAGGGCTTGGGGATCTCTCCCATTGCTCTGTCCTGAAACATGGCTTCCTTCAGCACTGCAATAGCGGGGAAAAGAGAGAAGAATTAGCAAACACCTTTGGGCCCAAGAAGCATAAGTCACGCTCCCTTCTTATATTTTTAAGCAACCAAGCTGCAAAAAACAATTCCAATTTCTGCACTGAGCAGCCATTAGTACAGCCTTGTGCTAATTCCTTTGCTTCTGAACATCAACCAGCAAAAAGAGCTTTAAGAAAACTGTATTCCGTGTTCTTTTCAGCTCCAAAAAACAATAAATTACACTAATGCAGCACATGGATGAACTTCAGTACTAGATGCATGGTCCCCACCACCAATTATCAGTATAGAACAAGTCACTGGAACACATGTTCCAAACACTTCTATGGGCAAATTCACACACTCATTTAAAATGGCTATCCATAGATATCATGGGAAAGCTTGAAGAAACTGCCCTGCAACATGTACAATCAAATGTGTGATGTAGTGGTTAGCATGAACAATGTGCTATCTTTTCTCACAAACACATACTTAAAGCACAATGGACTGTTGCAAATAATTTGTGCACCCAATTGCACCTAATAAAAGATTGAAGTTGTGGGTAACCATCTATGGGAATCCATGGTTCCCCACCACACCCACAGGGCAACCTTCTATAATGAATGAATGAATGAGCTGTATGGGAACACTGCAGGAACTCTGAGTCATATTTATAACAGTGCTAGATTTATAAAGGACAAACTGGCAATCATGATGACTTTACCTCAATGGACTTCATTGCTAACTGGCTTGCCTGCTGCCATTTCTGTAGAACTCTGTACACATTTAATCATGCACATTTGATGGTTTGCTAGTTGAGGTGAGAGAGACAGGGCAATGCCCAAAGGGGTCTAATTATGTATGTGGTCTCCATGGAGCATGCACACACCCCTAATTACCTCTCAAAATCCAATCAGGGTTGCACAAAAAAGTGAAGTTAATGGATCATTCTTGTAGGCTAACTCTGACTATACTCGGTGGTTTCATATGCAGCAGCATGAAACAATGTGCTAGGACTGAGCTAAACAACCAGGCACCCTAGTGCACATGTGTTGACTATACTGTTTAAACATGTGAAAATGATGCTGTTGACCTTTACTAATTTATTTTTTTTAAATCTAGTTTGGAACAAGTCTGCAATGAGATCAAATGCCATACTTTAACATAAAAAATTATGGCAACTAGCCCAGAGGTCAGAGAAGCCAAGTGATCTGGCAACGCTACTCTTACCTGTCATGTTCTTTGTCTACAAGGTGATATCTTGCTCTGAATGCCACCAGGTGAGCATAATACGCTGGTGCAGGTATAGACACGGATCGTGTGCAGCGCACATAGGTGTGGCAGAGCTGGTAAGTTAGCAGCTGAAGTTCGTCTGCAGTAAAACAGTTATCATCCCACAATACATGATAATGTGAGGGACGGCTGGTACCCTAGGGAGAATGAAACATCAGTTCAAATGCCCAATTAACTTTCTGCATCACATTTCTATAAAAATTAAACTGAACAGCAAATGTTTTTGTATGCCAAGGATATTGACTGTGTTCCTGAGAATACAGTTCTTATTAATGTGAAAAGGGGATTCCATGTTGCTGTAGCCCCACCCTTGCACACTCTTGGCACTGCAGCACATTAGCATCCTGCAGAACACCACCACAGTCCTATCCTGTCACTTATTTCAAATGAACACTTCCAAGTGCTAAAATATAGGGCTGTATCATTCATCAGTGCAATGGCTCTTGTGCGACTGGACACGAGACTTTTAATGCTGCACAACAGAGAAAACCAATGCAACAGTTGTGTTAGCAACAAACTTACTAGCAACCAGCTTATGCATTCTCTGGTGCAACAATGATCCACTGGCACAAAGTTTTTCACCAGCAGATCAAGACAAGTAACTTGCTGCTACATTGGATACAGCCCATAATCAGAGGCTGAAGATAGTTTTAAGGAGCCTTGGCATAACTAAACAAATTTACTTTGTAAGAGCTTGATGCCAAGCTGCTTCAGTTACGAATTTATGAAGCACAGCAATTACATATTTTCTGCAGCTTCTGAAAGGTATATGGGTGAATACAAGCACGGAACAGCAAATGCTGGAGCCATAGCAGAGCTTCCAGGGGACAATTCCTAACACATTTTCTGTCTTCAGATGTCACAGAAAAGATTTAGTGTGTGAGCCAAACATTTTGAGAATACATTCCTGGCTAATATGACATTTTTGTTCCATGGCAAATCTAAAGGGTACACACTTGGGGGAAAAGCTCAAGTCATAAAAAGTTTGCTTTAAGTCAGCCTTGGTTGTTTTAAAAAACTGGTTTAAATAGAAAGCACCCTGCAGATTCACTTATACTACCACTCATGTCTGCTCACGAATGGTACCAAACCCAGACTGAGTCAAGTAGGTTTGTGCTTTAGTTCCTACCTGTATTCCTGCATGGCTACAGAGGTAAAAATCAAATTCATAAGGATGTGTGATATCCGTATCTACAGTTGTTCCAGCTGGGATGTTCCCACTTCTTCCAACCTAGAAAAGAATGCATTTCCACAGGAGAGGAACAAAAATGTTAGTTTGATAATTATGCAATAAACACATGATATAAAATACTGAAAAATCTGCTTTTATTTGTTTCAACTTTGAACATCAGCTTCTCCTAGTTTTTGTGCATGAAAGCAAGTCCAGAACTGGGCTGCTGACACCAGACTTGTAACCTGATGGTGCAAAGAGGCTGGCAGCTGGAATAAAGTCTGTTGTTAACATAGAGGTGAGGTTCACAACAAAATGAAGTTGGAATGCCATTTTGTATCAGTCAATTTTGCTTGCCTTTGAAATCGAACAGTAAACTTGGAAGAATAGAAACATATAGCTTTCTATCAGACCAGACCCATAGGCCCATCTAGCCTGATATCTAGATACTCAGCAGATTGTCAAGGTCTCGTACAGGGGTTTTAGTAAGCCCTGCTGCTGAAGATGTTTTTCACTGGAGTGACTGAACTGGGGACCTTCTGCAAGCAAAGTTGTTACTCTGCCATTGTGCTATGGCTCCTCATTGAAGCATTTACAAAGTGGGGGAATTAAGCTGTTGTACCATGCTATGAATCAGGACATCCTCCATTGAAATTTTGCCTCTACCATCATTTGTCAGCCTCTCAATCCCATCTACGACAGGGGGAAATCATAATGGGCTATCTTATAGGACTGTTGTAAGGATTACAACAAGATGATTCATCTGAAGTGCTGTGAAAGTTCTAAACCACTATATACATGCTAATAATGATAGATTACACTTTCTTCAATCATCCATTTGGAAGCAACTACACTCAAGTTAGACAAGTCTTACCCTTTCTGTCCGATCAGCACAAAACAGCCTTGTATGATGCCTCTTCTGAACAACAATATATGTTATGCCAGGCTGGTAATCCTTTTCGAGACTGATACAGGCCTCTCTAATTGCTAGCAGCTCATAATACAACACCTATAGTGCAGAAACAAAATGGTTAGCTTACTCTCAAATAGAAAATAAAACAGGACACTTAAATCAAATTCTTATGTGAAAAGAAACCAAGATCACAAAGAAAACGGCAACAAATGAGTGGACAGAAAACCTCTCAGAATTTGCTCTAGTAGAAAAACTGATATATTTAAGAATAAAAGGGGAAAAGTAACAGCAAGACAACTTTATGGCACACTGCAAGCCTTTTACTGAACATTCTAGAAAAAAACTCACTGCTTCACTGATCTTAATGTTTTGAGGTATAAAGGTATGGACATTATACTAATTTATGTTATTTTAATTTAAAAATATGAAATTAGAAATTTATTTCTTGAAACATTAGTAGTTAAAGGGTACACTTCAAATTCCAGATCCTTGTTTATTTGTTGTATAGGTGGATGCTGCTAGTATTCTTCCCCCACCCTCGAGTCTTCATGATAAATTAACAATTTTAAAAAATACACACACTACTTAATTCTATTACAGAGACACACACATACATTTGAAGTGTGTCTAACTTTTAAGTCTACTAAAATGTAGAAGACACTATATATTTGCTGGTTTAGAACTTCCAAGGTCTATGTATAGCAGAACTGCAAAACAGACAATATAGATTTATACAGATTTGGGCTGGACTTGCAGTTCAGTCTGGAAGCTAGCATCCTGGTGCAGTTATTAGAACAAGTGTGTTTAAACAACCAGTATCAAGTCCCACCCAGGCGACAGGTCATGTATTTGATATGGTGCTTTGTGCTGGGTAGAAGGAGGGCGATCTCATTGTGGGGAACTTAATGTAGTTCCATTGTTGTGGATGGATCACTACTTGGTCCTGACACATCAGGGACATAATAGAAACGTCCTGCTGCCAAGCTGACAGCTCCTCTGCTGGCATGGAGAATGAGGGTCTCGAGGAAGGAGAGCATCTTTCTGAGGAAGAGGAAAACACTCCTTTACAAAGGAAGTATTCCTTGGGTGACAAATAAACATCTTCTAGGGCTCCTTGTAATGGTCAATTTGATAATTAGGCATACAGAGAGATGGGTTTTGGTGGGTGAATTTAATGCATATCAAAGGTTGCAGGCATCACATATTGGCTAGATAGGCTGGGTGGAATCAGTATTGTGGTGCATACTAGCAGCAATGACAATGGGAAATGCTGAAGTGAAGTTTTGCAAGTAAGATTACATTGTTAGGTAAGGTGATGCAACCTACAACCCCTATTGTAGAATTCTCACAAATGCTACCTATTTCATATGCAAGACCACTGGACATGGGGTGTTAAGGAGTCTCAATATATGAGTGGAATGATGTCAGGAGGTGGGGTTTAGATTTGTTAGACACTGAGAAACATTTTGTGAAAAGCCAATTGGCAGGAGGGTCAGGCCAGACACAATCAAGTAATTCACATGGTGCATAATTAATTTACTGCCATAAGAGGTGATGATGGCCAGCATCAAGAACAATTTTAAAATGGGATTAGATAGATTCACAGAGGACAGATCTACTAATTTGTGCTAATGATAGTATATGCGACCTCCAGGTTATCCTTTGAACACCAGTTGCTAAGAGGACTGTTGCCTTCAGGCTCTACTTGCAGGCTTCCCAGAGTAACCGTGTGTGTGTGTGTCTGTACAAGTCCTGGGCTGATCTTTGGAAAGAATAAATGGCCTGGTGACTAGCACGATTGCTTTTAATGCCCTCTTCCAGTTAGTGGACTCCAGCCATCTCCATGATTTCCCAAGGAGCTGAGGGCAATAAAGGGAGAAGGGAGATGGACCTGGAAGGGTCAGAAGACCTGTGACCAGTTCAACCAAACATGTTAGAACATATTATAGCTATTTAAAATATCTAAGGTGGAGTTTATTATTTATTAAGTTTATATACAGCCCTTCATGTAAGGATCATAGGGCAGTTTATGTATACAACACATAAATATTTAACAAACAAAACATAATTGCCACCCCCTGGCAGTTTTAAAGTAATATGTTGTTTAATTAGCTGAAGGCCTGGGAGAAGAGGAGTGTTTTCATCTGGAGCCTGATGAAAGCTCCAGAAGAGCCTCCCTGGGGAGCCCCTGGAGAAAAGGCCCATTCTTACATTGCCACCCTCCGGATTTCTCGTAGAGGAGGCACAAAAGGGCCTCAGAGGATGACTGCAGTATTGGTTCATATGGGGAGAGGTAGTCTTTAAAGGGTAGGACCATTTAAGGTTTTATAGGTCAAAACCATCTCTTTAATTGGGCTTGGATACTAAATGGCAGCCAGTGCAGTAGGGCAAGGATTGGTGTTATATTCTCAAACCATCATGCAACTTGGCCACTGAATTCTGTGGGGGACTAGGACCTGACTGAAGGGTCCGGTTCTGAACAGCCCACCTTTCTAAGTATTCCCACTTTGACAGGAGCACCCCCCTCTCAAGAACCTTATGTCACCATGACATCAGGTGACCCATTTTTCCTTTGAAGTTCAAGCTGTGCTGCCAAGGAAAATCCCAGGAAATCAAAGCAGAGTTTGACATCAACTCTTGGACTGGCTACACTTGAAAGCTTCCGATACTCTGAAGTGTAGCTGATCACAGTGAAACTTGAAGCCGCTGTGATCAAGCTGACTAGCGCTGTGTTCAAGCTCTGCTTCTGAAAGGGATCAGCTACACTCCAAGCCTTGCATTTGTTGCCAAATTAAAATGCCAAGGAACTACCAGGAGCACATTTTAAGGTTCCCAGTTGCTTCTTTGCAGTCATGTTGTCCCCTTCCTCACACATGGCATCACATGTTACATCAGGTGTCACTTGGGGGAAATGGGCTTGCGGGCCAAATTATGACCCTTGTAAAAATAGTTTTATAAGCGCCGTAATCTGCTCTGAGGGCCCTTTTATGGTAAAAGTTGTGGGACATAAACACCTGTCGAAACTGCCCTTCTGACACCCCATCACGGTAGAAGATTATTCGTGTCGGCTTGAAGCGTGTTGACTTGTAGAACTGGATGAGAAGTTCTCGAACCATGGAGGCCAAGTCTTGGATGATCTCCTGGCGAGGTTTTTGAACTCTCACTGTGGCACAGTACCTGCTTGGATGGGCATCCATACTACCTACAACCTAAAACAAGAGAGGCACATGAAGAAAAATGATCGTTCCAGACAGACAACACTTTCTCTAATCAGTGTAAATAGTTTTCCCCAACAGGAAGCACAAGCCTTCAGAGAGTGACAGTTGCGAAAAGTTGCGAAAACGGCTTATTACTAAATTTTGCTGTATAAAAGCCTGGAAAGTCATCCACATTTAAGAATGCAGTATGTTTTATCCATTGAGGTCTAAACAACTGTGCTTCATTCGCCATGTGAATAATGCATGGCTAATTTGTCATACACATCTAGTGGAGCTCTCATGACATACACACAGCAAACGCACCCACTTGGACAAAACTGAATCTGATAGAACTGGTGATCCTAATGCATGGGTTAAGAGATCTTGTGGAATCTGCTTGTTTTTACTATAACCTCAAGATCCACCAACTAGTATTTGCGTAAAAGACATGTTCTTGTTGTTGTTTAGTCGTGTCCGACTCTTCGTGACCCCATGGACCAGAGCACGCCAGGCACTCCTGTCTTCCACTGCCTAATTATGAGTCTAGCAACAGTTTTGAGTATCAGCGCCAAACCAAGCCTCCCAGATCTTTCACACGCAAAATCTATTTCTGGTTACCCCAAGCTTTCTTCATTTCAGCAGTATTATTTTGTTGGGTGGTGGGATTCATTCTGTTGCTGCTGTTGGTTTTGTTAAAAAATGGGGAGTCAGAAATCCTTGCTGATCAATTGCAAATGAACTGGATATCTACCAGCTGATCCAGATCTGCCTTCTTCTCACAGCTATCACGATGTTATTATCTATACACTGGCTTCATTCACTGAAAATACTAAATGATGATTTAGTGCAGTGGTTTTCAAACAGTGTGCCATAAATGAAGGTGGTCCTTTTCCTCACTGTGCAAGAGGAGAGGGTAGAGTGAAAGCCCAAGGATTTGCTTTGGCTTCTTCCTGTTTGTGCAAAGAGGATGGTGCAGCATTACATAAGTGCAAAGTGAACCTTTATGATTCATAATAATGCTCCATCTTGCGCATGGTTAGCCCTGGAACCCCAAGCAACAGTCATTTTGTATTAGGCATGGAGAACTAATGAGACAGAGACAAGGGGCCTATTTAAGGCAGTCAATCCCTGTGAACATTCTCTCTCTTTCACTCTCTCATAACTAAGGTATTCAATGAAGGTTGGGTGGGGGGCACACACAAATGTGAATGCAACTCACAGCAGCGATAGATGGCTTCTTTCCATCCCCAGCAGGTGGATGAGTAACATCTGCTCCCAAGAAAATCACTGGTTGTTGGAACACAGAAGGTCTTTAAAAAAAAAAGTGACATGTCAATCTCAACCCCAAACTTCATCTCCCGCCTTCCTCAGAAGGGTCCTAGACTATGCACCTCACATTCTAGAAGGTAAGCAACTATTCCTGAAATGCATCCACAGAGTCTAGAAATCTTCATACAGAAAATTAAAATGCCAGAGTTTAGTTTTTTAGAACACGTAACAGATTTTGGATGTACCAGACTTCCTCTACTTAAAATAAATAAAAACAAACACTCCACGTTGCTGTAGGAGGCAGGGAAGCTCTGAACACATGGGCTTACTGAAGATGTGCAAGTCAGAGGGCATCTTACAGTCAGTCTCACATTCCTGTGACTGGAGCTGATGACTCAAATCGTGTGGCCAGAGAGAGGTGGACAATATTGCTCACTGTGAATTATACTGCTTGCTGTATAATTCCTCAGGGATAGGTTTTTGAAATTGATTCATGGTACAATTTATTCTTTGAATAGTGGGGACAAAAACTGTTACTTACTGGATGCTAGGAATAATTATATTATATATAAGGGATATGGTTGCTATAGTAATCCAGACAGATCAGACAAAAATTATCCTGCAAAATGGGGTCCAAGCTCCTAAAATGTACCTTTCAAATTGATTGCATGTATTTATTTATTTTTGCAATCTAATCAGTCAGATTTTTATTGATTACAGCCAATAGCCCTTACAATATGATTAACACAAAATCATCAAGAACATCTAAGGTTATCAAATTATCAAAATTTTAAATTATAAAGTTCCCCAAATCACTTAGATTTAGCTGTGTCAAACCCTGTTTCTTATTAAAGTTTTCAATAAGATAACAGCTACAAAAAATACAAATATTTATTATGTCTGTACAGTCATACCTTGGATCCCAAACGCCCTGGAACTCAGACGTTTTGGCTCCCAAACACTGCAAACCCAGAAGTGATTGTTCCGGTTTGCAAACATTCTTTTGGAATCTGAATGTCTGACGGGGCTTCTGATTGGCTGCAGGAGCTTACTGTAGCCAATCAGAAGCTGTGATTTGGTTTTTGAACATTTTGGAAGTCAAACTGACTTCCGGAATGGATTCCGTTCGACTTCCAAGGTATGACTGTACTTTTGTGATGACCAATGTTGCTTTAGCAAATGAATTTGGCTATCAAATCAAGCACGTAACATTAGTAAGGCTATAACTTGGTTAAAAATCACATTCTTAAGATTCTTTAAGTCAATAAATTAAATCTGAATATGGAAGAATAGCTCTGCAGGAAAAATGTAATTTGCCTTTAGCTGAGGATTGTCGGAACCTGTGGTCCTCTGGATGCGATCAACCTCTGCCAGCATGGCCAGTTGTCAGGGATAATTAGAAGTTCAACAACACCTGGAAGGCCATAGTTCTCCACCATCCCTGTTTTAGATTATGCATGTACATGCTGCAGTAGGTGTTTAAGAAGAGGCATTCCCCAAGTATGAAAATTGAGAAACACATTTTCTCAGATGGCACTTGTTATCTGAAGTTATGACTATATATACTTAACAATTGCAATTAAAAATCATTTTGATTGTCTTAAAGTGCTCTTTGTTACACTTTATGCCAATCAGTGTGGTTTTTAATTGCTTAATCCAACTGATCATTTCATGCCACAACCGGGGGGGGGGGGGAGCAATTCCCTTAAGTTCTACAGAGTACACAATTCTGACAATTGCCTTAACATTAAGGTAGGATTCTTACCGTTGATGAGGTACAAGGATGTTGTTGATTCCTCCCAGTTTTACGTTAATCTTTAGGCACAAGTTAGAGAGGGTTTGAGGAGATGTTTTTATGACATTCTTGACTTGGACACACTGCGTGGCCATCCCCAAAAGTGTGTCCCCCACACGCTTCACCTCGGCTGAGAAACAAGAATTGATATGAAGGGACTTCAATATTTTACACCACAGCACAGTTCTAAAATCTGTCGCTGCAATGTCAGCTCACTAAGTCATGCCCAATGCACAGGATGTCAAGAGAAAGGTACAATATTAAAAAGCAGCACAACTCTATATCTTCAGTACTTTGAAGAATGAGGTCCCCTCCTGATAGGCAGAGAAAACTGGAGAGAATTGAACTTATGCTGACAAGAGGAGCTGATCTGCGTTTCTTCATATGGAGCTAATCTTCCCTAGCAGCTAATAGGGAGGAAAGCAATGAGGCTTAGCTGGAATGAGAGAGATCAACAGGAGAAAGAAAACCCAAGACAAAAGTTTCTCCTTCCTTGAAAATATGAATGCAAAGCTCTCCTTCCAGGCAAGAGTTTTATCTTATCCTGAACAACATTCCCCCCTCTTCCAGCTTGTCTAGTTCTCAGCCTCACAAAATAGCAAGACACATACAACAAGTCTGACCTATGTTGCATGTCCAACTGGCCATTTCTTACAGCAACTTGCTATGCTAAGATTGCCGTTTGAAAGTTTGAAAACAGAAGCGGTCAAACACAAGCTGAACCAAAATACAACTTTAATATTTATTTACCATACACTGGTGTTTTCCCTGGTAGGATGACTATGATGAGCTGGAGCCCAGAATATGTGTTTTTAAGGTGTCGGAACATAGGCTCCACACTGTCGGCACCTTGTGCATATTTACAGAAGCATGGTTGACCTTGGATTGGCATTCCTGCATCCTTGGAAATTTTGCGCAGCTGGTCTGTAAAACCCCTGGCAAAAAATGGAAAGCTTTCTGAAGGAGGAATAATGAACATCCACCGATAGAAACTAAGCATACCCCACCCCCCAAAAACCTTGAATACCTTTTTCTTCCAATCCCTAAAGTTGTGGGTGCACAGATCACATACTTTCTCCCTCCAGCTACTTCTTTCTGTTGTGAGAGCCTTCAACAAGATTTATGGTTATGATGGTACCACTCTCAAGCCCATTTAAAATGTTGTTTCAAGTTCCTGTTGATCACTGGTTTGCATTACACATGATTAAAAGCGTTGCCAGCACAGCTTTTAACCACACATAAGGCTGTCAGGGGCTGCTAAAGGAGAAACTACACACAAAGGAGAGGCTTTGTGGCCAATGTTTGTAGCCAATGGTTACTGTTTTACTATATAATAAAATCTTAAAATATACTGTCATGCTGCAGTTAAGTTGGCATGGCCTCCAAGACGCTGCAACTGTAGCATAGCAGAACAGCAGGTGGAACAGTTCGAGAGAGCTGAAGAGAAACAAGTGAGAACAGCTCCCCAGAAACTGTCCTGCTTAGATGCTACTGCCCATCTCACGTCTTTAACCCTTCATTCAGTCCCTCCTTGCCACAATGTCAAAACAACCCCTTGAATTTCAATCATAAACCAAAAAGTAAAGCTGTGAAAAACAGATATTGTGAACAATATCAGCAGCAAAGGTTGGACAGCTTCACAGGTTTTAAGGCAGAAGCACAAAACTCATACCCTCTTCTAATCGGTGACCTGCCATGTAATAAAAACTGTGTAACATGAGGGCAGGGGAAGGAAGGGAGAAACAGCTCACTGCCTCATTAACAGGTGGCTTACTTCAGTATTTCTTCACGACATTGTCTCTGTGTTGCAAAGCAAGCAATTGCCCACATCTTGATTTCCACACCAGTATGAAATTGTTTTCCCCGCATATCCCACACACCATGACTTGGTGTTGCAACTGTTCGATTCTATGGAAATAAACGGGAAGAAAAAAAATGAAATTAATGTACTGGTAATTTACAATATGTGCATCAATAAATCATTCCACAGATGTTTAAACTCAGACGGTTCTACGAAGGGAAGAGCCACTAATCAAAGTTAGAATCCCATCTGAATATTACACCAGGAGGCAAACAAACAAGGGTTTCTTACCCGCCCTCCGTACTGCAACATGGGAGCTGGAAGCACACGCCCTGTCACATGAGCCATCTCATCACGGACTTTAAACTGAAATTCTTGAACAAATGGGTCGGCATCATAATTAGCACTTCTCACCTGGCATAAAAGTGGAACCAAAAACAGCCATATTGAATACACTTGTTATTGCAGAAGTGCTAATTTAAGGGTTCAATTCCTTTCTCCTCCTCTAAGTCAAGAGCAAACAACGTATTCCAAATGTGGAACAAGGTCCTTCTGTGATTCTTCAACACAGACTTGGCTGCCTTAAATTACAAGCCATTTGCAAAAATTTCCACTATTATTTACTATTCATACCTCATTTGAAGATGCTTAAAAACTTACTAAAGATGGCTGTTCACCAAAAACTATGCCATGCCCTTAAGGTTGAAGCTCAAAGGTTGGCAAAATTAAGGCATGCAAATTTCCTAGACCAGTGGCACGCAAGGAGAGCACATACCTTTTATCATGCTCCATTTGAGGGGAAGCTGCCCTTTCTTAAGAGAAATCTAAAGCATCTACAACTAAATATAAGCAGAGTTTCTTCCAAAAGTTCACTCTAAGCCTCAATAGACGATGACATACTATTATTGTTATTTATTGCATTTGTTAGGCTCTTTAGGAAAAAACAAATCTCAAAGCAACTTAACAGCAAGATGAAATACAAACAAGTAAAATAAATTAAAAGCCAAATTAAAAATTTACATACAATGCAACATTCCTAAAATGTTCCTCGAACAATAGAATAAGACATCCTACCCATACCTACCGAAGGATGAGCTAATTACTGGCTAATTAATCATCAGAATTAAATACAAACATCTTAGCCTAGAACCTAAAAAGTGACCATGAAGGTCCCAGGTGTGTTTCCTTGTGGAGAGCATTCCACAAACAGGGAACCACTAGTGAGAAACCCCATTCTCATCTAGTCACCCTCCACACCTTCCTCAGATGAGGTACACAGAGAAGGATCTTTGAGGGCCACAGGGTCTCAGCTGGTTCAAGTGGGAAGAGGTGGACTTTGGGGTCCTGAGGATGGTGGCTTTATAGGTCCAAACCAGCACTTTGAATTGAACCCAGAAACTAATCAGTAGCCACTGCAGTTGGGCCAGAATTGATTTAATAAACTCAGACCTGCTGGTCCCATTTGGCAATATGGTCACTGAATTCTACAGTTTCCTAACAGTATTCAATGGCAGTCCCATGTTTAATGCATTGCACTAATATAAATTAGTTTGACCAAACTGCGGGAGGCAGTGCAAGACAGGAGTGCCTGGCGTGCTCTGGTCCATGGGGTCACGAAGAGTCGGATATGACTAAACGACTAAACAACAAATATAAATTAGAGATTATTAGAGTATAGACAACTGAAGTTAACTTACCCCTGTGCAGACAAGGTTGCAACTGGATCACCAGCCAAGCCTGCTAGAAGATGCTGTGCACCACTGAGCACAGCAGCTGAGCCAGAAGTACCCCTAAGCTCTGTATCTACACCTTCAGGGTGAGTACGGCTCCTTCCAGAACAGGTCCCTTTTGCACAAGGGCATATAACATTTATAGCCTGGCTTGCATAATCCCAGGTTTGTACTCACTCCCTACAGACCATGAGCCTAATTAGGCCTGTTAGGCCTCTAAGGTTGGCCCACCAGACAGTTTTGGGCAAATCACACCCAACTTTCTCATGCAAATGAAAAAACATACAAAACATCTTACTAAAGGTTAGAAGAAACAAATTAGCCATAGGTCTTGGTATTTATAGGTCTTGAAGATGCAGAGATAATGAGATAAATGTTGCACTAACTTTCATGTACAAAGCAGATTAACCCAAGTTTTGTCCTCACTAATTGATTTCAGAGGTGGGCATAACAGTTATGAAGTCAGCAGCAACACACTCTACAACACTAAGCAGAGAAAATGGCAAAAAGGAGGCTGTGGGATTTAAGAACAAACTAGGAAAGGCCGTGTTTTATCTTCATTAGCCATTCAAGGGTACACAAGTCCTCTTTCCGATTCAAAAGCAAACTAACCAATCTGCTGATTTCTTCTTGTCTATCTGGCGCAGATCTTGCTGTTGCTTTTATCATGGTTGATGTTTGATTGTCTGTTAGTTTCTTGATACATCGCTGGCCTGCCACGATGTTACAAACCTGCAAAAATGGAACATGTCAGTCTAATGATGTACATTAAACAAATTTGTTGAAATCATTTATGAACCTAGCATATTGCCTGCCAAAGCAATTTTAGAACTGTGTTCTAGTAATGTGAGGGTTCCTATGTGGTAAGAACCTCAGTGTAGTACATGTTTCCACAAAAGTTAGCTTTTCTAAAGCTTTCCTAAAGTTATCAATCTTCCTAAGATTCAACATTCAGCATAGGAGAAATTGAATGGCTTTAAAAGAGGATTAGACAAATTCATGTTGAATAAGATTATAATCTTGAATGGTTATATTCTACCTTCACTGAAAGTGGAGGTATGCCTCTGAACACCAACAGTGGATAATCCTAAGTGGGAAGAGTGCTATTGGGTCCAGATCCTGCCTTCAGGCCTACCATAGGCTTCTGGTTAGAGAGTGAGAAAAGGATGTTGGACTAAATGGGCAGCTGTCCTGATTCAGCAGGCTCTTCTTATGGTCTTATGACAAGTTGACAGAGCCCATACCTTCCATGCAGAAGGTTCCAGATTCATTCCCTAGCATTGCCAGCTGAAAGATTAACAAGAAAGCAAGGCTGGGAAAGGGTCTCTTGCTTGCAATTCTGAAGAGTGGTCACCAGTCAAAGTAGACAATACTGGGCAAGATGAACCAACAATCTGACTGAATAAGGTAGCTTCATATGTTCATTGTAATCCACCAGTCAGAGCCAGTTCTTGAAGTGAATAGAGCTTGCAGTCCTTCCACACAAAAATCTACTTACCCCAAACTTTCCTCATTTCAGCAATATTATTTAATGCAAGTGTGCAGGGGGGCATTTTACTGCACCAAATCCTACCGAGCATCACCCTGGGTGGTGACCTGAAAACAGGTGCATTCCATAATTGTCACCTCCCTTTAGAATGCCTTCTTCCCTGCCATACATAAACCATCATTCATCAGTCGCTTCAGATGTCTTGTAAAGACATATCCTTTTGCCAAGGCATTCCTTGACCCATAAAATTAGATCTTTATGTTACTGGATTTGCTTTTTCCATTTTTACACTTGCATCTCAGTTTTTATATTGCTTTATCTGTTTTTATATTACTTTTATTTTGTATTTTTATATACCACTTAAATATTTTTAAATGTGAAGCTTTTAAATAAATAAATATTTGAAAGCTAGTTTTGTAACACACACACACAGAGAGAGAGAGAGAGAGAGAGAGAGAGAGAGAGACGCCCTAAACACAATAAAGAGTCCTGTGGGCACCTTAAAAACTACCTTGTTTATTATGGCATAAGCTTTCATGTACTAAAGCTCATTTCATCAGATAAATGGAGTTATCCTTAGATGGCAGGCATGGCTGTAGAGAACGGGTGTATTTTTTAAAATGTATACATTAAGCTTTAACTTTTTAAAAAATAAGCCAGAAAATCTTTCCTTTATATAAAAAGTTTGGCAAACTGCTTGCACTGCACACAGTTAAAACATCTGGTAAATCCTTTTTGGCTATGCAAAGTAACAGTGTTCTGAATAAATTACTTCAAGAGGCAGATAGGTGTGTTTCTGCTCCTGTCCCACTTGTAGACAAGGAAGATGAGGATATTTCAGCTGCAGGTTGTATTTTTCTCTGAAGTACTGTGCTACTGTTCTCTCCACAGTCTGACCATTTTCTAACTGCAATGGGAAACTGAAAAGAGAAATTGAGTTTTAATCAGAGGAGAACTGAGGGAGTTAACTTCCTTCTGGGAAAAAATTAAGTGATTTTTCTGGAAGTTACACAACATTATTTTATGTCAGTCTTATAATAATAAATAACTTTTTAAAATTTATATCCTGCCCATCTGGCTGGGTTTCCCCAGCCACTCTGGGTGGCTTACAATATATATAAAAACAAAACAAAGCATCAAACATTAAAAAAAACAAAATATCCTATATGAGCAACAAAGAAACCAATAAATCAATAGAAACCATTAATAACAATAATAAACATATTACAGTTATACCCAAATTAAAATAACCGCCAGCCCCAACTAAACATTTTAATAATAATAATAAATAAATAAATAATAATAATAATAAATTATTTATACCCCACGCATCTGGCTGAGTTTCCCCAGCCACTCTGGGCGGTTCCCAATCAAGTGTTAAAAACAATACAGCATTAAATATTAAAAACTTCCCTAAACAGGGCTGCCTTCAGATGTCTTTTAAAGATAGGATAGCTGCTTATTTCCTTCACATCTGAAGAAAGGGTGTTCCACAGGGTGGGCGCCACTACTGAGAAGGCCCTTTGTCTGGTTCCCTGTAACCTCACTTCTCGCAATGAGGGAACCGCCAGAAGGCCCTCGGCGCTGGATCGCAGTGTCCTGGCTGAACGATGGGGGTGGAGACGCTCCTTTAGGTATAGAGGACCGAGGCCATTTAGGGCTTTAAAGGTCAGCACCAATACTTTGAATTGTGCTCAGAAACGGAACCAACATCAACCCAACAAAAACAAAATAGAGGAACCAAAATGAGAACCATTTAAAACATTTTAGCCAATTGCCCCAACCCAAGAGTTGTTCCGGTAATGTCCCTCCAGCCTCTAAGGAGCCTCTCTTAGGAAGGACACAAAGTGGCTTCAAATCAGTGTGTGCATCCATGAATACAAGGGAATAATACAAAAATAAAAACAACAGCAACAATGTATTTTTAAAAAGCACTGTGCAATTTGGGTCTATGGACCACAATAAAGTTATGTGTGTGTGTAAATAAAAAACCAATACAGTGTCATGCATTCCAAATTCTAGAAAAATTGGATGGTGGATTTTTACTGTGGCCATGTATGCAACATTCCAGTCAATTGTTTAAAACATTTGCTTACGTTTGATGACTGGCAGGTCTCCGTGTAACGTTACAGACACGGTACTTTCGTCTCATTGTTCCACAGTGAGTCACTTCAACCTTCAGACCTATGTGAAAACAAAGGGGGAAGAGAAATACTGATGTCACAGAATGGCTGCACCCAAAATGGTACATGCACAAGCTGTTTTATAACAGAACATGCATATTAATGTACAGCAGATTAAGAATGCCATCAGGCTTCTTATTATGGAACAATTCTACAAAGAATGGTTGCTTTGAATGTCTCATTTCATATGCAAAACAAGGGTGTCTGGGGGGAAAGAGGGTCCAATAGACCTTTGGACAGATAATTCCAACTTTCCATTGGGCCCCTTTTGCACGAGCACATACACATGACTTGATCTCATGTTGATAAGGTAACTGGGAGAAGATGGTACAAATGTACAGGAAACTGCATGGCTTGGCACCTATGACATTACCAAAATACATTCACTCTTATCTGTAATTGTGTGTCCCAATGAAATCTGGTGAGCTAAGTCTTTAGGGGTGCTATTGGCTTGTTTTTGTTTTATTATGTATTTTGTGTTCTCATTTTGTATTTTTATGTTGTGAACCGCCATATGATCTTCGGATGAAGGACGGTATACAAATTTAATAATCATAATCATAATAGATAATAAATGCATTCTCGCTCTGCTTGCTCCGGGACCTTTACTGTCAAACTGCCATTTGACTAAAATAGCATGACATATAAACATGAGTGCACGCTACTACAGGCAAAAATGGCTCTACTATACCACTTTCCTCTAGCAGCATTGTGTGCAGTGATTGAGGTGAAGCCACCCTCCTCATTGGAGGTTTTTAAACAGAGGACTGTTGGCCATCTGTCTTGGATGCTTTAGTTGAGATTCCTGCATTGCAGGGGGTTGGACTAGATGACCCTTGGGGGTATCTTCCAACTCTATGATTCTATGATTTTATGAATCTATCAGTCAAAGCTTTCAAATCACCTCTTCATGGCTGTGCCAGAGGAGGGATGCAGAAGCAGAAGAGCATGAGCTTCTAACTTATACAGGTGCACTTACTAGTGCCAACAGTTCAGTTTGTACGCTGAGAATCTTATTTTGGCAAGCAGCAGCACTGTGGTGGCTGAAGGAATACTAAGTGAAAATATGAAACAAATATTGATGCCAAAAATGGCTAATGGTTATGAGACAAAGATACAATGTTGAAGAAGTACGCTCCTAGACAAGTATGGCCTTTTGACAAGCCATGTTCAAGTCTCCACAGTAAAGAGGACTAGAGACTTCTTTGTATGATTTTCAGGGGTTGGGATAAAGGCAACCTTTTCCAGAATACAAATCTCTTACCAGAACATACATTTCATGCAAATTAGTGTATGAGTACCACAAAAGATGAAGAATCATATGCATTTTAAATGAACTTAGGAGTGTTCAGGAAGAGCAGAGGAAAGGCATCTGAGAGCATTATAAGCTACTCTACATGGATCAGTGCTCTATTTTCTACTTACCCTTTATCTCTTTGGTGAATTTTACCCGGTGAGAATCAGTCAGAGGTCGTGGCTGTTCGTCAATGTTGTGAATATCGAGAACTTCACACATAAACTGAATTACAGGTTGTGCTTTGTAGAAGGCAGTGGCAGAAACTAAGAGCAGAAAATAGAGCAGTTAAAAAAGTAGAGGTTTTCCAAAGCTTTAAAAGCAAATGAAATGGCTTCTTTCTGAAGGCTAAAATAAACCATTGGTACACAATAATTAGTTCTGTGTATACATTTGAAGAAGAAATCATTAAAATCATCACTATGCTTTGGGACAACTAAGTGCCATGTAGTACATTTTCTAATTTAAAATATTATCTCATGAATTTGGAGCAAGTTCCCCCAAACTTCTCAGTTTACTGATCCTTTGTCATCACCCATCCACCCTGCAAATTCTTAGGAAAGTAAATGAAATAAAGTTTAAAAATATCAATATTTAATCAACATTTATTAATCATCAATCACCAATAACAGGAATCATCAAATGTAAATATATATATTAATACAGAGGTTTCTCAACAGCAAGGAAGGTACACTTTGTAAATGCCCACATAAATAAAAACAAAAACTAGGGGTTCTATATTAACCACTTTGGGAAACACTGATTTAGAGGGTTCATATTGAAAACAAGTAATCATTAATCTTATGTAGGGTAATAAACTCATGACTACCAAAGTGAGCAAAACAGTAAAAGTCTCATAGTAAGTTACACAAATAATTATGCACATTTACTCCTATATCACTCAGTCAAATTTCAACCAGCCTAAGTTCTCCTTCTCCCCACAAAGAAATAGAACACCCAGCATCCATATTTTCATTCTTGCACAAAACTCTAAACTTGCAAGTTAGACTCAAGCCTGAAGTTTCTCCCAAACTAATAAGATCTCCAAAGCAAGTCCAAAAAAATGCCATTAATCTAGTTTCGGGGGAGGGGAAATAGCAGGCACTCAAATTCACATATAAGGGCACAATTTTATACAACAACCATTAAAAAAATGCTGAAAGGCACTGGACTGTAACAGCAATATATTAACAAGAAGAAGTTAACAATAGACAAAATATCATTATAAATCAAAGCTTACAAACAACCATATGGCGCAAAACAAATGACTATTGTATTGAAGAATGCTCAAAGCAGCTGAGAGGAGACAGGCTTGCAGATAAGGTCCTGTTTCAATGATCTTAGTAAGATCATGACACCTCAATAACGTTTCAAGGTCCTGAATGAGTTTTCACAACTGGGAGGACTTCAGGAATGTTTAGCGCTCCAAATAAATTTCTCAATTGCAATATGATAATACAACTGCAAGCGGCCAAAATTATTTTTTCCTCCCATATTTTAAACATGATGTCACTGTAAAACATCACTCAAAAAGCATTTAGGGGTATTTGAGACTTTACTAAATTATAAAGGCTTACTTAACTTAGGGATGAATTTGTTGCCACCTTTGCCATGCTGTGTGTGGGTGAATGCAAGGCAATACATTTCAAATGCTTTCCATACAGCAGAATTACTAGACTGTGAAACAGTTAACGAGGCGTTATTGAGGTTCCCAGGCCTCAAGTGCACCAAACAGAATGTCCCCATACAAATATAACAAAACATTCTTCAGACATGCGTCACCACCAGCAGCCCGCCAACTTCACATGACGCATGCTAGCCGACGCCTACAGATGCTGATTAACTGAATGAACACAAATAGCTTGTGTGCATCCCCCCAAAAACCTCAACCTGCTGCAGCTTGTCACCATGGTAACCAAACTTGCTACACCAATTAGAAAACATTTTATAAGTACTTAGTCCTGGACGGGCAACAATTAAGAAGTTTCAGTGGACCAGGTTTCCTCTTCAAACCACATTACAGAATGAAGTTATCCTGCGCTAACAGTTTTACTCCTCAAATACAACATTCACGCAGGCATTTTAACCTAAATATGAATTAGTATGTTGCTTATAACTTTTAAACCTTGTCTATTCTAGCCATAAGATTAAAAGCAAAGCACCTTCATGTCAGAAACTGGGAGGGGGGCATTCTTCAGAACTGCAAGTATTACAAATAATTTCAGTGTTAAGATGCCTTCCCCCATCAAATCATACCAAAGTCAGTGACCTGTTAGTAATTAACCAACTCAAGTTCTGTCAATGTGATTTTGCTTATGCACCTATCACTGCCTGATGAAAGGCATGGCTTTCATTAGTAATGCCTGCTTTCCCATCTACCTTGTTACTCTAATTAGCAGACAATATTTCTATCATATGCTCTTGGATTCTTGGGCTTAAGTGTTTCTATAATTCAAAAAATTATGAAGGAAAATATTTGCAGCACACCTCACACCATCTACAAAGGAGAAAAGCTGGCAGGAACAATATATAGAACAAGACAATTTGCATGTTAACTATTTTGATTAGTTATCAAAATTTACTGCGATGAACTATATCTATATATGTATATATTTCATACTCCGATACAACAGCCATTTGTAGAGACAACATACTTCTCCATGCTCTCAGAGAACTGGCTTACCATCAATATTCAGCATCATTTTCCACATTGCAGGTCGAACAGACTGATGGAATCCAAACCATACTTCCCTGCCACCTCCCAAGGGATGATCATAGCCTTCTGGAGCAGAGAAAAAGGAGCGGCCTACAGGTGTATACCTATATAAAGAAGAGGTTATGTTACTGCTGTAGCTAAATATTTAGATGGTGGGTGCATAGCCAATCTAGGAATGAATCTTTCAAACGTTCCAAGAGTTGCAATTCCGTAAGTGGCAGAAGTTATTATGAAAATAAACAGTCTTGCAAGGTCCTGCTTTTGAAACAGGAACATATATTTACATATTTATCTTGGGCCTGAAATTGCAATAGATATGGAAGTGGGATTAAAGGTCTGAGTGTGGAGACTAATTTTTTACAGCATCTATTCCACGCTTTTCATGCAAAAGGGTTGGATAGACACTTCCCTGTCAACCTCATTTGGGGTTGAAAATGAGAGTCTCATGCTTCAAGCTTGATCCAGGATATTACTAGGCCTGCTGAAATCATAGGAATGATTTGCTGAAGCTGGAAGGCAATCAAAATATGTTGGTAAATGAGGGACTCTCCAACTTCCCAAGCTGGATTCAAAATACAATGACAAGGAGGATAACCTAGGACATTTGGAGAAGCTTTAATGTATAGCCTTCTCAGTTACTTAGGAGCAGATATGCTTCTGTTACTCTTTCCTCAAAATTTTGTCCTTGTAATTACAGTACCAGAAGGTGGGACCAACAGACGTTGTTCTTTTGTTTTGTAATTTTTACACAGGAGCTCTTCAATGAATGAATAACCCTTTATTGATTAAACTACCAGGTAGTCAGCCCAATTTTGTGTTAAATATTTGCTGGGAGATCCCTCTAAAATCCACAACCAGCAAGGGGTTGCTTTAACACATGGCTTTATTTGGGTTTAATGACTCGAAGTTTGCATATTTGTTATATTTGGGGTTCCTTGGTGAAAAATAGAATAAAAATTAAGAGTATACAAAAGTTGTTTGACTTCATCTTTTTCCCCCTCTGAGAATTCCATCAGAAAATAATAGCAAAAACAAAAAGCATGTTTTAATTTTTTACGGCTAAGAAAGATTATAAATGGCCAAGAGCTGTTCTGATTGTCATTTTATTTTATTTTAAACTTTCCATCTTGTCTATGCTACTGTGAGAAAAGAATGCGCTCTGATAAGGAGACAGGCGATTCAAGCTTTTAAGGCAGAGACTGTAAGATCTTAAGGTGGAGATTAACTTGTTAATAAGACCAAGAACACACAGTATGGTAAAAACAGTTGGACACCCCACTGACCACTGGCATTGTGCAGCAATTATTGGATGAGCAACTAAAAGAGGTAAGAGATGAGGTGGATAAGATGGTGAATGAAAATGGACATGGGGAAGATGAGGTTAAAAAGGACACAGAACCTTTGGAGAACAATATTGATAAAGTACTGCCACAACAGGAGAGTGGAATGGTAAAGCTGGAGAGAGTAGATGATGAAACGGAGAAGACCTTCACACAGGTGCCTGGAGGAGTAAAACACTCAAGCAGTGGACTTATGAATGTTGGAGAAGTGGAATGAAACCATGGACTGAGGATTCTGTGTACAATTTGGAATGAATTTAGAAGAAAAAACTACCAAGCCTCTGGCAACTCTTCTGGAAAAAGAAAGAAGCAGAATTGCAAAGATCCCTCCCCTAAATTAGGATGGAAAATCATAGCCATAGAAATGGGATCAGAAGATATGGAACTGGGTGTGAATTAATGAATATACAATAAGTAAATAACTATGGATTACTGTTTCAATATATGACCACAGTGGAGAGACTCCTGTGTGAATAAAGATGAAAAGTTCTTGTTTCTCAGCATTGGAAGTAAAGTTGTTGTGCTAAACTGGAGGAAGACTATTGTGGACATGTACTGATAATAATAATAATAATAATAATAGCAGAACCTCTTTAGACTTTTTGTGTGGAAGGGAAAATGAATGAACTTGAGATGTCTGAAGACTGGGAAAATACTGCCTAGCAGAAAGAGGAACAGCTGGATACTACCCTGGAGTGAATACTGTGAATATTTTGAATAATCCTTATATGATATACCTGACAGATGGAGAACCGGAAGCCCTTTTTATTTCTATCTCTTTTATTATTTTTATCTCCCTGCTTCTTTTTCTTATTTTTTTCCTTGCTTTGCTTTTGTTTCTGTTTTGCTTATTTTGGTGTCCTCTACTCTGGGTTACTAAGGGGATTGGACACACATGAAGGCGATGGATGGTTGATGAAGGGCCCTTTGTGAGAAGTGGCGAAGGAAAGATATCCCAAGGTGGGAAGCTGAGAGAAGAGAAGCTCCAAGGTAAGAGCTGGAAGGGTCCACCTCCTTCTGCGTGAGACAAGGATTAAAATTTTCCTTTGAGATAGGACTTTGTACTTCCTTTGCTCTTCCTTTCTTTTTCTTTTTCTATTTAGATTAGTTTGTTTTTTATTGTACTGTATGATGAAAAGATTCAACAAAATTTAAAGAAAAAGTAAATAATAGCAGACTTCTGAAAGCATACATACACAGAAAGTTGCTTTAAAACATACTAATTATGTGGTTCCACAGTACAGTCTTAGTAGATTAGACAAGCAAAACACTGTCATAGTGTGTTTGGTATTCTTTTACTGCTCTGTTGTGGCCATTATCTTACTGCCTGCCAGTTGCCAACACGAGCATCTCATGTCCTTGATCACTTCTGAATGACCTCATTGTGAAAAGGCTTTCCAATTAACCATTGGTCTTCCAGAATAATTATGTACATGTCTAGAAGTAGCAATGTGCTCAATGGACAAAACTGAGAAACCTTTACTCATATCCTTAATGCAAAATGTAGATGAACCCTTTCTCTCCCTTACCCTGAAAAATGTGCACAGGAGTGTAAAGAGATCCATTCATAAAGATGAACTTTAAAAAGATAGATAATGTGTTCAGAGAATGACAGGGAACCTACTTCATGGAGGGTAAGTGTCGTAGCACCACATCGACAGCATGAACAGGGTTAGTGCTGATTGGCTTGTCTAATTCCAGAGGTTCAGGCAAGGTTCGTCCTGTCAGAACCTCATGCAGCAAGTGCCAGCTCACCCGGGAAACAAACTTTATTGACACCTTGAAGGGACGATCTTTACCACCTTCTCCAGGCAATGTTACATCCAAATCAACCTGTTAAGGGAAAAAGCCATAGGAGAGGATACAGAGAAGAAGAATCCTAAAGTAAGTAATTTATCTGCAAGTGTTACTTTTTTTCTTCCTCTGGCCAAACTGTACTGAAGGATTTAAACCTATTTTACCAAATAGAAGACCGAAGAAATGCTAGGCATCTATGTGAATGACAATGAAATGGCATTCCAGATTAATTCAACATGCCAGAGCTCACAGTGAAATTAAGAACTGCATCCACTGGCTATGATGCTGCAGACTGGATGTGCGTGCACACTCAATGTATCTCACCCACACCAGACTGACCATTTGTGTTGCAAGACTGAGTCCAGCGGAAATGTGTCCAACTACCTTGTAAACCTTGTCAATTTCATACACAAAAACTCAACTATTTAGTCCTCAATCCCAACTAAAATAAACTCAACTGCATTTGTGCATACTCAACTCATTAATCTCCACTCCCCCCTTTCCCCTCATCCTGTCTGTCATTTCTCCCATCGCCCAGATTTAGATTGTAAGGTCCTCCAAGACCTGCCATTCTTTGTAAAAATACCACACCAAGTGGCTGCAATGTACAGTAACAATAAAACCTTAACATTTTCAGAAAAGATTTCATTTATCTTACAAACAATTAGAACTTATGGAAGGACAAACTATCTTACCCCAGTTGTTGCAACGGGGAGCGGATTGGCTGTATAAAGGCTTCTTTTACCATCATAAACAGGTCTGCGGTCCCCAAATATTGTCACTTTAAAATGCTGCACCATTGAATCTACCACCTCCCTAGGGAAACAATATATATATAATTTTAAAACAGTATGGCACTAAGGGAGAAAGTAAGAAAAACTACATTTCAGCCCATTTTAATATTTTCAGCATTTAACCAATTGTCTAAAAGAAGCTTCATTGAATTACGATGTCAGAACAAAACTAAGTTTTAAGAGTGTGCATAAGATGGGAGAGAATGGTTATTGCTTCTTCCTCAGTGCCAAATAAAATTTTAATAAAAAGAACTCAGAATGACAGCTTGCTGCATGTGTTTAACTGCTACAAGAGAAATGCTACGCCCCTGTGCTTTCCAACACTCTTAATTTCCTTATGCAAAGCTGAGAACAATTCAGTTCTTTACATATTCCAGTGAACATTTCTTGTTACTGCAACTCCTCTGACTGGTGATGGCAACAATTACAACACAGTGACCTTGTGGCTGCATCTTATCCTGTTAAAAGTCACTGTTGTCTTAGGCCACTGAAAACATAAGTCTTCGTATAGAAATAGTAAGTTGCATTGAACTTTCTTCCCAAGTTTAATGCAATAACAGAAGAAAAAACTGCCCATCTCATTGCAAAGAAATTCCCAATCACAGTGAAAAAAAGCAAATGAAGTTTTTATGTATACTTGAACTGAGGGCAAAAAGTTGGTGATCTCCCCCCTCCCCTCTGCTTATTTTCCTATATAGCTTTATTACTGATCTTAGGAAAACCTACTCAATGAGCAGAGTAAAAATAAAATATTATGATGAGTTATTTTCCAGCCTTAGGATTTCTTCACACATTATGTAGTCTTAGGTGGATACCTCAAGATTGTAAGGGTACACAACGTGGTACAGTGGGAATGTGTTCGAGAATGCACATATATCAGATTCATGAGTTTGGCTGTGGTTTCATGTTGAGTATATATTTGATGGCTTAAACAACAGTTTGTTTCTGTGTAGCAAGTGACATGGCCCTAAACATCATAGGGAATGCTTCTCAGTGGGAATGAGGTTTTCAAAGGCGCATCTCTGCACTACCAGTACTGCCAATAAAGTTTTGTTTATTTATGTTATTCCATTTATAGTAAACTTTCCACAAAGTATTTCACGGCAATTTTTGTGTAGAAACATCGATGAAAACCATTCAGAACAATTCCATATATACAAACCATTTCAAATCCAATACTGGCTTAGCCACTTAAAAGACTAGTGCATTTAAGAGGAAGGTCTGCAACAGATGCTGAAAAGACAATAGAACAGTGCATGTCTGATAAGTAATGGAAGCTCCAAAGGTAGGTGCCACCATGCTAAAGACCTGATTCCTATAGCATATGAAACAGACCTCTTGCTGAAATTATATCTGCATGAGACAGATGATCTGCAAAGCACAGAATCAATTGGGTATATGAGGGTGAAACAATCTCTGAGGTATCCTGGTCCCAGACTATATAGGGCTTTGTGCACATAACAAACACCATGAACTTAGCTTTATAGTTAATTGGCAGGCAATGCAACTGTTTTAGCAGCAGAATGACATGGTGGTGATTGTGAGTAGTCAAGCTGCTGCATTTTGCACTAGTTGCAGCCAATCTCATGGGCAGCTCCACCTAGAATGTATTGCAGTAATCCAACCCAGGTTACCAGGGCATGGACAAAAGCTGAAGGGAAATACACCAAAGGTAGCCTTTGATCCACCAAGACTGGAATAGACACATGGGTGCCTCCCTTTTCAACAAACCACTTACCAACACATCAGATAGGACCATCATGAAGCTGAGTTAAAAGGGAATTCAGAATACAAGGTGGGAAAACTAAAACAATTTTATTGAGATAGGACTTAAGCTGAAGTTTTGTTTCTTAAAGTTTTCCTTATTTATACTATACAGTGGACCCTCCGGATACGAACTTAATTCGTCCCGGGGGTCCGTACTTACCCCAAAAAGTCAGTATCTGGAGGCGCCACTTCTGCACAAGCGCGCAGTGCGATAGAGCACTTTTGCGCACGCGCGAAGAGCGCTTCTGTGCGTGTGGCGAAACCCGGAAGTATACACTTCTGGGTTTGCCGCGTTCGTAACTTGAATTACGTTACCTGAAGGTAACGTAACCCGAGGTACCACTGTATATGGAGTTACTGTCTGTTTAAGTTACATACTTGACTGTATTTTACTACTACAAACTGGAGAATTTTGCCTGAAAGTGGTATAAAAATGTAATTAAATACAAATTGTGCATCTGGTGGTATGGAAGTCTAGTGAAAACAAATAGTGTTGGTGGAGTATAGCCTTAATTTTCCTCCTCAAATCATCTGGAGCTGTCTCAATTGCACAATGACTGTGTTCAGACCTGCTCTTAGTCAAGGAGTTGCACCTATATGGCTTGTGGCACTTTCAGTAAAATTGTATTTGATGCTACCAAGAGCAAGATGCTACTGTAGCTCTGCCTCATTATCATTTCCTGAAGGCCAGCCAGACTCAGTTTGACATCCTTAGGAATACGTATCAGGTGCGCACCAACAATATCCTCATTCCCTGTCCTAGCTCAGCTAAATCCTAGAGGCCTGGATGCTAGACTGTTTAAAATATTTTTGTCTCTTCTTTTCACAGATAAACACAGTATATTAAGCACATAAAAGGGAAAACACGTCAACGTGATCTCCATACTAATCCCAGCACCTCACGGGCATCAAATTTTGGCCTCACTCCCCACCCCCCACACACAACAAAGCAGTATGCAGCCCACAGGTTCCACGATGAAGTACTCTTGTGGCCCACTTGGTGTAAAAAGTTGGATGTCCCTGCTCTAGAATAAGCATGTATCAGAGGACTAGGTGCACAGCAATGGAACACAATACTTCAATAGTAGTAGTAATAATAATAATAATAATAATAATAATAATAATAATAATAATAATAATTTTTATTTATATCCAACCCTCCCCAGCCGAAGCCGGGCTCAGAGAAGCTAACAACAGTAAAATGATACAACATTCTAAAATCATTTCATTATAAACTATGATTTCCCACTGCACATTAGCTAACCCGAAGGTCAAAGCAGATATCTTGAATATACTTGAATAGTAGCATCCAGCAACATTATAGGGTCATAGCAAACAAAAATTTAAATGCAAAATAAAGTTATTCTGAGAACTTGGGAGCCATCCACCACCACACTGTACAAACACTAGGTGATGAAACTTCTCAGCAGGTATGAAATCATTCAGTTATAAAAGCATGAGTTCACACCAACTGCATATTGCAGAATCTACTAGAGCTAGAGTTGAAGTAATCTGCCTTTTCTGTAAATTACATGCTTACATTTGCTTCCCAAGTATGACTTATCAATAAAAGCAACATCTCAAAGCTCTAGTACAGTATTAAAACTATTTGATCCTGGGGACTTTGGACAGTTACTTTCTTTAAAGTTAAATCAGTCTGTCAAGCGTTTTAGTGAGCATCTTTAACCTAATGGCCCAGGAAAGAGTTCTCACTTGTTTGGATGCAAAGACTTTCAGAATAGCATTAAACACACACACACACACACACACACACACACACAGACACTCTACTGCAAGCATCTGAATAGTTAAAAGCATATTGAAGCATTATTTGAAACCAATTAAAACTAATTTTTTCTTAATATGCATTCCATTTCTCTACAGCATCAGGCTGGATAAATGTCTTTTCTTGCCTGGAAGGCTTCACCATGCAGAGGACTGGCCAGGTGGGATCTGGGAACAAAAGAAAGCTCCGCAAACTGTTCATTGCAAGAATAAAAGCTAAAGAAGAACTATTACTAAGAGAAGTCATAAAGCTCTGCCTACATTACTCAATATTAATGCCATTTACAAACTGCACTTTCAACATAAGCTACTCTTGGGGGAAGGTGTGACTGTCCATCACAAGAGGCAGAACAGAAGTCTTAGAGCCCAGCTTTTAATTTAGTTTTATTAAATATAACTAGCATCTGCTTTAATTAATCACGAGGCCATTCTTCTACAAATGGCTAAGTGTGGTGCATTCAAGCTACAGATTATAATTTGCTTGTAAAGCCTTATTTCACATCATAAACAGAACCAATACAAATCAAAACTGGGATTGGCAGAATTCTTGTTCTGCCTGCTGGAACTGAAGCAAGCATTTCCACTGAGAAATTAAGCAGCCCACCAAGGAATGCAATTGACCCCATCACACAAATAAGCAAACAGTTCCTACAGCAAAAGGAAAATATCATAAAGACATGAGACCACTTGTAGAACTTCAGCTGTACAAAGGGTGTTATCAGAAAAGATGGAATCAAATTCTTTTCAAACAAATGCTAACTTTAAAAGTTGTTTTTAATTCCTGGTTGAATGTGATGTTTTCTCATTTACTCCCTGAATACTTAATGTCCTAGTGATTCCTAACACAAATAAAATACTTGCCTCTAAACACACTAGCCCATTTACTAAAGAAAGACAGTTTTCAAAAACAATTCTTAATTCTGCTATTTTCCAGGTTTAGAGTGCCAATATAAAAGAAGGCATGTTCAGTCTACAGATGGTCCTCGTTTGCTCCGTATCTTGTACGAACATTCACATGCGCTCTGTATTGTGATACAGATTAAAACAGTGCTCTGGGCAGCAACCATGCAAAATACCTAGGGAAACTAGAGCAAACATATTTTGCTCAAACAAGGCTGTCTGATTAGTCCCAGCTGTTAAAGCAGCTATAGTCTTACAAAAACATCCAACATCCAATTTCATCAAGTACTGCCTAAACATCTGCTTGATGTATTAATATTAAACACCCTGACTTACCTGTTCACCCTCCGAGGACACTTATCTGGCTTAATATCTACCTCATAGAGGTAGACGTCAATCTTTGGGATTTCAACTTGGAAGCAGTTGGCCAGCAGTTTAATGGGTTTGCCCATAGTGCCATAGCCAGGTCGTCTGGGCACCATCAGCAGGGGCTGAGCCCCAACGGGTCCTGTCAAATAAATATAACATATAGTTTAGAGTTTCAAATGTGAAATATGTAGCAGACACATTAATTAAATGTATTTAAACATGTTTACCCTAGGAGACCCTGGGGGGGAAAGTAGTTACTAAAAAGGCTACAGAAAAAGCTTGCTGAGACTCAGAAGCATGTAACATTGGTAACCTGCCCAAAATATCACCTAATCTGACCCCTTTGCAGAACCAAGTACTCAGACCCTGCCACAGATCCGCTCAATTCAAACCAAGCTATGCCATTAGCAGAGAGAATGTGCTTGCAGAGCAAAGAAATAATTATTCAAGGAATCAAGCCAACCAACACACAAAAATGCTAGTACCCACACATAGTACCTAACCAACCTTACCTAAAGGAAAGTTTTCTTCTGTGATCAGGCAAACCTTAAGCATGCATACAAACTCAGTGAGAGGTGTGAGCTTGCTTGTGCCTGGTAATCTCATTTATATTAGGTCTAATTTGAGACAAACAAACTTTCATCTCCTCATCAACACAAATAAGCCTTTCTCTTTTCTGATCTTTCATATTTGTCAGAGTTAAAAATTCCTGTTGACAACAGTATGTCATGGAGAACTGTAGAAGAATAGTCAATGTTATTCTCCAGCACTCTGTTTGAACAGTGATTCTGGATCACAGCTAGGATTTGTCCTCAGTATCACTTGATGTCTTGCTCTCATTTTGAAAAGGTATCTATCCATATTCTGAAAATTAAAAAAATGTTTTGATACTACGCTATACTACACTGAATTGTTTAAATGTTTTGTTGATTGTCTCTGAATCTTCCTTCCACACTTACCATCCTCTCCTGCCACACACCACACCCTTTGAGAATTAATAATAATAATAATAATAATAATAATAATTTATTACTTATGCTCTCCCATCTGGCTTGGCCTCCCCAGCCACTCTGGGCGGCTTACAACAGAGTATTAAAAACAAGATAAAACATCAAACATTTAAAAACTTCCCTTGAAGTTTTTCCCCTGAAGGGCGGCCTTCAGATGTCTTCTAAAAGTCAAATACAGTAGTTGCTTATTTACTTGACATCTGATGGGAGGGCGTTCCATAGGGTGGGTGCCACTACTGAGAAGGCCCTCTTTCTTACCACTGATTTAGCAGTTTGAAACCTCATGTAAAATGTGGTGGCTATTAGTTCCACTGCCTTCAATCTTCTGTAATACAACTATCTCTATGCCCTTTAAATAATTCCAATACATTTCTGCAACTACTTATATACCGTACCTCTATTTCCTTCACTGAAGCCAAACAGGCCAAGTAACTCTAAGGATTTTATATACCACTCCATAAGTCAAAAGAAAAGAGCTGTTTGCAACTTCATAAAAGTATCAGCAAAAATGCAATTAAAAATCTGTATTTTTAGAGCAGGAAACAATTATTAAATAAGATAGCCTCTTAAAAATCATTATATACTAAAATGAAATATGGGTACCTCGGCTTGAAAGCAGAGATGAGCGCCGCACCCCATAGTTGAATTTGACCGGACTTAACCATCCAGGGGTCTTTTACCTTTACCTTTATGGGTACCATAACAACTTCTAGCAGATCCAATATGCAGCAGAGACAACCAGATCTACCCATCAAATATACATGCAAATATACAAGGTAGCAGCAGCACTCTCGTTTCAACTGTCTCCCTAACTTAAGCTCACACTGAAAGATGGGGCAAAATGACATACTCCTCATTTATGGAGCTGTCACCTGGGAGGACCCACAATCATTCCTCCCTCTCACAATGGCGCTTGTGAGGAACATATAATAGAATTTGAACTAGTTCAGGCATAGGCAGACTTGGCCCTCCAGATGTTTTGGGACTACAACTCCCACCATCCCTAGCTAACAGGACCAGTGGTCAGGGATGAGGGAGTAGTCCCAAAACATCTGGAGGGCCAAGTTTGCCTATGCCTGGACTAGTTCCATCCATTTCTGTAATAATCTTGTTCTTTACATCAGTTTTTAGTATGAATTCATCCTTCTCAGATATAGATGGCCAGTTGTTAACAGAGTATTCTCCAGTATGGTCCAATCAGTGCCTGACGAAAGGTTGCTGAACTTTCTTACTACTATTATAAATGCTGCATTTAATGCATCTAATTAACATTTCCTGAAATCCCTCTGCGCTTGTTCCTTGCCAGCATGATCAATATGCCAAGGTGAGAAAGCTAATATTCCACCAGTTTCCCTTTCACCCTCTTCATATTTTCCACACTCATCACTATCCTCAGACCTACCCAAACTTTCAGAAAGCTAAAGTTTCCAAAGTTCATTCCAAATTTCCTTAGCTTCTTAAAAGTGTTTTATTTTAAAAAATTATTTGAATAAAATATAAAGAAAAGTATGCCAACTTTAGCAGAAGAGTCCTCTATTTAAAGAGAACAGCCCAACATCACAACCCCCATGTTAGAGGGAAAGCCTCAGTTCAGCTTCCTGGAGCAAAGGATTTCCAGAAAGTGCCTTGGTAGGCCACCAGCCTTCAACCAGTGAGTTGGAACCCACTGCAAGGTCTCAGGTTGACCTAAGGTGGGTTTCAGCACTAACACTATTCAAAGATATAGCAAAACATTACCAAGTAGGCTCTCAAATGCATGTTTGGGATAAAGGAAGTAGGGGTCCTCACCCTAAAAGGGTAAAGACCACTGGTTTAAGCTACCCTTTTGCTAAGCCATTAGCTTTCAGCACAAAGGCGCAGACACTGTTTCCCCCTTAGTAGAGGGCTTTCACACTGTAATATGTGTAAATAAACAAATTTATCTTTTGGCAATATGGCATTGCAAAAAAGAGAGAAAAAGAGATTTCATTCACAGAGGAGCCTTGGATCCAAAAGAGGCTCCTGCTTATGGAACTGAAGAGGTGATTTATCAATTCCCCCCGCCCCCCTGCCTTGCTGCTCCTCCAAATCAGCTCTGAAGTAGCAGGAAACCCTCTAGAACAGCATGCAAGCAAGAATTGGCAAAAATCACCTCTCCGCCACCACCATTTTGTGAGCAGGAGCCTCTGCTGAATCCTGAGTTTCCATTACTGGAGAACTCATTCAGTTCATGGAATGGTACCATTGTATTCAACCCACCAAATGAGAGCTAACTGTCTATCCCTACGTAATGAACCACATTCTAATTAGTTCCTATGTTTTTGAAGCACAAGTTTTTTTTTAAAAAAGATCATACAATGATTAGCAAAACTGAAGATGGGGCTGAAAGACAGTGAAACCATTTAACATTTGTTTAAAAACCCGAGGCATTTTTGTTGGGGATTGTAGGGAAAGACCTGCCAAAAAAGTTGAAAAACATCTTCATGTATGCGACAACAGCCACGAGAGTTCTGGTAGCACAAGGATGGAAGACTGAAGAAATCCCAACTAAAGAATCATGGCAAGAAAAATTGATGGATTATGCAGAACTGGCAAAATTGACATATAAGCTACGGGACAAGGATAACTGTGACTTTAAGGATGAATGGGAACCTTTCACAAAGTATTTGAAGACGCAACAAAGTGAACTGGACTCCTTGGCAGGTTTTGAATAAACATCCACAATTTTTTACTGATAATAATTAGCTAAACAGTTGGAGGATCTATACAACTCTGTAACATGCAGAAAACAGGATTATTGGAGAAACCAAAGACTGGAACTGAGGGAAGTTGGGGGGTGAGGTGGGGGGGTTTTGTGGGGGGAGGAAAAATGGGGGGGGGTAAGGATATGTTTTTGGAAAATATGTTTTGTTATAACTTTGAATAAAAAAAAATTTTTTAAAAAAAGAAAGACAGTGAAACCAGAAGTGAACCATATCTACTGAGACAATTAGAAGTTTCACTACTCACAGCAATCAGCTTCAGTAGCTTAAGTATTTAATAGAAAGCCAATACTACCAAAACAGAAGGAGGATGCATTTTCAAGAGGTGCATTCAGGCATATCTAGCTATGCAGGCAGCAACATTACTTCTTCCGTTTTTAGCATTTTCTGTAGAAATTCCCTGTACAGGAAGTAATATTTTCACTTCTCATTTTACTAACACTGTCTCAAATAAAAAGAAACATATTCAAAAAGATAAATACTGGAAACTCATTTGGAGCTATTGGAATGAGTCAACCAACAAATGTCATTATATGTAGATATGACAAACTCAAAAATGACCCCGCCTTTTTTCACACCTACTCATTGACAGAAATTGTGTATATTCCCACCTTCTAACATCAGCTGTTAATTTATCTCTTGTATGTGGAGAAAAGCAAATCATAGATAAAATAGCATCATGTTTCTTTTTACCTACACTAAAATCTGCCCTGTCCACTGTTTCAGGGGCTATATACAAGCTGCTCTGTATTGGAAAAAGCTTTCACAAAACACAAGAAAAACAAGACACATATATTAAAAGACCAGATTCATATCACATATGAAAATTGCTTAGCAAACATTTCAAAGTGACTTGTTTTATACACCAACCTCATCACATATCCTAACCGCCAAGGCCTCCAAAAGGTATGAACATAACAAAAATCAAGCAAGTCAAACAACTATATAGGTAATTAGACACATTTATCTCTTTTTGGTATTAATATTTTATTGAAAAGTTTTCAAATATAAAGAAATAAAGTGATACAAGCCACATTTGCTACAATATGGATTGTGTTTATAATACATTACCTAAATTATTGTCTCCCCATATTATAACTGCCGAGACCCTAAGATCAGGTGATATTGAATGTTACACCAGCAGATGCAACTAGACTTCCCCTTCCTCTCTTACCTCATTACAGTTCTACATACCCTCCATTTACTCCAGAGGTTCACCCAGAGCAGATTTTGAGACTGAGGGAGGGAGGGTAGGAGAGAAAAGGAAACTCCCATTGCACAAGTGGACTGACACCAATATCTTAAAAGACCCTTCTCCAGGTATCACTGCAAAATGATGTGAGGTGGGTGGTCACCAGTGCCACTTTTTAGCGGTGACACCTTGGTTGAGGAATGTCCACCACAGAAAGGCTCACCTATACCTACAATGTGATCTTTTTGGCACCAGATGAAGACTTAAGTTCTGTGAAACAATTGTTTTGTGTTGATGGTTTTATTCTGATGCTGTTTTAGCTGCTCAACATTTACGTCAAAGTTCTTTTTACACTTCTCCATTTTCTACTTCAGTTTTAACTTGTGTGAGAACTATCCACAGACCTTTTGTTAATGGGTAGCATAGAATTTTAAGTAAATAAATTACACTGCAAACACAGAAGTATTCCCAAGCCAAGTTCTTATACAAATAGCAAATCTTGGTTTCTCACTACTACGCCTTTTCCTAGGGGCTGGAAAGTTGAGTGGGATGGAGTTGTTCTACAGGCTAAGTGATTACCCTATTCAGAAAGGCAGAGTGAACAGATTTTGTGTCCTTTTCCTTGCCTAGGATCAGAAAATATTGCTTTTTTAAAAAGCCCATATTCAGTGCTGCATGCAGGGAATTCCATCCTCTCTCCTCTACCTTACAGTCTGTGATCCCCTAAATCTGTTTTGGAGGGTCCTCAACTGTCTGAAGCAGATTTGGGGTACCTGTCAGAAGTCAGAGAAGGGAAGCTCCATTATGCATGCAGAAGTCTGGTCTCACTGTATATTACATTTATTAAAGGCTTTTCAAATATACAAAATGAAAGTAAAACAAACCATTGAAGAGTTAACTGCCTACATATTATTATAAGAAAGGAGAGAACAGAATATTAATACTGAACTTAACTGGTTCATTTCTTTCAGACCAGAGTTTAAGTATGAACATAGCAATAAGACTATAAAGGTTAGAATTTAATGTATGTATTTATCACTCAACAAAGTGGTGGTGAGTACTGACTGCAAATGCTACAAAGAAGAAATACATGTATTATGATCAGGTATTGTGTTCCTATGTTGAGAATCAATTATGAGCCGAGAAAAAAAACCTAAGCAGGTAGCAAAACATGTGCATTAGTTTGCTTGAGCTTTAGTTTATTGGTTAGCTCATATCTGTCAAGTCAGTTTATGAACCATGATGATCTTCCAAACTTTGTCCATCCAATCCCTAAAACTGAGTTTTCTTTCAGGTCAAGTCAACTAAGAACCCAAGAAATTTCCCTTCCCTGTACCATGTGGTAAACTTGCTTGAGCTTTCTAGTTTGCAACAATATTTCTTGATTCCAGGAACTTTTAAACCTACAATTTCTGGCCCACCTACATTTTCTACTACTAACACACAATTTGGGTGGTGTTATGCTATATGTGGGTAAGGAGGCTAGAATCCTGATGTGTGCTAAAGACAGTGATTACAGAATGGAAAACCCTGCCTTACTACAATAGGTAGAATTCAATCATCTTTGAGTACTGGACTAACTTCTAGAACTCGAGTTAACAAAAGGCAGCATATCTAAGCAATAACACGAAGTGCTAGAAATCTGTCCAACCTCAGTTCCTGATCAACCTGCATAACAAAGTTACTCGAATCATATCCCACAAGCACACAGATGTATGCTTGAAACTAGCAGCACCCTGTTAGTTGAATCATCCACATACATTTTAAGACTACAGTACCAAACTGCAAACATCAAACAGGATGTTAAATGGGTATCTTGCATGCATGACAGAGTTTGGGCTTTTTTTGGGGGGGGGAAGGTTGACAAAGGCACGCTTTTCACTGGGACTGCAGCATAAGAGAAGAGTGGTTTAACCCTTACATCAAAATCCTGATGAATCATCTCTCCTACACTGCCATTAGCTTTTGAGAAGAAAATCTCTCACTGGCACCAATGGGAGTTTCTCCCCACTAATGTTGATAGTAGTGCAGGGGTGGGGGATTACCTTTGTCAGTGTCACAGTTGGCGACGAAGGATTAAACCTTCCCTCTCAATGCATGCAGATCCAATGAAAACTATTAGATTTTTAAAACTGGATGTGTTTCCAATGAGGCATGTGCAGTGTGCTGCCATGAAGAAATATATTTCTGACCAAGCCTGTTGGCTACGCAAATAAAGTCGTTGTTGTTGTTGTTGTTGTTGTTGTTGTTGTTGTTGTTACATTTCATCTATTGCCACCAGTCACTGGTCTCAAACAAACTTTTTGAAAATGTATAACAGTATCTGATTTTATGTGAAAACATGTCACAGTCCAGAACCACAATAAGCACATTAAAGGTTTGGAGAGAATATTTACGTGGTACTTCTGTGCATCACTTAGATATATGTGTCAAGGGGATACAGTGCTGCAAAAACCCTATTCATCCACAGTTTAGACAAGCCTGTCAGTGTTAGAAACTCAGATACATAAGATAAGTCTTTGCATTTTTCTTTCCCTTTGTTTTTTCTCTCCCCTTTTTGTCTAGATTAGTTTCTTTTTATTGTATTATGAAGTCTTAATAAAATATCATTTAAAAAAGAATCTCAGATACAGAAGCTAATCACCAAATGGCACCTTAAACTTCGGTCACCACAATGGAATGTCTAAGCACCTTTTTGGCAATGAAATTTTGTTGTTGTTTGTTAGTTAGTTATTTCATTTTGATACCACTTTATATCTTAAAGAAAAAAATCTCAAAGCAGTTTACAATACATTAAAGCATCAAATAAAACAATCCAGAATAAAACAAATTCAAGCTTCAAGGAAAATCTTTCAGATCCTTCCTAAGTGACATTTTGCTTTGCCAGGTCTGATCCACCTTGCTAATCCAAGTGGATTACCTATAGTTAGTGTGCTATAGTGGTTAGAGTGTCAATCCAGAACCTAGGGGTTGAAATCCCCACTCAGTCATGAAGCTCACGGGGTGACCTTGGGTCAGTCACAGCCTTTTAACCTATTTCACAAGGTTTTTGTAGGAATAAACTAAGGAGGGGGGTGAACCATGTACTCCTTGGAGAAAAAGGTGGGATATACGGTAAATGCTTACAGTACTTGCTTAAGAAAGCTAGAGAGGTCAGCCAGATGGAGATGCCAAATCCCAACCTGGCATCCACAGATGTCCATGTGGTCGCAACTGGACCCACACCAGTCTCAAAATGCACCTGGTGAATTTTGGGCACTGAAGCCTGTCCTATGGCTGCTTTTTTAAATATGAATTTCAAAATGTTCAAAACAAGGAAGATATGTTATCAAAGGATTTACCTGAACACTGAATATCCCTCAAGCATGCCTGCCAATTGCTGTTTTCAAATGATTTTACAACTGTTTGTATATTAAGTGTGCTCAGCCTGCTGGTGGTATTAAAAAAGAAGTAACATTTATGAAAATTAGCTTAATATGTTTACAAATTTTAACGAAGAAAGACATTTGGACTGAAGGCACAGGAAGCAGTAACCTTGCTAAAGTTGAATATATATGTTCAGTCTTAGATGGGAGATGGCTTGAAAAACCTATGTATGCCACCTGGAATTTCATCTTCGAAGATGCAGTGTGTAGCATCCCACAAGAAAATGACTGAAAATGAAACTGCCATTATCATAATACCATTACACAAACTCTGGTACAACCATACTTGGAGTACTACGTACAGTTTTGGTGGCCACACTTCAAAAAATGATGTTGCAGAGCCAGAAAAGGGCAACCAAAATGATCAAGGGGCAACTCCCTTATGAGGTAAGATAACAATGTTTGGGACATTGAAGGTCAGAAAAAAGTGATTAAGTGGGGGGCACAATAAAGGTTTATAAAAATTATGCATGATGTGGAGGAAGGGGAAAGAAAAGTCATCCAACAAAGCTGAAGTTTGGAGGATTCAGGACAGACAAAAGGCAGGATTCCTTTACACAACACATTGTTAAACTGTGGAATTTGCTACCACAAGATGAAGTAAAGACCACAAACTTAGAAGGGTTAAAAAATGAATTGCCCAGTTAATGGATCATAAGGTAGTCAATGGTGACTAGTCACAATAACTATGGACTACCCTCAGAATTGGGGCAGTAGGTTCAATGGAAAAGTTCACTTATACTCATGTTATGCTTGTGGATTTCTGATAGGCATCTGATTGGCCACAGGGAGAACAGAATGCTAGACTAGATGGGCCTTTGTTTTGATTCAGTTATGCTCTTATGTTCTTAAGAAAGGCAGGAAATAATAATAATAATAATAATATAATAAACAACCTCAAGATTAGTTGACATATAATTAAACAAACAAAAAATACCACCAAATGACTAAAAGGTCAGCTGTATATATCTCCTCAAGTAAAGGGGGAAGCCCAACCTCTGCTTGCTTGGCAGAAGATCTATGGTGTCTCCCCACCCACATGTGCAAAATTATTGTGCACACGCTTATGGGAAAATACTTCAGAGTAAGACGTGTAACAGTACAGTCTAGCAGATAAGTAAAAATCTTGTATCTACCATAACATATATGTCAATCTCGCCAGCTATTTGCCTTAAACAGAGTTACAACACACCCAACAATTTTCCAGAGTCACAATGAGCCTTTAGAATTTAGAGACAGTTGACATGCTTCTCTCAGTGTGACATGCTTCTCTCAGTGTGAAAACTGCAGGAGAAAAGTTGAGAGCAGCGATGCACCTCATACATCTTTTTCATAGACCTAATGAAGGACTTTGACCTCACCAGCATTAAATTTGAATGTGCTACCCATGCCGCAAGTGACATGTTCCTTCTTATCTCTATACCTGATGCCAGAGTAAAATCTCAAATTTTATAGCATCCTTTAGGCAGCCAGCAATTCTGAACATAAACACTGCATACTCAGAAACAGGGAGCTGACAGCTGAGTTCCTAAGGCTGAAGGAAGAGATCTCCAAACCTGTCCCTTATGCTCTAACTTAGTTTTCTTGTAACTGCTGCATTTCCAGATGCACATAATGAATATTTTGTAGCTCTTTTCCAAAGGTTGATAAAACATTTTTCTCTGAAGCTATTCAGACCATTAGAATGAAGTTAATTAAGATGTAGGTTTAACATAGATGATCAATTATACCAGTGACTCACAGAACTCCCAAGAAAGCTAAATGCAGAACTCTGCTTTGCAAACTATCCTCAGCTACACCTACAAACATGTTAAACACCAATTAAATATTTTTTACTAAGAGCCCCTAGCTGCCTGAGTAGCTTTATCTTTTTATCTTCCTCCTGTGACAGTCAAAACTTCCAGAGACTTTAGATCCTCTGACTTTATTGCCAAGGTTATTTTGGGGGTGGGGTGAATTAAGCACCACAAAGCTCACCTTCACAGTGCATCCATTATTTGGATAAGAATATTATCAACCTTATGTCAAAACTATGCATAATAAAACCAAACTTTATTCAGAAATCAGAAACATTAGTCCCACTCACCTCAGTATTTACTGACCTCTTAAATTACTTATTCATAGCATTTTTGTCATACTCGCCAACCAAAAAAATGCTCCCAGAGTGGCTTACAATTACAAATGACATTCATAAAAGAGTCCCTGACTAGGATTACAATCTAAAAACAGACACAAGAGAAAAAGGAATTGGATGGAGAGGAGCAGGTAGAGCAAACCCATACACCATTTATTGTGTTCTAGTGCTTTTATAATGACATATTGGAATTGAATATCCAATTATGACAAAATTAAAGAAAGGCTACCTGCAAGGTATAAGAGAATAAGACCACCCCTGCTAGATCAAGTCATCCATCTAATCTAGCATCCTGTTTCCCATAATGAACAACCAGAAGTCACTGGGAAGCCCACAGGCATCCTCTCCTACTATTGCTCTATAGTCACAGGTTTGTTTTCAGAGGCATGCTGTCTTTGACCCTAGAGGTAGCATATAGCCATCACTGCTACTATGTCCATCAAACAGTAATGTACGCCTCTCTAGAAAACAAATGTTAATGGAATTTCCCCAACGTACAGAGAGAATGAAAGCAGTGAGAACTTGAAAGGAATTGTAAGAAAATGGTTCAGAAATGAAACTTTGGGGGGAAATCCCACATGACTTTGACTCTGTATACAAGGTACGATATAGTATTAATGCTATTATTATTAACCATATGAAAGTTAGAGGAAAATAACAGTAGTTTTTGGGAGGGTGCAACTGGCAGATAAACTAGTTGAGGCTTGCAGAATTTAAGATTTGCAGTCATTATTTTAGCCATGTTTACTTAGAACCTAATCTCTGGTTTTAATGAAGATACTTCTAAACAAGCTTAAAATCACAGACTTAAAGAGCCAAATGTTTCCTGATTTTTTCAGTACACACAGGCACACACAGTTCTGCAATTATACTAATATATTCTTTCCAGGATTAATAATGTTCAATTCTCCACATTAAAAATCATAAGAGGAATTTTTTGTACAGTAAGAAGGGATATAAGGAATGTACATATCACTAAGTCTAACATATGGCATACAGACAACAATTAGATCACTATTCTTCATTAGGAAGCCAAACAAATTCTAAAAGTGTTACTCAGCAGTATCCTGCAAAGTGGAAGAAACCAGCAAAAACTTATTAAGTTGTCTATCTCTGTATTAGGCATATAGCACACACTTATTTTTCCCCTTTAATGCTTGAACCCAAAGTTACAAAGCAACACACCTTTATATATCTTTGTATCAAATGGCATTACGATTTTCCACCTGAGTGCTAAGGCTTTCTTAGATATGTGCCATATCAAGCTAGTAAAACTTTTATTTCAAAATAATTTAGCTCCTAAAGTTGTGGATCAAAGCACCCTATCTGAAAGAATGGTATTAAAGCTAGTAGCATTTAACAGCTAGAAATCTAAAATGGAGGAATCCAAAACTGTCAAGAAAACAAATGCTGTGGCTATCATTTAACATTGTAACATGAAAATCCAAGTATTTGCATTCATTGGTCAACACTGTCAGTAAAAACTTCAGGCTCCAGTTATAAATTGTGAAGCAGCTCTAGAGATACAAAGTTACATGTTAGTGCAGGTTTTTTTGGGGGGGGGGGTTCTGCAACTGATTTTAGCTGTCACGTTGCTAAAATTGTGAAAAGAAAATTTTTGTTTTGGTGTGTGTATGATCTAACCAACCAATGAATTTAACTTGCAACACAAATATTTTCAGACACAAGTAGCTATTTATTTAGTACATTAAATCCTACTTTTATTCTGTCACAGTACTAAAAATGACATATATGGCACCGACCAGGAATGCTTGTTTCATATGCCCTCAGGCCATATAGGATCCAATGCTAGTATTGCTTAAACACTTATTCAAACACGTGTCCATATTTTTAAAAATTAAATCACTCTTTCAATAATGGCTTGGTAAAACAAAAACAAACAAAAACCCACACAGCTGCTTATGTTTATAAACAAACTTAAAGAAATGATTGTGAAAAAACAGGAATCCCTCCCACTTGAGAATCCACAAAAGCAAATATCTCAAGGCAGTTAGCTATTCAAATGACTCCCAAACTTTCAGGAAGCGTCCTTTCTTTCAGTTCAGCCACTGATTCACCCAAAATCATTTCAAGTGGACAAGTAGGATTTACAAATATTCTGCAAAATTTAAGCAACTTTCTGAATTTAATATTGATGTCTAGACAAGCTATACATGTCTACCACATCTACCTGTCACCCATACCAGGGTTCACCTGAGGTCAAGCACAAATACACAGGGGGAAAATACTATTTAAGAAAAACTGCATTCTCAAGATCAGTTATGTCATGCATTTCTTGATTTTTCAGGTAACCCATAGGTTACAAGAAGCTAATAATTTTTTAGCATAGATAAATCACCAAAGCAAACATGTGCTTTTATATAGTAACTACTGCAAATCAGAAGCACATTTACCTCACAATTATTCCAAGTTTCTACTCCAATGGCAATGATAATCAAGCCACTTGCTCCACGGCTACATATAAAATATTCAGGGTCCGAATTGCCCCACAAGCACCTTGGGAGGACCACTCTGCTGAAGCAAAAACACCTACACCAGTCCCCCCATATTCTGTTCAAGATTTCAGACCCACACTTCCCTAAGCTTCTCCATAGGTCCACCTACCTACAAGCTCCTACACACACACAGCCTGACACGTCGGTCCTATCCAACTATTGATTTTATAGACATCTCAAGAGTATAGGATTGGTCCTCAAGCTACAACCCTACATGCACTTAGGAATAAGCTCAACTTCAGTCAGTTAAGTGGAACTTACCAGTAAACAATATTTTGGACCACAGAGGACATTTACTTCGTGCAGTTAGTTGTGTTTCAGCCGCATATTTTATTTTATTTTTAGTTCTGAGGAAAATACCCCAGGGCCCCGGGTTGTCTCCATACCCAAATGGCAGACACCATGAAGCCCAAGCTACATACTTGCCACCAGCCCCGTAACTTCAAGGTCAGTTATTCGGGAACTGCCGCCCAACCGCCTCCCCCAAACTTCCCTCCCCGAGTCCACCTATTGTGTCAAGATCCAGCCCCCGCCAAGCGCTGCCAGCGGCTCCTAAGGAGTGGAGCGTCCCGTCAGGCGTCGCCTCCGCCTCACCTGCGCTGCCGATTTCCATTCATGGAGCTCGGCGCGGCCGCTCTCAGGCTACGGGTGCCGGTCCGGTTCCTGCCGCGTCCCCCAGGTCGTTCGCCTGGCGCCGTCCCGGTCCGGCCGGGCCTGCGGAGACAGCAGCAGCAGCAGCAACAACGGCGGCGGCGGCGCCTCCTCTTCACACAACGCAGCCACTCGAGTCTTGCAGGTTATTACTCTGCCTCCCCAGCCGCCCACGGGCGGTCAGTCAGTCAGTTAGTCTCGGGCTGCGGTGACGGGTGAAGAAGCGGAAGTTGCGTGGCCGCCCGCAGCCCCGGCTCGCTCCCTTCTCCACTGACTGACTAACTGACTGAGAAACCCGACTTTCCACTCGGCACACACTGAGCCTCGCTCTGGAGGGACCAGTCCCCGGGTGCCCGCAGGCGCGCGCATGCGCCTCCCTCTCTACCGGAAACCGTCCCTCCTCCCTTTTTCGGCTCTGAGACTACAGTCTTTCTACGATGACTGACTCTGTAGCAGGAGGGGGGAGGGTGCCTGACTAACTCACTCATCGGCTCACGCGCATGCGTGTATTCTCCTCCACCACCTCTGGCCGCCGGAAGTTCTTTTCCTACTTCAGCCTCTCTCGCTCTACCTCAACCCCGCGCAAGTTCGCGCTTAGTCCCGCTCGCGTTGTTGTTAAACAACTAAGATAAACGCAGTACGCATGCGTACGAGAGTTGCCGCTCTCCTTCAATGGCAGCCCTCGGCGAATGCAAATTTAGGAGGCGGAGCTAGGGCCGTATGGAGGCGGGAACAAGCAAAAGAATGGAGTGGTTATGGGGTTGGCCGTAAACGAACGAAAGGCCGCGGGTTCGAGTCTCGGCTTGTGTTATTTGAGGTAAGCGCGAGACTTGGAGGACCTTTAAATTCCGCGGCTGTTTAATATTTTTAATAGTTAGCAAACTAACACTGCGTTTGTTTAACTGCCTTAAAGTTTTAGACGGCTGCAAAAGGTGCATTTCCCTGCCCACCAGGCAACAATTTATATAACTATAAATACAAAGTTAGTTTGATTTTAACAATGAAAATAGAGAATAACATGTAATGTAGTTTTAATCTAGTTTTAGCTTACTGTTGTTGTTTTTTTACTTTTAATTGCTTGTTTTTAACCTTTATTCTTTTTGTAAACTGTATTGAGTTTTCCTAAAATTGTAGACTTTGAAGAGACCACTAGGGTCATCTAGTCCAACCCCCTGCAATGCAGGATCTTTCACCCAATGTAGGGCTTGAATCCACAACTCTGAATGCAACATTCCCATCCCAAACAGTAAAAAATGTATGGCTTTCACACTTACACGGTGTCTCTGCCTGAAAATAACAAGACTATTTCTCTTGAGAGACACATACACAGTCTAATGCATAAAGAACAGGCAGCCTGGCCTGTGTGTGTAAGCTTCTGGGCAGGAACCATCTTGTTTTAAATCTTTGTACAGCACTTTATAAAATAGTAACTAATAAAAGCAGTGTGTTGTAGTGCTTGGACTGACAGGCTATGAATTTTCAGTCCCACTAAGACACTAACTCTACAGACGCATAATTCTCCCCCAACCTGGTGCCCTCAGATATTTTGGACAAAGGCTGCTGTACAGGGAGAAGTGGTGTAGTCCATCCTCTAAACACAGTCCATTCAGGAGGGCCACCTGTTCAGGAGGGCTCATCATAGGGCCTACCTAGTGGCAGTGAAGGCAACAAAGGCAGCAGAGTTTGGTACCTCCATTGTATCCTCATTGTGCCATCTGGTAGAGCTTTTCCAAGTAGTGTAGTCTGGCCTGAAGCAGGTAGCGCACTGTGACTTGCTTGCAAGCTGTCTTGAGAATAAATTTGCTTGCATCCACCAGGTTCTTGACTCCACTGTTACAGCAGATGAATTTCAAGGGGTGTCCAGAGCACTGTCTAGTCCTGCTATGTTGGATGACTTTGTTAGTGCCATGGACTAGTTGGAAACAGAGTAGTGGTGGGAGGAACCAGAGCCCAGGGAGTAGTGATGAGTGGTCACAGGGACTGTGAAAAGGTGTCTGAAGAAACTTCAGGAACTTCAGCTGGCAGCTAGGTTGATCACAGGGGCAAGAGAGTTTAGAGTGTATGACACTGATTCTAGTTTCTGGGCCCAATTTAAAGTGCTGGTTTTTACCAATAAAGCAATCAACAGCTCAGAACCGCAATACCTCAAGGACCACCACTTCTCCCCATACGAACTGGCCTGGACCCTGAAATCATCATCTAAGGCTCTTCTTTGTGTGCCTCCTCCATAAAAGGTTTGGAGGGTGGTGACTCCCCATTTGTAGAATTCCCTCCCCAAGGAGGCTCGTCTGGCATCATTACATACTTAAGACCCCAGGTGAAAACGTTTTTCTATAATAAGGCCTTTGGCTGGTTAACATTCTATCACCTTCTAAATGTGATGGGAGGACGTTATTGGTTTTTGTTTAATGTATTTTGTGTTCTCAATTTGCATTTTTCTGTTGTGAACTGCTCTGTGGTCTTCGCAAGAAGGGCAGTTTACAAATTTAATTAAATAATAATAATGCAACATGACAGTGGGACATTTATTACAAGCTGGGCATGTGGTTTACTGGTATCCAGAAGTGCATGGCCATCTATGCACACCAAAGGCATCAAACCTTTTTCAAGAAATAAGATACCAGTCTTGCCAGAATCTTGACATCCTAGTTAGTTTTTTCTTTTAAAAAAAAAAAGCACAACTGTATTCTATGTGGATTTTGTTTATACTTTAAGTGAAATGTCTGCCTCACAGAAGAAACTCATATCCAGGTGTTGAAACTCTCTTTATAATATTTGAGTTCCAGTTTGCTCCTCTCAATAAGGACTGTACAGCAGTTGTTCAAATCTGTTTAATAAATGGACCATACAATGTTCAGTTTCAAATTAAAAAAACACAAACAAGAAAACAAAACTCAACCAATAGCGTGTTTTGTGAGCATTCTCTATTTACACTTCAACGCTTCCTTGTAACAGTTTTTCTTTAAAAAAAAAATAATTGAACACAAACCAGAGTTGCCATCAGTTTAAAACTTTCACAATTTCTTGGAAGTGCAAAATTACATGTGCACACATGATACGGGTTTCACTTTTTTTATTGCTGTTCTGCCATGTTGCTCACATTTCTCTCCAGATAGGACCAACACAACAAGTTTGCACCTTGCTGCCAAATTGCTTTGAACATTATATTAAAAAGGGATTCTTTGTTGAATCCTTGCAATGCTGACGCTTTTAGGCTTTCCTACAACATCAGTTTTCTATAGACAGAAGCTGCTTTGTTGGTCCCAAAAGGATTATGATACAAAAACCAGGCACGGCAACTTTCCTTTTTTCAGACAAATGTTTGGTAGCCAGAGAATTTTTTTCGTGTTTTACAGTTGTATAGAATTCTTCAGATGAGAACAGCTCATTTTCCAAACTAAAGAGAACCTCTGGTTCCACGTAAGGATTTACACTAGAGACAATATCTAGCTGTCGCTGCATATTTACCCAGCTTTGCCCTCTGTACTGTGTATCCTCTGCCTGAAGAGTGGTGTGTAACTCAGAAAGTTTGCATCCACCAAATGAAAAGATTGTTACCATACCTCTATTTTACATCCTATCAATTTCATTTTGGTACGCCCTTACTTGTAGTTCAGCAATGTCTGGAGGGCTGCAAGTCCCATTGGCCATGCTGGCTGGGACTGATAGAAGCTGGAGTCCAGAGCCCCCTAGAGGGCTACAGAGGTTAGCCACACCAACCATAGGCATGGGTGGGCCAAAGTTCCCAAGAACTGTGGAGCTCCTTCCACAAGCCCAAGGGAAATTTAAGAATAATTTCTCCACAGGTAACAGCCCCTTTATGCTGTATGGTAAGTTGCTTTGGAAACCGAGAAGAATGTCAACAGTAGCTTTTGACATGACATTAGGGTCTGCAGTTTATAAAATTGGCGGGGGGGGGGGGGTAAATATTCCACTGGGCTCATATAAGCCCCTTGGCACAAACCTAAGGGCCACCTTGAATCCCAGTCCAGTCTTTGTACTGCTCCTTGCAATCTTTCGCGGCACAGGTTCTTGCCTTCTTCATCATCCTCTTCCACCCAGCCCAGTGTCTTTTGCTCAAATATAAGCATTAAATTGGAACTAGCAGCAGTGCAGGTAAAATAAAAAACAAGAGCGAACAACGGATAGCTACATAATTATGCTGCCTCCCCAACCCTCACGCAAACGAGCACACACGCACGCACACACCACAGACACACCTGTGAGAATTTGGCAACATTTTCAGCTGCAGAGGGGCAACATAGCGACAAGAGACAGACTTAAGGTGCAAGGTTAAATGCTCCAAAATGCGTATTCAAATATCTTATTGGTAGCCTTGCAACGCCCCCAAAGTGGGCAGTCTGTGGTACAAAAAAAAAGAATGCCACCTCCTATGTGCTCTCGTGGACTATCAAGAGGACATAATATACAGCTTTGCCAAACCTAAGCAGGAATGGAACAGGGAGCCTCTAGTACACAGAACATGCAGGGAGATCTAACTCATTAAGTAGAACATCTAAAGGGGGGGAGGGAAAATACCCCGAACCCAGAAACTTTGTTCCATAGAGGGTGCAGCAATGACATCATTTACGGCACTTAGTGAAAATTCCGCATGCACCAGGTGGGTGGGAGGGAGAAGTGAAGGATGGGCCAGAAAGCGCTTTGAAACAGGTAAGTTTCCTCTAGCTCAACCTTCAGCAACTTTGTGCCTTCCAGATGATTTGCACTATAACTCCCCAGGCAACTCAAAGCAGTGCAAAACAACTGGAGAGCACCAGGTTGGCAAAGCCTGCCCTAGCTGCCTGTCTCATTAGGTCATGCCAACACCAATTCATTCAAAGCAGCTACTTAACAGCGGAGTGCAAAAATCTGAAAAAGAGAATCCATTGACAACAATTCAAGTCCTGGAGGTTTGTGTTTGTTTTAAAGCAATTTTTTCCCAAAACAAAGCTGAATATTTTTCAAATTCCCTCCATCTCCCCCACCCCCCAGTTCTGCAAATGCCCAAGTCATTTTTGCTCAAAACGCTTCTGAATCTTGGACCAAATATTTTAGTTGCAATGCTGGTGACTGAACCTACAAATCCCACTCCAAGCAGAGACAGCGGCGCAGAGGACATGAAGGGGATGCAAAGAACTCAAAAAAGCTGCTTCTAGAAATAAAAGCATCCTCACTCACAAGCCCAAGTCAGAGGGGGGAACTCCCCAACATCTCTTTCTGAAAAATGCAGGGCTCATAATCTAGGTTCATGCTGGAAGATGATAATGTGTTTACCCATGCAGGCACTTGGTTAAGAAGAACAGCTTTTCCAGACTGATGCTTTTGCTGACCGGACTCTGCCCAAAGCAAAGCAATTCCCAGCCTTGCGGGATACAAAGCAGCTGAGTGAGAGGATAAAGGAAACCAGCGGGGAAAGAGAGAAGAGTCAAAGATCCAAAGAACTGCATAACTCACTGTGTGCAGCCAATAGTGCATTGGACTTGTGCTTCAAAAACCAGTAAGCAGGCACACACCTTCCCAAGTGAAGCAGGTGAACCATTCTGGAACCTGGGGAAGGGCTAAAAGCCAGTTGTGATATGAAGTGGAGATCTGATGCTCAAGGTCAGAAATCTCAGCAGCTGCACACAAGCAATGTTGGAGCATTCCTACAGCAGTTCTTTGGGACCTGGCTAAAGAATATGAGCCATAATGCCCAAGTAATGTAAAACACAACAGTGCTCCATTCTGTGGCACGTTTTTTTTTTGCATAGCATTTTGATGGGTTAACATTCTGCCCCAAAAATAACATTTGGAGAGAGAAGGGGATGGGATGGAGGAGTGAAAATAAAAAGGATGGGATACCTGACTTGACACTCAAAGCTTGAGTGGTAAAATCAGTATTGCCTCACAAGCTGCAAAGCATATGCTTTAACAGGGTGTGCCTACAAAGAGAGTGGCATGGCTGCACAGGTTCAACCTTCCTTTTTTAACAAAGGTTTTGGCAGTTTAAGGTAATAATCTGAAGAGACAATGTGGCTTGAGTATAGGTGACATTTCCTTCTCTCACCACATGCCTGCTTTTGTACTAAAATGGCAAGAATGTGTCCGTAACAGAATATGCCAGAGAACCTCCAGCCTTGAAAGCACAAGTAGCTTCTTGTAGGAAGTTTTAAATTCATCATCATGGGGGGACAGAATACATATGTCTACATAGATAGCAAAGTGCATGTTGTTGTTCTGATCCAAGGAAAAGCCAAGGGTTTTTTTGTTTATTTGCATGGGGATGGCAATAATTAAAAGCAGCAGAAACCATCAGGGCAGTTTTGAGAACATGCTGGACCTAAAACTATTCTAAAACTATAAAGGAAAAATAGAATGAAACTTTAGGAAAGAAAAATAAAGACTTTGTGGATTGCAGCTCAATTAATGGAAAAGCAGCCAGCCTCTCGCTAATCTCTATCGCTTGCATTTTAGTACACATGCTGCCAAAGCAAACAAAAATCTCATAACACAACCCACCACATAAGCTATAGAAAAACTCCAAAGTATGAGGGGGCTGCTGGGGGAATATTGTGATGTAAACGCTGAGAATATATAAGTGATTTGAGTAAATTTTGGCAATAAGACTCGGCACCGTATAAAAATAACACTTGGTAATAAAAAATTTCATCAGCATATAAAAAAAAGTCAGGACATCAATTGATAATGGAGTTTCTCGTTTGTGCTCATGGGGCAGGCAAAAACATTCTTCCTCTTGCAAAACCCCGTTTGTTAGAAATGTAGTTTTTAAATTAAAAATAAAAAAAAAAATCCACTCAAGAAATACATCAGGAACAATAAAATCAACATCAAATAAAAACAAAAGAACAAAAACAGGATTTATCAGCAGCTCTCCAAATTCATATGTCATGTTAAAAGTGCACAGAATTTTAACCCATCGTGAGGCTGTGAGGCTAACATGAAACTGAAAGCTTTGTGAACGTTAAAAAAAGAACTCCTAATACCTTCAAGATGGAGATTTTTTGGACCACCACCGAGACAAGAGTATCCTTGGTTTGCTTTTCTTTTCCTTTGAAAGGTGAACGAACATCAACATTTTGCAGCATTGCAGTAAGGCACTCGCCCACAGTTGAGTATGTGACTGTTGCATTAAAAGGGCAGCAGCTATTCCACTTTTAAACAGGCGGAAGACAAGTTTCCTTTTCGGCATTGTGGTAAGTGCTGGGGGTGCCTTACGTTATTATTATTATTATTTATTATTATTATTATATATAAAGGGGAGAAAATTTCTTCATAGGGAAGGGTAAGAGTGTTAAAATTAATCTATAAACTACTGGCTTTTTCTTCTTCTTCACCAATTAAAGCATCTTGTATCCTAAAATATTAGTTTTTATAAATCTAGTCATCTGTTTTAAGGCTCTACAAATCCCATTTCCCCCACCCATCCCAAACAATAACAAACAAAAATCTTACCAGCGTTTGATTTGGCATTGGAGAACCAAAACAGTTATTTCACAGTCGAGAAAGTCTAATATTGCGTCCCCCCCCGCCCCGTCCCAATAATGAAAACCGTTTTGTTTTTTTCTTAACAGGAAGTCAGATCTCTTCCTTGGTTTAAATACTTAGTGTGTTTGGTCAGGTAACTAGAAAGCCTGAAAAACAAAGACTACAAAGGTGTGTTCATCCGGTTAAGTGGCTCTCCTGCATTCATTCCAGAGGATGCTGGTTTCCTGCCTCCAACGCCATCTGCGCCCTGCAGTGATTTCTCATTGGATGCCCACAAGGTGCTCCCAATGCTTCCTCTTTTTAAATTATGGCTCCTACAAATCTGAAAGCTTTCTGGAGTGAGGTAAAAAAAGTTATACTTTCAAGCAAAGTACATGGTACGTAAAGTGTCCTGATGAACTTGTACGGCCTTGGCGAGGGCCTGAGGGTCTCGACCATTACTCTGGCCAGATATGTGACTGCCTTCTCCGCTGAAAGTGGAAGAAACAGGGTGCGAGGGGGAAAAGAGAACAAAGCATTAGTTGTCAACATATAAAACCACTACTTATGAATTGCTTCCATTCCAGGTAAGAAGCCTGCAAGCAAATCAGTATTGCCCTAGCAGAAAACTGTCTTAGGTAAAGGTACCCCTGACCGTTAGGTCCAGTTGCGGACGACTCTGGGGTTGCGGCGCTCATCTCGCTTTACTGGCCGAGGGAGCCAGTGTTTGTCCACAGACAGTTCCGGGCCAGCATGACTAAGCCGCTTCTAGTGAACCAGAGCAGCGCACGGAAATGCCGTTTACCTTCCCGCCGGAGCAGTACCTATTTATCTACTTGCACTTTGACGTGCTTTCAAACTGCTAGGTGGGCAGGAGCTGGACTGAACAACAGAAGCTCACCCCATTGCGGGGATTCCAACTGCCAACCTTCTGATCAGCAAGACCTAGGCTCTGTGGTTTAGACCATGGCGCCACTCGCGTTACAATCACAAATATCCAGACATAGCCAAAAATAAGTATAAAGTATGGCTGCACAGAAAGGACTTGCCAGGTGTGCTATAACCCTTCTCTGGGGCAAATAAATTATTTGCACCTAGAAAACTAAAGACCAAACTCTGACCTCCGGTCAGCTCAGCGTGATCTGCAGAATCTTCTCTAGTGGTCATTCACTGATCATTGGTGCTGCTGCCGGACAAGGAAGAACCTTCAAGGATCTCAACAGTGAACATCTGTGAGATGTTCTACCTGGGACTGAGCTCTCTCGAGTCCACCCCATTCTGCACCACCTCTTTAACAGTTAAGCTTCCAGCATCTGGCTGACTGCAAAGCCTTTGAGTGCCTTTTTTGACAAGTTACGACGTAATAGATTTATTTTTCAATAATATTATGTTTTAAGACAGAAGTAGGGAACCACAGGACAGGTAGCCAAATGCGGCCTTCCGGGTCTCTTGACTGGTCCTCAGTTCTCTCAGGCCGTACGCCTCACTGGTTCGCACAGTAAAAACAGGGGGTGTATCATGCCATTTCTGTTATCTTGGGTTAGCTAATCAGAAGCCCTCCAAATTCTCTGCAGTACAAAGCCCACCATCCCTGATCATTGGCCAGGCTGGCTACCAACACACCGTGGCATAGAATCGGCTTGGGTGGGAGGGGGGGATCCATGCTGCCCACCACCTGTACCCAATAATGACGGCAACTCTAGCAGGCCCACAGATTCATCAACCCTGCCCTTTTCTCAACAAAGCCTAAGGACCCTACCCAGTGCTAGTTCTACTCAAGAGTGGATCCATGAAATTAATACACAGGACTAGCTCCGGCCCATTAATTTCTATGGATCTACTCTGCAAAGAACTAGCAATGCATATAACCCTAGGTATGTGTAACTGAAACAATCATATACCCTTCCCTTGTTTCCCTCTTCTGCCTCCCACTTCCCCTCCCCTCCTTCAGTTGTTTTTCAGATGGCAACCCCTTCGAGCAGCGACCTGCCCTCTTGTGCTCCATAAAGCACCATGCCTATTGGTGGAATAATGCGACAATCAACCCATCAGGGACTCTACAAATGGGATGTACCTGACATACAAATATGTTCCTTCAGAACTGAAGACACACATTCAAACCCAGGTGTCATTGGGCTTCCACCACACAGTGATGATGGTGAAGGAAAACAAGTTACCATGGAGCCATGTAACTGCCCTAGTCTATCCTGCTCCATGCACGGAAACAAACAAGTAGAGATACTACATGTACAGACACCCAGCTGCTCACCTGTCATGCTCTTTGTCCACAAGGTGATATCGCGCCCGAAATGCCACCAAGCGGGCATAGTATGCTGGTGCTGGGATAGAGACTGAGCGAGTGCAGCGTACATAAGTGTGGCAAAGCTGGTAGGTGAGAATCTGAAGCTCATCCGCTGTAAACCGGTTGTCATCCCAAAGAACGTAATAATGGGAAGGTCTGCTTGTACCCTGGATGGGAAGAAGAACTGGACTCAGTAGGGTACACAGGGAGGAATGATGATAACTTCCTAAGTGCAGTGGAAAGATGGTCCATCTACAGAGGTAGTGGCTAACCTTTTCAGTCCAAAGGCTGCATGCAAAAGCAGCCAATGCACACGCAATCTGGTCCATGGGTTTGCCACCCCTGTGCTAGGTGGCCTTAGACAAGAACTCCCCCAGCTTCCAATCCCCACTGGCATTATGGATATAATAATATCAACATCTTACTAGGCTGACGTATGGATTACTTAGCTAATATGAAGTGCTCTGTGCATTCAAGAACCTCTAGGTAAATTCCAACCACCACTATGGTGACCCACAAAACCCAGAGGCCACCGCCTCAACTTGGTCCCTTTGTTTTATCTTCCCTCGTGGTCAACTCCATGTAACAGAGCCAACTGCTGCTCCATCCCCAGATCTACAGCCCCCATAGAACCTCTGCTTCAGGGAGCCACAATAAGCTGGTGCCCATTCACCAGCTCCTTCCTTGCTATTGACTCCCTCCGCAAAAAGAGAACAGGGATTATAGGAGTAGGAAGACTGAAGTATACTTTGGGGTTCCGGCTATTATCTAAATCACCTCCTCTCTCTAAATAAAAAAGGTCATTAATACACAGTACCTGAATGCCAGCATGACTACACAGGTAGAAGTCAAACTCAAATGGATGAGTAATGTTTGTATCCACTGTTGTTCCTGCTGGAATGTTCCCACTTTTACCGATCTGCAGAGTTTATTACAAAGGAAACAAAAGCGTAAATGCTGTTAGCAATAATAATAATAATAATAAATTTTATTTATATCCCGCCCTCCCCAGCCGAAGCCGGGCTCAGGGAGGCTAACAACAATAAAACAATACAAAAGTACAGTATAAACAACACTCTAAAATCATTCATTATAAAATTAATTAATTCAAGCCACTGGCAACCATTGGGCCAGAGCTCCGCGAAGATTGCCGAGGGAGGGAGTCAGGCTGTGCCCTGGCCAAAGGCCTGGTGGAACAGCTCTGTCTTGCAGACCCTGCGGAAAGATGTCAAGTCCCGCAGGGCCCTGGTCTCTTGTGACAGAGTGTTCCACCAGATCAGAGCCACAGCCGAAAAAGCCCTGGCTCTAGTTGAGGCCAGCCTAACTTCTCTGTGGCCTGGGACCTTCAAGATGTTTTTATTTGAAGACCGTAAGTTTATCTGTGGGGCATACCAGGAGAGGCGGTCCCGTAGGTACGAGGGTCCTAGGCCGTATAGGGCTTTAAAGGTTAAAACCAGCACCTTAAACCTGATCCTGTACTCCACCGGGAGCCAGTGCAGCTGGTATAGCACCGGGTGTATGTGATCTCGCAGCGAAGACCTCGTAAGGAGTCTCGCTGCAGCATTCTGCACCCGCTGGAGTTTCTGGGTCAGTCTCAAGGGCAGCCCCACGTAAAGCGAGTTACAATAATCCAGTCTGGAGGTGACCGTCGCGTGGATCACAGTGGCTAGGTCAGGGCGAGAGAGGTAAGGAGCCAACTGCTTAGCTTGGCGGAGATGGAAAAATGCCGCCTTTGTTATAGCTGCAATCTGCGCCTCCATGGAAAGGGAGGTGTCGAAGATTACACCCAAACTCTTAACGGCCGGTGCTGGCACTAATTGCGCCCCCGCACGAGCTGGGCGTTGCCCCCCCGAATCCCATATCGCCCCGTCCCAGCCACAGGACCTCTGTCTTCGAAGGATTTAGCTTCAACCGGCTCCCACGTAACCATCCAGCCACAGCTTCCAAACATCTGGTCAGTGTGTCTGGGGCCGAGTCAGGATGGCCATCCATCAACAGATAGAGTTGGGTGTCATCGGCATACTGATGGCAACCCAGCCCGAAACTCCGAACAAGCTGGGCGAGGGGGCGCATAAAGATGTTGAAAAGCATCGGGGAGAGTATCGCACCCTTAGGCAAGAGCAATTGTCTGGGATGTTTAAGCAAGATGCTAAGAAAGATGGATGTTAAGCAAGGCTAAGAAAAAGCAATTGCCTGGGATGCCTCCACTATCCTTTAGGGATCTCAAGCAAGTTAGTTAGGGAACTCCTGTGCCAAACAAAATAAAAGAGAAAAATTAAATTAGCTTCGTATCATAAACCTCTCAAGCTTTATTACTGCTATCAGCAATCCCCCAATAGCCACTTGTTAGGCCTCGTTGATCTGTGTTTACACAACCAAAAGAATTAATTTGAAGCATGCCCCATCACTGATCCTCACCCTCTCATTCTTATCTGCACAGAAGAGGCGAGTGTGGTGTCGTTTCTGCACAACAATGTAAGTAATGCCTGGCTGGTAGTCCTTCTCCAATTTGATGCAGGCGTCACGGATGGCCAGGAGCTCATAATGAAGGATCTAAGAGAAAAGCAGCCGTAATGCTTTAAAAGGTAGAAGGAAAAAGAAAACACCATGCTGCCCCCACTTCTGTTTCTAGAAAGATAATCTATTCACTGAGCCATTTATTTTTATTATTATTTTTTGCTTGATCATATGAAGAGTATTTTTTTAATTAAAAAAAAGATTGAGGCCACCTTATTCTAAGGCACGATTACAGCTAATTGAAAACTTTTTCACCCAGTAAAATGGACTGGAAGTGAATTTAGCACAACTCAACAAAAGATAAAAGCACTTTGTAGGACAAATGTATGGTTAATTTACTGAACTGGCTGCCCCAAGTTGTAGACACATCTACAGGCTTAAGGTGGCTTTAAGGGGGGGGGGAGGCAAAAATCACGAAGAAAGAGAGGCCTATCAACAGCTATTAATACCTAAATGGACCCTCCTGAAACATTTACTCCTGAAAATCAGTAGCTGTTGCCCTTGTGCCCTGCCTCTGGGTCTCCCATAAGCCAGGGCTGGGAAATTTGGGGCCCTTTAGATGTTATTGGGCACCAGTTTCCATCAATCCCAGCCACCAAGACAAATGGGATGGTGGAAGTTATGGCTGTCAACAAAATCATAATCCCCACCATCATCATCTGCAGGGCCACAGGTCCCCCAGACCTAGACTAAATGGACCTTTATTTATTTCATAAAATTTATACACCACTTGATTGTAAAATATCTTAAAGCGGTTTACAAAAATCCAGTTAGTCAAATTCAACAGAACTTATCTACTACTGAAGCTCACCTTAAACTGGGCAATTCCTAACCTGTACCTACTGCAAACCTCTGTCCTTTCCGCCTAATGTGAACCGAAGTTTCCTGTGCAGGATCCATTCCCGCGGGTACTACTGAGGAAAAAAGGCCCCCTCACCTGTGGGAGCTGTCCCTCCGGCACTCCATCACGGTAGAAGATTATGCGGGTGGGTTTGAAGCGAGTGGACTTGTAAAACTGGATGAGGAGCTCTCTCACCATGTACGACAGGTCCTCTATGATCTCCTGCCGGGGCCGCTGAACCCGCACGGTGGCACAGTAACGGCTTGGGTGGGCATCCATACTGCCCACCACCTGCAGCCCATAAAGAGCAAAAGTGTGAAACTTGCATGCCACTGAAACTGAAAATTGTTGTTGTTATTATTTTTAAGAACTTCGCCCCTGTATTATTTCTGTCAGGCTTGGGTGCGGGTGCGGGGAGCAATCCTGATGAAAGTGAAGGACTGTCAACTGGTGAAGACAAATGGGAGAGAACAGGCTGAAGACAACACCGCCTCTCTCTACGCTAGGGGACTTAAGAGGCAACTCCCTAGACGTCTGTGCTAGGCTACGTGGACACAAGACAAATGTACCTATGTGAGCTTCTCACTGAACTCCATCCTGAATGAGCTGGTTGGTGCACAACTGAGGCGGTGGCCGAGTGCTCCAGACAGGCACACAGAACAATGTCTTATACCGAACCAAAGCTATGGTCCATCTAGCTCAGTATTGTCTACACCGATTGGCAATGGTTTTCCAGGGTTTCAGGCAGGAGACATTCCCAGACTTCCCTGGAGACTGAAACTGGGCCTTTCTGCACACAAAGCATGTGTTCTATCTCTGAACTATGGCTCTTCCCTTCCTGATGGTCTGGGGCCGAGCCAGCCTATTACATACCACAACATTTGAGAGGTAAAACTTACAGCTGTTATAGAAGGCTTCTTTCCATCACCTGCTGGGGGATGAGTCACATCAGCTCCAAGGAATATGACTGGCTGCTGAAAGACAGCAGACCTGGGAACAAGATTGAGTAGAAGATTTAGTACCAAATACTAGAAGATATTTTTTTTAGGGAACACCCTTCTACAAAAGCTAGCTCTCCAACGTTTTGTAGCTAAATTAAAGCAAGTTACTTCCTTCTGTTAAAGCAAGTTACTGACAAGCAATATATTCAGAGTTACATGCTTTTATATCCCCCATCTCCTCCCCGAAATTCCAAGCTCAGTCCCAAAGAAGTCTTCCTGAAAGCGTGTTCATCAGGCTCCCTCGCTGGCGATTTTCCACTGCCAAGAGAAATCTTGATATTTTCAGTAAGCTCTTCCTCTGGGCTGACTTACTGCGTTCTAAACTGCCCACATTTTTTCTTAATATATTTCTTTATTCATATTCATTTTTTTTAAAAACCAAAGTAACAGCTGGAGACAAAAACGATGAGAAATCTGATAAAAAAGCTCTCATAAAGTATTCAGTGCAGTTGTATAACTGGCTGAATGTTTAAACCATGAAACATTTCAGGTGACCCTTTTATTACTGCTTAATTGTAAGAGTTATGGTTCTGTAGTAATTTTGCATTTTTTAAAAAATCTGGACTGTAAAATTGGTTGCCAATAAAATATTGGAAATTATGAACAGGGCAAAAAATGAGCAGATACATAATTCCACTTACTATGTGTAGTTCATTCTAGGACAAAGAATCAAATTTCTCAGTTCAACAGGAAGGTTCTTCAGATGCAGATTATAGGTTCCTTTGTTTTACATCTTGCGGCTGCGCTCCTGTGGTCCCTGGGAGAGCATCCCAGGGGCCATAGGATATCACAGATCTCCCTTGGTAGACGAGGTCCGCCCATAAAGGCACCCATCTTGCAACCACAGTCACCTCCTTGGCCATTAGCGCCCCAGCAGTGGAGAGCGGCAAAGAAGTTTACGTTTCAGATGTAGAGGCAACTCAAAGGAGCCTTTGGATCCTCTGGTTCCCAAGCTCTCCTGTTCTCCTAACATCTCTTCAGATTTGGGGACCGGGGGGTGGGGGTGGAGTGGAGGACACAACCAGCCTTGTGGCTGGCATACTCCCCCCCCCCCTTCTGAGAGAAATGTGTATTAAAAAGGCTGACAGAAGACTGGGGGAAAGGGAGGAAGGCACAATTCCAATAGGGCTTTGGATATGGTACACTGGTCTGCCTTGAGTTCTCCCTCTCCCACTCCCTTTTGGACTCTCTGCGCCCAAGTGCTTGGGTGTGACTACTGGGGCCAAAACTTCACTTTTTGTTTCTAAATGAGAGCCAAACTGAGATTTTCAGGCTCACAAGTATAGATGTCAGAATTCTGACAGAAATGGGAATAGAAATTGCCGGTGCAAATCAATCCGGTAAATAGGATCAGTATTCATTGTTGCTGTTGTTTTCCATCCACAAACAATACACAACTGATTAAGTCCCCCACCACACCCCGCTTTGTGCCTCGTTTACTTTGCACTGAAATGGGTGGAACGACGGAATGTCAGTGTAGCTTATATAAATTACATGTGTTACGTAATTTCACCACAGTGGATGTGGAGATGAACAGCATAGTTTGGGGTGGAATACGAATGGCAGAACAGAAACAGCTGCATGCAACCAATGCAGGACAAAATGGAAATCAATGCCTGCTTACATCCCTAATCGTGTGTTCCTGTTCAGTTACGCCAGGTAGCAGGATGTGCTTGTGTGAGCTACAACATCACTGGGCGGGGGGGTGTTCAAGTGAAGGTACTTCCCTTCCATCCCACTTGCCAAACATACCGCTGGTGAGGCACCAGGATGTTGTTGATCCCGCCGAGCTTGACATTGATCTTGAGGCAGAGGTTGGAAAGAGTCTGTGGCGATGTCTTCACAACATTCTTGACCTGCACGCACTGGGTAGCCATCCCCAGGAGCGTGTCCCCCACACGCTTTACCTCCGCTGCAGACAGAAGAGTAAAAGCTTGTTAAAGCAACAGGCACCTTGTGGCTTCTTGAAAAGGATAGCAGGAATATCTGGGGAAGGTTTCCATTTGATATGTGGAGGGATAAGGCAATAGCTTTAAGAGAGGCAGAGAATTCCAGAGCTGATTTTAAAGCATGCAGGTTTGTAGACCTACATGCACTGCATCGCTTCAAACTACAGACAGCACAGGGACAAATGCCACATATGTTAAATTTTCTTTTTTTCATCTTGAAAATATGCTCCTAAAATCTGTAACTACAGAGGCTGGATTACCGTAATAAACTCTATGTGGGGCTGACCTTGAAGACAGTCCAGAAACTCAAACTAGTGCAGAACTGCCAGATGGCTAACAGGGACAGAAGAGCAGCCCTGCAGCATCAAGCCAAAGGCCTATGAGGTCCAGCATCCTGTTCTCACACTGGCCAACCAGATGCCTGTGAGAAACCTGCAAGCTTTCTCATAACATGATATGCAGTCAACAGGAACAAGAAAAAGAAAGCTCTTCACCACTTCCTGTACACTTTGCTTTAGGAACACAGGAAGCTTCCTTATATCAAGTGAAACCATCTGGCTCAGTATTGTCTAGATTGACTGGCATCTCTCCAAACTGTGCCTGGAGATGTTGCAGTTGAACCTGACACTTTTTCATTCCACCACTCAGCCACAGCTCTCCCCAAGAGGTGGGATCTATTGCATCTGTTCTGAAACAACATAACTGGCTCCCTGTCCACTTCCAGGCTCAGTTCAAAGCGGTGATGCTTATCTACACAGTATGAGACCAAGATACTGGTTGGATCTTCTTCTCCCATACTCCCATGGATGTCCAATTTAAGTAAGGCAGTCAGCAAAAGCCATGGAGAGTACCTTTTCAATGGTGGCAACCTTGCCTGTGAAATTGCTACCTAAGGAAGGCTTGTTTGGCTCCTACTTTATTGTGGGATTTTGTTTGTTTGGCCCAGAAAAAGCCAACTAACTTTGAAGGTGTGGGATAAATCTTTTTAACACTAAACATAGAAATCTAACTTCTCAAGAAAAGGGGTTTTAGCCTAGTCACGTCCCTGCTGCACTAACTTTCTACGTTCAAAGGCACAGTTTGTCCTTTAAAAAGAAATATATAGTAGTCGTAGTAGTCACCGTATTTACATTTGTTTACTGTCCTTTCAAAAACCACAGGGCAACCAAAGCAGATTCTGTGCCAAAATCAGGCCTAAACCCCAATTAAAACAGATGTAGAAAACCAGCTTTCTCCAAGAGTGCCCAGATCTGGTCTGCATCTGCCCACTCAAAAATCTTGTCCGAGAAGGGGAAATTGGCAACTGGAAGTGTTGGATTATTAATGGTTCAATGGAGAGAAATTCCATTTTGTCCTCCCTCCTCCCAGCAACTCCCTCCTTTCCTGTTAACATACCATACACCGGCGTCTTCCCTGGCAGGATGACTATGATAAGCTGGAGCCCTGAATAGGTGTTCTTAAGGTGACGGAACATGGGCTCCACACTGTCTGCACCTTGTGCATATTTGCAGAAACATGGCTGGCCCTGGATTGGCATCCCTGCATCCTTGGAGATCTTGCGCAGCTGGTCTGTAAAGTTCCTACGGCACGGGGGGGAAGAAAATGAGGTCTGAAATGAGGATGCAGGTAGAGTTTCTTATGCCTGGTTATCCCTCTACTAAGCAGTGCTGTTGCATAGGATGGGGAACCCATGGCCCTCCCAACTCCCATTAGTCCCAGCCACCACAGCCAACACTCAAGAAAGATGGGAGCTGCAGTCTAGAGGGCCACAGGTTTCTCATCACTGCACTGAGGGGTGTGTTGGGTCCAGGATGGAGAACCTAGCCCAGGGGACTAAAAATCCATCTCAAAAGTCTGCTAGTTGTTCCTAAGCCCACAGGAAGCAGTGAAGGCAGCGATGGGAACCAGTGGCCCTCCAGTTGTTGTATTTTTGATTACAACTCCCATCATCCCAACTCCCTGACCACTGGCTATTCTGTCTGGGGCTAATGGGAGTCCAACAACATTGGGAGGAGAACCTGTGGCCCACCCAGGCATGAAGGAACCATTTCCCAGCAATCGCCCATAGCCCTGGATGGGAGGGGAAACCCTGCCATACTCAGGAACAAGGCCTCAGGTTCTACAGCAGATGAGTAACTGCTGCCAGCTTCTCAACACCAGTTTTCCAGGGGAATCCCCAAAAACTGCCACACACATTTTGAAGGAGGTGGGCTACCAGAATACATTATGCTGCTGGTTCAATATCTGATCCAGCTCCCTATCAGAAATCTAGGAAGCTGCCTAATACCAAGACCAGCCATTGATCCATCAAACTCAGTATCACCTACACCTTTTGAACTCTAACTGGAGATGCCAGGGATTGAACCTGGGTCCTTTTGCTTGCAGAAGAGTGACTCTATGCCATTGTCCTTCTATAGCCACATCCAGTTCCCCACACCCACAAACATACCACTCACTTACTTCAGAACTTCTTCCCTGCATTGCTTCTGGGGGGCGAAACAGGCTATGGCCCAGACTTTGATCTCAATGCCATTATAGAACTGCTTCCCCCTCATGTCCCATACCCCCTGGTTGGGTGTGGCGATGGCACGGTTCTGCGGGGAAAGAAAATGGTGAATTGGTCTTTCAAAATAAACACCACCTACCAGGGGAGTTTGGGTTAGGCCAATGGTCTATACAGTACACCATCCTGTTTTCACAGTGGCCAGTCAGATGCCTGTGGAAAGCCTACAAGCTGGGCCTAAGCGCAACAGCACTCTGCACAACTGTGACTCCCAGCAACTGGTAAACGAGAGGCATACTGCCGCTGACAGGGGAGGCAGAATACAGCCATTGTGGCTAGTAGCTTGCACTCCATGCATTTGTCTGATCCTCTCTCAAAGCCATCCAAATTGGTGGCCACCTCCACCAATCAATATAAATAATAAAAATAAACAAGTTTCCCTATTAAAAATAGCACCAAATTAAAACACTTAGAACTATTTAAAAGCACCAAAACAAAACGCGCAACACCCTCCCTCAGAAGACCCTGCCACAATCGTCAGTTAGCAGCCAAAGGCTTCTCTAAACAAAGTTATTTCCCTGCCAGCAAAAGGGAACCAGCCTAGATTCCCCCCAAAGGGAGCTCCACAATCCATTGTGAGCAGCCCTTGAGAAGGCCCTCTCTTGTGTCCTTGCCTGTGGTGGGACAGATAAAATTTTATTCTGTAAGCCATCTTGAAAGGATTTCACCCGTAAAAGATAATAGTCATAAAATCGTAGAATTGTGGAGCGGAAGGGACTACGAGGGTCACCTAGACCAGCCCCCCCTGCAATGCAGGAATCTTTTGCCCAATGTGGGGCTTGAACCCACAATCCTGAGAATTAAACGCAATTTATATGGTGACTGATGGAAGGCTTTGGGGATGGAGTGTCAAAATGTCCATTCCTTAGATATTACTACTGGTCAGTTACTCTAAGAGAATCTGCCACCCCCCACCACCACGAGCACTTGAGAGACCCTCGGATGCTTACCCGTCCTCCATACTGTAAAATTGGGGCTGGCAGGACACGCCCAGTCACTTCAGTCATGTCATCCTTCACCTTTATGCCAAACTCCTGTATGTATGGGTCCAGGTTATAACTGGCGTTCTTCATCTGAAAAACAAGGATGGTTACATTTTACTGAGTGCCTCGCTTTCTGCATCAACTTTCCCCTTGCTGTGCTTTATGCTGCTCTAAGTTGGCTTTTTGCTGATCTTTCTGCTTTGGTGCTTATGTTTTGTTTTTAAGGGCTCCTTCTGAAAACAAAATTTCCTATTTTATTGTCTATGTCCACGGTGGAGAGCTGAAGCTGGCTATCGGCTTGGTTCCTCAGTTGCCCCACCCACCACAGGGTGGTGACATCAGGTGACTACTTCAAAGGGGATAACTCAGCTCCACTCAACTGATTGGTACCAACAGTGCACCCTCCAAAGGGCTTGTTCTCAGTGCTCATCAGCTGAAAGCCCCATCAGCTACACTAGGGAATTCTCATCAGGAACTTCTAAGGTAGCCAGTCTTTATCTGCCCCACATTTGAATTCACATATTATGTCAGGTGTGGCGCAGGTGGGTGTGGTTTGGGACAAATGGCCTCACATGCCTAATTAGGACCCCTGCCAGGCCAAATTAGACTCACAGGCCAGAAATAGCCCACAGCTCATCTATGTATACATACTGCACAAATAACTTTTTTATTTTTCACATATAGTAACACACAAAAATTACAATACATAGAATTCATGGGAGGTATACATGGAATTCATGGGTGGCGCTGTGGGTTAAACCACAGAGCCTAGGAGTTGCTGATCAGAAGGTCAGCGGTTCGAATCCCCGCAACGGAGTGAGCTCCCATTGCTCGGTCCCAGCGCCTGCCAACCTAGCAGTCCAAAAGCACTTCAAAGTGCAAGTGGATAAATAGGTACCGCTCCAGCGGGAAGGTAAACGGTGTTTCCGTGCGCTGCTCTGGTTCGCCAGAAGCGGCTTAGTCATGCTGGCCACATGACCCGTTGGCTCCCTCGGCCAATAAAGCAAGATGAGCGTCGCAACCCCAGAGTCGGTCACGACTGGACCTAATGGTCAGGGGTACCTTTACCTTTAATACAATGCTACCTTTTGTGCCATTATTCTTATTTATATAATACATAGGAAGAATCTGAATAGCAATGTGTTGTTTCATATTAAACTATCAAGTCTCTCCAGTAAGGTTATTGTGAAGCTGCTGCTGAGGTTCCAGTTTCACAACTTCCTAACCGTAGAATGAACCCAAAGCACCTCCCTACAAAATCACCTTCCATGCTTGTCTGTCTCATCAGTTGTACTTGCTTTGTCAATCTTTCCATTAAGGCATTTTGCTGCATTAAAAATTTCCACTCTTGAAATGTTCCTCTCTCTTGTTTTCTGATTTCTTGCTATTACATGTCTAGCTGCAGCCAATAATATCAATAAAACCTATTTATATGGTTCATCTGAATTTTGGTCATCAAATATAGTAAACAATGCCAGTATCAGTAAAGGATCTATGTAGTAGCTTATTATTTTACTACATTCCAATAAGATTTACCCCCAAAAAAACTTGTATGACATCACATCCCCACCACATATGTACGTATGTGCCCAATTCTGGGCACCCACATCGTCAACATACAGAACTCACTGCGTATATTAAGCTTAGTGTTCTCAGAGTGAAGTATCAACAATGTGTGAGTTTAAAAGAACCTTCTCTCTCTCTTTTTTGCTGAAACTAACTCAAGGGGTTTCCTTTCCACATCTCTTTCCCATTTTCCATTGTAATATTGAAATTTAGTTTTAAACTTGGCTGGAAGAATGATATATAAATATAATAAAATATACTTATCCAAACAGAACAGGCTTTCCAACAGCTACACTGGCAAAAAAGAAACACTACTCGTAAGAGTGGAAAATATAGGCAATAGTTTAAGCAAAGCATGGGTAGCCAATAGTCTTCAGGATAAATAACACTGGCCTGGCCTGTGAAAGCTCCTAGTGGAACACTTCAAATGATTAAGGTGCTGGGATCTGTCAATGGATCACAGAAAGCTCTACCCAGGTAATGGCAGGATCGCATCACTTCAGCACTGGTTCCATAAGATCTGGAGGGATTTAGGTCAAAGGTTTTGTAGCTTTTGTGGCTAAACACGCAGAAAGCCCCATACTTCCTGCCCTGCCCCATCCTAAAATTCTGGTAGATATGAAGAGATACAAATACTGACAGTAACCTAGAACTCCTGAAGTTTTAAAGTACATGAGTTTTGGTTTGAGAGACTCTGCCATCACTCTGCTGGCAGAAACTACCCGAGTTGTTATGGGGTTGGGTGGAGGCAGATCTCTGCCACAGCCAACCCCATTTGAATTGCACCACTAAGTCATAAAGCTCTCACCGTCCTCAGCAGCAGTTCACATACCTTCACTCGCAAGTTGCCAGCCCAAAAGAACAGAAAGCTCACAAGCGCTTGCCGCTTCCCTCCCACAAGAGCAAAAAGACAAGAGGCACATACCAGCCGGCTAATCTCCTCTTGCCTATCCGGGGCAGACCTCGCTGTTGCTTTGATCATGGTGGAGGTCTGATTGTCCGTTAGTTTCTTAATGCACCGCTGGCCAGCCACAATGTTACATACCTGCCAAAGACATTTCTTTTTAATTGTTGTTTTCATTAAATTAATATCTTGCCCTTTGGCCCCAATACTGGTCTTCCAGATGGACAACAATGAAAGCATAAAACAAACACACACTTAAAACTCAGATCAATGTCAGCAGCAGCATATAAGAACACTTATGGAAAACAGCAGCAGCTTCCAGTTAATCTGGATCAGCCTGCCCCAACCCCCTGGAGAAACAAGGAGTCCTCAGTACACCAGGACTGTTGCTCCTTCTTCAGAAGGAAGTTCTACAAAGCTGGCACCACTACAGAGAAGGCCTTGATTCTTGTGTCAGTCAGCTTAACTGCCAATGGTAGAGGAACACAAAACAGGGCCTCTCTGGGGGACCGCAATGCAGAAGGAGATTCATACAGGATATACCGTATTTTTCCGTGTATAAGACGCCCCCTATTTTCTGGGACTCAAAATTAAGAAAATGCACAGTGCACTATCCGTGTATAAGACGACCCCTTATTTTAAACTTCAAAAATTTAGGAAACAATATAGTCTTATACACGAAAAAATACGGTACATTAGAGGAAAACATAAACTTTGCCTGACCACAGCTATGGAAAACTTGCAAATATAGCCAAATAGCTCCTGAGTTGGGAACCAATTTCCCATAGATTTTGTGAGTGATAATGGAGCACTTCAATTTGTAAAACTATTGTACCAACAGCCTTCTCAGAATCTTGGACAAACCATTAGGACAGCCATGCTCATGGGCTAGTAAGAGACCATTGGGCAGTGGTTCACATGTGAGCATTAAGCAATGGTCAGAAACAAAGCCATGGTTTACCATGAACAAGCAGTGTGCTAGTGCATGCTGCCCAATAGCAGTCGCTGTGCTCCTCCCTTCCCAGAGTCGGGGTGGGGGGACCATGGAGAAGCTGACTTAGCATTCTGTGCAAGCCAGCATTCATGGGTTTCTTTAAAAAAAACAACAACCTTGGCTTCCAGTAGTAGTTTGCAGAGAAACAATGAGTGCTGTTTCACACATTAGGTGAAGTCAGCCATTCTATGGTTTTGTTTCCCACTTCTGGAAAGGGAGGTGCAAAACAGGTGCAATTCACTGGCATGCACCAGCATGCTACTTCTTCATGGTAAACCGTAGTTCATTTCAAAACTATGTTTTACCAGTACATGTGAACCAGACCAGTGTGACTGGCAGCTTCCTGTGTTCCAATCCCCCATGTATCCACTAGTCACTACTGAGTCCTGCCTACCCTTGATTTGAGCCAAGCAGGCAGAATTTGTGCTGAGCACTTGGCATGGAAAGGGAGAAGGGAATGGGGGCATCACATAGAAATTATTCACAAAGGGGACTTTAAAAGGCAAGGTGAATGGGCAAGATTATGAGCCTCCAATTAGTTTCAGACCATTTGCTAAGGGGAAGGATTTAAAAAGATTGTCCCCTCCTTTTCCTTCTCCACCTGCTTTCCCTTCCTGCATCTTGTCTTTTTAGTCTATAAGCCTGAGGGTTGGGCCTGTGGTTCTTTTCTGTTTGGAAGACATTATTCGTCTGAAAAGCAGGATAACAAAACACAACAAAGTTAAATTTCAGAAGATGTGACAGGCTGCTCTGAACATAGAGGGCAAGATTCATGGAATTGTAGAGTCAGAAGAGGCCCTGAGGATCACTGATCAACCCCCGCAATGCAGGAATATGCAGCTGGATCATATGGAGGACCAAACCCTGCAAACTTGGTGTTATCAACACCACATTCTAACCAGCTGAGAAATCCATGGGACTTTTAAGTGTAAAGCAAGCAGTCAAGATTGGTCAAAGTCCCATGGCTGGGAAAGAAAGAAAAGTCAGCTTATTTCTTTTTTATTATATATTTATTATATATTATTTATTTATAATATATTTGTTATATATGTTTTTATTCTCGGTGTATAAAATTGTATTGTTTTGTTTTGTGTCTGTGTGTTTAGGCACTTCTTGTTTCTTTTTTTTATTTGTTTTTCAGTACAAATTAAAAGTCTTAAAACAGCTGGAGGCCAAAGCACAAAAGAAGAAGAAGAAGAGAAGAGAAGAGTTTGGATTTGATATCCCGCCTTTCACTCCCCTTCAGAAGTCTCAAAGCGGCTAACATTCTCCTTTTCCTTCCTCCCCCACAACAAACACTCTGTGAGGTGAGTGGGGCTGAGAGACTTCAGAGACGTGTGACTGGCCCAAGGTCACCCAGCAGCTGCATGTGGAGGAGTGGAGACACGAACCCGGTTCCCCAGATTACGAGACTACTGCTCTTAACCACTACACCACATTGGCTCTCAAAAGGACAAGAAAAAGGTTCAAAAGGACAAGAAAGAGTACAAAACAGAACATAACTGCTCATGCAAGGGCGTGCGCGCATACACACACACACACACACACACACACACACACACTCCCCCCCCCACTATAACAGCAAAGCCTTGAGGAATTTCAAAGCCATCTTCCCCATCCCATTCCAAAAATGAGTTTTCACCTCCAGAGGTAGATATGTGTGCTTCTGCTCTTGGCCGACTTGAAGACACGGCAAGTGGGGGTACTTGAGCTGGAGGTTGTATTTCTGCTTGAAGTACTGCGCTACTGTGCACTCCACCGTCTGACCGCTCTCCAGCTGGAGAGGAAACCTACACAGAAGAAATCCACAGCTGTTTAGTGACTCCGGTACAAAACCAGGAAAAAGACCTCGAGCCTCTCCAGACTGATTGGTTTTGCAGGTGAACTCTACGACTTGTATTGCACATTAGTGGTGAATTTATGCTGGACCATCCACACATCATTCCGCTTTGTAAGTTGTTGTGTGATGCTTCCCCAACGTTACTGCATTATTGCTATCTGGAAGAACACTCTTGCCCTATAGGGCAACAAAAGCAGGACAAACAACAACTCCAAAACATGTGTATTATGAGAAGTTGCAGGATTTCATCAGGCTTCAGGACAGCTTTCCCCACAATGACAGCTGAAACAAGTCACCTAACAGCAGTGCACACTTCTCCCAAGAAAGTGCCCATCAGTCAGTTCCCAAGGCTTCCTGCATCACCAGACTAACAGTGTTTTTTCTCATCCCCCTTTCTAAATGCTACCCAACTGATGCTAAATGTCACAAGGTAACAACAGCCACCCCTCTCCTGAAACACACAAACACACACCACGCATCTCTTCCCCTTCCCCCAAGCTAACAGCCTTACGTTTGGTGGCTAGCCGGCCTCCGAGTAACATTACACACACGGTATTTCCTCTTCATCTGCCCACAGTGAGTCACCTCCACTTTCAAACCTATCAAAAGAGAAAGACATCTGATGTCAATCCATTTATCAGCTTATTGAGCCAGTCAACATATAAAACACAGAACGCAAAGGAGGGATAGGGTGTCCCAGACTTTCCACCACGGTCTCAAAAATATTGCCCCTCTTAATTCTGCCTTTTGCTTTGCATCTATTTCCTTTGCGGCCCTGAAAGAAAACCACTTGCCAACTAGGGCCTTTTAGAGTCTCTGCCCTCTTTTACCTTTGATCTCCTTGGTGAAACGGACTCTCTGGGAATCAGTCAAGGGCTTCGGCTGCTCATCAATGTTCCGGATGTCGAGCACCTCACACATGAACTCAATCACTGGCTGGGCCTTGTAGAAGGCTGTCGCTGATACTGTTGTGGGGTGAGCAGACAAGAGTGCAGGTCAGTCCAGGCAACAGAAGCACAGGCATCACGGTCATTTCTTGACTCTCTTTCTCTAGGAGTGCTTCCAGACTGCCACCATTTTGCAGGAGGGGTTCAAGCGCATACCAGAACTTTAGGTTTACGCAATTAACATGGATTTAAGTACTGTCACCCTAGCTCAACAAATCCAATGAAATTTTTGCAGTTTGGAAAGTGACAGAGAAAACGGCGGGATAAACAAATGACTAGTGGGAAAACATGTAAATACTCCATAACGAAACCAGGACAACGACGATGATTACTACTACTAGAATTAGTATACCACCCTTCATCCGTAGATCCCAGGGCCATTCACAGCATAAAAATACAAGATATAAACACCAAATTCATAATAAAAACAAGAACCAATGAACCCCCTCCTCAAATGCTCTAGAAAAATCACATTTTAAAAAGCAATGCAACACTTGCAGAGAACCAGATAAGTTTACTTATGTTTATATAATACATTTTTGCTCTGCCTTTTATGAAGCTGCTTAGGGAAACACCAGCCATGCATGCTGTCAGAAAACCTGTGCCTGTGAACTGTCAAAATAATCACCACAATGCAAGCTACATCTGACCAGGTTCTTGTTCTCCAGTGAACCTATCACAACAGTTCAGGCACCTCTGGTGAACAGGGCCCCATAGAACCTAAGAGACATTGTCAACAATCCTTTTTCAGCCACAGACTTCTGGTTGGGTATTCTGAATGTTTTACAGTGATATTTATATATCAGGGTTACATTACTGCATGCATTTAGTTACCGTCAATATTCAGCATCATCTTCCACATAGCGGGTCTGACAGACTGGTGGAACCCAAACCAGACCTCCCGACCACCTCCCAGCGGGTGATAGTATCCTTCAGGGGGAGAGAAGAAGGAACGGCCCACTGGCGTGTACCTGGGGAGGCCAAAGAAAATGAAGAACATTAGCCCATGCTATACCCATGTAGGACAGCAAACTTTGATATTTGAAGTCTAGACTGAGGCACAAAAACCCTTCAAGAATGTCCCTGGGCCTCAAATCTTCTTACAGATTTGTCACTAGCATAATTTTGCCCAGTTCTTTCTTGAGGTGGGCAGTCTTCAAAGTTGCAAGTTAAAGGATTTCCTTGCTCCATGCATGCCAATCCAATCACTTCAATCTGTGGGACTTGCACCTCTACAAGTGCCAAGCGATGTCCATTCCGCATTTGAAAGCAGTTGTTTTCCTTTAATGAAGCAGCACCTGTGCTTTGGAACACCCTGCCTATTGATATTATGTAGGCACCATCACTGTACTCTTTTAGACACCAGCTGAAGACAGTGAAGAGGCGTGAGAGAGCTACTCCCTCACAGAAAATTCCACAAAAATACAATTCCCAAGGCCACGTTGGCTTCATGGATGTAATATATCTGTGTGAAAACAGGATAAAAGATGTGCCCAGAGTTGTGTGCATCTTCCCTAAAAAAATTAACTAAATCCCTGACCGCAAAAGTTAGTTACCTCATGGAGGCCAGGTGCCTCATGGCAACATCAAGGGCTTGGACAGATTCCAGCGGAACAGGAATCTGCCCGCTCACCAGGGCCTCGTGAAGCATCCGCCAGCTCACAATGGCCATCCACTTGATTGAAACCTTGAATATCCTGTCTTTGCCTTCCCCTGGAATTGTCACCTCAAAGTCAACCTACAAACAAATGACAGAAAAATAAATTAATTTCTTAAAATTGTCTTTTATTGTGTGTTATGATTTGCATTCCACAGTAGTCAGGTTGTAATACAATAAAATACAAGGAAAGAAATAAAGGAAACATTTAAAAAATAAATATGAATATTTAATTCAGACATGCTATGGGCCACCTGAATGAAGCTCATGGAGTACCTGCGGTCCAGAGTTTTGTGAACCCCTGCCTTATATGGTATGGCATGGAACTATGGCTTTGGAACCCCTGCCTTATATGGTATGGAACTAGAACTAAGAGTGAAGGATTGAAGAAAAAGAAGTTGCATTAGTAAGTTTGTTAGGCCTGTTGTATAGTCATTTTTAGACAACGAAATAGTTGCTGTTAAGCTCCTGCTGTCTCTGGCATTCATTAAACACAATTCCAGCTGAAAGCACAGTGCTTTGCAAGTCCCCTTCATCAGGGGCTTGAGTTCAAGTCAGGATACAAAGGGAGAAAGAATTGGAAACGCACTTAAGAGTGTGTTCCCAATTCTTTCCTCTGAAGCTGGGTCGCCAGACATCAAGGTGATGTCAAGTGACTGACCATGTAATTTTCAGTCACTGCCATGTTGGATGGACAGCAGAGATAGAAGGGAACACCAATGCAACTTCTTAATTCTCCTGATCCTTCTGGCTTTAAAAAGGAGGGTGCCTGAGGAAGCCCAACCACCCAAGAGAACACTGCCTTCTTACCCTTTCATTGCCAATGGGCAGGGCAGTGACCGTATAGATGTTCTTTTTCCCATCGTACACCGGCTTCCGATCTCCAAAGATTTGAGGTTTGAAGTGTTGTACCATGTATTCCACAACCTCCCTGCAGAGAGAGAGATCAGGAGGGGAGGGGGAGGAAGAGAGAAGCTAGAAGGATTGGCTAGCGGGTTCACAATTCCAGTAAGAAACTAGGACCAAATGTATGACTGGACTGGGAGCAGCCAAGCTAGAAGGTGAGGGAGAACTCAGGATCATTTGGGTCAGTGGCTGGTGCGGGAAAAGTTGAAGCCTTAACATGCAGCAAGTGGAAGGTACTACTCTGCTGAGTAAATGAGTGCAATAGGCTAAGCACCTAAACTTTACCAAGACTATATAATACAACAACTTCGTATTGCTTGGCCAATCACCTTGGCTGATCTTGTATTTTCCCTCATTCCCATAAGTGATGTAACTTGTCTGGGGAAAAAACTGAATTGGAAAATTTTCCTTATGTAAATCATAGTGATCTGCATCAGGAAAAAAAAACCCCTGATTGCATTAGAAAATTTACTAATGCCCTAGAGAGCAATCTAATAAAGCATGTTTATTTTACTGGAATTTAGTAAAAAAAAAAAAGCTTTAAAAACCATCATAAATTGCCAGGCTTGTTTAACGTTGTGTTTGCAAGAGGCATTCGTTCACTCTTATTAATGAACTTGTGGAACAGGACATTTTCCAGCCCGAATCTCAGATTCCCATCCACAAACACTGCCCAGAAGCCAATGAGGTAGTTGTGAACTCCACAATTCGGCAGAAACACAGCAAAAGTGACAGAATTTAATACTTTCATCGCTAGACTGAGACAGATGGGTTAACCTGAAATGGCAAAAATGAGGTAGAATGCTTGGTAAATGATTTGTTTCTTTAGCAGGTTTCTTGATCGCTCTTCACCAAAAATGGTCACAGGGTAGTTTACCAAAAGAAAAAAGAACAAAAGGCAATATTGGATAAAATAAGCAGCAAAAACTTTTAAAAATCATTCTCAGAAATTACATAAATGTATGCAATTTATAATAGAAGGCCTACCAAAAAGAGATCTTTCATCTGGCATCAAAACAAATTTTATTATTTTCATTTATACCCCACCCTTCCTCCCAAATATACAGTTAGGGTGAGATGCACTTCAATGGAGAGGTCATCCTACAGACATGGAGCTACCACCATTAAGGCTCTACCATGCATTCCTGCATTATGCATCTCATTTAACATAGGGATGACCCAGAAAGCCTCTTCTGATCTTAATGCAGGGTAGGTTGATACAGGAGACAGAATTCTCTCAGATATTTGGGCTGAGGATCATTCAGAGCTTTAAATGTTGTCTTAAGCACATAGTTTTGTGACCAGAAGGTAACTGGCAACCAGTGTACCTGCTTGAGTTCTATTCCCCTACACACTCTGGATGCCACATTCTGCACTCGTCGCAGTTGTTGAATTGCGTTCAATGGTGGCCTCATAAAAAGTGTGTCACAGAGTGCGGCTAACTGTACCCAGGCTATCCCTGTCCAGAAAAAGACTGCAGCTGACACACTAACCAGTGAAGAAGTATGAAATTTGTATAAATGTTTTCCTCCAAAAAAATCTTATTTTTAATTGCCTTTGATGATATGCTAAATATGTTTTCTAAAAAAAATTATTTGAATAATTTTGATGTTTATCATAAAAGTTACTTAAGCCTATGGGTAATGCCCTGAAATGATCAAAAGCAACACTGACCAGGCAAATACTGACAAGTCATGGTCAAGCATGTTTAAAGTAGACTTGGTCAACCTGGTGCCCTCCAGATGTTGTTAGACGACAGTTCCCCTTAGCAGTATGGGAACCGAAGTCCAACACATCTGGAGGGTTGGACTTTAAAGCATTGCCATTAGGAAATAAGAAGATCAACTGTTTCCCCACTTAATTATTATTTTTTTGTAACTGGGCTGACTGCCAGTTGTTGTTTTTTTAAGGTAATAATTAATGTTACTGCATTTTTATTCCACACTTGCCAAAGGATAGGGAGATATATAAATTTCTCCCACAAAAAAATGTACCATCACCAATAACTACACGAAGTAGGTGAAGTTGGCTGGGCGCAACCTGTCCATCTAATGAACTCCCCTCCTTGGTCCTAGTCTGCCATGTTGACCTTTGCCAGTGATGACTGCTTGCGTTGATAGTTGCAATATGCTTGCAGTTATAAGCAGGTGGCCAGTGGGGGCACACTTGCCCCTAGCTGCTGCAAGGCTAGGGGACAAGTAGCCCATGTTCCTGTCCTTGCTAACAAATGGCACCATAATTTTTATTTTTAAATTACACTGCCCTCTACCTAGTAGCAGTCTTGAAATATTTGACCAGCATGCCAACTCTACAATGCCTTCAGCTGACATCTCAGAAGCCTGAGTTTGGTATTCAGGAGCGGGGGGGAGTGAGCCTCTATAGGTCTCTCACACCTTCATGGATAACCAAGCCAGAATTATGCAAGTTAAAACAAAACTGGTACAAAATTTAATCAGCTGCTCTACGCATGTGCTCCTTGCAGAATTTTCATTCTTTAATTCAGATAGCTCTCAATACTGACCTTCCCAAGCAAAGAATTAAACGAACAGCAGAGTTTTAAACAGCAGTACAATTGCCCAAAGCCTAAGGATGGCTATTTTAAAAGCCTGGGACCGCAGCCAAGATCACACAGCTGCTGTAAGCTGACCAGTGATAGAGCCCAAAGCCCAGTTATCTCTCAAGCCGCCACCGCCAGTGCATGGCCAGAGATGGGGCGAAGAGAGAGGCCGAATTCCCAGTGTGGGCGGAGAGGAAGGAAGAGAGAGATGCTGCAGGAAAGCCACTTCACTGCCGGTCTAAGCATCAGCTTGCAGGGTCAGCTCCCACCTGTGCAAAAAGCGGCAACTTCACTCGTAGCAAAGCTAAATAGTGCCAAGTATCCACTGGGCAGAAAGAGCTGCAACAGGTGTGCTTGGAAGTGGGGCTCTCAGAACTAGCTGGATGGGGGAGGAGAAGAGATGCAGGGCTCTGCATGCGTTTTCTCCAAGGCCTTTGGCTTCTTCCCAGTTAAAGGGCTGGACAAGAGGAGAAATTGCTAAACGCTAATACTTGCCTTACCTGTTGACTCTGCGAGGGCACTTGTCTGGCTTGATGTCAACTTCATAGTGATAGACGTCAATCTTGGGAATGTCTACTTCAAAGTAGTTGGCTAAGAGTTTGATTGGCTTCCCGACAGTTCCTATCCCGGGCCGGCGAGGAGCTTGAAATACCTGCTGCAGGGGTGGCAGGTAAGTGCCTGCAGCGGTTGCTAGACAAAAGAAAGAGGAGAGGATATTTTAAAATGTCACAGCAGTAGTCTTCAATCTTTCCAAACTGAGGACCAAACTTTAGCCTACACACACATCCGGGGACCCATTACTTAATATGTTGCCGTGTATTTGCACAATGGGGTACTGCTATTGTGACCCATCCTAGGTCAGGCTGTGACCTGGTAATGCGCCCAGACCCACCAGTTGAAGACCAATGCTTTAGATCAAGGGTGGTCAACCTGTGGCATTTCAGAGGTCCCCATAAGCCTCAGCCAGCATGGCCAAAGGAGTTGTAAAGGTAAAGGGTAAAGAGACCCCTGACCGTTAGGTCCAGTCGTGGCCGACTCTGGGGTTGCGGCAGTCATCTCGGTTTATTGGGTGAGGGAGCCAGCGTACAGCTTCCGGGTCATGTGGCCAGCATGACTAAGCGGCTTCTGGCAAACCAGAGCAGTGCATGGAAACACTGTTTACCTTCCCACCGGAGTGATACCTATCTATCTACTTGCACTTTGACGTGCTTTCGAACTGCTAGGTGGGCAGGAGCAGGGACCGAGCAACGGGAGCTCACCCAGTCGCGGGGATTCGAACCGCCAACCTTCTGATTGGCAAGTCCTAGGCTCTGTGGTTTAACCCACAGTGCCACCTGCATCCCACAAAGGAGTTGTAGTCCCAAGTAAATGATTGAGACTGCACCCAATGCTATATAGGAACATTGATTAATTATGGGAAAGAGTGGCGCAAAGAGCTTTCCAAAGAGATGACAAGTCTGAAGTTCAACTACCTGTGACAATATGACCCCATCACTTAAAAGGGAGTCAGCACTGGATTTTTAAGTAATACATCTCCACCTCATCCTGGCATAATGCACTCCCACTGTAACCTTTCCCTCAATCTCTCTGATAACCCAGTTCCACTGGACAGCCCTCACCTACCAAAAGCAATTCCCCAGTTCCCAGCCTAATTCCTGGGGCCTCTGGCTGCAAAGTTTAAACACAGGAATGACAAACGAAAAGCTCAGTTATAATATTTTTAGGCCTGTCAAATGCAACAGTGCTGGTAAGATAGACACAATGCATGCACCTTGGTGGTTTGTAGGATACAGAGGTGTTTGGTCCAGAAGGTTGGAGAGTTGTTGTTCGGCAACATTGGAAGGGGGGGGGGAAGCTCAAACCAAAGATTCACAATAGATTGATTCAAAGAACAAAAGTGAACCGAAACCAAAGGAACCCCAAAATTCATGGAGAACAAGAGTAAAGAGTCAGATTTCCCTGGTGCCAACAGTGTTGCATGAGATGCAAAGTGGCAAAGGAATCTGCCTGAAATAATGAAGTTTTCAACCCCCAACCTCACTGAAGGGTTCCTAATAGAACTAGAGGCAAAGGGGTGTGGGACGGACCAAGTAGAATTCCCAGATGCTAGTGGCTGGACAGTTTGTGCTGGCTGGAGCTGGTGGACCCTGTACTCCCAGAACACCTGGACTGCCCCAGCCGGCATCATGTTCATGGGAACACAGGACAGTTCTGGTCACTGTGCCTCAAAAAAGGGATATTGTAAAGCTGGGGGAAAGGTGAAGAAGGGGAACCAAAATGATCAAGGGGCCTGAGTGACTCCCCTGTGTGGAAAAGTTGCAGCATTTAAGGCATCTTAGTTTAGAAAACAGGCAAGTAAGCAAGGAGACATGATAAAGGTGTGTAGAATTATGCACAGCATGGAGTAAAATGAACCTGGCACCAGACAGTAAAGCTGAATGATGGAAGATTTTAGACCACACATACATAGTTCAATTGTGGATTTCGCTTCCACCTTCTCTGGTGGCTTTACAAGGGGTTTAGGCAAATTCATGGAGGACAGGCTACCAATAACCACTAAATATTATGGCTAGGTACTATTTACAGTATTGAAGGCAGGATGCACTAGAGGGGATGTTGCCATGCTCAGGTCTTGCTTGCAGGCTTCCCAGAGTCACCTGCCTGACCACTGTGAGAAGAGGGTGCTGGATTATGGAATTCGCTGCCACAAGGGGTAACAATGGCCTCTAAAGTGGACAGCTTCTAAAGAGGGTAACACAAATTCACTAAGGATGAGAATATCAATGACTACTAGCCCTGATGGCTGTGTTCTGTGTCAAGGACTACTAGACCTCCTCTGTCAGAGGAAGTATGCCTTTAAATAACATTTGCGGAAATTGCAGGGTGGGAGAGTGCTGTTGTGCTCGGGGCCTGCTTGTGGCCTTCCCATTGGCATCTGGTTGGCCACTGTAAGAAGAAGGTGCTGGACTAGATGGATCACTGGCCTTATCCAGCAAGGCTCTTATGATATTCTTAGGAGCTGCCTTTTATTGGACCAGACTATTTGTCTGTCTGGCACAGCATTATCTGCTCTGAGCAGCAACATCTTCCACAACCTGGTGCCCCCCAGAAGTTCTGGACCACTGCTCCCATGATTCCTGACTACTGGCTATGCTGGGTGTTGAAGTCCGAAAGAGTACCAGTTTGGCAGAGGATGCTACAGGGTCCAAAACAGATATATATGCACACACAGCTCCTAGATACTGATTTTAATGGAATATGCCAGCATTTGAGCCAGGAATCTTTCTGCATACAAAACAGGTGCTTTACCACTGAGTTATCCCACTCTAAGCACTGTTTCCTACTTGGCAGCAGAATTAAGTGGTACAAGTCATGAGGCTGTACAAAGTGAGCTGTACCACTTCAGGATGATCAACACTATTAAGGATTTTTTAAAACTTCCTGCAATAATAAATCTAGAATGTTGGTGATAAAGGTCTAACCCACCTCTCTCTCCTGCTTTTTATTTGTAGGGTGGCTTTTTATTTAAACCACACACACAGCAGTAAGAAAAATAAATGTCATTCTACCTGTGGTCTGCACAGCCCTTCTTTATACCACTCCATTCTGTGGCCATGTGAAGATTCAGGTAAAGTGTGGTGATGATTCAGAGTACAGAAGGGAAATCTCGTAGAGGGAAATTAGCTCTCTTCAACTACTCTTCCCAGAGAAAGAACATTTGGGAAGGATCAATTGCATGCTGTTCTTTTTAAGTCAAGTCACTCGCATGCAATTCCGGGAAGCAATAGGTTCCACCCTACAATCAATCTCAACCTGCCCTTTAACCTACCGGCTTCCCCAGTGAACAGACTTGGGAGTCTGCTCCCTTACAAGGTCACCCGGAGGCCAGCATCCATCTCTGAAGAGCCCTCTTCGTACCACAAACTGCTATTATCAGCCCTGCATCCCACCCAACACAGCTCTCCAGAATTGCAACATGATTTACAAGCCTCAGCGAGGAGGGTGGTGGACAATCAGTTGTTGTTGTATGTGTTTAATATTGCATTTTAAAATTTCAAATGAAAACCTTGCATTTAGTGGGGAGGTCTTGGTAGTGGTTATGGTAGATGCTGGGTGCAAAGCAAACATTGGGTTGGCTCCAGACTAAGTTAGCAGAATTTGGGTCCCAATGAAATAAGTATGACAAATTAGTCATTACTTATTTATGTTGTAACTAACTTGTCCCATTGATTTCAGCAGAAACTTAGTGCAACTAAGTTAGGCAACAACCAGCTAATTATCTGCCATGATTTTCCTGAAGATGATGAGGATTCATTGCCCTTAAAAATAAATGAATCAGTAGGCACCATCAACCAGCCTGACCATCCACAGACAAAAATTGGCAGCCCACACCACTTAGGAAAAAGGACTAAAACAGTGTTCTGTAGAGCAGGGGTTGGCAGGTGGTAGATCCTGATCTACCAGTAGATCTCTGAGTGACTGACAGTAGGTCAGCCAGGGGTTCTGACCCCCAGTTCTTTAACAACAGCAACAGCAGAATGAGTTTTCCCAACTAAATTAGGCCACTGAAATGAATAATGTGAAGTAGGAGTTGGCCCCTTGGGCAAAGGGACTGTGAACTCGCTTCAGTTCCTGAGCTGAAAACAAATCCTAAGGTCAGGACATGCTCACTTTTCTTCAACTCAAACACTACTCTCTTTTGCACCTGGCTCTGTGGTTGGTAGCTCTTATAATAAGCAACAAAAAGCAATTTGATCAGTCTAAAGTCTGCTCAGCCCTGCAGTAGAAACTGTTTAAACCCAATGCTGCCAGAGACCCCCAGCAGAAGTAGAAAGTTTCAGGAGGTAGAGTTAGCCATTTCTCTGCCTGGGACAGGATCCCAAGTAACACACCCAGTCACACATCTCAAGGACCAGCTCTGGAGAGAATCAGGAATGGTTTGTTGTCTTTTAAGGAAACTATTACTGAGATGGCCAGTTCCTTAATCACACATCTCTTATTTTCTCCTCCCTGGGGTGTGTGTGTGTGTGTGTGTGTGTGTGTGTCCCTACCTTATACTGACCATGCTCAATTGTGGGTGTTTTTTTGCTCTTCTCTTGAATTCTTAGAATACATTGTTAGTCTTGTTTGTTATACATTTAATTTTGTTTTATGTGCTTTACTTTGGTTCGGCTGTCAACCAAAGAAGACCTGCACCACTGCCTGACCTGCTGCAATTTTGCACACACTTAATGGAGAGTAAGCCCCAATGAACACAGTGCGACTTACTTCTGAGTAAACATGCAAAGGATTTGAATAGCACACCCCAGAGCAAGCTAGCAGGTCGCTTTTTCACCTACCACGTTGAACAGATACTTCCACACTGAAAACATGATTTAATGTAAAGTCATTTTAAAAAACAACAACACCCACCAGGTGTTGAACCATCTTTCAATGGCCGATTTGCATGCAGGGCAGGCACCCCAGGTGTTTCCCTTCATTCTACTTCCACGGTCAATGCGTCTGTTGCTTAAACCCCTGTAGCTAGTCTACAGGAGCCAGAGCGCCACTGCTGGGTGTTATCCACCACATTTCACCTTAAACAGCCCCTGACCCCCATTGCCCAAGAGCACTGCTTAGAGAAAGTAGAGGAATCCTCTTATCCCAAGCCACACTGCTGCGCTTTGCTTTCTGGCTTACTGGTATACTCTGGATTACTCTGCTGTGAGGCTGCTGCTGCTGCGCTTCCTTTCAACACAGTCTAATTCCTCACTGGGAACGGTAGTTCTAAACCTCAATGCAGACCACTTGAAAACTGCGGGGGCAGGGGGCGGGTCTAAGCAGACAACTTAATAAACTTTATTAGTTCTACAAATCAAGGCACATCCTCAACTCACTTTTAATAACCCTTGTCTTTACTCTCTAGAGCTGTGGTTCCCAATGTGGGGCACATGCCCCACAGGGGGGCAATTTGATTTTTATGGGGGGCCAATTTAAGAATGTGTTAGACCATGTTAATGGCCTTTTAGGCTTCCTCCATGTGAATAGGAGTTCGTTTTTTGAATAATAAGAATTATATGTCATGGGAGGAGGGAGGCATCAGGATTTTAGAGATGCTTAGGTGGGGCATGGTCAAAAAAAGGTTGGAAACCACTGCTCTAGAGTGATGGATGTTAACTAAGATGTTTTATGAACTAAGATGTTCTGCAAAACTGATCTCCATCTTTGGGGGTGGGGGCAGAATCCCATGCAAGGACAAGTAAAGATAGATATTCAATACAGATATTTCTCAATGGCTCCACAACAACACTTCCACATATCATAGTTCTAGAACTACTGATATATAAGGAACAGGTTCACATTCTTATCTGGAACTCGAAAGGGACCGTTCTAAGAAGCATCCTTGGGAGCATTCAAGCAGCCTTCTCCAACCTGGTGCCCTCCAGATGTTCTACACTAAAACTCCCATCAGCCCCAACCAGCATAGCAAACACTTTACTAAGGGAAGTCAGTCTGCCACAATTGTCAATGACTTTTAAGAAAGAGCTAAAAACCTCTTCCCATTCTCCTGTGCCTCATTAAATGACGGCTGTTGAGTGCCACTGGGGGTTCCTTGCTGATCTGGTTTTGATAGCACTGCCTTATACAGAGAGACCACTGAGCCATCTTGCTCAGTAATGTCAACAACTTATTAAGCGTACATTAAGAGAAGAGAGTCTACACGCACATATGGGATGCAGGTGGCGCTGTGGTCTAAACCACAGAGCCTAGGGCTTGCCAATCAGAAGGTCGGCAGTTCAAATCCCCATGATGGGGTGAGCTCCCGTTGCTTGGTCCCAGCTCCTGCCCACCTAGTAGTTCGAAAGCATGTCAAAGTGCAAGTAGATAAACAGGTACCGCTCCAGCGGGAGGGTAAACGGTGTTTCCGTGCGCTGCTCTGGTTTGCCAGAAGCGGCTTAGTCATGCTGGCCACATGACCTAGAAGCTGTCTGCAGACAAACGGCGGCTCCTTCGGCCTGTAAAGTGAGGTGAGCACTGCAACCACAGAGTTGTTCACGACTGGACTTAACAGTCAGGGGTCCCTTTACCTTTAAGAGAAGAGAGTCTACACACATATAGATAGGGGTAATCCAGTTAACATAGTATACATGGACTTTCACAAAACTTTTGGCAAAGTACCTCACCACAGACTTCTGGGTAAGCTTCTAGACACATAAAAGAAAGCACTTGTTCAATCAGTGCATTGTTAAACCATTTAAAAAAATGAAAAATCTCCACCGATATTTCCAGTAAGAGAAATGAAATTGACAATTTGGGACAGGAGATTAAACAGGTTATATATATTAAAGGTGTGGAGTTGCAAAGTTCTTCCTTGGCCCCAGAATTTAAGGCTCTCCCCAATGCACCTTTGCCATACCCTTCCCACATCCTGTGGATCTGGGTGCAAAATACTTTTGTGTCCAAGGACTGCCTTGGGGGAAAGGAGGAGTTGAACAAAAGAAAGTATGTGGCTGGATCACACTTGGCAAGATGGCATGGCTAAGCCCACAGACTATTAAAAAAGAAAACCAGAATCTTTAGCACACCCAGTCTGAGAACAGTTTGTGGCAGGGCTCCTGCCGCGTCACTGCACACGTTTGCAGGACAAAAATGAATGGACAAGGCGCAGCTGTGGACTAGAGAGACACACAATGGGGACCAAACTCTCCCAGATTCCCCCAGGGCTCATTCAATGCATCTTCCCTTCTCTCTCTCTCTCTCTCTCTCACCCTCCTCACCCCTCCACCTGCAATACAGATCAAGTTGAGGATTAGCTGTTGCTTTTCCGCAGTAACAGCCTCCGCGAGATGGTTTGGGACATTTCAAAGGTCTTAAACCACACAGAAGGAGTGAAATTGCTGTGGAGTTGCCAGGATGCCACAGAGTTTCACATAAAACACAAATGCAGATTTGCTCCAGCTTTCGGACCGTTGCCAAGCCCTGTCTCTTGAAAGCCTTGCAGATTAATTAATGAAGTCAAGGAATCAATGCACAGATTAAAAGTGGTTGCCCGTGAGCGACACAACAAGGGGGATGGCTGGCGGGCGAATTATGGCTGGACGGCAGACAAGGGAAGAGTGGCCACGATGCATAAATTAAAGCTCAGCATCCCAGCTGGCAAGATGAAACTCCAGACATTAGCTACACACCACCGCCTGAGATCCTTGGCACCCAGCTGCTTTCCCACCCCTCTTTTCACTGCACCCTAGGACTTACCCATGGCAGAATGCCTGCCCAAGAGGCAAGCGACACCAACACCCCCAAAGAACACAGGAAGCTGCCTTAGCCCAAACAAGACCACTGCTCCATTTGGCCCAGTGCTGTCCGCACTGATGAACAAGAGACTGTCTAGAGTTTCACATAGGGGTCTTTCTCCCAGCCCTACCTGGAGATGCTGGGGGTTGAGCCTGGGACCTCCCGAAGGCCGAGGAGATCCTCTACCCCAGAGATTCAGACCTCCTCCAAAGCACTTCCCCCAAGGCACCATGAAGCTTTTTCAGCCAATACTTGCCCTACCCCAGAACATAGGAAGCTGCCTTGTTTAGAGTCAGGTCATTGATCCATCTGACTCAGTACTGCCTACACCAGCCTTTTTCAAACTTGGGTCCAGTGCTAGAAACTCAGATATATAAGCTAATCACTGGTCTAAAATGACTGACAGCACCTCTCCATGGTTTCAGGCAGGGGAAATTCCCAGAGATGCCACTGAGAATTGAATCTGGAGCCTTCTGGAAGCAAAGCAGGTGCTCTATCACTGAGCTATGACCAAGACAGGGAGCATGTCCATTCTATATACTCACAGTCAGGAGGGCTAGATGCTTGCCTTAAAAAAGCAGAGATTCTCAAAAAGCTGAATTCGGTGACAATACAAATCTTTGCACTTTGCCCAGTGCTCCTGCAATATCACAGCTCTGGTTATGCAGCATGCACGGTGGTGGAGGCAGGGAAGTGAGTGAGCAGGTCTTCAAGCCCAAGATCCGCTCCTAATCTCAGCATGGTCACAGGTTCTGGGAAAGTAGCATTTGAACACGACTTTTATGTCTTTTCAAGTTCCTAAGAAACCAAGCTTCCTGAGTGCAGAGCTATGATGGCAAAAATACTCAAGGTTCCTGAAATGAGACAGCCAAGATGCACTGGTTTTCCTAATTTTCAAAAGCTCAAGATTGTTCAGTACCTAACTGCACATTTTCCACTCACATCCAGGGGCAATAGCTTCTGAATAGATATTGCAGAATAAGTGCAAAGCGGCCACCTGTTCATCATCTCCAATACGCAGAAATGTGGTATGCAAATTGCGCTCATTGCAAAGCAATTTAAATGAGTTAGAAATTTCATTTTAACACTACCTTGCAGGAATGCCATAACTGTTGCTTGTTTTGTGTTTGAGCTTTTGTGATTTCATGGCAGAGAATATTTTTTTTAAACTTAACATCTCACACACACCCTAAAATACTGGAGAGTTTTAGTGGTGGCACAGTGGTTAGAGTGCCAGGCTAGGACCTGGGAGATCAGGGTTCAAATCCCCACTTGGCCATGAAGCTCACCAGGTGATCTTGGGCCAGCCTCTCAGTCTAGCCCACCTCACAGGGTTGCTGTGAGGGTAAAAACGGAGAGCTAGCTATCCTATGTACAAACACCATCGTGTTTAGAGGTAGAACCCATGCTTTAAAAGACTGTTTAAGACTTTGTTGGGTTTTTAGTTTTACTAGAGGAAGGATCTTAACCTAGACAATGGTCACGGATGATGGAATTTGTAGTCCACCAACATCTGTAGGGCCACCAGGTTTGTACCCCTGCTTTAGCTGAAATTCAAGAAGACAAGCTGAGGCCAACTAAGTTCTGCTCGGAGAAGAACCATTGACATTAATGGACCAAAGTCACTCTTGTTATTTCATTTCAATGCATCTGTTCTGAATGTGACTAACGTTTGATATAACTGTCTAGAAATAAAAAGATGACAAGCAATTCCAGGGACCCCGCTGTGCTCCTTGAAGGAAGGGAAGGAAATTAAGAGACAACAAGGACTTCCATACTCCACTGTGGCTCTTACCTGTAAAAGGTGAGCCAATGATCCACAGAACAGAAGGGTGGCAAGGGGGGAATCAGCAACCACAATGAACTTAACTTTACCAGATGAAAACACAACTTCCATTTGCACCAATTAAAAACAAAGATGATAGGATTTTTGAGCACTTGCTCCACAAAGCTGTTCACAACAGAACGAAATATACAAAGGTAGCAATTCAATATATCCACTTTATTGCAACACTAGCCCTAAAAGACAGTACAAAGTAGACTAAAATACACCAGCAGCGAAAAGAAATGTCAGCAGACCCCCAGCATAGAAACCCCCATTTATATTACACGAAGGCCTTCATGAAAGAGGAGGTCTTCAAGGCCCATGTAAAGACCACATGGGATGGGTCCTGCCCAACTTAGAGCAAGGTCTAATTCCACTTAACTGCGGGACCACCACCATGGCAGCCCTATTACGAATACCATCCAAACAAATTGTCTTCGCAGATGCAGACAAGACATTTGGGCAACCCAGTCATAAGGAGCTTGAGGTCATCGCCATGGCACAGTTGAAGAAACCGCATCTACAAAATGCAAGTAACCAAAGCCAGCACAGGGGAACCCAGAGAGACAGTCACCCCTTTATCAAGACCTGCCCCATTCTCCCTCGAAACAAGGGGGTGCCTCTCTGCATACCTCCACTCACCATGGCAAAGTTGCATTAAGCCTCCACTTTGTCATGCAAATGAATGAGCCTAAGCAGAGGGGCACAAGGAGGGGAGGAAGCCTATTTTCAGTTGCAGCATAACACATCCAGCAGTATGAAACCAGACTTTGCCACTGAAATATCCGGCAGCAAACTTCTTTTTTCCCCTGCTCACCAGAGGCAGCATATTCCAACGAGAACGTCCACGTCTGGTTTCCCCCTGAAACCCATCCTTTCCCCCCCAAGCATCTTTATTTGGGTGTGCAGAGAGAATTCAAGGCCTCCGAACCTCTGTTTTGAGATAATCCCCATCCTAAACAAAGGATTTGTCTTAACAGCTGTCAGCCAGCTCTAGATCAACAGCTGCTTGATGGGGGCTGCCCTGTTAGGAGGGCATGAAATTAACATGTCTATTTAGATCCTTGCACCCCCAACACAAGGGGGGGGAGGGGGATGAACCAACGATCCTAGACAACACAGGACACATGGAGTAGTTTTGTTTTCACGGAGGCTTTTGGGAGGATAAACTGCCACCTCCACCCAACCCTTTCTCTCCCACATACTCTCCTGCTGTTTCAATAAATTAACTGGGGGCGGGGAGAGAAGTGAGATCCCAAAGGGGAAAGAGGGGGAGGGCGAACCACACACACAGACCCATCGCTTTCCAAACGGCAGCAAAGTTGTGACTGCTGGCAACACATGTCATTAATCACTCCTCTAGGAACCAGCTCTCAATCTGCACACCACCCTTGGCTCTCAGCCCCCCCCCCGCAAAGAATCCTGGGAACTGTAGTTCACAGAGCTACAATTCCCAGCATGCTTAACAGGATTTTATTTCAGGGGCAGGTTGCTATCCAGAAATAATTCTGTACTTTTTGTGTTTGGTGCCTTTTCTGTCACTGCAGTTCAGCAACAACAAAAAAGGTGTCGTATTCAAAAAGCAAGAAATTTTACCTGCGCACAGAACATAAGAATTGGGAGAACATCTCCTGTTCAGTTTGGATTGGCTGAACTTACCTCACCCACACCTGATATCATATGACACCAGGTGATGGGCAGACAGGCAGGCATGGTTTAGGGTTAACAATGCTGCAGGCAAAATAACAGTTCTCATAGCTCAAGGTTTCCCAGCACTGCCCTAGAGAGCGATCTAATCTAGCATGTTTATTTTACTGGTATTTAGTAAACAAAGCTAAAAACTCGTACGTTGCCAAGCTCATCTACAACCTGACTTGAAATAGGCATCCATTCATTCTTTTTAACGAACTTGTGAAACTAAACATTTCCCACCCCTACAAATATCACACAGCAGCCAATGGTGTGGCTGTGAACCCCAGCTGTTCCGTAAGTCGCAATTCTGTAGGAACTCAGCAAAAGTGGCATAATTTAACTCTTAAGAATTTTACACTTTCGTCGCTGGACTGAGCCAGATTGGTTATTTTGAAGTGGTAAAATTGATGCAAAATGTTCGACAAATGATTTGCACTTGAAACTTTTGAGTCAAACATCCCCGATCCTACTCAGAGGAGACCTACTGAAAGGAAGGACATGACTAACTTAGTTGGGATGCAATCCTATTTACCGTATTTTATCTATCAAAGTAAAATCCGCCTTGTGGAGTTATCAACACATCCTCAGTTCACATCTGCAATCAATTTGTCAAGATGAGCCATTAGGGTTCACAGCCATCAAACTGTGTACCATGAGGCGCCATATCTAGAAAGGAAGCAGCCTGCCATACCTCTGCATGCAAACAGGAGCATTCAAGCCACTCTGGACACAGAGACAAATGCAGAAATGTCTGCTGTTGCATCCCTTAATGAGTGTCTGTTCTCACTTGGCTTCTTCTAAACACAACAACTCACACAAGATAGGCTCCGTAGAGGCTTATTTCTTGATAAGCTATACTTACATTGACACAGATTGATCAAGCCAATACAAGTCATATGGCTAATTGGGCAACACTCTAAATTGCTAGGTTTATTGTGGAATTGTAGAGTTGGAAGGGACCCCAAAGGTCATCCAGGCCAACCTCTGCAATATAGAGATCTTTTGCCCAATGTGGTGCTCGAACCCACAACTCTGATACTAAGACTCTCATGCTGTACCAACAGAGATATTCCACTGAATACAACTGAGTACAGCTTAATGCCAAAATTGGCTTTTGGAAAAGTCCAACTTGTAGTTAGCCACTTTGCTTCTGGTAGCAAGTAAGAATTGTAACTGAGGCAGCCAGCCAGAGAAACTTAGAGAAGTTGTCTTTGCTTTTCAAGCTGGAAAAGGGCCATCTAAGCACGTATGGGGAGTGTTAGAAATTCAGATATATAAGCTATATTCTGATTGTGCAGATAAAATATCACAGATAGAATTCTACAGGATGTAATGTTAGTGTGTGAAAACAGGCACGATCCAATGGTCCCCCAGGCATGCACCTCCAGATGTCAAAGACATCAGGTACCATCCAGGCGCCGAAACATATTCACTTGGTCGCAAGTGGCAGATAGCCAGGTGCCAAATTTGCCTAGCACCTGGCAAATTTCAAATACTGGTTCCAGGAACAAATTTTCTTTAAGAATGGACACTTCCACTTGGTCAAAGGCACCATCTTAATTAATTTCCTTTCTCCAGGTTCAAGCCCTGCCTCCAAAGAGATGGACGGACACATGTCTAGTTTCTGAAACAAATATGGTGTAAGTCCTTCTAATGAGGCAGCTGCCCTGTGCAAGACTAACCATACCCGCCCAGAACTCAGTGGGTCTTCCTCCCAGGTAAAGTGGGGTTAGGATCGCAACCTTCATCACACAAAAACTTTATGGGTGCATTTCCACAAATTAAAACCAGAACTGGAAGCAAGCTAGCCTTCACTCTTGGGCTCTGCCTTTATTTTAAAGAATACCAGGAACACAGGAAGCTGCCTTCTACAGAGTCAGACCCCTCCAGGATGTTAGGCAGGAGGAGTCTCTCCAAGCCCTACCTGGAGAGGGTGAGGATTGAACCAGCGACCTTTTGCATGCAAAGCAGATGTTCTGCCACTGAGTTATGGCCTGACAAGCAGACAACCAACTTAATATGTCAGCAAACCCCACTCCTCTCTCACCAACCTAACTGGGAAGCAGTTGGAGGACTTAAAACCTGGGAAAGCCATATGAAGTCTCATCTCTTTTAAACAGTGGTCATGTTCACATGTCATAAGCCAGACCTTCTGGTTTACTGAGCCTGGGCAGGGTGCTGTACATCGCTGCCCAGCTGTCCCTACGTCAGCCCTGCCCTAGAGCAAGGAGAATAAATGAAACAGAAACTTAAGACTTTGTGTTATGGCTAAACAAGGGGCCGCGATCTATTGCTCCCTAACAAGCCACAATTGCTGGCCAGTCCAAACCCATGATTTGCTGTTGGTTTGCTGTGGCTTGTTAGAGAAAACCAAAACCACAAACCCTGGGCTTGGTCAGTCTGCAAAGCCAAGGCTGGCTGATTTGTTTCTCCTGCTCCTGCTAGGGGGAAGAGCAAGCAGAAGCAATCAGGCCATGTGCATGGGCACACAGCTCATGCCCTGTAAACCACAATAAGCTAGATAACTCAGTGGCAGATAACCTGTACTGAACGAGGAAGGGCCAAGGTTAATCCCCCCAGCATCTCCAGGTAGCGCTGGGAATGCCTCCTCTCAGAGACCTTGGAGAGCTGCTGCCAGACAGTGTAAATGTAGACAATGCTGAGCCAGTGGAACCAGTATAAGGCAGCTTCCTATGTTTCTAGAACCTGGCTCAGAGTCACACGGAACCAGCCACTAAGTAGCCATGGGCACACCAGTCTCATCAGCCTGACAGATCACCACCCGCAACACTTTTTTAATAGCAGTGACCCAGCCTAACAAGGCTATTGAGGAGACAATGAAGCAAGAGACCACAAAGCACTTTGCTAGTGTAGTAAACAATCACCCACCTCCCTGGAAGTTAGGTTTTCCCTCTACAAGGCGCTATGGGAAAGCTTTTTAAAAAAACAAACCATATCCGAAAAGATGTCAGGAAACTCAAGCGTCAATTCTCTTCCCCATCAACCTAGAAGGGCTTCGTGTGTCAATTTAAAGTAGGTCTGAAAGGAAGATGTTCTACTTTTGTAAAAGCCAACAAAAGAAACGGCGCGCACACACACACACATACATACTGATGGGTTTCAATAGCCTTCTGATCACTCCTTCAGAACACAAAAACAGGACAACAGCCTCTCCGCCAGGCTGGAGTTGCCCTCCAGTTGTTCTGGACTATTACTTGTGCTGATGGGATTTGCCGTCCAAAACACCTGGAGGGCACCCACTTGACAAAGGCTGGAAGAGAATCTTTCCTCCTCCAGCTACTCAAAGGCAGTGGGCATATATCTTCCCCTCAAACCTCTTAGCTATGCCTGGAGGGAAAGCGGGGGGGGGGGGGGCGCACCAAGGACCCAGCTGCTGCCAGCTTCCCTTGTCCTAACAAGGGATCCTTATCTTTCTGCTTCTGTCCCCTCACCATCCAGCTTTCAGGCATGCTCAGCCACTCAAATCTCAACCTCCCAGCTTTCCTGATACAGTGAAGGGGGCAGCATGAATGCCTCTATGTCCCCTCCACTACCCAGCCCCCAAAATCATTTCCCAAATCTCAATTAAGCAGCAATGAGTATTCTTACAAAAATGTTTGCGCAAAGATTCAGCATTTTATCTCCTCTTCCTAGACAGGGCATTTGTTTTTCTCTCTCTCACCCACCTTCACACCCCTGTCTAGGTAACAAGCAAAGCTTTGCTCGCTCACCTAAAGTCAGTTTTGCTCCTGAATCAGCCAGACTCCTTTAAACCCAGGAGACCCAGTGCTGAGAAAGCTCCTCTTAGTGCTCTCCTATTCAGGGTGATTTGTGCTGAAGTGAGGCTCTGCAGCACCACATTCTGCCCTCTTTCAAAAGCTATTGGACCTCTCAGTGCCCAGCAAACTCTTACTCTCCATATCTTCTCTCCTTTGCAACATTCTCCTTTCAAGAGCCATAAGGCATTTCATACCTTGCTAGGCCAACATCTCCCCCAACTCAACTTGGACGTGGATGTACTAATGCTGCAGATTTCTCATCTGCCTCCACTTAAGTACTCAACAGGCCTCTCTCACCTTGCTGCACATAATAATACTATTAGTAGTAGTAGTGCTTATATACTGCTTTTTGTCACAAGTTACCTCAAAGTGGTTTACATTTTCTTAAAAATCAATTTGAAACAACAGGTCACATCCACATCATACAATTAAAGCACACAGATTTACACATACAGTCCTGGAAACTGTACAAAGCTACAATTCCCAGCACCTGTAACAAAATGCAGATAATGGGACACGTTTTTTTGGTGGCAGGAGCCATGAACTTTAAATGTATGATGTGGATGTAACCATGCACAAAGTTAATCCCTGCACATCAATCTGTTGGAGAGGGGGATGGGCAGTTTTAAAGTCATCCTTGCCTGTTCCTATCTAACACACTTAGGATACTGGGGGACGTCCCCAACCTTTCGTCCCACTCTCTGTGTGTGTGTGTGTGTGTGTGTGTTTCTTCCCAATCCTCTCCTTACTGCATTTTGTCCCTCTCAATATGCTCCTGCTTCCCCCTTTCCCTAGGCAAGAACACCCCCAACGCAAGTGCTTCTTTAGCCCCCAGCCCCTCCAACTTGCCTGGGGATGCCCACTTCCTCCCATCCACCCCACAGCATCCCCTTCTCTTTGCCAACTACTCTTGCAGCCCCAACTGGAACCCATCAGACAACTCCCTCTCCACATGTGGCTCCAGGTGCCCTGGACGCCACGCCGGGACTCCTTTCTCAAACTCCCAAGGCTTCTCATTCTCTCCCCTCCCCCACCGATCCATGTCTCCTCCCGCCCCTCATCCGCACAGCCCCCTCCGTGTCCTCATCCTTCCTGCATCCCCCACGTACGCGCACTGCAAGCACACACACACACACGATTTGCCACTCCGCTCCTCGGCAGACCTCTTTGATCTCACACTTGCACCCGTATGGGCCACCCCCCCCCCCACGGCACACACATACAGCAGCTGCAGACCCTCCTTTTGTAACCCCCCCACTGACCACTCCTCTGCCTCGGCAGGCCTCTTGCTCCTGAGCTCCCCTTCCCTCAGCAGCTCCCCTAAACCCCTCAAGCCCCCTGTAGTCCCCAACACAGCTCGCCCTTCCAAAAAAAAAACCCTCCACGCTGTTCCTCAGCAGGCCTCCCACCGTTCTCAGCCCCCTCCCCTCAATTGCACTTCTCCCCATAAGCCCCCAAACATACTGCGGCCCACCAAAAAGCTGAACCCAAACATGCAGCAGACTCGCGCTGCCCCCATGTCCCTTTGCACACCACCCTTGGCTCTCAGCCGCCCTCCTCTCAATTGCACTTGCTCCCCTAAGCCCCTGGACCTATTGCATCTTCCTCCTTCCAAGATTCCCCCCTGCATTCCTTCTAAGCCGTCCCCCCCCCCACCAGCGTCCTCCATACCTGCTCCCGAGGGTCCTGCTTCCATCCCATCCACGCGGGCGTCGCCCCGAGCCTAGCGGGGGGAAGAGAGAAAGTCGAGGCGGCGGACGCGGTGCGGGGGGGGGGGCGCTGAGTGATGCCCGCGAGCGCGCGCCGGGACCAGGGCGCCGCTCGCGCTGCTGCAGCCGCAGCCTCTGCTCTGTACGAGGCAGGCGCCTGGGATTCGCAGAGCGCGCATGCGCAACCGCCCGGCCAACCAGCAGCGCCGACGACGCGTCACAGGAGGTCTTCAGCTCTTCCCCCACCCCCCCGCTCTTCGCCCGAGATAACTGTCCCTAGGCAGTCCTCACTTCAGGCTCTTTTGAGGAATCCTCCATGTGCGGGGCTATGAGTGGTGATTGCATTGGGGACTCATGGGAAACAGGTAAACGGAGGCGACAAAAGGGAGCCTACCGAGTTGCACTCCCATGCAATCTTTCCGTCTCCTTTCCCCTCCCAAGGCTAAAAATTCCAAAGGCTATTTGTCCTGCTTATCACTGCATCTCTCTCTGTTCAGTTCCATGAATGCTATTGTGGGATCTGAGAGCGCAGGAGAGGAAAAGGAATTTCATCCGTGTCGAGCTGTTTTTGCCCGCTTAGTGTAGAGGTGATTGATTAAAAAAAAAACATTTACGAAAAGCCTAAGAAGAAGCGCTAACCCTGTGTTTTTGCCCCCCACCACTAGCTGCAATTGGAAACCGGAAATCTCTGTGCTGAGCCGTTAAGAGTGTAACAGTGCAGCCCTTCACTCTTCCCCTTTGCCTCGACTCCTGTTGCCAACAAAGGAAAAGGGGGAAAGAATCCTGTGGGTGCCCCCTGGCGGCGACCTAAGGGAGCCGCAAGAACAGAGTAAGTCTCGGGGCCGTATAGGGCATATGCAGCATGGGGGCCATTTTGAAACCAGAACGAGTCTGGGGGAATAACCATCCGAGGCCCAAGATGGAGGATAGTATTTTTTAATGCTTCCCATACATTTTATTAAAAATATGCAATGCAAGTAGAAAACTAGCATAGCAGGGAGAGGGGTAGGCCAATACCCCTGTGCTATGCTAATCTTCTACTTGCAGGGAGTTGTTGCTGGCTCATCTTTTGTTGTTTGTCTGCTTCTCAGACATGGGAGAGTATTCATCAATGGTACTCCTCACTTTCAGGCTCAGCATAAAAAAAGCCTTGTAACAAAGTTAATATGGCATAAGGCATGGATGGGGAGCATATGACCCTTCAGCTGTTGGACTACAACTCCTATCAGCCCCAGCCAGCATGATAGTGGTTATGGCATTGTAGTCCAACAAGACATATGAAAGTGGTATATTTTCTCATCCTTAATGCAGAATATCGGATTAGGCCTGGAGAGACTCAGGTTTAAGTTCCCAGCTGGCAACGAAACTAACTGAATGGCATACTCTCCAACATTTCTCTGATGAAAATAGGGACATCCTACTACAGAATAATAATGATTTTATTATTTATACCCTGCCCATCTATGGGTTGCCACTTTTGCATCTTGTCTGAAAGTGCACCGAGATCACATTGACATAGAGCTGAATAATGCTCTGCACTGCAAAAAAGGCAGAATGTTGAAGATGTGCCTGCTCAAACAAAATTTAAACAGAAGTCTGGCAACCCGGAGTCATACAGAATAATTTTGGAGCGGGGGGGGGGGGCAGTTAGTAAAATGAGATGGGAAAGTCATTGGTGCACTGCAAAGCTTGCATGAATTGTGGAGGATGGGAGGTGGGGAGAAATAATCCCAACTGCTACAAAATAGAATGATGCACAAGCACAATATTTTAAATGGGAAATAAAACTTTATTACATAGGAGATAAAATATTTAATGTCCATCTATCACTGTAAAAAAGCCCAACACCCATTATGCCACTACTTCAAATCTTTCTCAAAACTCACATTCTCTGCTGTGTCTTTGGCACACACCACTTGTCCTACCTCCACAACCAAGCTTTCTGTGTAACTGCAATAATTGCAGTGTTTTTCTCCATTTATCCCAGTCTTCATTTCCTCTCTTTAATTTTGCAGTTTCAATTACATTCCAGATTGTAGTCGTCTTGGATTATGGAATTGTCATCCCATGTTTAGTAAACCATGGGGAAAGCAAGCCATAAGTAAATTTGTGCTGCTTTCCTCATTGACATTTTCTTGGAAGTTTCCAGCAGCCTCGCTCCCCAACTATTAAAAAGAGAAAATGAAGTCTACAGCACTGAGAAAACAACAAGCAAAGCAAGTGTGCAGATTAAGTTACCTGAACAGTGAGAACAGTGGTTACCTGAATGGAGGATGCAAACCTGAAGACAGATTCAAGCCAGTGACTCCGAGCAAACAAGGGAGAGCCACCAACACTAAATTTAGTTGTAATACTAAATTAAAGTGGTATACTTGTTCCATTAGAGAAATGTTATGTTGTGCAAGAGAATACATACGGTGGTTACCAATAGCTTTATGCAACTATTCTTTGGGCTCCTCCTTGTGCAACATTAAAACTCACCCACCTGCTGGCGCAGGAGTCCTTGCACTAGTGACAGAGAACATTGAATACTGTACAGCCCTTTGTAATACATGTGCATGCCACAATACTCATTCCAGCCCCACTGAACCAACTGGGTATGTCTCTTGTTCCAGGTGGGCCATCCAACACCACTAGTTGTTTTAACTTGACCTACATCAAAACTAGAGTACACAAGAGACCTAGGACTCAGCTACATTAGTCAAAAAACGTTTTGAATGTGTTATAAACATACAAAACCAGATGGCACCAGAGAGCAAAATAAATGTTTATGTGATTTTTACATAGCTGGGGCAGATGGGGGGGGGGGGCTGGAGTACAACAAAACCTGGGGGGAGGGCACAGATCCCCTGCCCCTGGTGTAGCCATTCACATAACTTGTGATAAAACCACTAGAGGAAGGGTAGAGGAGAAACTTCATCCCTAGGTCCCCAATCAAACACTTGGGATGCAGCCTGGCAGAGCACCACTTGCAAAGAACGTGGTCCAGCTGTGTCTGCCTACCACCTCCTTCAGCTGTAGAGTGGTGGAGCCTGCAGGTGCCCGGGCCACAGTCTCACTCCCAGGAGATACGTGGCTTGGGTAAGTGCCGCCCCCTGCGGTGTGGTGCCCAGTGCCCCCCGACTCCCCTAGCTATGCCTCTGAGATCCAGTTACTCTACCGTCCTTGTCCCTTTGTCAAATAGCTGTGCGCTAAATGGCTTCTGTTCTTTTCTCACAGCTCCTGCAGAATGCATGTCTAATGCTGAATATCCCTACAAATAAAGATTCATCTAGTCTAGCATCCTGTTTGCCACCACAGGGAACAGCCAGATCCTTGTAGGAAACCAAGAGGCAATTTTAGTCACTGGCATCTTGCCTCCGGGTTAGGAGCCATTGAGAGACCTATCCTTTTCCATGAATTTGCCTCATCCCTTTGACATCTATTCTAGTGAGCAGGATATCTTGTGGCAGTGAATTCCTTTTTAAGTCAGCTATGGGGTATTGTCAGTTACTTCCTTTGTCTGTTGTAAAAGCTATAACAAACTTATTTCTCACCAACCTTAAATTCTAGTATTGTGTAGGAGACAACTTCTTCCCACCTCCAATGAGTAATCTTATAAATGCTCTTGCTCCTAGTGCATTTTTGATTTGTTTTTTCTAAACTACGAAAACTCCACATGATAATTTTTGTTGGGAAGCTATGCCAACGCTTAGCCATTTTGGTTGCTTTTCTGTACCTAGTTCAGTTCTATAGTTTTTGACACAAGTCACCCAAACTGTTACACAGCCATGATTCAAACATTCATGGTTTGAAAGTTTCCTAATAAACTTGGGACATGGAATTTACCTTGCCTGCTGCCATGCAGTTACCATTTTAACTGAGTTAACCACTACATCTCAAATGATCTATTTCCTGGTTAGTAACTGCCAATTCAGACCTTTTGTGTATATACAATGAGTAGTTTTGGCTAGAAAATGAATCACTTTACATTTAACTGAACCTTATAGCAACTCTTCCAATTACTTATGACTCTGCTCTTACTGACCATATGGCTCTATGCTTAGATATTACAAATTATGTTATGTTCTAAAATATCTGGTTTATAAATCAAGCATGTAACTGTTTAATATACAATATTTTCTCTGTTATGCAATATATATTATACACCAAGAAAGAAAAGAACATTTGGCACCCAAATGCCTTTATTTATTTTTTTGGACACATGAACACAAAATCCCTGCAGGCTAAAAAAAAAAGAGAGAGAAAAAAATACATTGCAGTTATACACAGCCAGCATATTATCGCAATAGGAAGGCTATTAGCCTACCTTCCCCACCAACAGGGGTTGTGTTTGTTTTTTTAAAAGAAAAAAGTACCTCGTATTGCTATAGACATACATCCAGTCCAATTTTAATAAAATACAATTTAAAACATTACAAGTCTAACAATATAGAAACAAAACAAAAAAATACATCAGAAGTCAAAAATGAACAAATGCAAACAAGTTTTACATACATGTTTCAGGCTCTAGACAGAAATATCACCAAAATGTGTCAATAGCAAGGTATAAAGAAACTCTTAAGTGATATTCACATATGATCTTTCCTCAAATTGCACAAGGGAAAAAACCTTGCAGTTCAAACAGTATTGATACAATGCCCTCCAAGCTCTACTTTCCTAAAATGAAAGCAGAGCGACTGCCTTGCTATTGAGCAAGAAGGGGGTAAAAAGATCTACAACACATCCACAAGGGTAGTTTTTTGGGAGTGGGGGGCGGGAGGTTGGGGTTGGAGGTTTGCTAACCTGTCAGAATGGCCTTGTCCCCAACAGGTGGATAAAGGCTTTTGATATAAGGGTCATGTGGGGCAGAATGGGGTGAGGGCGGGGGGGGGGGACTTCTAAATGATACTGATACATACTGCATGGAACATCTCTTTTGCATCCCTTGATTATGCCTCTTTGGGTGTCATCTTTAAACAGCCCTCAAGCAAAGAGCAAGCAACCCCAGCCTGCACCTCAAATCCGCTACAGAACAAAAGATTTTCAGAGCCTCTTTTCAAATTTAAGTGCTCACAACAAGCAGAACAGGATAGGGGGAAAGCAAAAAGAGCATGGTGTTTTGGTTGGCTCTATAAACACCTTTTGCTCCTAAAAAATTTCCCCTTCCCCCCACCCCAGTCCAAATTTGCTACATTTGAGAATCTTTCACAACATATAGCTAAACAATAGCCAACAGGCTTTAAACAAAAGGATAAAGCATAAAAAAACCAAACACCATAACAACCTACAGCTACAGAATGCACGTCTTCCCATTGATTGACACATGCATAACAATTCAGTTCATCCCGTTTTCAGGGTGGGGGTGAGGTTAGTTCAGATGAGCAGAGTCAAGAGATTCTGCCACACAACAGCGTTGCTGCATCTGGATCTTGCAGTCATTAGTTCCGAAGATCTTTTTTGCTACTGTTGCCACCCGTACAGCCCCTTGGATAAATCCTCAGCTTTTAAGCACTCCCACCCCAAAAGACATCATCACACTCTTCAGCAACAGAGAGTTAACTGAACATTTTCTTGCACAGAAAAAAATTCCAACAGGGGCAAAAATTAAAGGAAAATTCATGAAAAATTCCAAGAAAGTGCAAAAGTTGGCAAAAAAAAGCTCAGACATTTTTGGATGATAATTTTTTGTGACATTAATGCATTAAAAAGAATCCCGCTTATATATATATATATATATATAATTTTTAAATACAGAAGACTTCAAAAGATAGCTGCGGTCTGTAATACATAAGAAAGATATAATGATTAGAACAGGGTTTTGCTTTCCTTTGATAGAAGACAAAAAAGATAATTTCATCTAGTCCTGCCTATTTTATGATGAGCGAGTGAGTCAGAAAAGCCCTTTCCAGGGCAAGTTCAGATTCCTGCCTACGCAGTTCTGGACAAAACTGCAAGTTATGTTGAGCACCCATTTAGTAATAAAAAAGCATGCTTTCAACTGGTCACTTTCTTTCTTTAGCAAATGCAGCCAAAGAAGGGGTGGGTGTGTCAGAAGGGTGGGATCCAGATTTGCCTTTGGTGACAATGGCATGAGGAAGTAGGGAACTTTTGGCCCACAGGCCCAATTATGCTTTCCGGGCTGGTTTGGGCAAACCATGCCTACCTTTTCCTGACCTGGTGTCATATATAAAATGTGTTACTGATTCTTCATCAGCAGCTAGAAATCAGTGCTTATTAAATATGGTGCCTTTTTCTATCACTCTGCACAGTAACCCCACCACGCCAGTCCTAATCCAGAAACTCAAACTGTTGTTTATAAGGAAAGAGTTGGTTTTTGTTTTTGCTTTTTAAGTATACTTAACATGTTGCTTGACTCTGATGTCCAAGAGAGTCAGACTTACCTGCAGACAGAGAATCTCTCTGCTCCACATGCACTAGGTGTGCTTGGCGCTAGGAAAAGCTACCTGCCTGATGATGTTACAATATACGTTTTTCTTCTTGACGTACTCTCTCCCTCTATCCGAATTCACGTCCTTACCTAGTGCAAAAAAACCGAAACCATGCTACACACTAACACAGGTGCTTACTCGCTTCAAGGTGCCTTAGTTCTCCATTTGTTGGCCAGCAGGAGTTCGATTCTTGCATTTTCTCCCTGAACAGGTATTTTAAAAAAAGAAAAGAAAAGCAGCAGACCAACTGAAGCAGCACTCTTCCTCCCCACATGTCCTGATATTTATTACACAAGTGAGGTATTCTTAAGGGGAAAAGAAAACGAAAGACTTAAATACGTTTAAATAAATCTAGTATCTAAGCCTGGCCACACTATGCGTCAGAGCAGAGTTTGCTTCGCTCCTGTTTGGGGGGGGGGGGAATAAAATTTTATAAGCTAGAACCCACAAGGGGGGGGGGGAGAGGGGGAAGGAGAAAGAGAGAGATTTCTAAGAGGAGCTTACAAAAACTGCTTTCAGAAGACTAATGTCAAGTGTATTTTGATACAGCTGACTGACAGTATTTAGAAATGTAAACTTTCCAAGTATCTACAAGCTCTATTTCAAAAGACTGAAGGAAAAATCTAAACCACATAGCATATTGCTGACCTTGAGGTCTGGATCCAAACGTTCACAAGGTCACATGACTCTGCAACACCACCTGCTCACATCAGAGACTAGAGTGCAATTATTGGCAAAATCCCAATCTTTCACAGTGGCATCATCTCAGTTAAAAACTAGGAATTTAAAGCATATTGCGCTAACACTCACAAGCTAGTCTCAAGGCAGCACTACTATGGTCTGCAGGTGCCCCACCCCACCCCCGCTTTTTGCATTACACATTTTAGTGGAAGAGAACCAAGCAAATAAGAGTTCTAATTTATAGAAATGGGTCAAGATCAACATTGAAATGTACACTTCACACATGCTAGCGAATGTTGCTGTACATGCGGGCAACCTAAACTCTCAGAGAAACAAAAGTTTTAAAATGCTGGTAAAAGTCTTCGATTGCTACTGTCACACTATACACAACTGTACATATTGGCAAAGCCTTTCCTATATATGGAACACCCACTTTCCAAGCTTATAAAAAGGGGCTAGACAGACCAATGGTGAATATAAAACAGTTAAAAATAATCATTTGTAAAAAGCATGAAGGGAGCCTTTTCTGATCCATTTAAGAACAAATTTCCTCTTCAGCAAAGTCAAGTCAATCTACACAAGAATGTTGGCTGTAACTCATGTAAAGTATTCAGCTAGAAAAGTTACTGCCAGGGTATTAAAAAAAAATTATTGCCAAAGTTAAAACCTTCTATGAAAAAGAGTATTAAAAATGACCTCAATTCATCAAACACAGCAGCATAAAATGGGCACTTTCGTCATGTCTGAAAAATACCTAAAACTAATCTTTTAGAACTTAGTCACATACTTTTTAGAGGGGGAAGCAGTTCAGCATTCTGAACCAGACAGTGGCAGTTGTGTGTAACCATTATGATTTTACTAGACCTGCCAGAGGGCATTGCTATCCGCTTATGTTACACATTCACAGAACAAGAACCACCAAGTTGAATTCGCAGTTATAGTGCAATTGTTCTGCAGCCCACGACTGCAGAGAGATTTACAAAAAGACTAGTAAAACTTAACAACAAAGCGAAAGAAACAAACAAACAGCAATACCTCAGAAAAGTAATAGTTGCTGAAAGGTGTTTACAGTAAAAATTCCATTTATAAAGTCTATATGGCCCCACACAGAAGAACAGTGGAATAAGATGTTTTGCCATATCTGGAGACTCACTAAGCAGTATGAAGAAGCCCAGGAGGAATTCAGCTTCTTGATAAGCTTAATGGGGGGGACGGGGGGACAAGGAGGTAACTTAAAATTGATTAGCAAAATATTTCAATAAAAACCTTTCGTGCCAAGTCCTTTAAAAATTTCTTTTTACGAGGATCAGCCTTTTGCGCTTTGAGGTAAAAATTCAGTCCAATGCAAAGACTGTCTATGAAATTCCTATTTACTGAAAATCACAAAATAAAAATGGCTCAATTGCGCCTGCATCGGATGTTGCTGCGTCAATTCAGTGCAACTGTCCCAAGCTGCTGGTGGTGGACAGCCTGAAATAAAAATGAGCCCTAACCACCAGGGGTTGGTGGCCCGCCCAACTGGGCTACTGCTTCTGCCTCAGACTCTCAGATTCTTATCAGGCAAAATACATTGTGTGCTGGGTGTCATGATGGATCTGCACTGCCTTGGCTAGCGCCTGAGGATCACGCCCGTTGCTCTGTCCTGAAACGTGGCTGCCTTCAGCGCTGCGGGGGGAGGGAGACAGAAAAGATTTAGTAAGGCAACGCTGTCTCAATCAGTCAACATTTTCTTTATTTTTTTTTTAAAAAATATTTATAAATCACAACATCCCCCAAACTGAAAAGCAGTACACAGGAGGATAAAAGGCAAAAAGTGCCAGCAACACCAAAAACAAACAAACAAACATACAAAGATTTCAAACTTCACAATGGCAAGTAGAAGACAATAAATGCATGCAAACAGCTGCTCTATGAAGGCTCGGAGTACAAGAAAAGGCCACCAAAACCAGAATGCCGTTGGTGAACAATCTGTTGCAAGGAACAGGGTATCCCACCTAGTAAATGCTGCTGCACTAGAGGCCCTACTCTCAGTGGCTGCAAGATGAATGCGAGAAGAGTCTTGTCGCTGAGCTCAGAGACCAAAGGTCCATCTAGTCCAGCATCCTGTTTTCACAGTGGTTAACCAGATCCCCGTGGGAAACCCACAAGCAGGATGAATTTCAGGGGCATCTAGCATGATTAAGAGAGCCTGAGCAACTGAGCAGGACTGTAAGGTCCAAGGCAGGTTCTCAAGTAACCCGGTCCCAGGTTGTTCAGGGCTTTGTACACCAACAGCAAAACCTTACGGTGGAATTCAACACAGCGCTAAATGGGGTATGCATTCTTTGACACTCACACTGAATACAAGCCCACAGTCTACCGCAGAGTAAGGAGTTTCCAGCCACTGATTGCCTTTAAGTAAGGGAATATGGTCCTTGGGCTGAATAAAGTTCACCATCCCTTCCTGGCCTAGTGGTCCATGGAACAGAAGCATGCACCCTAACCCTAACCCCTCGACTACTCACCTGTCATGATCTTTGTCCACAAGATGGTATCTTGCCCTAAATGCTACCAGCCTGGCATAGTATGCAGGAGCAGGGATCGAGACAGACCGTGTACACCTGACGTAAGTGTGACACAGCTGGTATGTCAGTAACTGCAATTCATCAGCAGTGAAACAGTTGTCATCCCACAAGACCTGGTAGTGAGAAGGACGGCTAGTTCCCTGCAGGAAGAGAAGGCCAGGAAATCCACTATTTTTATTTTAGAAGATGTGTAACAAAAGATGAATGACTGGGCACCTGTCAGAAAGTCCCTTCTCTCTTTCTCCAAGGGTAAATTACATCTTGGGAATTAATAACCCTGTTTATCCCTCTTCTTTTCCAGATGCTTCCCCATTTCTCTGAGATACACAGGTTTTAGCAAGGTTGAATATCACTAACGACAAAGGTAGAAGGGACTGTTCCACTGACTAAGAGGCACAAATGTTGTGGGCCCATTGTATTCATGCATTCTCCCCTCTAGCACACATTTTAATGGCTTAAATGAAGCTGCTCTAGGCCAGTCCCAATGCATATAAAAGTAAATGAACCATCAAAATATTATCATAACCAAAGCTGCAGATTACCTGAATTCCTGCATGGCTACAGAGGTAGAAGTCGAATTCAGAGGGATGTGTGATTGTGCTGTCCACAGTTGTGCCTGCTGGAACATTGCCACTTTTCCCCACCTATTAGATACATCAATGAGTGCCTTAATATTTGCATATGTAGCAAAATACAGTTCAATGCCATTCAACCAACCAGTTGTTACCTTCTTGGCCACTTATCAGTGTCACACACTTTAAAATTTGCCTTCCACCTTTTTCTTCAGCTTTGTATAATGTATCAGTTATGTCTAACTGGATTTAAAGCAACATTAAGCATAGTTTTGTAGTAACAATAAAACCTGAAGTATACAACTGCCCTATTGCAGCTACTTTTGTTGTGATAAAAATGGCAAAGTCAGGTATGTTGTCTTGAACACCTTGGGGGAAAGGCAAGCTATAGATGAAATATACTGTACAGTGGTACTTCAGGATGCGAATGGCAAGCAGCGAAACCCGGAAGTAACGCGGTCCGTTACTTCCGGGTTGCCGTGGAGCGCAACTCCAACGTGCTCAACCCGAAGCACATTCAACCCGATGTATGACTGTATTTACAGTGGTACCTCGGGTTACATACGCTTCAGGTTACAGACTCCGCTAACCTAGAAATAGTGCTTCAGGTTAAGAACTTTGCTTCAGGATAAGAACAGAAATCGTGCTCTGGCGGAGCGGTGGCAGAAGGAGATCCCATTAGCTAAAGTGGTGCTTCAGGTTAAGAACCGTTTCAGGTTAAGAACGGAACTCCGGAACAAATTAAGTACTTAACCCGAGGTACCACTGTACTACTCTTTTTGGCTTTTGGATACCCTCAGTTTATAATTTATTCTTTACACCATTTTCAAAGTTTTAAGCTTTGAAGTTCAGGAAGAAATGCTGCCTGTCTTACAGCTATACCACATTGCCCTACAGCTTAAGAGTTGCTATGCTACTGACAGCAGACTTGCAGAATGCCAAAAGAAGCACTTTCAGTGTTATTCTGAACCTGAGTCCAGGTGCTTACTTTGGTATCCTGTGCATCTGAGCATATAGTTACAAATTATACCTTAAGAAATTAAGCACCCTTCTCAAGTCATCCTTTGTCTGGCTGATTGACATTATTTATTTTATTATTAATAATTTAATTTATACCCCTGCTCTATGTTTTTTTTCCAACTTCACTTTGCAAACAGGCAATGAATAACATTATGAAATGTGCTAATACATCGCCTCTTTCCATCAAGAGATTTTTAGCACCCCGGAACAAGATGTGGTCTAATGAGATGCCTCGTCATTCCAAAGGAAGCATTGCCTACCCTTTCAGATTTGTCAGCACAGAACAGCCTTGTGTGATGCCTTTTCTGAACAACTATGTAGGTGATTCCTGGTCTGTAGTCTTCTTCCAAACTGATGCAGGCCTTCCGGATTGCAATGAGTTCTGGCCAGGCCACCTAGAAAATTTAAGTGCTTGACATCAGCTACTTATCTGGATTGCACAAGGTCATTATTTTTATTGTATTTATCCAATACATCCAACTCCTTACATAAAGGACCAGTAAAATAAGTAACAAAAATAAAAAAAATTGTCCAGTAGCACCTTACGAGACCAACTAAGTTTGTTCTGGGTATAAGCTTTCGTGTGCATGCACACTGTGTATATGAAGAAGTGTGTATGCGCACAAAAGCTTTTACCCAGAACAAACTTAGTTGGTCTCTAAGGTGCTACTGGACAATTTTTTAATTTATTTCGACTTCATCAGACCAACACGGCTACCTACCTGAATAAAGGGCCAGATTCCATTGGCACTGTAAGATTTCAACTTAAATGCCAATTCAAGCTGAGGATGAAGAAATACTTTTAGTAAAATATAAGAGGCTCAGATTTGGAGGCTGCCAGCCAGCCTACTCTTTCAGCAAACAATGAGTAAGGAGGAAGCTTAACTAACACATTAGGACAGGGTTCAGTCATTTCAGGTAGTACCAAGTTTCCACACCCAAAGGAAAAGGCAATTTCTCTTTCTGAAGATTAAACACCCTCTTCCTTATCATTAACAAATGTGTAAGGGACTAGAATGTATAAGGTTCTAAAATTTAAATGACAATTACACACATCACACAAAAAACAATTTGCTGGAGAGACAGGCTAGAAATTTAAACAAAAACATGTTAGAATATGGTTCAGTCACTGTGTGTGGATTTTACAATACAACCACTCTTTGGGGGTGGGAGACACGGCATAGTTACTTGCGATAGTTGCTACTCTATAAAAATGCAAAGCAGTCGCCAAGAAGGCGTCATTTTTCATACTAAACTGCCTTATACAGAGTCCATCTAGCTCAGTACTGTCTTCACAAACTAGCAGAGGCTCTCTGGGGTGTCTGATAGGGGACATTCTCATTCCCAGCTCTAACTGGAGACACCAGGGATTGAACATGAGACTTTCTGCATAAAAGGGTGTACTGAGTCACAGATTTGTTTTATCTTATTATTTCTTTATTTTTTATTAAACTTCTAAACTGTCCTTCAACCAAAGATCACAGCGCAGTTTACAGTATAAAAACACAAAAATATATACTGTAATACCAAACAAAAACAATAACTGCCTACAGTACTGTTATTATTTATTCAACTTATATGCTACCCTTTTTAACCACTGCCATGTTTACCTATACCTATACAGAGTAGCATGTCTGCAAGGGGGTGGGGTGGAGTATGTAACATGAACCAACAGGCTATTGGTCTGTGGATGCATCGGATCTCAAAAGTAACTGCAGTGGCCCAGCATGCATGTGATACTAATAGTGGATCTCAAAATTGGATAATAAAGCTTATGAACTAAATGCTTTTTAGGACAGGCTTCCGCTTCATGCAACCTCATGGCACAAACTTCTCTGTCCAGAAAAGGAGTCTCCTGGATCTTCCTAGGTTTGGAAAGCTAAACCTCCATGCAACATATAAGGAGCTTGAGACGAATACCTGTTTCATCTGCCCTTCTGACACACCTCCCCTATAGTAGATGATCCGCGTGGGCTTGAAGCGGGTGGACTTATAGAACTGGATCAGCAGTTCTCGCACCATGTTGGTCAGGTCCTGAATCACTTCCTGGCTGTACAGCAGCTCTTGGGAAGTTTCCTGGCGGGAAGTCTGTACTCGCACAGTAGCACAGTAGCGGCTAGGGTGGCCGTCCATGCTGCCTACGACAGCAGCGATGGAAGGCTTCTTCCCATCCCCAGCAGGCGGATGTGTGACATCTGCTCCCAGAAAGATCACTGGCTGCTGGAATACAGAGGGCCTGTTCAATTGAAAAGGGGGGGGGGTGAGATTACACTGGAAATCAAGAAATGGGATGCATTATCACGTTCCCTTCACCTGTCTTTTGACTTTTAATTTATGCACTAATGTACACTGTCAGATGGGCAGAGTACCACAAGGACTGAACATTCTGCTGCTCCCATAGACAATGCTGTAACTAACCATAACTGCACCTGGTGCAAACCACACACTGTGCCCCCACGCCCCCACTATCTATACCAGGGGGGTCAGCAACCTTTTTCAGCCATGAGCCGGTCCACTGTCCCTCTGACCATGTTCCTATGCCCCACAAATAACCCCAAGATGCATTTCATATAAAAGCACGCATTCTACTCATGTAAAAATACCAGGCAGGCCCCACAAAAAACCCAGAGATGCATTTTAAATAAAAGGACACATTCTACTCATGTAAAAACACACTGATTCCCGGACCGTCCGCAGGCCGGATTGAGAAGGCGATTGGGCCACATCCAGCCCCCAGGCCTAAGATTGCCTACTCCTGATCTATACATATTTAAATTAGAACCAAAGATTTAGAATTAGCATCAAATTAAGAAAATTTACAGTCAGTGGAGCCTGGTAACATTTTGACTTGGTAGGGCTACAACTCTTAACCTTGCTGTTTTCATCACAATAGGACTTGCACAGCACTTATTTAAGGAAAGCATGTCATTACAATTGTGCTGAGAGCCAAAAATTATTCTGCACATCTATGGACAGGGGAAGAGGTTTCATGTAAGAGGGCCCAACTATGATTTTCAGACAAGAAAGACTCTGTACCTTTTATTTAGAAATTAGATTTTTTATTTATTTATGTATTGAGTACATCTATACATCTATTGCCATGAAACCAAAACTTCTAAAATGTGAGAAACACTTGCTTTCAGTTGCATGCAGTCCCCCCCTGCCAAAATTTAGCTTTTCATTATTCAAAACACCTTTTTTCTCTAAATGAAAAGAATGAGGTATTTCAACCAATAGACAAAAAATATTGATTCATTTGATCAGTATAGCCGAGCCCTGAAAATGTGAAGTAATAATGTCTCATGTGCAGAGCACATCGCATCAGAACAATCACTATCAGCCTCTTATGTCTGAAATTAGGGAGAAATACCTTTCAGGTTTGGGGAAGGATGTGCAGTCAGTCAGTGTGACATCCGGACAGGCACAGAGCCCAAACTTTTCGTTTTAGAAATTAACTGATAAGCTCACAAGCAAGCGAGAAACAATTCATAGCACCCACATTTTCTTCCATTCTGCAATCAAGATATTCTGGGGGCACTTATTGGAAGCTGATCTACACACCTTTTCTGGAAAGGCTCTGGAACTGCACGTGGCTCAGACAAGCCGCCCTGCCCCACCCAGCAGCTGCTGCAGCTTTTAATGAGTGAATGCAGGGAAATGGTTAATACAGAGTTTGCAGCTACACAAGCCATCCACCATTTCTCCTCCCAATCCATTTCACAAAAATAAATGCAAAACAATCAAGCAAAAATAGATAGCTATTTATTTATTTATTTATTTATTTATTTATTATACATGCGGTCTCCACTGTTGCTTGCCCTCTTTTTCTCTCAGCAATACCACATAACAAAACAAACAAACAGCTCCTCAAAACACTCCCTCTTCCTTCTGTAATTACAGAAGATGCTAAAAGTTATGAGGAGGGTCTGGGCTTCAAGGAAAGAGCTCTGAACATGCTCATAGTGCTAGGCTGTTCTTCAAGGTTTTCAGGCAGTCCTTCCTAATCCAGTGGCTGCTGAACAGCCCTCAAAACAACAAAAGGAGAGAGAGCCCTTTCAGGGGCTGAAAAGCCAGCAGTTCTCCTAATACTCAATAATCCAAATGTTCAAATATCTTAATGTCAGTGGCTTTTCTTCCCAGAGACACATGTGAGGGGCCATTATTGCCATAGCTAGACATATGAAGGCATGGGATAGGCCCTGTAAAAGGGGGGAAAATCCTCATCTTCCCAATTTTTTCCTGTTGTTTTGTTTTCCAGTTATTGGACAATGGGAGCAGTTGTTCTATTTCAGTTTTTTCTTCAGGCCTTCACATCTCTAACTATAGCGATCCTTTTAGGTTAGGACTGGCTGAGTGTTACAGAGAATGATTGGTCAGAGAACATGAAACTGACAAATGCCTCTGCAAGCCACTGTAACTTTATCAAAGTATAAAATATATGTGGGAGAGGAAAGTGTGTGTGTCCTTTTGAGATTTTTCTCGGGGCAGAGGCAGGGAGGGTTAAAGAACTGCTTGGCATTCTCATTGGGAATGTCAGCAGCCCTATTGGAAGAGCCTCCAGTCATTAAAATACTGCTTTATGACCTCATGCTAGTTTGGCCTAATTAAATTGAGGCACCGATAAACATCCTAATTTCACAAAATCACATTAATGCAATTTATTAATCAATGGCAAAAATGAGCAAACATTCATTGTATTGGAGGCAACTGAGCATTTTCCTACTCTATGCCACACTTGCACCAACCAAATCTATTATGGGAATTTTCCGAACTCTCTGGAGCTATTTTGTGGATAGTGGAGCGAGAGTAACACACTCAGAGCAGCACACAGTCAAATAAAATTAAAAGAAAACACAATTACAAAATTAGGACAGAAAGATAAAAAATTTCCCAGTACCAAGCATGTCAAATGGTTGGGTCTCAACATCTATGATGGCTTTAACAGGAATTCTAGTAAAGTTGTTTTAATGCTGCCCCCTATGTCGCAACAGCATCTAAATAAAGTGGGTTGTAATACGGAAAACTGTATCGTATTAACTGTACACAGTGCTATCTTGTTCAAACAATGACAGAAGCGCACATGTAAAAAACACAGAAAATATTTTACTGGCATCTGGATGCGTCCCTATTAGGACCAAAAGTGAGATTTTAGGCTTGTCAAGAATTTGCATATTACTATATAGAGTAAGTTTTACTGGAAAGATGTTGACGCTGTGCATTACAAATAGAAGCCATTCTAAACAACCACGTCTCACTTTGCTTCTCAACCAATATCAACCAGAGTGCCTGCTGCATTAGATTCCTAAGGGTATTAAGTTTAATCTGACCTTTGATGTGGTACAAGCACGTTGTTTATTCCACCAAGTTTTGCATTGATCTTCAGACATAAGTTGGACAGCGTCTGTGGAGAGGTTTTCACCACGTTTTTCACCTGAACACACTGGGTGGCCATTCCTAACAGAGTATCCCCAACACGTTTGACTTCAGCTGTAAGGGAAAGCAAGAATTTACTTCAGATAATCTTTTAAAAAAAACAAAAAACCTTTTATTTTCATGGTACAGAAGATAAATTTTGAGAAAACAATTGTTACAACAGTAAACAACGAATAACTTGTCCTGAAAAAATTACAGACTTTTATCATGCCAAATGCTAAAAAATTCATTTGATTACTTTAAGAGAGCATGCCATGGAATCCCATGAGTGCTGGGTGGATTCCTGCCACAGTCTGAACAATTTATGTATTCAATAAACATTTGCCATATTACTTCAGACAATCTTAGCTAATATGCTCGATCTCGCCCACCATCAGTGGCTAAGTGAACTGGATAACCTGCTTAGTGAGTGAGTGGATTTATTTTGGGGAGCGGGGGGGACCTCACTGTGTTGCATAGGAAGGAGGAAAAGGCGATGCCAAATATATCATGTGTGCACTTTGGTCACAAATATTTTTGTTGGAACTGCAAGGTTATATTAAGTTTCATCTTTCTTACCATAGACTGGTGTCTTTCCAGGGAGAATCACTACAATTAGCTGAAGCCCAACATAAGTCAACTTCAAGTGTTTGAACATGGGCTCCACACTGTCGGCACCCTGTGCATATTTACAGAAACACGGTTGGCCCTGGATTGGCATCCCTGCATCCTTGGAGATTTTGCGCAGTTGATCAGTAAAACTCCTATAAACAAATTATGCCTTTGAGGTTATCAGCAGCAACCTATAATCCTGCAAGTTTTATCTCTATTATTCTGAGCACACCATGAGATTCACTGCTATGAGACATAATGGTGACTAGCTGAGCCTGTTTTAAGAGAGAAGAATTAGACCATTCCTAGAATATAGGTTTTGCAACAGTCATTAGCTGTACTTGCTAACTGAAAATTCCACGTACAGTCACAGTACAACTCAGAATAACATGAGCTAAAAATCAATTGGGACAGCTATTCCCTTCAGGTCTTGCTTAATCTTCTAGAAGTGTTTGGCCTGTCACTGTTGGAAAAGGAACACCAGAATAAATGGATTTTAGTATAGTTAAATTATTATGCTTTTAATATGAAATTCCCAATGAAAATAAGCAAATTATATTGCAATTTTTAACTAGGATTGGGGAGATAGTTTCTAGTACACTTTCAGAAATCTAAAAAAATACTGTGCACAGGCCCAGCCAAGAAAGTGGCTCTCACTGGCCCAATCTGCTACTCACTCATTTATCATCAGGTCAGAGTTGTGCAGACACCTCTTAGGAGACAAACTCAGCTTCAATTTGCAGTGGCCACCGAACTGCCTGCCTCTGGCAGTTGCTTCCTGTGGGCTCTGAAAAAGCCAAAAAGGCTTACTCTTCAGAGCCAGGTGTTCTGGGTGAGATAGCCAGGGAAATGCCCACCCCGCCGCTACAGTGGCTAGAAAGGCCTTCTAAACCATTTTTAAAAGTTTCAAAAGTCTTCCTAAGCACTGCAGCAAATCATGGCAGCAGTGCAAGCATTATCTTAGCCACCTTGCCCAAAAATACCTGGCTCCAAAGGACCCCTCTTTGGCCCACTCTCAGAGCCCAGAGGTGGCAGAGAAGCCACCTGTGCTGCCTTTGCTACTGCAACACAGAACTTTTTTTTAAGTGGGGTGGTGGAGGCAGGAAAGGGGGGCAGTGACTCTGCTGCTGCTGGAAACAGAAGGATGGATTAATCAGGTGTCCAGAGGCTGAGTCCCATCAGCCAGACCATGCCAAGGGCCCCTGTAGTCTTGTGCTAGCCCTGCTCAGGTGTATGCCCTTAAGCGCTCGTTCTGTTTTGTTAGCTCATTTATTAGCTCATGTAAAGCGTAGCATACTAAAAACAATATGCTCAACAAGCAACGCTTTGAGACAGAGGTTGCTAGTGAGTCACTGGCAACAAGATTTCCCCTCTCATCAGTTATTGGATTTTCTATGGAAACTGTAAAACCAGATCAAATATGGGAAACATATGGATTGGCATTTTGATGTCAACAATGTCATGCAGATGCAAGGAAAAAACTTGCATGCATTAGGGGCATTGAACCCACAACCGACAGCTAAATCACCAGCAGTTATCAGTGGAAATAAGAATAAATCACACTGTATATTCAAAGCTAGAAATGACTTACTTTAACAAATCTTCTCGGCATTGTTTCTGAGGGGCAAAGCAGGCAACAGCCCAGACTTTGATTTCGATGCCAGCATAGAATTGCTTTCCCCTCATATCCCAGACACCCTGATTTGGTGTAGCAACCGTCTTATTCTAAGGAAGATTTAAAAAACAAAACAGTTCTTCCACAACAGCTTTAAGCTAATGTACAAATGAAACATTTTGGTAACTGAAGGTATTATGTTGAATATTTTTAGCATTATCTCATTTAAAAATATTATTTAAGATATAAGACTCGCCTTTCCACCCCAAAGAGAGCCTAGGACACCTAATAATAATAATATATAACCCTGAAGACGGTAGTTACTGGGGAGGAGTTACTGGGGGGGGAATTAATGCTATCTTCCCAAAGCCTGAACAAATAAATAGCATATGGCATTTCTCCTTCATGCTGTTAAACCTAAGTCTAAAGGGACTGAGTAGACTAGAAATTCAACTAGTGATTAAATGATACATGATTTGCCTAATGTATGATTTTGTGGAAACTTACCCTGCCTCCATATTGCAGCATTGGTGCAGGCAACACCCTGCCTGTCAACTCTGTCATTTCATTATGGACAACAATTCCAAACTCCTTCAGATATGGATCTGGACCGCCTACCATGCTGTTACTCTTCACCTGGAGAAAAAAGAGAGCATCTCTTGAACACACATAATTACATGGCTCTTTTACTTGTGCAGGTGTGGCTCAACCACAGCTAATTATCTATACTGTTTTCTGGGCTGTTGTCATTCTTTGCTCCATTCATGTACACATAAGTTGTCAAAAATTAACTGGCTATGGTTATTTGTTGTCATCATACTCTGTGCCACAGCCAACAAACGAGCATACCTTAACCTCACAATCCTACTAAGCCCAGTACCCAAAGATGGTCTTTAACCCTGGATCCAAGTAAACGGTTTGGAACACTAACGAGAAAAGATGCTGTTGTGATATGCACACTGTGACCATCATGTTTGCCACAGACTTATTTGAAGCTTTTCATCCCCGTAAAGTCAAGTTAAGAGTTACTCACTAGTCTACTAATTTCTTCCTGCCTGTCAGGTGCAGACCGTGCCGTTGCCTTGATCATCGTTGACGTCTGATTGTCAGTAAGCTTCTTGATACATCGTTGGCCTGCTACTATATTACATACCTAAGATCAGAAAGACGGCATGTAGGCGACCATATTGGAATACAATGGGACTGAAGTAAACTGCCATGTTTATTTACCTCAAGGGGTAAATATGTATGTTTCTGCTCCTGCCCTACTTGAAGGCATGGAAGATGAGGGTATTTCAGCTGTAGACTGTACTTCTGCTTAAAATACTGGGCTACTGTACACTCCATGGCCTGCCCATTTTCCAACTGCAGAGGGAACCTGTGAGGGGAAATATTGCTTTGATTAGTATTCACAGTTATTAGTGTTCACAAGAAAAATGTTTATATATTAGAACGTGAATGGTCTGCTGTCCCTTGTTCTGTAATGCACATGTTTTTAATAGTTTACACTTTAAAAATATTTATCTTAAAAGCAAAGGGTTGCATCCAACTCAAGAGGAGATCCACCAAATTTAATGAATATGACTTACTAGGATCCATTGTTTTAAATTGAGTCTACTCTGAGCAGAATTTAGTTGCTACAACTCAAAGAATGAGCATACATACGTTTGATGGCTGGCTGGTCTTCTAGTAACATTGCAAACTCTGTATTTTCTCTTCATCTGACCACAGTGAGTAACCTCTACTTTTAAACCTGCAAATCCAGAACACACACCAAATACACCAATAAGCAAAGGTTAATGAGAAGCAATGAGAAGGCATTTGGGGTTTTATGTGGAACTCCAGATTCAAATCCCTGCTTTCTACATGGATTAAGTGACTACATTAGAAAGCTGTTGTGAAGTCTACTTTATTTAGCCTGCCCATCTCTAGGTTGCATTACAGTTTCAAAGTCCCAGATAGGAATCAAAATATTATATGCTGAAATATCCCACCTATGAAAAGCTTAAATCTGGTTATCAAAGATCAGGCCACATTAAAAGATCAAAATGTTTTTAACAGCTACTCAAGCTAAAACCTATTGTGAAGAAAGTGCAACAACACAAATGAGAAGAACTACAGTCTGCATACTGAAAAGTGCTATAGATGTCCTAGGCCTTCGTATTATTTTCCAATGATGGGAGCATACCAGAAGACACTTTGGGATTCAGTTACTTTGATTTTTACAATTCAACATGCATGAAAATATTTTATTTACTCCAAAGATTCACCTCTGATTTCTTTGGTAAACTTAACACGCTGGGAGTCTGTAAGGGGTTTTGTTTGTTCATTGATGTTCTGAATATCCAAGACCTCGCACATGAATTCAATAATAGGCTGGGCACGATAGAAAGCAGTTGCCGATACTAAAAGAGAACAACAACAAAATGTACTGAGAAATAGGTTTATGGAAGAGATTTAAGGCAATTAAAGCAAATGATTTTTTTTCATACCATCGATGTTAAGCATCATGTTCCACATTGCAGGCCTGACAGACTGGTGGAAGCCAAACCAAACCTCGCGACCACCTCCCAGTGGGTGATAATATCCTTCAGGGGGAGAGAAGAAGGAACGGCCCACTGGCGTGTACCTAAGAAGACAGGTGTATCAGCTTTGTTTTCTTTGGAGGAAACTTGCAGATAAAAAATTCTGTACAACATATTACATGCATCAATCATTAACCAAGTGGGACTTGCAACAAAATGCTGCAATGAGGAATGTTCCTGTTCAGGATTCCAGCCAGCCATGCCCTCAGCCAGGATATTCCATTTCATCTCCCACCAAGTCAGTCAGAATTCTGTGCTCGATCCTCAATAGGGCTGCATTGGGGGGTTGGGGGGGGTTAAAAGTACATCCACAAAAGGTAGTTTAACTAGCCTTGGCTGTGAGAAGAGTGAGAATATATCATAGGAGCTCACCTCATAGAGGGAAGGTGCCGTGTGATGACATCAAGTGCCTGTACAGAGTCTTCTGGGACTTCATTCAGATGCCCTGCCAGAGCTTCCAGGAGCATCTGAAGGCTGACCACAGACACCCACTGAACTGACACTTTAAAGGTTTGGTCCTTCCCTTCACCTGGGAGTGTGACCTCCATATCCACCTGAAGAGTCAATTTTGAAAGTTAGTCATATAGCTGATACTAATGCAGATGTTTTCAACTTTGAAAAAGGCTGAATCCCTTCACTGCTTGTACTTCACTGAAACTGGATAAAGATCAGTTTAAATTTAGGGCCGTTTTAGTTATAGCATGTATTTCTGCAGCAGAAGAATCTGAAATCTGCTCTTTGTAAAAACCCTTAAAAAGGAGTAGGGTTGGTCCTCCAGATATTGCTGAACCACAGCTCTCATCATTCATTTGCCATTGGCCATGCTAGCCTGGACAGATCATTGGCCATACCAGCCCGGACCGCAGAGTCCCAACATCTGAAGGGCTGCAGCCTAGCCACAATAACCTTGATCCCAAAGTATCATCAGTTTCATTATTAAGACTTCCCTACTCCTTCTGAAGCTGCAGATCACCACTCCATGGAAGTACAGTAAGTCCTAGAAGTATTTCAGAGCATATTGAGATGTTTCATTTAGCACAGTGAGGCATGAAAAGTGGCCCTCTCCAGAAAGGAACACACATACTATAAGATTCTCCCTTTATACAATGGTCACATTCTGATGCAACGCTAAGCCATAGTGTTGGTTTATTTAATCATACTGTGCATGAACTACATGCTTATGATGCAGGTCAAACTCTCCCACTTTTGCTCCTTACTTAGTTGAGCAGGCAAACTTTTGAACCAGCACTCATGATTTGTCTCTCTCCAAACTGGTCCCTATCAAGAAGCTCAAGTTTCTTCTTAGCTTCCCAATCATGGCTTAATCAGAAATAAACAAATTATAAGCACTGGTCTGAACATAAAATGCTAAGTTCCATGGTCTGATTCCCTGCTCAAGTAAGCAAGGAGCAAAGTGGGAGAACTCAAGCTCATTCACAATGTTAAACTATACGTCATGGCTTAGCATCACATCTGAATTTGCCAGTGTTAACAAATACCACTTTAAGCTTCTGCACAGCATTCTGTTTACATGGTGTTACTGCAAAACTTAGAACTAAATCAGTTTATCGATAGCTCATATTCCTGCAATACTGAAGGTCAGGTTAAGCATGACACCATTAGGATCTAGGCCAGGCACCCCCAAACTCGGCCCTCCAGCTGTTTTGGGACTACAACTCCCATCATCCCTAGCTAACAGGACCAGTGGTCAGGGATGGTGGGAACTGTAGTCCCAAAACAGCTGGAGGGCCAAGTCTGGGGGTGCCTGATCTAGGCATCAGATTGAGAATAGTATCTTCTGAAGGCCATTCATGAAACCACTTACCCTATCCCTGCCAATAGGCAGAGGATGTGCAGTGTACATGTTCCTCTTGCCATCATAGCCAGGCTGCCGATCCCCAAATATCTGCATCTTGAAGTGTCTCACCATAGTATCAACTACCTCCCTGAAAAGAGTTGGAAGCAAAATAGAAGTGAGCAGAGACAACAGGAAAAATTAGTGGCATGCAAGCATTTAGCAGTCTTGATCCAGTTTGTCAAAACATAATCCAAGCTGTCTGAAGAGCCCAAATAAATAAAAATTATTTTAGTCCAAGGACAAGTGGTTTTTACAGTATCAGAATGTCACCAAATCTGTTGCTGAGGACGCAAGGCTGTTCCATAGTACATCCAATTTTAGTACTCAAATGCTCATAGCATATTTAAGTTCTTTACCCAAAGAACCTATTTAAAACTGCAATTGACAGCAGTTGGAGAACTGTTAAAAATAGGCTTGGAATTCTCTAGTTGGTCTCACCTGTTCACCCTCCGGGGACGCTTTTCTGGTTTGATATCCACATCATAATGATAAACATCGATTTTAGGGATCTGCACTTGGAAATGATTGGCTAAGAGACGAATCGGTTTCCCTACTGTTCCCAGGCCTGGACGACGGGGCGGCTGAAACAGGTTGGCTGGTGGCCCTGTAAAAAATTGAGAGATTTAGAAGGATTGCCCAGCAAGCATTGCCAGCTTGATCATTTTAGCAATTCCAATTGCAATCCCAACAGGTACTAGAAAATTAAGGCCAATTAGGTTTTATGCTTTTCATATTGATGCTTTGTTTTATTCTTTTTGTAAGCCACCCTAAGAATCAGGCTGAAGGACAGAATAAAAATACATGGACTGAACTACAGAGCTCATACTAACAGAAAGGAGTACGTTGTTCTGTCCTTTGATTTCTCACACTCAAATAAGTTTACACTCCCCTTGAAAAGATTCGGATGAGATTGACAAACAAAAGTTATGTAGGACTTCCTGGGAGCACTGCTAACATAGTAATAAAAGTCAGAACTAGACATTGTGGGAGACGTATGCCCAAAGCTTGCATCCTTGACTTCTCTCTCCTTGATAGCATCTCAGTTATGCTGAGTATGATGTTATGAATCTGGGGGACAGGCTAAATTCCAGATCAGCTAGTGCCAGAATTTAATTAAGGTTTAAAGTGTTTAAGCTTGTGTTAAAAGCTTTGTGTCAAACCAACAAGAGGTTAGAATCTAAGGAAGCGCAGTGTGTATTCCAGGCACCAGTAATTTAGCACATGTAAAAGCTAGTGAAATAATGTAGCACATGTAAAAGATAGTGAAGCAGGCACACTTCTTGGGTTGTGTATTAGGACAATGATCCTGGCCAATGAACAGTTGGCAATCAGTCTGTCTTGCAATGGAAGTGTGCATTCGGATGTGAGGTCAAACTGTTGGAGAGGTATAGCATGTGCTATGGCTGTGGAGTCAGAGACAGAAGAGACATAATTTATTGCAGGTGGGGCAGATGAAAGTGTCCGGGTTTTGCTGCTACAGGTACACCAAGGTGTACTCTGGGCTCCTCCCAGCAGTCACTGCTATGGATACACAACCTGTCTGTCTGTCTCCTGGCACTGCGATTGCCTGCAAAGGGATTCCCATACAATAATAAATAAATAAATAAATGTAATAATAGTAATAATAATATTTTATTATTTATACCCCGCCCATCTGGCTGTGTTTCCCCAGCCACTCTGGGTGGCCTCCAACAGAGGACTAAAAACAGAATACAACTTCAAACATTAAAAAGTTCCCTGAACAGGGCTGCCTTCAGATGTCTTCTAAAAGTCAGATAGCTGTTTATTTCCTTCACATCTGATGGGAGGGTGTTCCACAGGGCGGGTGCCACTACCGAGAAGGCCCCCTGTCTGGTTCCCTGTTCCCACTTCTTGCAGTGAGGGAACTGCCAGAAGGCACTCAGTGCTGGACCTCGGCGTCTGGGCAGAACAATGGGGGTGGAGACGCTCCCTCAGGTGTGTGGTCAACAATGCTGATGACGTCCTGACCCAGGATGTTGGTCTTCATCAGACTGAGGATGAGGCCAAACTCCATGCAGGCTTGGGCAAAACAGTTGGGCATCTGCAAACAACATCTCTCAGATAACCAGCCCGGAAATGTTGTTTGCAGACTCTGTCCTGCCATGTAAAGCCACTCAACAAGTGTTAGTAGAAAATACTAATTCCCTTATGAGATGACCAAGTGCACAGGGATAGACCACTGAAGTTCAAAGCATTGAAAGGGCTATGTGTCAGTGTGAAAAGCTAATTCTCATTGAGGTAGTGAGCTTTAGCACAGGCATAGGCAAACTCAACCCTCCAGATGTTTTGGGACTACAATTCCCATCATCCCTGACCACTGGTCCTGTTAGCTAGGGATGATGGGAGAAACTGGAAAGTATTTTTGACGGAATGGAGGTTTTCAGACAACTGGATCTCGTTATGTTGAGCAACACATTTTCAAAAAAAAAAAAAAAATCAGTATCCGGTGATCCACATTTGACTGTGCAATATATTCCTAAGCATTGTTTCTTTTTGTTTTATAGCTAATAGGCCAGGCTAACTAGTAATATTTTGAATTGTGAATCTAACAAATCTGCTGAGACAAACCAAAAGGTCCAGCTGATCCAACATTCTTTCCCACAGTAATCAGTCAGGGATCTCTGGGAAGATCAGGTAACAACCTTCCCTCCATTTGTCTCTAATATTCAGAGGAATACTGTATCCAAATCTGGATATTCAATAGCCATTGCAAGGCCTGTCTTCCACAATTTTGTCTATTTTTTAAAAGCCACTAGCCATCACCACATAAAGTAATGCATTTTAAAGGTTAATTACATGCTGTACAAAGATGTACTTTATTTTGTCACTGTCAGGCAAACTCCAGGGACAATTGCAGAATAATGTGCCACCACTAGAAATACCCTATTGCTGGTCACCTCGAGGCCACAGCTCTGATGGTGGTGGGAAACCAAGAAGGGCCTCTTGGTGCATTTTCTTACACAGGCATCCTTATGTGACAGGAGGCAGTCTCCGAGTTACCTGGGTCACAAGCTGTTTTGGGTTTTACTAACAACACAACCACTTGCAGTGGTGTGTTACATTTAAGCAGTGGTGTGCGAGATACAAACCAATCCAAAGTTTTATGTGGAATTTTTATTGGGCTGCTAGTAAACACTTTAAGACACTTACAACTCAAAATTGCATATACAGTGGTACCTCAGGTTAAGAACTTAATTTGTTCTGGAAGTCCGTTCTTAACCTGAAACTGTTCTTAACCTGAAGCACCACTTTATCTAATGGGGCCTCCTGCTGCTGCTGCGCCGCCCCCGCCAGATTTCTGTTCTCATCCTGAAGCAAAGTTCTTAACCCGAGGTACTATTTCTGGGTTAGCGGAGTCTGTAACCTGAAGCGTATGTAACCTGAAGCGTATGTAACCCAAGGTACCACTGTAGTGTGGTGTAGTGGTTAAGAGCAGTATTCTCGTAATCTGGGGAACCGGGTTCGCGTCTCTGCTCCTCCACATGCAGCTGCTGGGTGACCTTGGGCTAGTCACACTTCTTAAAAGTCTCTCAGCCCCACTCACCTCACAGAGTGTTTGTTGTGGGGGAGGAAGGGAAAGGAGAATGTCAGCCGCTTTGAGACTCCTTAAAGGGAGTGAAAGGCGGGATATCAAATCCAAACTCTTCTTCTTCTTCTAATTACCTTAACATGGTTTAAACACTAAGGGGGGAAATTAAGGTACTAAAAGCTGTTAATATATAGCTGGACATTTTATATTATTAGTCTCTTTAGGAATAGCCATGGGGGGAAATAGAAAATGTCACTGGTTTTGTATACATTCATTACCATTACACATTGGTTTTATGGACAATGTATTTTTAGCAATCACATTTTTCATATAAAATCTAGTGACAGAAAACGTTCGGAAATATTTTCTACTACGTTAACATTTCCCTTGCACACACTTCCCCCGCCCACCTGAAGCTAACACACACACACAAATGATTTAGCCTTTCCTCCTATGGAAAGTGCTCAAAGTTCAATCCCTCACAGAACTAGTTACATTACAAACCCTCATCGGTCAGCATAAGATTCCATAATGCTAAACCTTTTTGCTTTCAAAAAATTAGATCTCTTGACTATCATGAATCAAGGACAATCAAAGTTTACTTTATTTGTATACTCAGGAGATGTGCTATTTGGTTTGAAGTAGCATAGCTTTTATAGATCAGTGATCTGCTCAAAGAATTACCGGTACATAGAAAATATGTTGGTGTCCTTCAGGGCTGACAATTTTTGTAGGTTCAGCATTTGAGCTGCTGAGATAGAATTACTGTCAAAAGCTCCCTCAGTTTCTGAAATAATAGTTTGTATTTATACAGCACTTCTGTTTAAGTATTTTTTACTCTTTGTATCTCTCACAAAACTCCTGAAAGGCCATTGTTACTCAAACATTACAGATAGAAAGCAGAGGTTGAGAGATAGACCATGACTTGGAAGGGCAATTCAGCACCACTCTCTAGGGCATGTAGAATAAATAACAAGTCCAATTACTACCAGAACTGATCCTCCTTTAACTTTTTTGGGTAACAGAAAAATTAAACAGACTGGGACAAACAGGAGCTCCAGAACTAGTAACTAGAAATATACCTCCACTTATATTTGTAAGCAAAACTCAGCTGATTACCATGAATCATTGCCGCGCAGCACAGCACAGCACTGGGTGTTATTTTCCCCCACTGTAGGCTGTATGGTCAACAGATTAGTATTTTTTTTAGCTCTCCTTCAGGCATTTCAGTCAATCCATACTTGCTCTCCCATCCTCTGCAGTCACTCCCCAAGCATCACCTGCCTAACTTCTTATGGGCCTTGACCAGTTTGTGTGACAGAATGTGGTCCTTCAGTAACCAGATCCCATGAAGTTTAGGGCTTTACAAGTGATCACCAGCACTCTGAATCAGTGTTAGAAACTGGGATGGAAAAGCTAGGAGTCAAATGGCTTCTGGGACCTGGGTTGCAGCCACCAAAACAGAATGTCTAGTTGCTACAGGGGAGAAGTTGGCAACACTTTATTTATTATTTTTATGAGCATGAGCTAATAGCTAATACACAATTCACTTAAGTGACACATGGTTAATATTACATTTTAGCAGAAATTGTTAATACATGTTTAATTTAGTGCTTACAATAAAAATATTGGTACCATACTTGTCTTCAAAACACTCTACTTTTCACAGTATTGTTAAACTCCTTAACATATTGTCTACCCTTAACATATACTTCAAGGCTTCAAAGCACATGCATTTCTGTAATCCTTGAGTGTAAGACAGGTGCAAAAAATGGCACCCTGACTTTGGGAGGTGCTCACAAATGGAGAATCTTTAGGTGCAAAATGCACCTGGCACCCTGCTAATTTTGAACCTTGCTCTGAATTATGTAGCTTCTTGGATGGCATAGAAATTTAATAAATATCAAACAAACAGATAAAATACTGTTAAAGAAAGCAACTGTTTTCACAATTCTTCCTGAGGTGAATTTGATTAAGAAGGTGAATCATCATAGCCATGAAGCCTTCACAACAGCATTTCTTTAAATAGTACCAAGCCAAGAATTTCTTTATTATGAGCTGTAGTAATGAAAAGGTTAAACTAATCTATGACTAAAACTTTATCAAGGAGACTCAGAATTCAACTGGAATTCAGCTCCTGAGTACATCACTGTAAGTAGTGGGAATCCCACATTCCTTGCTCTAGGCAATAAATAAGTCACTGCTGGCAAGGAGAGAGAGAAAAGGAAAGATCACATCTAGGTTGCCACTGAAGCAGGGTGCCACCATTCTTCACACAAGTAAGCATAATCGCTTCACAATGCACAAGCCATTTCATATACCGGTAACTAAGAGGAGTTCTGCTGGATCAAACTAAAGGCCAATCTAGTCCAGCATCATGTTCTCAATGGCAAACCAGATGCCTACAGGAAACCTGCAAGCAGGGATTTCCAGCAACTCTTATGCAGAGGGACACTAACACAGGAGACAGGACACAAGCATCATGACTACCATTCACTGATAGCCTAATCTGCTATGGATTTGTCTCTCTTTTAAAAACATCCAAGTTGGTGGCCATACCTACATCACATGGAAGCAAATTCCATAGTTTAACTGTGTGCTGTATGTGAAGGGGTCATCTAAATTTTCATAATGAGCATAACTCAAAAGTGAATCCACTTGGGTGCATAATGCAATATGAGTACAATGCAGTATTTGTTAGAAAGAGTTACCATTTAAGAGACTTTTTGTGAATCAGCCTTTCTACATATTTAGCCACTGTGGCATGCTAGAGGATTTGCATGTGGGAAACTCAGGTTCGAAACCTTGCTCAGGTAGCCTTGGACAAGTCATCACTCTCTCTAAGCCAGGGGTAGGCAACCTAAGGCCTGTGGGCTGGATGCGGCCCAATCACCTTCTCAAGCTGGCCTACGGACTATCTGGGAATCAGCATGTTTTTACATGAGTAGAATGTGTCCTTTTATTTAAAATGCATCTCTGGGTTATTTCTGGGGCATAGGAATTTGTTCATTTCCCCCCAAAAAAATATAGTCTGGCCCTCCACATGGTCTGAGGGACGGTGGACCAGCCCATGGCTGAAAAAGGTTGCTGACCCCTGCTCTAAGCCATACTCATTCCACAAGGAATCCCCCAAATGTGAACTTTGCCTGCCTCACAGACTCCTCACAAGGACACCAACGCTCTAAGTTCTTTGGAGAGGAACCTCCCTGTGAAGTTCAGTAACTTACTTGTGTTCCTCTTTCCTGAAAGTGACAAAGGAAGTGAAATAACAAGTGAACAGAGAAGTGGTGCAGTCTCTGCATGTGAATTTACCAGCTCCATTAAGGTTGCTTAAACCAACGCTTGGTCACATTTTGCAATAAAAAACTGGCAACTTCCGGGGCTATCAGCTAACAACCTAAACCTCAACCAACACTGGATCCCTTATCAAGGAATTATTAAGGACACTCTTAAGGGAAAAAATAATCCCATTGTTTCACTTACTCACTTGTCAAAAGGCAAAAAGTTGCCAAATGTACAGTCTTAGCAAAATTGTCCACTGCAAAGAAAAAAATAGAGTTCTGTTTTTATAAGTAAATGTATTGCAACGTAGCTGCAAAAGCAAAGGGACATGGACATCACACATTTTAAAAATCTAGTCAATTAAAAAAACATTTCCTTTTGAAATGAGTTTAGAGCAACATGGAACAACGGTAACATCAGAATTCAACCTTTCACAAAGCACAGGTGGAAAACATGTCACTTGGATACACAAAAGGCCCAACTCCAATGCACGTGGAGGGCCACAATCCAGGCACCACTGCTGAAAATACTTTATTATTGCAGCACTGAAAGCACTCTCTTGTTTATGGTGACTCACAGTTTATGTAGGGAGGAGTCTATATGGGAGAAAGTGATCTTTAATGTATCACAGAGTAGACCTAGGCTGTGTAAGTCAAAATCAGTATCTGGAGTTCAGCTCAATAACCAAGAGGCATCCTGTAGGGCTCACAGAGGATGACCAGCACACATTTTCAGAAGATACACTATTGGACTTCAAACCTTCAGCTGGTCCAGACTGTCCATAAGGAAAGGTACATGTGAAGCCCATTATAACAGTTAATTTAAAAGGTTGCAGAGCATGCATGACTATGGCCAAGTCCCTGAGTCTTCAGAAAAGGGCACAGTGGACATATAAGTGAAAGCTTACAGAACACAAGCTGCTACACAAACATCCAAAAGCAGTGCCAGGCCTCAGGTAACTCCCAAACAGCTATCTACTTAATGGGGAGTATGAACCCAACAAGAGGAGGAACGTCCTTTAGATCCTTTCTAATAAAATCACCCACCATCTGCATCTGTCTTGTCAGGATTGAACATATTAATTCATATCCAGTTCATTACTTGATTTTAGCCATTCATACACCGCATCTGATACAAATGAAAAAGAGAAATAAAAACATAATGACACTGTGCCCCAAATCTCCAAATGACCTCGCCCAGCACCGTCATATAGGTAGAACCCTGCAGAATGCAGAACCATGCAAGGTTAACTTCCACAAGGCAGAGCAGCAGTTACAGCACCAACTTCTGGAACCATCCCACAAGACTGGAGCAGAACCACTGCAGCACAATACTCTTCCCTGGAATCTACACAGATTGTCCAAAAGGATGGCACAATTTTTTTGTAGGGGGTTACTGGGTTGTTGCTGTTTTTATTTTGATTCTGTATTTTGTGGTTTTATATTTTGATTTTATTCTGTAAACCTCCCTGAGAACTCCGGGTATAAGGCGGTATATAAATTAAAATATAAATAAAATAAAATAAACTGGTAGTACTGAAAACTGTCAAGAAAGGAAGATCAACAAAGTCATGCTTCGCATGCTTCGCAGCAATACAGAACATCCATTGGGGTAACCAAAGAATTTCCCATCCTAAACTCCATCCGGAACCCCAAATTTAAAAGAATTTATATGTAATGACATGTATCCAATAAGCAATTGCCCACCCAACCACCTTGCCAAAATAGGAATAATTTCTCAACACAAGATAAATCTGATTTCTCAAGACAAGGGGATCCAAGATTCCCTCAGTAGACGGTCTTGCAAGCACCTCTGAGAGATGACATCATCACACCCTCCCTCCCTTGAACTACAAATAAATTTCACAGAACTAATTTAGTCATCCCATAATATGACTTTTACTAGCCAAGACAAAAAAGGCTTGAAAAGGCAAACTGCCAGATAAACCACTCTATTTGAATAGTTGGATGGTCAGCAGTGACCCACCTTTGATACCCTAGGCTAAACATACACACCACCCCAAAAGCTCACCCAATGAAGTCTAATGATGATGCTAAGCAACAGCAACTCATACCACTTACAGGTGGGAATTCACTGAGTACCCAACACAAGACTCTCAAGGAAGCTGCAGGCTGCAAATGGAGAATATGGGGAAGACTGAAGATGGCAACAGTCTCACAGGATAGATCTAAAGCACGACATCCAATTATATTTCTGTACACTATTGGATAGTTAGCTGCTCTGGGGGCTCCTAATGAGTCAAAAGGTAGGATAAAAATATAAAATGCACTACAAAAGTGACTCATCTAAGTAACAGCTTTAAGCCCTCAACATTTGAGATACATAAAAGAGAACACTGGTACAGTTTTGCATCTACCAGAACAGAGTGGGGGTGCAGATGAGAGACTTCAGATGAAGGACGCAACAACAATTACCCACAACAGAACTCCAGGTTACAGAAGCTGAAGCAAGGATGATTAATGATAAGTAAAACAATCAAACGCCACAAAATCAAAGTGGTGTACAAAATACACATAAAGGACAGGTCCCACTCAATGGGTTTATGGTTCAGACAACTAGATAACGCAAATTTAAAAAAGGAGACCAAACACAGTTAGACAAAGATTGGCTGGGGAAAAAATAAGCCTTAAGAATCTACTTTAAAAGAAAGAACATCACTTGAACTATTTCATGAGACAAAAGGCCTAACAGGAGGCAGAAATCCCTACATCACCCCAAAAAACACAACCAATTGCTAACCTGTTTCCTTCATGAACACAATGCTTCCAAGTTCCATCCGGCCAAATGAACCAGACCTTAATGTTATCACATCTCATTTCAATTCATTATACTACTATGCTGTAGCTGGACCCTCTTCAATCAAAGAACATTAGCTATCTTTCTAGCGCTTATTTCTGTTGCCCAATTGGGCAACATCTCTTATATATCAGGAGCTCCATCAGCTCAAGAGTGAAGTTCCTCACCAGTACTACTGATACATACCTCAACTCTTATCACAGTCCTGGGGTTAAGATCCCAAGAACATAACTGGGCCATTCAGGCCCTACATCTAATCATCAACCAGTATCTTCTGCAACTGGTGCGAAGACTTTCCAGTTCGGGTTGACATCCAAAAGTAACTGCTCCATTCCACTTAAATTATTACCCACCCAGAGCCCTTGGCAAGGGAGAATGAACACTAAAATGCACACCTCAAACCAGATAAATTAGGGCCCAGAACTTTAATAGCTAGCCTGAAGAGGGTACTACTATGCTACAGGCTTACCCATTTTTAAAGCAAGACTGGTCAGAGCCAATTTCCCTGCAGGGCTGAGTTCACACTGAGGTGCAAGGCTCATTACTGCACACAGTAGTTTCCAGATATACACCCAAGCTACCACCAAGCTACCACCACCTCTTTTTTTTAAGCATCTACCTAAAAACATTACATGCTATGTGGGTATAAATAGCCCTCAAGGAACAAAAGCAACAGGGTCACCACTATCAGCCTTTTAGGCCACATATAAAGCACACACATCCCCAAGAGAATCCTGGGGGCTTACACTTAAGGGTGCTAGGAGTTATAGTTCTATGGTAGCCAAACTACAATTCCCGTAATGTGGAAGGGGTGTGTGTGCTTTAAATGAATGGTTTGTCTGCGGACACCGTCCCCTTTCACCTAAATAAACAAATGGTTTAGCAAGCCTTTCCTTTCTCCCAAGGCTTCTGCTGGAAGATACATCCATTTAAGCCCCATGGCCCAGCCCCACCCTTCAAGAAAAACCAACAACAACACTCCCAGCCCCACCTCTGCAGGTGGAGCAACCCCTGCTCCCAATGTCACTCCCAAGCAAGGCATGCAAGGGCAAGGGCTCCTTCTTCTTCCCTCCATCACATCCCAACTGTGACCCACGTCGTCACCCACGGCCTCAAGACCACCGCTGGGCCCCTCCCACCACACTCGCATGCATACACACCTCGCACACCCTTTGCATGCATATACATGAAGGCCTCACCCCCCTCTCACCTGGTCCCAGCGCCTCCATGGCGGCGACGGCGGCGGCCTCGCTGCGGTCCCCTCCGGTCCCGGCCGCCCCGGGCCCCGCAGCTCCAGCCGCCGCCGCCGCCGCAGCGTATCTCTTAATTTCGGGAATATTGGCTCCGGTGTGAGGGTCAGTACCGGGAAGGGGGGGAGAGCAGGAGGCGGGGGGAGGGGGCGTCCCCGCCTCGCCAACAGCCCGCGGCCGCCTCGGCGGAACCAGCCCGGCCGCCCAGCGCTCTCCCTCGGCACCGGGAGCGCCTCTTCTTCCTCCTCCTCCTCCTCCCCCACCCGCCTCCGCCTCCTCTTCCTCCCCCTTCTCCACGCTCGGTCGCGCGTGTCTGTGTGTTGGGGGATGTGCGCGCACGCGCGCGCCTCTTCTCGGCCCCGAGACCGAGTGGACGGTGCCAGAGAGAGAGGAGACTGTAAATGTGCGTATCCGCGCTGCGGCCACTGCCGCTCGCTGCCTTTCACTCAGGCCCAGGCCGTGCGTGTGTTTGTGCGTGCGCGCCCCCTGTGCCTCCCTCCGGCGCGCACGCGCGCCTGCCCGGGCCCCCTTTCACAGCGCAGCCGCCTCAGCTGTCACCTCAGGCGCGAGTGCGCGACTAGCTCCGCCCGCTTCAACCAACATGGGGGGCGGGGGCGGGGGAAGAGGGGAATGGCTGAGGCAAAGAGCCGCGTAAGGTGCACGCGCGGCGCGGTATATTGTTCCGTCCTCTTCGCCTCGAAGGTGTACGCGCTTTTCCCCGGTCCGGCAGAAGACCCTGATGAGCGAGCGCTGCACTCTCTGCCGTCTGGGGCGGGGGGGGGAGCGCGCTCCCCCCGCGGTTTTGTTACCGTCTCCCTCAAACACAAACCCATTCACTGCCGCCGACCTCGCCCTGCCAACTAGAGGCATTTAAGCACAGCGGGGGCGCCGACTATTCTTTCTCTTCATCCCCCACGAATGTCCCCACTCAGCAAGAGAAGAGACCGCGCCAGGACTTCAGACCTTTCGGAAGTTTTCAGGGAGCTTCGGTCTGTGGGGCTCCAAAAGTGCCTTTGAACATGTGCGGAGTGTGTTCTCTTTTCACACCAGCCACAAGTACTACCCCACCAGCCATGAGCCTACCTGTGATGGGGGGGGGGGAGAGAAAGGGAGTTCTAGGGAGGTCTGTTTTACAAGAGGTGCCACGCAATCATATCCTTGTCTACTCAGAAGCAAGCCCCATTTAATTCAATGAGTCTTGCTCCTAGGTAAGCAAAAATAGGGTTGTGGCATTAAGCAGATGTCATTTACCCCATTAGAGGTCTTGCACATATCGCAAGCACTACTCATCAATGTCCCACCACCAGTCCCCTGACTGAGCCTTCTTCCCCTGAGGGTCCAACTTGGGGGTTCCCCAACTGGTGCCTCCCACAACTCCTCTGCATCCAGCCAGCCCATGATAGTATTATTTTCCATTTTTGCATCCTCTGTTGGTAAAATGTTTGCTTCAACAGCAGAAAGATGGGAATATTCCATCCTAAATCTCCATTCCTGCTTCATATTAATGCAGTTACTAGAGTTTCCTTGTAGGGGATCTATGGCTATTTAAACACCCAGCAGTCATAATTATGAAGCAATTAAGCCCAACGCCAAAGTCTGGGCATGCCAGCATTTCCCATTTCACACTGCCCCGCCTCAGGCCCAGGCCCCTAAGGTTGCCCTTCAACTCCCTCTATATGGCCCTTGCAACTCTCACCAGGCCACAGCCCTCATTGCCCCTCTTCACACCTTCCTTGAGTATTTTTGCATGGCTGGCCTAGAATGTGTCCTTGAACACTGATCATGCCAATTGCTAGTCTGGATAGAAAAGTAAAATTCACATTTGTTGATCTGTCCATTTTTGCCTCTGGTAATATCTGCTATAGATATGTGGCCCTTGTATTGCCCAGAAGGGAATACATCCCCTGGGCTGAAAAGTTTCCTCACTACTGTCCTACTTGTATGTCCCACTGGAAAGGAAATCTCCAAACATAGCACATATGCCAGCATTCTGACAACACAATCCATCTTAGATGTGTCTCCTATAGCTCAACATTTCGGAATCACTCATTTTCCAATAGCTGTAAGCATAATTTTTTAATGTGCAAAACTATAGGCTGAGAAAAAATATATGGGTGCATTCCTCCCAACACCAAGTGTGCTGCTGTAGCTAGACTTAGGAGACACAAACGCACTCTAGGAGGGTTTCTTAGAAAAGAAGAAAAAAGAAATTACATAGTTTGGGATATAAATTCTATAAAGCAGGTTGTTTCTCAAAGGCTCTTCAGCTAAACTGTTACAAATTCAGTTCATCTTCAAAAGGTGCTGCAATCAAATATTCCACCCCAACAGGTAGTTGTGGAAAGTTACCAAATACACACTCACACCAAAAATAACAATGTAAGAAATAATAATGTTAGAATGCATACTCAGCGGGAGAAGAATTAACGGTCTAATGCCTGTCTCCCCTAATTTTGAACTACTTCCTGTTCTTAACAAGCTACATTTAAAGCACGCTGCTTCCACAAATAATTCTGGGAACTGTAGTTTATCCCACACTTAATTACAATTCCAACCCACTTTACGAACTACAGTTCCTAGGATTCATTTGGGTGGGAGCCATGGATAGCAATTCCACCTTTCTCTAGCAGCCCTCAATGTCACCTCCCCTGCTCCAAATGCTGTCCCAAAGGTTTCCCCAACCCTTGGATCAGATTTAGGGATGGGGGCAAGGGCTGCAGAGCCTCCTAAATGATGAACAAGTCCCTATAAAGTTTTGATCAGGGCTGGCCTGAGGCATTTTGTTGCCTGAGGCAAGTAAGTATAAAAGCCAACCAGATTGGTCTGTTGGGGCAGTATCCTCCACTGCATAGAGGACAGCTAAAATTATTTTAAGACAGGCACCATTTTGGGGGCCTAAACCGGCCTGCTGGTCAGTGTAATCCAGCCCCTGTGGCAGTTTATTTTCTGGGGTAAAATCCTAAAAAAACCTCAACAACTTCAATCCTTAAAAAAGGTCAAAAACTTTGGTTGGCCCTTTGGTTGGCCCTCACGACCCTTCACTTCATCAAATCTGGCCCTCTTTGAAAAAAGTTTGGATACCACTGGTTTAAGAAGTATGAGGCAGATTGCATGGTACACACACGGTACTCTTTGCGCCACACATCTCACCAAGTGCTGCCTGGGGAGTAAGGGCTTGTTGAAGTGAAGGTAAAAGCGGAAATGGCAGGTGTGTTAGCAGAAAGAGGTAACTCTCAACACAGATTGCTCTAGTCTCCTACTTTCAATAAAATTATTCTCTCCAAGGCACATTCACTCAGCAGCATATTTCATAGAAATCAGTGGACCTTACTTTTGAGTAAGGCCACAGAATTTCTGCTGTGTGGGGGTAAATTGAAAGGTTGTCAAGGAACCGGGAGGGCAAGAAAAAGTGCTACCTGGGAATGATGCTCATTTTGGGCTGTCCCATTTGTCATCATTAGCTTTTCCAGTGATCTGGCGTGAAAATTTATGCACATCCATTTTCTAAGCATTTTTGCATACTCAGTAAGCATGCAGCTGCTACCTGCAAACCTCTCACACCACTTTCTTGTGAATTTGTGCTACAGCAAAATTAACCTTAACCTGGGGAAGGGAGGGGGGGGAATAATAATAGCAAATTCAGGCTTTTTCATACTCTGATCATAATGATTCTTCTAATCACCCTGAATTTTAAAGCATTTAAAAAGCTCCAGTATGGTTGAGCCATCAGCCTTTATGACTGAACTCAATAAAATAGTAAACATACCAGCAAGCTTTCCTTCTGAAAGCCAGCCTATATTTGCATCTCTAGTGGATAAATTAGCACATGCACATTTGCACCACAGGTGTTCACCATGTCTTTTAAGGCCTTAGCAGTGCCTCTAATTGCAGCTCTCAAAGATTACAATGATTGCAGACTTCCCCATTCCTGCTACTCAAAGACCTTGTTAACAGACAATATTGGGGTCAAAGTAAGAACTTCTGCATTAAGGCCTCTTACCCGAACATGACAATCATTTGGGCCTCTTTGATGGAGAGGCGGGCCTGGAGAGATTGCAGGTGCCTGATAGCCATGAAAGCCTTGGATCGGGCGGTGGTGCGTAGAGTGGCGGCCCTGGGTGGGAAGATCATTGAACACCCGGGCATTCGTTTCAACTGTGAGGCCCTCTACCGGTTTGATGGCGTGCATCTTTCGGATGCTGGAAATGATATTTGGCTGTGTGACATAGCAAAGGGGATAAGGGATTGGTTTCAGGCATGAGAGTATTGGCGGCGAGCGATAGCTCGTGTGGCGGTAGGCATTGGTAAGAAGGGGTTAAGAGGATGTGGGGGGGGGAGGAACGCCATCACCTCCCCCCAGTGAGCGAAGGGTGGTCCGTTAAAGGACTCCGGGGGGCGTGGCCCTGTCCGAAGCCTATGGAGGTGTGGGCCAAAGGCACGCCCCAGAGCGGTGACCCAGGGAGCTCCTAGTCGACGTGCCTCGGCAGGAGACTCCCCGATATAGTGTTAACCCTTCCCCGTGTCTCCAGCAAATGGGCTGGAGCCGGATAGTCGATAGGACCAGTGCCTAAGCCAATGCCTCTCATTCCTGAATTCAATAAAGTTGTGGCCTAATTCGCCCAATTAACCTTAAATTATGGTGTCTTGTGTCTTTATTTACCCTGGTGGGGGCAGGAACTCGCCACGCAATGATTGCAGACTTCCCCATTCCTGCTACTCAAAGACCTTGTTAACAGACAATATTGGGGTCAAAGTAAGAACTTCTGCACAGCTTCTCCAGTTTTAAAGCCTGGCATCTCCAAAGCAGAGATCACAGGATCTGAACACACCTTTCCTGTATCTCATCAAAAAATTAACAGGCATATAGTTCTTATAGAATTCTAGAGTTGGAAGGGACCTTGTGGATTATCTAGTAGTCCAACACCCTGCAATGAAGGAATATGCAGCTGTCCCCTATGGGGAGCAAATCTGCAACCTTGGCGTCAGCAGCACCATGCTCTAACCAACTAAGGTATCCAGGTTAGGGTTAAATTAGTTTAGAAAATATTTATTCAGGTGAATTCAAACTAATAAAGCAGAGAAAACTAACCAAGGTAGTTACCAAGAAACTAAATGATGAACAGAAAGTTCCCTCTTCAAATCTCCCCTTAGCTGTAAGTCACAGAGTTATCCTAGACAGGTCTCAATTTCTCGGCCTCACCTCTTCACAAAAAAAAAACCATGGGAGTCGCAAAACTGCCCTACCTTACAGGCCTGTTGTAAGAACTGCTGAGATAACAAAGCACATCCATATGGGGTTGTTACTTTTCTGAGAATCCACATTTTGTGTGTGCAAATTTAAATGAGGACATCCCATCCACACATGCACACTTCAGGTTTTCCATCCAGATTCATGACCTGATCTTTCCCATCCACAGTAGTAGATGGTCTTTGGTGGGAGTTTCTTGAGCTGTCCCT